TACCTTATTCACGAATTTACATCTAACAAAGACTTGGTATTTAATTTTAAAAACTTTATGAATAATTTTGAAACAAAAACAAAAATAAGTATGAAGAGAGGCAAAGTGACACATACTAAGCCAACAATCACATTAGCAAAGTCCTACACAAAAATAACGGGCTCGTCTAATTTTAGAATATTATTGATTTAATATAAGATATAAAAATATTATTAACATTTTAAAAGCTTTTCGAAGAACATAAAACTAAGAGCCGCCAAGAAAAAGAACACAAAAACTAAGAAATCCTAACTAAAAGAATTGAAACAAATAAATGATACTCCATGAACCATGCTACGCCTGATTCGTTTTGACCTAACAAAAAAAAAATCAATTCATCTTACGGTATGATTTTTTAAAATAATGCAAAACTTTGACATGTTTATAAATATATTTAACTAAATATCAAAAAAAATATAAAATATTTCAAGATTAGCAACAAAAAGAAAGTGTCAAGGTTAGCATGATGGTTTACTGGTTTAAAAGAAAATGCTCTTTTAATTTCTGAAGATTATTATTATATGTTTTTTTATAATGTCTACCACTGTAAACATCTTAATTAGTAAAAGAAAAACGTAACTTACAAAAGTACATTAATTTTGATTAAAATTAGAAATTCACTAAATAGAAAATAAAAACCAGCTACACCGATGTGATCATATTTACAGAGAGAGAAAAGATTGAATTATCCAGAGAGAGAAAAGATTGAATTACAGGAAAAGAGGACACGTGACAGAGAATATGAATGTGGTGGGGCCCATAGAGGTAGATGATTGCGAAAGGAAGCGTAGGGCCAAGAACCAACCTAAAGAAGAGCCTTTCACCTTTGTCTCCCTATCCTGTTTTCTCTTCATTTAATCACATTTTCTTTGGCTCTTCATGAAAGGGAAAGGTGTAGACGTGTCTTACTAATTATTTAGTTTTAAATTACCGATTAGTCTCAGTTGTTTAGTCCATAAGGCCAAGCATCATTAACTCCCCAAAGAAAATTATGGTTGAAACGGAGGACAAGTCAAATAAAGACTCGAATGGTCTTTTACTCTTTAGTAGTAGTAGTTGAACGTAATATGTGTGAGATATCCTCTCCACGTAATCAGGAAACAGGGAGAGTAATATCTTTTCTTATAAAACAGAAGACATTAACGACTCTGGACCGATCTATAGTTTCACTATGACCGACCGTGTGACTGATGTTGGAGTTTTGATTTGTTAGTCTCAAATAATACCTTGGAGAAGATGATCATCTCCCATCGAAAGATAATAAATTGGGAACAACGCAGAGGTCAAAACAAACAATGTATCGTAGCACATCCAATGGCAGTTCAGTTGATGATGTATAAAGTATTTTTCTTAATGATAGAGATTATTACAAAATCATAATTCGAATTTTCGTCGGGGTGGATATTTATTGTATTTTGATGTTCGATTCAAGTCTATTTAGTAAACAAATACAAATAATGAAATAACTCAAAACGCTTAAAATACGTAAATGAACGTAATCAAGACAAATTAGCCTACAAAACCACCAAACGAACAAAGAGAGTCTACATTCTACAAACCTCGGCCGCGTCATGTTTTTAAAAACTCGCTATCATATTTAAACCTCCTTCGATATCGAATATACATAATATTGATGCTTTTTTAACATTTAATATTGATGCTTTTCTTACAAGTATCTATAATTGAATATTTGTTTTGTATTTTATTAGAGACTATGCGCAATTGATCCTAAATTGAATACTATAAAAAAGTAGTAATAACAAAAATATATGTCACCCATGTTTTTTTCTTTAATCCATATTTCCAATTTCAGGCGTCTACGGAAGGACGATGCAATAGTAATAATTTTCCACGTAAGCTATAGTGTGTTTTTTTTTTTTACTAAAGGGGTAAACTATAGTGTGTTACTTAGTGACACTGTACATAATTAACGAGATCGTCTATTTGTTTTGCTCGACGATTGATGATAGAGTGAAAGAAAACCACGTCGAATAACTTTTATTTAATTCACTTGATGAAAAAGTTGGAATTTGGGAGGTGTGAAGAGTTTTCTCTAAATGTGGTAACGAACAAGTGACAATATCTAATAATCTTTTTCGTAAGAACAAGAACGTGACAAGTTGGTTTTTTTGTGAATAATGTTTTTTTTCTTCTTTTGGCGTCTGTTTATGCTCGTTGCCCCATGCAGGTTGCGATATATTTATTATTACTTAAAAAACGACCCAAATCCATTTAATTGTATACTATTTAAAATCTCATTTGAACGCGAAGAGTCAAGGGATTATTAGTTTCTCGTAAGTCGTCTTTCCTAGTTTTGGTATAAAATATTAGGGATAATGTGAGGAAAAAAAAAATACTCGACTACTAATTAAGCAGCAGTCTATAAGAAAATCAAACCTCTTAATTACTGTGTTCTTTTTTTTGGCGAAAATTGTGTTCTTTCTATTTTACTAAGAACCAGAAAAAATACAAAATAGTTATTTGGATGGACAGTTCACATACCAGGAAACAAATTTTAGTTGAAGAATTCAAAATCAAAAAGACCTTTTCTTTTATAACAAATAATTCATTAAGTAATATTATAATTCTTAAGAGTATCTTTATACTTATAAAGCACAAGTCAGTTGACAATTGTAGTATTGACAAGTGTCCTTTTATGTTTTAAACTAATTTATTTTTTATTTTTATATCACAAAAATTTGTATCTTTTAAATTATTTTTTTTAAAACAATCTCATAACTACCCATGATCTTTTTAACTTTCCATCTTTACAGTATACTACCGTCACTTTCATCATATATATATCAGAAATGTTTAGTCCATATAATTTTTTTGTAAATTTGCAAAGAAAATTCGACAAAAAAAATTCTGCAAAGAAAAAATCAGTTATTTTAGGTAATCTATTAATTTTTGATTTTTGGAGTTTTATCTAAATTATTATCATAGATTTATAGATACGTAATTTGAAATTTTTATTTCAATTCTGTTTCAGGTATTAGTGTGATTATTTACAAGATGAAACAACTACTAGAAATACAATATTTTTTTTGGTAATAACCAAAAACACAACATTACAAAAATGGTAAGGTGTAAAGATGTCTTCCCTAGAAAGTGATGTTCTATCCATTTAATAATGATAACATTTGTGAATTAAAGATATTAGGCTGATATTTTTTTGTTTTGTTTTGTGATCTATCTTTCTGAATTTAAAAAACATAAAAAATGACAAAGTGATGTACAAAGTAAACATTTATTTTTAATTTTTTAAATATTTATTTTCCATTTTTTACTTATTATAATTTTAATAAATATTTTTTCGTGACAAAATTAATTAACAAAATAAATCATTTTATACATGTTTAATTATCTATATCAAATACTAAAATGTATTAATTTATAATTTTGTATAATTATAAAATACACCTACATACTACTATATAAATATCTTGGATAAGTATGTTTACTTTCTTTTTTTATTATCCAATTCTCAAAATTAAAGTATTTCAATAATAAAAATGTTAAACTATTTTAATTTCAAACATGTTATTTTTTATTAATTTTATATAATTTTTTTAATTAAATATTATATTAAACTGTTTTCATTTTAAACCTATGATCTTTTATATTAATTTATCTCAAATACCAATTCTCTACATAGCAGGGGGCAAAATACTAGTTTTCATATAAATTGTCAGCTTTGGATGGAAGAACCCATTAAGACTGTCAGCTTTGATTGAAACCGATAAAATTAATTAGCGGGCTTAGAAATGGGAGGCCCATCTGAATAGAAGTCCACTAGGCAAGAGGCTTCTATCGATGCGCTCGCTTTTGTTTACGATGTGTGTGAGCGGGACTACATTATTATTGAAGCAAATGTGTTTTCATCATGCGTGACTTATATATATATGAGTGGAACTGTGGAAGCATAACTATTCTGGTCCGAGAGTGCGAATATATCGTTTGAATGCAGTTGTATGGAAGGAAACCTTAACGTATAGTATATAGATATTTTATTACATCTTTTCTTATATGATGTCATTTATTAATTCCATGACGTAAACATCGATGCTTAATTTGTTCCTGAAACACCACGAGCCGAACACGTATATTATACTTGGAACCTGTTTGAAATCAAGTTCTCCGATTCAGCTAAGCCAATCTAAAACTTTTTCAGGTTGCAGACTGCTATAAAATTCATGAGCAATGGTGTTGCATGATACTTATTAAAAGCATTTCATTTACTAAACTATATTTTCCGAAATTACTAGGAAAACCAAAATTCGGATAGATGATTCGCAATCGCCTCGTTCAAATTGTCTTCTTGAACAAGTTACAGGATCGGTGGAATTCTATTTCATTAGTCTTTTCTTGGTTCGATCACAAAGCTTTTCCAGTATCCGAGCACTTTTGTTTGTTGAGACCCGGCGATAGATACGGAACTTCGACAAGGGAACACATTCATCAAGTTTAGTTTTGTTATAATTATATTTTAGAATGTTTTGTCGGCAATTAATAGAATCAGATTTATCTTATACTTTATCAGAAATTTCAAGTTTGTTTCGTAATATTTCGTATTGCGAAGACATGCGCATGTTTCTTAGCGATTAGTATATATATCGTCTAACGTCGAAGGCACAGCATATCCCTTCTCTTAACCACTTCCACCCGTTACGGTCCGACACACAATTTATCACTTATTTTATTTTTTTTAATTTTCTTTCCATATATCATAAAACTCATTAAAATTTCTTAATATAAAACTATTAAGCAACTATATAAACACTTCATTGCTGCATTAATGAGTTCCTCTTTTCCTCTGTTCTTCGCTTTCTGAAGTTCTGCAAATGTTATCCTCTGTTTGATTTTCATGAGCCTCTGATCTGGTTTAACTAATTAAGAATTTTAGCCAGAATTAAGATTTTTATACTTTTGATTTTTTTTTCTTTCTTCCCCCCCCCCCCCCCCCCCCCCCCCCCCCCCCCCCCCCCAAGAAGTAGAGCTCGATGGAGAACGAACTGTTTATGAATGCAGGAGTTCCGCATCCGTCGGAGATGACGTCACTGTCTTCTTCTTCGGCGATGCTGAATTGGGCTTCTATGGAGACTCAGCCAGTGGACCCGAGCCTCACTCGGGATTGCTTTTTCTGGGAAAAGTCAACGGAACAGAGCATCTTGGACTCGGCTCTGAGCTCACTCGTCTCTTCTCCGACGCCGTCAAACTCTAACTTCTCCGGCGGAGGCGGAGACAACTTCGCCATTAGAGAGCTCATCGGTAAATTGGGTAACATCGGCGAGGTCTACGGGACTCCGGCTAGCAACGGAAACGGCTCCGGCTCGTGTTACGCAACTCCGATGAGCTCTCCACCGCCGATACCGATGTCGCTGAAGAGAATGACTACACCGATAGCGGAAATTTCCGGCGATTCAGGATTCGCAGAGAGAGCGGCGAGGTATTCGTGTTTCGGCAGCCGAAGTTTTAACGGCAGAGTCAACTCGCCGTTTCCGACTAATAAGGGACCCGCTGCTGCAACAGTGGGAACCAACGGGAAGCTGTCACGTGTCTCGAGCACCTCAGCTCTCAAGCCCCTTGCGTCTCCGATTCCCGCCGGCGAATCGTCCGGTGAGTTTTCCCGGAAAAGAAAAGCAAAATCCAAGGAGAATTCTCTTTCCACAGCTTCCCCATCTCCCAATTTATCGAAGGTTCGTATGGAAAAAAAACAATCGACTTTTTCAAATTTGAATACGAAACTCGCAAAAGTCGAGATTTTTGTATGAGAATAAAACTGATTTGTGGTTTAATTTGCTCAGGAGGTTAAAGAGAAGGAAGATTCGGATTCCAAGAGAAGTAGAAAATCAGAAGAAGATGAAGAGAAAACGAAATCACTTGATCCTTACAAAGACTTCATCCATGTCAGAGCTCGGCGAGGCCAAGCCACCGATAGTCACAGTCTCGCCGAACGAGTCAGTAAATTTCCTATATTTTCTTACTTAACATGGTCAAGTTTATTGAGCTGTTTCTAGTGTTAAAGTTTAATTATTTATGTCCTCATTAGTTGGATTAATCATTCTGTACATAAGGGATTTCGAATTTTATATGTTATGATTTCGATTTAAAAAGGTTCGAAGGGAGAAGATAAGCGAAAGAATGAAGCTGCTTCAAGATCTTGTCCCTGGATGCAACAAGGTGAAGAACGATTTTGATTGATTCCTTCATTTGATTAATCACTAATTAATTCGTTTTTAGTTGTAACTTGTAGTGTAGTTGCGATTAAATTAATTGTATTTTTTGAGAAAATAGGTTACTGGGAAAGCACTGATGTTGGATGAAATTATAAACTATGTCCAATCATTACAACAACAAGTTGAGGTAATTCCATTAGATTATTGGTCCACTAACTCTTTCCATTATTTCGTAATCACTTTTTTAAAATAGCTAGTACACGATTTCGAATTTTTGCTTAATTTTTTTTTAAATTTCATTTTGCTTAATAATGGCAGTTCTTGTCAATGAAGTTATCGTCAGTGAACACCAGGCTGGACTTTAACATGGAAGCTCTCGTGTCAAAGAATGTAAGTCACCGTCACAATTTAAACAACATTAATAGGGGATTTATAAATTGACAATAATTATAACAATTGTTACTTTGTGAACCAATCGTGTGTGTTTCAAGAAAAAAAAAACACACTAAACTTCTTATTTTCTGACAGATATTTCCTTCAAGCAACAATCTAATGCATCATCATCAACAGCAAGTACTTCAATTAAAATCCTCATCAGAAACCTTATTGGCTGATCATCACAATCAAATTTTACAAATGAACCCTAATATTTCTTCCAGTAACATAATAGACCCTTTGGACACTTCTGAAACTAGAAGCTTCATTTCTCAATTACCAACACTTACCCATTCAACTGACTCTATTTCTCAGGTCTTTAATTCTCTTATCTCTTTACAAAAATTAAAAAATTTCTTATTAGAAATAATCATAACTCTTTTTGGTTTTTGTTTTCAGTATTCAGCATTTTCTGAAGATGATCTACGTAGCATTATTCATATGGGATTTGTGCAGCAAAACCAGATCCGTGATTCAAACCAAGTACAATCACATAATTATCAAGGTATGGAAAGTTAACAATTATATTCTTTCCGTTTCATTTTATATAAAGAAAACACTATAATTTGAGATGTGGAAAATGTAATATGCAGGTCCATCAAACCAAGTACCATCACACATGAAAGCTGAAGTTTGATGATAAACCATTATTTGCATTTGTTACAAAAGAAAAATATTGGAGTTTCAATTAAAGGATAGAAAGTAAGAAAAGGATTGATGGGTGTACATAACAAGAAGCTTGAACTGGACCACACCATTTGCAAAATTCGTTTCTATAACCATCTTCATATATATACTGTATCAAATAACAGCTTCTTTTTACTATTTATTTGTGCCCTTATTTTAGTTTTATGTCCGATTCATTTGTGGGACTCAACTACTGTATTGTCATCCGCTATTATTATTATCGGATTCTTTATGCTTTTTTTTATTGCTTGGATTTCATATCATTGTAAGTTTTAACCCCACTATAGAATAATACCATTGCTATACTATAATTTGATCTGTTCGTTTCTTCCACCATTGCTAATCTCTGTTTCATTTTTTCTAATTATATTCGTTTCAATGGTCTTTGGATAAAGAACTTAGACAAAAAAAGTTTTAAAAAAGAAGAAGATCTTAAACGTCAAAACGTATGAAATCTTACTATCAAGTTCTGACAGAAATATATATAGGGTCTGACTGGTATGTCAGATGAATAACAGAATAGCGGAATAACTGAAAAATTACTAGCGGAATGAACTGAACTGAATAATATTTTAGCTGAATAATTGTGAAACGCTGAAAAGCTACTTTTAGTAAATTAATCACGTTTTATTTTTTTTTAGTTATATTTTTAACATGCTAGCGGAATCACGTTTCAAAAACATAAAAAAACGTGAAAACGTGATGAATAACATGAATGGTTAAAAATAACAGAATCAAATTTCCAAAACGTAAAAACGTGAAAAAGCTGCATACCATTCAAATCCATAGTTAAACATTTAAACCAAAAGTTGATATTAAGCTTTTTCAGCACGAGCAGTGCCGTCCCGGATATTTGTGAGGCTCAAAGCATTTTTTTTTAAAAAAATGTGGCTCTTTATAATAACTAAAACCATTAAAAATGGATCAAAACCACCAAAAATCACCACATTTCCATGTTTATTATTGTTGTCTAAGAAACTTTTTTTCTTTATTCTCTTCTGTATGTTTAACTCCATCAATATTTGTATGTTGCTCAAACGTATGCATTTCTATCTTATCATTCTTATAAATATTAATTTTATTATTATTTATCATTTATTTCATTTCTAACAGTCACATCAATTATAGAAAGTCCAGATTTTGTAATTATAAAAAATTTAAAACACGTCTTCTAGTGCTTACTAGAGTGTGGAGGCATATTACTAAACAAAAAAAATTATAGAGATTATTGTCAAGAAAAAAAATTTGCTTTGTTACCTTTGTAAATACTAACATCAATGCAAATTCAATTCAACACAATTGTGTCATTTATAATTATTGATTGTTAATCATCTAATTTAATATATACAAAGTGATGAAAAAAACGACAATGATAAGAATTAATACAAAATTTGAGAATTATCTAAATTTTTAAAATTAAAACTCAAACTTTCTAAATTTTAAATGATTTAGTTACAAAATTTTGTGTCTAAGAAGAAAATTTACAGTTTATGTGATAGCTACAAAATGTTTTTTTTTTAACATTAAAAAGAAGAGTTACCTCTAATTTTGCATTGACGGCTAAAACACAATTTTTTTTATAAAAACTTTTTAATAAAAAAAGAAAAAAGAAAGAGGTAAAATATGTATCACCACCATTCGAACCCAAGATGTGAAGAGGAGAAAACTTCTCTTTAACTCTCCTTAGCTGACCACCTAATCTATAACTAATTTTGGAAAATGTGGCCTGAATTTTTCAAAAGTATTTGTGGCTTAAACCTGCTTTAAGGCAGGGACGGGCCTGAGCAGGAGTTACATATATAGCGTTACAGTTACATCTACATTTGTGCTAAATTATATGTGTAATTTCCTCAAATGTTATTATGAATATATTTCCAAACGAATAACAGGCACTATAGGTAGCTTATTCACGACTAATAAAGCAACCTCAGATCTTAGCTAAGCTTGATTTTTCTATTTTACTAAAACTCGTCAACGTCAAAATTTAATATCAGATGACGTTATTTGAAAATTTGATTTGATCGTTGTTAGTGTTAACCAGCTGTGTAAGGTGTTCTGTCATTTTCTACATTGTGTTTGGGCAAGTTCCTCAAAAGAAAAGACACATTAAAAAGTCTAATATGAGTGGTTATGAGCTAAAAAAACCAAATTTGAATAATTAGGATTTTTTTATATAATGGGATCACGCCGTGATTTTTGGAAACTATATGAATCCAATCGTCTTTTTCAAAGATACTTCTTCAGAGGACACAGAAATATCTCTTTCTATTCACTTACTAAAGAAAGTAGACAACAAAGTATGCCAGCAAAAAAATGTCTAATCAGCAACCAAGTCTCCGGAATTTGCTGATAATGTTTGATTTGATCCTTATGAAATTATAACACGCAACTTGAATGTTTGACTAATCCCAAATCCCCTACAAATATACTGACTGATCTTGCTAAGCTATGAACTACGAACCTTAAATGTACTATGGGCTAGTTATTATCGGGGTGCTCCATTTCTCGGCCCAAGTAAAGACACCTACACTAAATTTTGGACCTCTCATATTTGGGCCTTTTTTTATTTCGACGTTGACGACTATATAACCATCTCTTGTATAATTTAAGGCCCAAATTCACTTTACTCTCCCAGTTTGATCCACCACAAAGGATTCGAGTTTCGGTTTGAATAATAATTTAGGAAGTTCTGTTGAGAAAATCACAAATTATAGGGATGATTGCGTAATTATACAGTAAAACGCCGAGAAAACAAATAAAATACAGGAAACATGAACAAACTGCATAAGCAAAATGCATATGCTATAATTATCTTTCCTGAAAGACATTCGATTAAATCATATACCCAGACTCATTAGGTCTACTCCGACATAGAAAGAAAATATCTAACAAAGAATATTGTCAGAGAAAGAAACAAAAGCACTAAAAGACGAAGAGAAATGGGGATTGCAGAATAAGGGCAGAGAGAGACACACTTTGATGTCTTCTTTCTTTTCTTTTCTTTTGGGCACAATGTCGTTTTTTTATATATATTTTTCTGATAATTTGATGGAAATTCGGATGTTCATATCCATAATCACATTGAGATATTGATACGAATACGAGCGGTTATTGAAACCATCAGATCTATAAAATTTGGATTATACCCGGTTGAAAATGGGTCGGTTTACTACACGACCTGCAAGGCTGCAATGTACTGACTGTATTTATTATTATCTTTTTTAATATTGTAATGAACAATGAGATCTATAGAGAGAGCATCATAATGTCACGTCACACCATTAAAGTATGAGAACGTTACTTTTTCGTTTTTCTCAACTCTCATTGAACTTTTAGTTCTTTATTACAAGACGACCGTTGAGATTTGTCTAGAATTAAGATACCAATCAACACTGTCTTAATGTATTGTAGTATTCATTTACATAACCTTTTTCATCACGTAGATCTCTCTGAGGGACCCGGTTAATCACGTTTTTAATAATTCTCTACGAATCAACATTAGTACATTCTTTTAATGAAACAAAGAGGGTTTAGTGAAAATTTGTTGAGAAAAATGCTTCATTTATAATCAATGAGAGTTGAACTAAACTCCTTTAATAGTAATTTTTATTAATCCATCTGCCTGATCACCCCAAGAAGCGCTAGGCACCCATTAAATTAAGATATCTGATAGGCTGAAATAATACAAACTAAAAATGTTAGGATTCTTAAGTATTTGCAGGAACAGAGTATTTTCAATTAATATTGAAAACCCAGTTACCAATACACTTAACATCGATCATCAAGACGAAAAATTAGTAGAAATTATAGTATGCTTTAAAGTTGAATAATCTGTTCATACATCATGTAAATACGATATCAATTACAATAGATACTAGGCTAATAGATACCACTTCTTTTAATGTATATACATTGTATACAAGATTTACTAAGACAGTGTACTGTCTTTTTATTACTCAACCAGTCCTTTTTTGTTTATGGGGAACACGTAACACTAGCCATTAAATATCTCCACTCTTCTTCTCTCTCAAACCAAGTACTCTCATCCCTCTCTCTTGCTTCAGAGACGAAGAAGAAGAAGAACAAGTGTTACCAATTATTCATCATGAGTGTTCTACATCTCCTTGCTCTCTCTCTGCTCATCTCTGTTTCAGGTTTAAACTTTTCTCTCTCTCTAGAACAACCTCCATTAATGGCGGTCCTTAAAAAATGTTAATCCTCTCTTTCTTCTTGTCTTTTCCACAGGAGCAAAGTTCTCCGGCCGGCCAGGAATCAACTACGGCCAGCTTGGAAACAACCTCCCATCTCCGTCCGACTCAGTCAACCTCATCAAATCCCTAAACGCAAAACGCGTCAAGCTCTATGACGCTAACCCAACCATCCTCGCCGCATTGAACGCCACCGACATCGCCGTCTCCGTCATGGTCCCGAACCAGCTCATCGTCAACATCTCCAAATCCGATTCCCTCTCCGACGACTGGATCCGTTCCAACATCCTCCCGTTTTACCCATCCACCAAGATCCGTTACCTCCTCGTCGGCAATGAGATCCTCTCTTCCACAGATTCCGAGCTCAAATCCGCCCTCGTCCCTGCAATGCGCAAGATCCAAAGGTCCTTAAAGACTCTCGGCGTAAAAAAAGTCAAAGTGGGGACCACACTCGCCGTCGACGTTCTCCAATCGTCGTTTCCTCCTTCAAGCGGCGAGTTCCGTTCGGATATTTCCGGTTCGGTCATGAAACAGATGCTCCAGTTCTTAGACCGGACCAAATCGTTCCTCTTCGTTGACGTCTACCCGTATTTCGCTTGGGCCCAAGATCCGACCCACGTGGATCTCGGTTACGCGATTTTCGAATCTAGCAACGTCACCGTCACGGATCCGGTCACGAACCTGACCTACCACAACCTCTTCGACCAGATGATTGACGCTTTCGTCTTCGCCATGAAACGCCTCGGGTATCCGGATCTTCGGATCTGGGTCGCGGAAACGGGTTGGCCCAATAACGGAGATTACGACCAAATTGGAGCCAACATCTACAACGCCGCCACTTACAATCGCAACGTCATCAAGAAACTCGCTGCTGACCCGCCCGTCGGCACTCCGGCTCGACCCGGAAAGGTCCTCCCGGCCTTTATTTTTGCGCTTTACAACGAGAATCAGAAAACGGGTCCGGGCACGGAGCGGCATTTCGGACTTCTCCATCCGAACGGGACTCAGGTTTATGAGGTCGAATTGTCGGGGAAGACGACGGTATACAAAGAGTCGTTGCCGGCGCCGGAGAACAACGAGGTGTACAAGGGGAAAATATGGTGCGTGGTGGCTAAAGGCGCAAATTGGACTCAGCTTGGTGATGCTCTATCGTACGCTTGCTCACAGGGGAATAACACCTGCGACCCGATCAAAGCCGGAGGCCCATGTCACAAACCCGATTTGACCGTTTTGCACGCCAGCTACGCCTTTAGCTCTTATTGGGCCAGCTTTCGTAAGACCGGTGGGACTTGCTCCTTCAATGGCCTCGCCACCCAAACCATCAAAGATCCAAGTGAGTCCATTTCCAAATTCGTAAATCAAAACCAATTCTTGTAATATTTGAAATTTAATTTCGGTTCGGTGATTTCTGGATGTTTAAACGGGTGATTGATTTTAAGTTGGCTAAAATTGTTATCACTCTGTTGTCGTTTTGACCAGGCTATGGACGCTGCGAGTTTCCGAGCGTGACATTGTGACGACTTACGAGATATTACGACAGTGTCTAGAAGAGACTAGAGAGAGACATACGAAGATAGACCGCACGATGTTTCGGCTTTGATTAGTAGACAGAAGGCACGTGAAACTGCACGATGTCACGGCTTGATTAACTAGAATACGGCACGTGATCACGGTCCTATGTTTTAATGTTCTATTTATTTAATTCCCCCCTCCCCACGAACAATAAAAACTCATGCGTAATAAATTCGTTTTTGTAGTGACGTAACCGGTTTCTTATGACTAGTGTTTCTCTTATTGCCTATTGGTTGTGGATGGATTCACTTATTTTTTTTTTCCCAATTATATGTGGTTTCTCATATAAGGATCCTGGTCGTTTCGATGCATGCCCTTCTTTTAACTGCTAGGCAAAATAGCGACTTTGATTTAAATCGGATTGGCGAGCAATTCCGAAAACTTAACCGGTGACTAAGATTTTTAGTTAGAAACTTTGGTACTACAAAAAGTAACAGTTGTGAAAGTATGTCTTTAAATAAAATGCAACTGATGATGCTAATGATTCTCCAGAGAATATGATACCATAGCTCTTTTTCACTTTTCAGATTTGTTGTTTTTGCAACAAAAAGTCAACCAGTGAACTTTGTTTCTTTGCTTCTTTTTTTTGTGCTAAAGGATGTCTTTAATTTTCCCTTTTATACAAAAGGTGAAAGGATTGTACTTGCGTGAGACTTATGGATTCAGAACTTCATAGGCTTAAGATCTAAACTCAAAGATAAAACCTTAGAAAAACTTAATATTAAACGAGTAGATAGTTTAATTTTTTTGTAAACCGACATCTATATTAAACGTTCTTATGATAGACTGAACATAGCCTTGGTAGTCTTGGATCTTAGTTGTTACTTGTTTTTACATTTGAATCCAAATTTTATAGTCATGGGTTATAAACTCTATAGCAGGTTGTGGACCCAGAGTGACAAGAGACAGTTAATGTACTGAGCTATATGACAGGAGCTACCACTTATTCCAACAATCAATTTATTCAATAACACGATTCAGGTTTCAGGAGTCACATGGCTCATTTCAATACGCTGAATCCACCCTGAACAAATGTGTATATTTCCTAAACAGGAAATATGTTTTTCCTGAAAGTGGAGTTCAATGTCTTGTGTGGTTGTAGGGAATTTTTAAAAATATCACAATTTAGCCGAAAAGTATATATGAAAATGCTATGGGTCAGAAGTTAAATTTAAACCAAAACAGTTTATTATCATTAATCTGATATTCTCTTTTTGTCCCTTTTAAGAAAAAAGAAATTTTGCTCCTACTGTTTATCCAAATCTTGTTCAACTGAAGTCGTCGACGTGATGATTATTAATGTACTATATACGTCAAGTGATGATTGTAATTAAGAAATTGGGTGTATTTTAAGTATAAGTTGGCTTTAGAAAACACGAAGAGGTCCAGTCCCATAATATTGAATGGCACAAAAAAATGGCGGGGAATATTAAGTTTGGTTTAGATAATCGTCAATAATTGAGATTAGGTACCAATATAGACCGGAAGACTACCATACAATATCATAATCTATGCGTTTATATACAAAAGTCTCAAACCACCTAACTATCATGAATATGAAATTGTCTACGACTAATTTATATGGACTTCGTAAATTATACGACTCCGAAACAATGATTCTCGTAGGGGAAGAACGAGTTTGCTTCATAAAATTTGTAAGTATGAGTCGTTAAAAGACTGTCACAGAGTCCCATATATAAATCAAGGAATCTTGAAGTTTCTCCAGGTTATTTTATGTTCTATATCAGTCAAGTGGGTCAATCATAAAACTTAGCGCATATGAGAGGATAAACTAGAGAAGAGCTTTTGTTTTCCTTTTTTGGACGAAAATAAACGAATATACTTAAAAACCAATGACATCTATCCACTTGTCAAGTTGAAGATAAAAGAATAACCACACACCGACTTAAGAAGCCCACAGAAACTAGAAAGAACAGAATCAGATATTTTTCCTAATGAATTTTAAAATAGAGAGGAAATAATAAAAGATACTCTCTCTACCTTATCCAACCTTCGCCACTTCTCCCACTAATCCGCTAATCTTCTCCCTCACTCTCTCATTCAACAATCCGAGATTTTCTCAGTCAGATAATCCTTAGGTTTTTCTAGTTTTTTCCGCTCAATCTGATTATGGACAGTTGCCTCTCACATCAAGCGGCGCTCCGGTTTCTCCCGTCGCGTTCGAGGAGACAGAGCGGCGATGGAGGCGGCGGATTTTCTCTTCATGCGATGCGGAAGGTCCAGTATAGATCGATGGTCGTGGTTGCGACGGCGGGTGCGAGCCGGTGCGAGCCTGGAAGCAGCCTTAACGCGCCGCTTGAACCGCGATCGGCGCAGGGAAGGTTTCTGAGAAGCGTGTTACTAAACAAGCGGCAGCTCTTTCACTACGCCGCCGCTGATGAGCTCAAGCAACTGGCCGATGATCGGGAAGCCGCTTTAGCTCGTATGTCTCTCAGCTCTGGTTCCGATGAAGCTGCTCTCCACAGGTTCGTTTAACCTTTTGCTTATCCTAATTATCCCTTACAATACACAAACCCGTTATGTGTAAACTTCCCTAACAATTGGATACATACTCAGAAGCATGCGTAAATCATTAGATACTTACATACATACGTGGTTATCGATTAGTGTATTCACCACATAAGCTTGCAAATTCAAATGATTAGTGTCCGATTCTTGTCTGTTTGAGTAGTTTGATGCTGTTTGTGGTGATCGGAGAACGATACCATTGATAAGGCTGGTATGAAACAATAGCAGCCTATAATGGCTCTTTCTCATTCTCTGCCTTGTGAAGCAAGTTTTGCTTTAGTGTTGGGTAAGGTTGGTTTGTCTAATTAAAGCTCCTCTCATATTTTTCATGTATCTGCTTTTCTTCTGGATCGTTGATTCCATTTTTCAGTTTGTTTTATCCACATGTGTTAGTTTCTTGCTTGTGTTTATTGTCCTGTTTCTGCAGCTCTTTGTTAAGCTTAACCTGCAACTCAGGCCATCATATACTCTGTTTGTCGATGGTTTTGCTGCTGATTGCTCTTTTACGATCCCTTATTTTTCTCATTGTTTGGCAGAAGGATAGCTCAACTCAAGGAACGTTACTGCAAAACAGCAGTCCAAGACATAATGTACATGCTAATATTCTACAAGTACTCTGAGATAAGAGTCCCTCTCGTTCCAAAGCTCTCTAGATGCATCTACAATGGAAGACTCGAGATCTGGCCTACGAAAGACTGGGAGCTGGAGTCGATTCACAGCTGCGATGCACTTGAGCTCATCAAAGAACACGTTAGCGCAGTCATCGGATTACGTGTCAATTCGTGCGTGACTGACAATTGGGCAACAACACAGATACAGAAACTTCATCTCGGGAAAGTGTACGCGGCCTCGATCTTGTACGGTTACTTCTTGAAATCCGCTTCCCTCAGGCACCAACTCGAGTGCTCCCTATCGGATCTCCATGGAAGCGGGTACCTGAAAAGCCCAGTCTTTGGATGTTCCTTCACAACGGGCACTGCACAGATCTCCACCAAGCAGCAGCTGAGACATTACATCTCAGGGTTCGACCCCGAGACATTGCAGAGATGTGCAAAGCCAAGGACAGAGGAAGCAAGGAATCTGATAGAGAAGCAGAGTTTGGCCCTTTTTGGGACGGAGGAGAGCGATGAGACGATCGTGACATCGTTTTCGAGTCTGAAGCGGTTGGTCCTCGAGGCTGTGGCGTTTGGGACGTTTCTGTGGGACACGGAGTTGTATGTAGATGGTGCATATAAGCTCAAGGAGAATGGGAATGCTGAAGAACATGAAAACAGGAGCATATGAACCAAGAAAAGCTTCATCATCCTTTCGTGTATATATAGAGAGAAAAAGTTTCTGCCGAATCTCTCAGGCAATTCTTTTCTGTATAGCTTTTGCTTAGTTATAAAATGTTTTGACGGTCAAATAAGAATGTGGTGGGTTAAGGGAATAAGAGAATGTGGGGCTTAATTTTATCGCTTTTGCAATACTTTTGAAATATCGAATCTGAATCAACGAACCACCGTAAAAATAATATTCTTCGACTAAAAATATTACAATTCGAACTTTTAAAAATTTACAAAACCGATCCACCATACTCAAGAACAAAACTCATAAATCAACTGAGGGAGACTGATTATCTAAAACCTTTGGAAAATAGTTTTTTTTTAGAGAGGCTTTTGATTTGGGCTTTTATTTCTTAGCCGAACATGACCTTATCGAGGCCCAAAAGCTTAGACCTATCAAACCCCCCAATTCTCACTAGAGTGAATGTAAAAAAAAATCTGGTCTTCTCTTTCAATTCCGTTTCTCTCTCGCCGGAATATTTCGTATACTTCATCTCCTTATCGTTCGCCACCGTCGCACACTCGCCGGTAAGCATAGCCATTCCGCTTCCTAATCCCTTGCCTCCTTCATTAGATGTTTCCTGGGAGGCATTTCCTTCCTTCTCCTGCCGCGAATCGCGCGTGATTAGGGTTTATGAAATCTAACGCCTTTGGTTCCGAAATTTATTCAGTTTCTCGGTGATTTCGGATAAGGAAGATGCCAGACGTCCAATCAACGGTGTTGGAATTTGTTAACAAGCTCAGAAAACGGTATATCTTTCTTTTGCGGCTTCATGTTCAGTAATTTCGTAAAACCCTTTGTTAAGAGAGACTCTGATTTGATCATATATATTGTACAGCAAGATCGAGGGATCACAGGCCACAGCCAGATACACCGTAGAGCTTCTTAGGTCAGTGATTTCGCAGCAGCGGGTGCCTCACGCAAACCAGGCTTCAGCTCTTATCGATGCTGTGAAAGCCGTTGGTGAGCAATTGATCGCTGCAAATCCTGTTGGTATGCCTTTTATAATTCTCTTTTTTTGCTTACATTTTGGTTCTTTTAACCTGCGCAAGGAGTAAGCTTTGTTGGGTTTGTTTTTGTAGAGCTTGCTGTGGGCAATGTAGTTAGACGAGTTTTGCATATCATAAGAGAGGAGGATCTCTCTCTCACTACGGCAGCTATGGGTGGGTTAGACTTGCTTGATGCAAGTGATGATGATGAAGATGATAAAAGCAGAGGGATTGGGTACCCTGCAATGTCTGCGGCAGTTGTTGCAGCTGCAGCTAGGAGTACGTTACGACCTCCATCTTTGCAAACGCTTCTCGAGGGCACTCCTGAATCTGCAACTGTCCCATACACATCTTCATCCGGTGCTGATTCCGAAAGCAAAAGTAAATCTACCTTTTTCAATGCCTTTAGCTCTCATTCTTCTCAGTAGACCCTTATGCTGCATGTTTTTGTTATGTCCTTGATAAGCCGTGAGGAGAAGTATTATAGTAGGAGTAGAATACAGTTGATTTATATTCTCCTTTACAAGTCGATACTTGTGGTTTTCTTTTGGGAACTGTCTTAAGACGGAGACTATAAATTGACAGTAAGTAACAGGTTTAGGGGACTCTAGAAAGAACTTTTGATCACTGGTTCTGGTAGTTTTCTTGCTGGAATTCTCTGTGAATTTGTGGTTCTGCGTTACAGTGATAAATTAAGTTAATCAATAGAATAGGCTGGTTTTGGGTGGTTCATCTCGCTTTTATTGAAATTATCTTGGATGAATCATAAGACAAAGTTTTCTTTGGCAGCTATATAAGTTACACTTGTTTAGTTGATACTAATGGTCTAATGTATTTTTTTTAGCTGCCGATAAAAGTTCAATAACTCGGAAGCTGAAGCATGATGTTATAGAAGGAGTCAATCAACTTATCCAAGAGATTGCTGGTTGTCATGAGCAGATCGCTGAGCAAGCTGTTGAGCATATACATCAAAAGTACTTTTTCGTCTCTATACCATTAGTTTTCTGTAACATGCAATAAATGGGGAAACAACGTGTTCCTTGATGACAGCTTTCATATTGCCTAAATTCTTTTGTCAGTGAGGTGATTCTAACCCTGGGTAGCTCAAGAACAGTGCTCGAGTTTCTGTGTGCTGCAAAGGAGAAAAAAAGATCATTTCGTGTATTTGTCGCCGAAGGTGCACCAAGGTTTGGTGTCTCTTTCTGTTAATGTTTCATCATTACCATCGTTAGTGTCCATCTAACTCAGCTGTATGTCTTTCTTCCATTTCTATTCTATTATATTGTTAGGTATCAGGGCCATCTATTAGCAAAAGAATTGGTGGCTCGAGGTTTGCAGACCACTGTGATCACTGACTCTGCAGTGTTTGCTATGATATCTCGAGTGAATATGGTACATGTTCAGCCTTGCTCAATTCTATGTTTTCTTGTCCCTGGCTTCTAAAAAATAGATATCAAATTATGTGATATCGCACAGGTTATAATTGGAGCTCATGCGGTGATGGCTAATGGTGGGGTTATAGGACCTGTTGGTGTCAACATGGCTGCTCTTGCAGCAAAAAAGCACGCAGTCCCATTTGTGGTTCTAGCCGGTAGTCACAAGGTTGGTGTCTGAGTTGTGTTGTTTTCTCAAACCATTGATTGCTCTTAAGAACCTCAAAACTTGACTCAGGGGTTTTAATGTGTAATAAACAGTTATGTCCACTCTATCCACACAATCCAGAGGTATTACTCAACGAGCTGAGATCTCCTTCTGAACTGTTGGATTTCGGTGAATTTTCCGATTGCCTGGATTTTGGAGCGGGTTCTGGTTCTCCACTTCTTCAAGTTGTCAACCCAACATTCGATTACGTCCCACCAAACCTTGTTAGTCTCTTTATAACCGACACGTAAGTCTCCTATGTATATCCTTGGTTTCTTCTAGTTGCTGTATTTGTAGATTGGTTCGTTTTACTTTGTTTGGTTAAGAAGCTGATGATGTTATATCTGCTTTGGTTACAGAGGAGGACACAACCCATCTTACATGTACCGTCTTATTGCCGACTATTACTCTGCTGATGATTTGGTGATGAATGGCGATAAGTGAAGCCCCTCCTCCACGCCCTGAGCATCAGTCTTGAGAATTTGATTCCATACAACAAAGCTGGATCTACAACTATCAGACATCTTTGAAATTCTCCAAGATACGGCAGATTCTCTCGCTAAACAATCGCTTCGACTTGTACCACTGGAGTTCCTTCCAGTTTCGGTTTAATCTAACCATATAAATATTTGATCCCCAAAAAAAACCCTATATGGTTGTATATTTTGTTTTCAGTATTATCAAATTTAGATGACTATTAAATTTGAATTGTTATTAGTAGTAACTAACCTTGGTTTTTAGTTATTTTCCGATCATTTAAAACACAGAAAATCTTATTCAACTTGGATGAAGACCATTTGAAAGTGAAAGATTTAACCAAATTTCGAGTAGCAATAAACTTAACCCCAGATAGCTTCAATAAATTACGATGTTATTATTTACCTATATTTTTTTTAATTATATATTCGCCAAAGTTAAAATTCTGATTAAAAAATCCAAGACTGTGATCAGAGGCGATACACTGGTTCTAAGCGTTTCAGTTGCTCAAAACCTGAGAATCGAGATGTTTTCGCTGCATAATAACCAGCCAGAGATAAAAAGCCCTAAATCCGTAGTTAAAGCTGTCATTTTTACCGACTCTTCTCCGGCTCCGGCTCCGGCTCCTTTCATTTGTGCATGCTGATACATATCAGAAGTCCTCGTCCTCGAAAGATCTTGGCTTTAGCTCGTCATGTTTTTCCTTCTTCTAATGCGTACTTCTCCGTCTCTTCCCTACCGTCTCAGTTTTCCCCGGACGAGGTGGCGGCTCAGGATATCGCATCTTTGCTAAAAACCCCCAACTGGGAGAAGAACAGTTCTCTGAAATCCCTAGTCTCCCACATTAGCCCACATGTCGCTTCGCAGGTTATTTCGCTTCAAAGCAGCGATACCGACATTTGCCTGCGTTTTTTCCTGTGGGTCTGCAAGCATTCCTCCTACTGTTTCGAGCCAGGTCAGAAAATCCAGCTCCTGAAACTGATAGTTTCTTCCGGTTTGTATCGAGTTTCGCATGATGTCGCTGCCGCGTTGATCAGGGAATGTAGTAGATGCGAGAAAGAGATGTTGGAACTAGTGGGTTGCTTTGATGAGCTGAGAGATGATGCTGGATTCCGGTTAAATTACCCTTGTTACAGCTCTCTTCTGATGTCCTTGGCGAAACTTGATCTAGGGTTCTTGGCTTACCTGACTTACAGAAGAATGCAAGCTGACGGATTTGTTGCTGGCATGATTGATTACAGAACCCTTGTCAATGCTCTGTGCAAGAATGGGCTCACGGAAGCCGCTCAGATGTTTATGTGTAAGATTCCTAAAATTGGGTTTGTGTTAGATTCTCATATATGCACTTCGTTGCTGTTGGGATTTTGCCGTGGGTTGAATCTTAGAGATGCGCTCAGGGTGTTTGATGTAATGTCCAGAGAAGAGACTTGTGCGCCAAACTCGGTTAGTTACTCCATTTTGATTCATGGGTTGTGTGAAGTGGGGAGGCTCGAAGAAGCCTTTGGCTTAAAAGATCAAATGCCTGAGAAAGGTTGCCAACCAAGCACACGTACGTATACTGTGCTTATCAAAGCCTTGTGCGATAAGGGTTCGATTGAGAAAGCTTTTAACTTGCTTGATGAGATGATTGCTAGAGGGTGCAAGCCAAATGTTCACACCTACACCGTTTTGATTGATGGGTTGTGTAGAGAGGGAAAGATTGAAGAGGCTAATGGGATTTGTCGAAGGATGGTTAAAGACGGGATATTTCCAAGTGTAGTAACTTACAATGCGTTGATAAATGGTTACTGCAAAGATGGGCGGATTGTTCCCGCTTTTGAACTTCTTGCTGTAATGGAGAAGAGGGCTTGCAAACCAAATGTCAGGACTTTCAATGAGCTTATGGAAGGGTTGTGTAGAGTCGGGAAACCATTCAAGGCCGTGCACCTTTTGAAGAGAATGGTTGACAATGGCCTGTCACCTACCGTTGTGAGCTATAACGTTTTGATCGATGGGATTTGTAGAGAAGGCCATATGAATGTGGCGTACAAGCTACTTAGCTCGATGGACTCATTTGACCTTGAGCCGGATTGTCTCACATTTACCGCTATAATCAATGCTTTCTGCAAACAAGGGAAGGCTGATGTAGCGAGTTCGTTCTTGGGTTTGATGCTGAGAAAAGGAATAAAGCTAGATGAAGTTACATGTACAGCTCTTATAGATGGCTTCTGTAAAGTCGGTAAAACCCGGGATGCGTTGTTTATCCTGGAGACGTTGGTTAAGATGAGAATATTGACAACTCCTCACTCCCTGAATGTGCTTCTTGATGTGCTCAGTAAAGGTTGTAAAGTGAAAGAGGAAATGGCTATGCTCGGGAAAATCAATAAGCTTGGTTTAGTTCCTTCTGTGGTGACTTACACAACATTGGTTGATGGGCTGATTCGATCAGGTGATATTAGCGGCGCCTTGAGGATGCTAGAACTGATGAAGTTAAGTGGTTGTTTGCCGAATGTCTATCCATACACAATCATCATCAACGGTCTTTGCCAATTTGGAAGAGTCGAGGAAGCAGAGAAGCTTTTTTCTGCTATGCAAGGTTCAGGGGTTTCACCAAACCATGTTACTTATACAGTTATGGTGAGAGGATATGTCAATAACGGGAGACTAGACTGTGCTCTTGAAACCGTTAGAGCAATGGTTGAAAGAGGATATGAACTTAATGAGCGTGTCTATTCTTCTCTGTTACATTGATTTGTCTTATCGCAGAAGGGTGTTGATAATTCAGATGAGACTACTCTTAAAGAAACCGATCATGAATGTGTCAGCAAACTCATATCTATGGTTAAACAACTCGGCGGGTCTACCAGCGGATTATGTGATTTCTTGGTCACACGGGCATGCAAAGAAGGAAGAACGGATGAGTCCAACGAACTGATCCAGACGATGCTCAAGAGCGGTGTTTATATTGAGAAGGCCATAGACACCATCGTAGAGTCTTATTGTAGCAGGAAGAAACACAGCAAGTGCCTGGAGCTGATCACACTTGTTCTCGGAACTGGATTTGTCCCGAGTTTCAAATCCTTGTGCCTAGTGATTCAAGGTTTCAAGAAGGAAGGAGATACCGAGCTGGCACGTGAGCTCGTAATGGAGCTTCTGAGCTCAAATGGGGTTTTAGAGAAAGCTGAAGTGTTACCTTATGTTGAGTGTCTCATGGAAGGAGATGAAACTGGTGATTGCAGTGAAGTTATGGATTTGGTTGATCAATTGCACTGCAAAGAAAGACCCATCTTCTAAATTCCACTTAAGATTTTTGTATAGCATTTTTTTTCGTTTTAGGAAGTTATTTTGAAATTTTGAGCAGACAAAAAGAGAAGTTATTTCGAAATAGAAATTTCAAATTTGTATTCCCACTTTTAGAGAACTGAATCATTTCTTCTTCCCGGTCAAATATATAACGCAGTAAAACTGATTTCGTGTAGAGCCCCAATGATTTACTTAAATGCCAAAAAAGCCCTTTCTTGCCATCTTCAGACAGAAGTTTCTCGGCTGGGGTTTTGCTAGAGAGATTCTTCTTCTTCTTGTCGAAGAACAAAAAAATGATCCCTTATTAAAAAAAAATGAGTAAAGACACAACAAGATCATAACACATATATATACAGAAAGAGAAGGTATATATATACACACCCATATGCCAACACATGGAAATTGATAGAGAGAGAGAGAGGGGAGAGATAGTTCTCACTTTCTTCGGTGTTTTTTCTTCTTCTTCTTCTTCTTCTCTCCTCTTCTCTTCGAGATCTTCCAATCTCTCTCGCTCTTGTAAATGATTTTCAAATAAAAACAATCAAAGTTATTACAAAGTACACCGTTGATTTTCAAATTTCCATAAACTGAAAACAATCCTTAGTGAAAAATATCGTTTTTTTTGTGTCTCCCCCCCCCACAAAGTTTTGAAATTTGATCCGCCGATACTTGAGCCAATTTACGATTTTCTCTTTGTTTTTGTATTGTTTTTGCCATCTGGGCTTCCCCAAAAGATTTCGGTTTTATTGCTTCCTCTTGTGCGTGCAATGGGTGCACTTTGCAATTTCCATCGGAGCTGGTGATTCTGTTTCGATTAGTTATTTTTTTTTAATTCTATTAGGGTTTTGATTGCATCGCAACATCGATTTGGACCCTAATTTCGGTTTTATACTATTAGGGTAATCTCTCAGAGATTTAACTTGTTGCGGAATTGAATTTGTTGCGGAATTAAGTGTATCTGTTGATTAGCGAGTTACTCCCAAAATTGAAAGAGGTTCTAAGAAGGTGCTTTGAGCTGCTCCTATATTTGAGTTACCGATTCTCGAATGGTTCTGATATCGATTTATGCTGATGGTTTTGGCAGGGGAAGTCACAAATCTTGCTGTTTGCAAGGTGTACATTGCTAAATTTGTAGGTGTATTTTAGTGTGAAGTTAAGACTGTAAGTGTCTTTTGGGAGATGATACATAAAGTTTGGAGCTTCTAAGTGATTTTATTGATATGGTGGATTGGATCATAGTCTCTGATCTGGTCAGGTGCTGGGAAAGTGACAAGAGTGGTTGAAAGTAGACCACTTTACGGTTTTGACACACAAGTGCTATGTCTCGTTGCTTCCCATTTCCACCTCCAGGATATGTGAAGAAGATTAGAACCGATGACGCAGACTCTTTGATAAAGGTTACTCTTGTGATCTACTCTCCTTTGAAATCATCATCTTTCTCGTGTTTTTCTAAGCTTGTATCGTGCTTGATGTTGCTGTCGTCTTGATATAATGATTCACCTGGTTTCTTCTCTCAGAACATATTTAAGTTTGCACAAGAAAGGACAAGTAGAGGCAGTTTAAATCTTTGTATGGCTTTCTTCTAAGTTCTAATCCTCACTTATATATGTGTGGATTGAAACTGCAGGAAAAGCAAAAAAGGGAAAAGAAGCACAAAAAGGAGAAGAAGGATAAAGAAAAGAAAGAAGGAAAAGAGAAAAGGGATAAAGAAACAAGCAAAGACAAACACAAGGAGAAGCATAAAGGTAAGAGAGACAAAGATCGGGATAAAGAAAAGAGCAGAACATCCGAGGACAAAAAAGCTGCTTGTGTTCTGCCAAACACCGAGGACAAGAATAATGGTAACGCAGAGTCTAAGTTTGTACAGGACCTGGCAAGAAGGATCAGGGATGAAGAAGAAGCTACACAAAGTCAAACTGTGGGGAAGATTAGTTTTCCTTGTGGAGTTACGGAGAACAACATTTCATGCCCAGTTCCACAAACCAGCCATAGGAAAGATGACGAAAAGAGGATCAACACCCATAGAAACTTTCCCACGGCAAAAAGGTCTGAAAATGAGGTTCGTCAATTATCATCCTGCACAGAGCAGAGAGGAGCTGAGGTTATGGTTAAACCAGTGGAGAAAAAAGATCAGGGAAAGATAAAAGAAGTACAAGAGAAGAACCACCACACGAATAGTGTGACAAAGAGTGATAAGCCGTTGTATAACGAAGGGATAAAGAAAGGTGAACCAAAGTACATAACCGATAGAAGTAGTAAAGAGGAGAAAACAGAGGTGATAAATAAAAATGGTCAGGAGAAACCAAATTTTGTAGAGGGAGGTCCCAGATTCAAAGAGAGAGATCACGTCACTGTGGATATTAGGAATCTTAGAGTGCCAGAACTTTCAAGGGGGAGTGTCAAGAACCTTACCACTGAGGGAATTATAGGCAAACGGAAGGATCTTGAGACAAATGGAATGTTATATGGTGAGTCCTTCCCTGATCCTGAGACATATATATCTTTTATATATTGGTGGTGTGTGTTTTGCCTTACTTTTTGTTCAATCATTATATTTTTCTTTACCTTGATAATTCATTTGAAATCTGTAACAGTACATTCATTTTCACTTTGTACTATTAATGGAAGACTAGAATTTTGTGATTTTGTTTTCCTGCAATACGTTATGATATTACTGTTTGTCTCTCTTAGCACGGGTTATTTAATTGTAATGCAGAGAATGGATCTAGGCCAAACAAGATACAGAGGCCTGTTGTGGAAAACGGAAGAAAGTCGGGATCATGCCAAACTCCTCCAAAGCCTGTTTCTGATTTGCAAGTAACAGCGTGTAATCCAGAGGTGAAGGAGCATAGAACTAACGGTTTCGTTGATTCTCAAGAACACAAGAGCCATTCCCCTGTTTCTTCAGTGAAAGTGAAAGAAAACGGTGAAGCGTCTTCAAAAAAGCGGCCTCATTCGGACTTGAAGTATTTGGATCAGATGCTGAATGTACCAAACAGGGAGGAGTTGCATGATGTTGACGATGATGGAGAACAAGAGTGGCTATTTGGTCAGTCTGGTGTGAGATTATCAAAGAAGCCGCAAAGAAGAGATTCTAGTATCTCATTGGATGAGAATCCGCAAGTTTGGAACCAGGCTTTTAGAATAGAATCTGCTGATATCGTAGCTCTTCCATATGTTGTTCCTTTATAGTCAAGATGTTCATTAGCTTCAGTCCAGGAGAAAGTTGCTGCCTCACTTCGCATTGCTTATGGAGATACCGAGCTCATGATGGAGCTTTCTAAGCTCAAATGGGGTTTTAGATTAAACTCAAGTGTTGCCTTCATTAGCCTTTATGGAAGAAAACTGGTGATTCCGGTGAAGTCTATGGTGGATCAATTGCACTACTAGTCTTTATTAGTCTTAAATTGAATTAATGCGGAGGATCTACATATTAAATGTTATTGGGCTCTTTAGCCCAAATGTTACTTAAATGCCAAAAAGGCCCTTTCTTCTTTCTCTCTCATTATAAATATCATTTTGCCATCTTCAGACCAAAGTTTCTGTTTTCTTCTTGGTTGGGGTTTTCAGAGAGAGAAAGAGAGAGATTCTTCTTCTTCAAGAGCAAACCCAAATACAAAAAATACCCGAAATTAAAAAAAAAAAAAAAGCACAAGAACATTACAGTTACACACAGAAAAAGAAGGTATATATATATATATATACACACACCCATATGCCAACACATGGAGATTGAGAGAGAGAGAGATGGAGGAAGGGAGAGAGAGGAGAGAGATTTCTCACTTTCTTCGGTGTATTTCTTCTTCTCTCTCTCCTCTGAGATCTTCCAATCGCTCTCTCTTGTATATGATTTTCAAATTAACAAACAAAAGCAAAGCTTGTTTCAAAGACACCGTTGATTTCTATTTTTTTTTTCCATAAGCTGAAACAAAAAATCGTTATTTTAAAGTGAAAGTTTCGTGTTTTCGTCTCTCCTACAAAGTTTTGAATTTTGATCCGCCGATAGTTAAGTTAATTTGACGTTTTTTTGCTATCTGGGTTTCTTCAAATTTCGGTTTTCTTACTTCTTCTCGCGCCAATTGCACTTAGCGATTTCTCTTCAGGGCTGGTGATTTTGTTCCGATTGGTTTAATTGATTTAGGGTTTTGATTGGATCACACCCTTGATTTGGACCCTAATTGCGGTTTTCATACTATTAGGATCACCTCTCGGAGATTCAAAGACTTGTGGAAAGAGTCTGTGGGATTGAATTGTAGCGGAAAAAGTTTATCTTTTTTGATTCTCGGGATCGGATTTATTCACATTCAATCGGAAAGAGGCCAACTTGTTGGTCGGCGGCTGCCGATAAGGTGCTTTGAGTTGCTCGTGTCTTAACTCCAAAACTTGTTTATCTGAGTTACGAATGCTTACGGTCTGGAAATGATGTCGATTTCTGATGATGGTTTTGGCAGGTTAGCCACAAAACTTGCGGTTCCCAAGGTGTAAATTGCTAATTTTGTAGTGTATTTGGGATCTGTGAAGTTAGTATTGAAGTGGCTTTTGGGAGATGATACATAAAGTTTGGAGCTTCTAAGTGAATTTATTGATATGGTGGACTCGATCATAGTCTCTGATCTGGTCAGGTGCTGGGATAAAGGAGCGAGAAAGTGACAAAGAGTGGTTGAAAGTAGACCACTTTACGGTTTCGACGCACTAGTGCTATGTCTCGTTGCTTCCCATTTCCACCTCCAGGATATGAGAAGAAGATTAGAAACGATGACGCAGACTCTTTAACAAAGGTTCTTTATGTTCACTCTTGTGATCTACTCTCCTTTGAAGTCACCATCTTTCTCGTGTTTTTTTTACCTTGTATCGTGCTTGGGTACTTTTATTTAATGGAGAATGGTCAATGGATCCTTGACTGACATAGAATGCCGAGGTTTTGGATGTTAGATAGTATGGATTATTGGTTATTGTTGTATGTATGGTTTTCCTATTTGATCCTATTATTTAGTAATAACACTAGTGTGACTCTCTATCATTGGAGGAATAGTTGCTTGTGTAGCAACTTGAGAAACTGCTAGAATTGTTATAAGATGTAGAAAGGCTTCTCTCAAAACATATTTAAGTTTACTCAAGAAATGACAAGTAAAGGTTTTTAATTCTCTGTATGCCTTTCTTTTAGTCGCCACTTATATATGTGTGGTCTTTATCCCCTGGGATTGAAACTGCAGGAAAAGCAAAAGAAGGAAAAGAAGCACAAAAGGGATAAGAAGGATAAAGAAAAGAAGGAAGGAAAAGAGAAAAAGGATAAGGAAACAAGCAAAGACAAACAGAAGGAACGGAAGGAGAAAAAAGAGAAACATAAAGATAGGAAAGACAAAGATCGGGATAAAGAAAAGAGCAGAACTTCGGAGGACAAAAGAAATGTTGGTGTAGGGGACAGAGAAAAGCTTGTAACAAATACCTTGCAGAGTAATGGTAATGGAGAGTCTAAGTTTATACAGGACCTGGCGAGAAGGATCAGAGATGAAGAAGCTACAGAAAGTCGAAGTCCACGAAAGATTGATCTTCCTTGTGGAGTTGCAGAGAACAACATTTCTTGCTCATTTCCTCAAACCAATCATACAAGAGTTAACGAAAAGAGAATCGATACCCATAGAGACTTTGCCATGGAAAAAAAGCCTGAAAATGCGGTTCGCCGACTATCATCTTGCACAGATCAGAAAGGAGCTGAGGATAAGGTTAAGAAACCAGTTGAGAAACAAGATCAGAGTAAGAATCACGGCAGGGAAAGTGTGACGAAGAGTGATAAGCCATTGGATAGCGAAGGGTTAAAGAAGAGTGAACCAAAGTTCACAACACATAGAAGTAGTCAAGAGAAGAAAGAGGATAAAACAGAGGTGATACACAGAACTAGTCAGGAGAAACTAAATTGTGTAGAGGGAGGGCACAGGTTGAAAGAGAGAGATGCGGAGACTAGGAATTTAAAAGTGCAGGACCTTTCAAAACCGAGCGTCAAAAACCTTACCGCTGAGGGAATTATTGGCAAACGGAAGGATCTTGAGCCAAATGGATTGTTGTATGGTGAGTCCTTCCCTGATCCAACTCTTTTCTTTTGTGGAACGGATAGTCTATTTTTATATATTGGTGTGTTTTACCTTATGTTATTTTCAATCATGATATGTTCTTTTACTTCTTGATAAGTCATTTGCTATCTCTATATTAGTATATATCCATTTTAACTTTGTATAATTATTGGAAGACCGATTTTGTGTTTTCCTGCAGTATGTGAATGTGTTTTTTCTTAGCGCGGGTTCTTAATTGTTGTGCAGAGAATGGATCTAGACCTAAGAAGATACAGAAGCCAGTTGCTTCTCCTATATCATCCGTGGAAAACGGAAGAAACTTGGGATCATGCCAAACTCCTCCGAAACCTGTTTCTGAGTTGCAAGGAACATTGCGTAATCCAGAGGTCAAGGAGCATAAAATTAACGGTTTCATTGATTCTCAAGAAGCCAAAAGTCGTCCAACGATTTCTTCTGTGAAAGTGAAAGAGAACGGTGAAACGTCAGCAAAAAAGCGGCCTCATTCGGATTTAAAGTATTTGGATCAGATACTGAATGTACCGAACAGAGAGGAACTGCACGAGATTGATGATGATGAACAAGAATGGCTATTTGGTCAGTCGGGTGTGAAATTATTAAAGAAGCAAAGAACAGATTCTACTCCTACTTCAGTTGATGATACTCTGCAGGTCTGGAACCAGGCTCTTAGAATAGAATCTGCTGATACTATAGCTCTTCCATACGTTGTTCCATTCTAGTTTGACCACATTCTGATGTTCATTCACACTTCAACCGAGGAGAAAGATCCTCCCTCACATCGCATTGCAGTGGCTTCTGCTCGGTTTAGTAAGCACAAAGACGGCTGATGCATCGAATGGAGACGTTGAGGGTGTGACTGGTTGGCTTCATGAGATGAGAGAGGCTTCCCTAATAGAGAACAAGTGAGGTCAGTAAGGGCTGTGTAGGATTTAGAGTAAAAACTTTTTGAGAGTGTGATTGTTGGAAATGAGATTTGAGACTTTTGGTTCAGTTTTGATTCGGCTTTGTCATCATCGTTAGATGGGATTAGCATTAAGTTGTATATTAGAGAGAGGATATAGAAAATAGGGGGAGGGATCTTATAATTTACCCACTACATTACATTTGTATACTTTGTTTCCCCTTTTCTGGGTCAAAACTATTCTTGGAATCCAAACAAATCTTGATCTTCATGATCCTAAAGTTTACAGGTTACCTTTTCGGGTAAAGAGACAGTTAAAAACTTTGACAAAAACAAAAAAAAAGAGAGAGACAGTTAAACAGTATTGGGAAAATGCTTTATATTAGTATATAGTATATATCCCTAACGAGATGTATAATTATTAAGAGAATATCACACCTAACATGTCGAAACAAACGAAGCCATGATGAAGAATCAAAACCCCAAGAAATCGACTTTGCTTCCGAAGTTTTGAGACTTCGAAATGTTATATAATATAATAAGAAAAAGCAGCCAAACCAGAAGCATAAAATAAGACAAGAAAACCCTCTCAAACTGGTGAGCTTGGTTCAGTCTTCAAGGCAGATGTTGTATGGATCTTGTCTAGAAACGCCACTCTTGCGGAACTGTCATCCGAAAACCGGCCCAAAACTGCAATAGTCGCAGTGCTGCTTCCAAACTTCTCAATGCCTCTAGAGATCATACAAGTGTGCCCTGCTTCCGCCACTACGATCACATCTCCGCCAACAAGAGGCGATAGCGTCTCTGCGATCTGTCGAGTCATCCTCTCTTGCACTTGGAGCTTAAACCCGTAAAAGTGTACAATCGATTTCATGAGCGAGGTTGCAACAGAGTTGGGGTTTGATCCTTCTGCGCAAAAGTAGCCAATATGAACAACTCCATAGAAAGGAAGCAGATGATGCTCACACATTGACCAGAACGGTAAGTTCAGTTCACACTGCAGCCTCCTCTCTTTGGCCTCCCCCTTGGCTTTGACACAGTTAAAGCCGTTCAGCTTCATCTCCAGGTTGGCATTTTGGAAGTTCATCATCCACTTGAGGAACCTAGCCGGTGTAGCAATGAGTTCTTTCCTCGACGGATCTTCTCCTAATGACTTGAGGATGGAAACAACCGCAGAAACCATTTCCGGGTCTTCTTCAGGCGAGAGTTTAGCCGAGCTTTTGACGCTCGGGCACCACTCTTTCACAGAGCCGCCGTTTCTACACAAAGCTTGCGTTTTCACGCCTTTGAACTTGAGGAAACTCAGAAACTCACCCCAAAGATCCGAGCTTTCATCCTCGAAAACTCCTGACCCGGAGGAAACCAGCAGCTTCACAAATCCATGGTGGCTTGAGGAATCAAGAGAGTCCAAGTCCAAAGTAGGGAAGTGAATGTGAGAGCACTGGAGAACAACAGCGACTCCAGATGGTTTGACCCAGTGCTGGAGAGCTGAGCATACATCATCAGCCAAACGCTGAGGCTCTTGGAGCCGCTTGGCGAAAACATCCGTGACTCTGGAGAACTTGCTCAGTCCTAAAACCCGTTGCCCCGAAGGGACATAACCTATGTGACACCTCACATGAAAAGGAAGCAAGCAAGATTCGCAGTAAGAGTAGTGATCGAGATCTCGAACCACAACAAGCCCTCCCACTCCCCCTGCTTGCCCAACTCCTTCATCCAACCCTGCTTCCGGAAACAGAGCACTCTGTACAAACTCCTTCACCTTTTGCTTATAACCTGAGCAGAAGAAGATGCCATCAGAACAACAAAAAAACATGACTTTTAACACTCTTCCATCAATCTATTGCCTCCGAAGCAGTATTACTACCAACAGAAACTCAACCAAACATACAAAGTAAAGTAACAAATAAAGCTAGCAAAGGGAGGTTCATAGAAGAGAAACTAGGAATAGTACCTCTGGTGCCTTCACGAAGGGCCTTGGCGACACGAAAAGGAGTCTTTTTGATGCCTTCCCTATTGACATCCTCACGAAGACCTTGCAGGAGAAGTTTGACAGCGTCTTGGATTGCTAAAGTCTCTGGTTGGTGCTCGAAAGCAAGCTCAATGCAGCCATTTTTCATCCCAATCTCAAGCTCCAGATTCAAATGCCCTTCATCTAATGCTCCCATTGCAAAAACCACCACCGGATCCAAACCCACAAGGAACGAAAATCACAAATCAGAAATAGCACCAATACACGAACTGATATGGGGATCTGTGAAAGTGGGTCTCTTTTTAACTCCCCAAATCCGGAATTAGAGCTAATCGAGTCGTTGATTGTTTTCGAAAAGTTTTGAGATTTCCCAGATGCCCACTAAAACTCACACCACGACGAATCTTCCCACAAAAAAAATGAAAACAGGAACCCGAATCCAGAAATCTTTCGTTCTGGGTAACGATTTTCCGGGAAAACAAATCGTTCCCTCAGGAATTTTAGAAACGGGGATAATACGCGGGTGGGAAGAAACGAAGGGTTGCCGTTGATCCAGGAATATGTGGATTCGTAAAATCGTCTTATAAAAAACTATGATCAACTTGTTAATACATTGTATGCAGTATATTTTTTAAAAAATGTCTCCACTAACTTTTCGAGTATAGGAAAGCGTAATTTTCAGAGCATCTTTTCTTTTCTAATTCTATGCAAATTACAAAGTAAAAGGTAAGGCGGCGAAGACTTTTCTGTGTTTGTCCAAATATATATTCCCTTTTTTGTATCTCCAAGTTTTTCCCCAGTGGATTTTGAATAAAGGATCTAGTTTCATTCCGAATAGATCTCAAATTAGATTTTCATTTTTCTAATAATTTAATAACCATTTTTTGGCGGCAATTTTTTTTTTCCCCTACATTTATCTAATCTATAGAAATCGGACAAAAGTCAAAATTTAGTTGCTGCATCTTATAACCTCAGACATGCGTTGATGTTGTAAATATGCCGTATACTTAGATCTCATCTTAATCGATGTGTCTAAATTGAAAGTCTCAAACTCGTTTACTAAGATGATTTAACAAAAGTAAAAAGGCAAAAAAAGCACTCAGACGTTGTACTAATTGATTGTTAAAGTATCTTGGATTTGTATAATTAAGGAGTTTTGTACTTTTGTTTCTCTTTTTTTTTTCAAAACGAAAAATTGCAACTATTTTCTTTTTTGAAGTGATCACTGAGAGAAGTGAGAACTAAACCGTTTTTTTTTTTCTGAAAACAACCGATTTACTCAAAAACAAAAAGGTATATCAGCTTTTATATACTGATAGATAAGTGTAGTATAACATTATGCATGTTCATGCCTTCATGGATATAATTAACGATACAATAAGAGCCATGCACAGCAAAATATGTTAGTTTTCTAATAAAAACTTAAACGTGATTTGGAACCAAAACATATCTAAATATTGTCATTTTCGGAAAATACAGTTGCAGTTTATTTGAATATTTCATTAAATCTAGCGTTTTCTTTCTCGACCCACCCACGGAGACGGAGAAAGTTATGGTGCGGGAAGAAAGAAAAACTAATCGAAATTTTTAAAAATAAAGTTTAGAGTTAATCCTCTCTTTGCAAAAGCTATGGAACTTCAACCAGATCGATAGTTTGATATACATATAAATGTAGGTTAATTTGTGATGATCAAAATGTATCATAAAAAGGGTGTGTTACGTAATGAAGAAAGACAGAGCGAGGAAAGTACCTGAGGTATCCATGGAAGAAGGAAGGATGGTTGTTGTAACATTTGCATTCTTATTCCTTCAGAATTTATATATATATAAAAAACTGACCTTACTGAGTGATCAAGAAATTTGATGTTTTTTGCCAAAACTAGTTCTTTCTTGTTCAAAAGGAAGAAGAAGATTTGATTTTGTTGAAATACCCCATATATATAGTATATCATAACAATTAATATCTTATTTTTATATATCTACATCATTATATTATACACGTATACCATTTTCGGATTAGTTTTCATATACATAGTCAATAAAACTAATGGTAATTGATTATTAGTTTTTATAAATGTGAAATTTAGCTTGGACAAATGCATATATGTCAAAATGTACATGTTATTTTATGACAAGTGTTCATTTCATATCTTAAATCTCTTATGACAATTAGTTATGTACTTTAGTTTTCATTAATTATAAGGTGCATTAATATTTAAAAATTATTAATTTTAATTAAACTATACATCCTACAGCATTTAAACAAAACCAATCTTATTAATAATTAAGAAAAGATATAAAAGGCACGACGTTGACAATTCAATTAATTTAGACAACTCAATCAATTATTTGAGTCCATTTCTTGCAATTACTCATTAATTTATGTGGAAAACGTTTATATTTAGAGGCCTAGAGCATCAATAAAACCAACCATAAATACAGCCTAGAGCATTAAATATACAGCCCCAAAGCATTTAGATTAAACCAACCCTATCCAATGGTAGTTATTGAATTTGTTTAGAATCAAGAGTCAGTTTATGAGATTTCGTTTAAAAAACTGGTCGTTTTTAGAATAAATATCGAATAAATTCTATAAACTACCATTTTAATTATTTCAGTCTCAACATAATTAATATTAAAACAAAAGTAGAAATCTCATAGTATACAATAAGGTATTTTATCACATGTTTAACAATATATAATCCCGTCAAACATTTAAAAAATATATAAAATCCATTAAAACATATTCAATTCTGAAAAATATCATACAGATATATTTTTTTTTTTTGAAGGATCAAGATCATACAGATGTTTCAAATGATTTAACGTGTTTTTTTTATTTGTGCAAGTAAACAAGTGATAGACTTCCTTGTTAATCCCAAAAGCAATTGTAGATAAACATATCAAAGTTATTGTCCAAACATTTTTATTAATGGTACAATAAGTATGCAAATCCAAATCATCGAATAATGTATGTCACCTTCATATTCAAATCGTAACGTTCAACGATCTTTTTAGTCTACAAGTGTATGGTCTTTTTCTATTTGTTTTTTTATGTGTGTCATAGTCTTTCTTTTTTGTTAAAAATGTCAGTCTCTTTTCCTACTATTTAAGGAGACTAAAACTGAAAATTGCGAGGCAATAAGAAAACAAAAATAAGGAATCTCACCAAAACTCGGGTTATATATATTCTCGTCCTTTTGTAAAACATTTGGTTTAAGTCCTTTATTGGCTTGAACTTTTTTTTTGTATGTTGTGCAACCAAGTTATGGGTTTTTACTTATGTATGGGAAATAGTTATGAAGATTTTTATTTTTATTTTTATTTGTATAAAGTAGAAACGATAATCGCCTGTAAAGCACATCACGCGCAATGATTGTAAAGCAGATGGATTAAAGTTGGATTATTGTTTGGGTTATAATAGTTTCTGTATTTTAACAACATTAGTCACTAAATCGATATGTTTCAAAAAGTCTACATATGGTGGATTTTATGATAATGTCCCTCCTTTTAAGTACTACAAATATTTAGCGGATAGACTATATACTTAAAAAATTCGCACAAAAAAAGACTATATATTTAAAATAGAAACGATTTCTTTTTTTTTTCTTCTTCTTTTATTATCCCTATTTGTTGTAGTCGTTATTTACTGATTGTCTCTGGTTACTAAAAAATCAAGTTCTTTCTTATGGAGTTCTCTATTTAAAAAGAAGAAAAAGAGAAACTAAAGTTGAGCATCTCGCCAAGTTGTCAAATAAAATTAAACATGTAAGCAAGTTGGTGCAGCACCAAACAATAAAAAAAAAAAATGTGAAAACAAATCAAATGATTTTGCCACCCGATAAAAACAGTGTTTGAATCAATGTTTAGCTAGCATCTCTGAAATTTAATTTTACTCTAAAAACTTAGTGAATAAATATTCTTTGCGAGAGAATTATTTTGTCTTTATTATCTCAAAATATAGTAAAAGAAAACGACTTTCACCATCATCGCTACAAAATAGCATATCTGTGTTATTGGAACATTCTTGATTATGCCTAAAAATAAACCCGAAAACGTATTTGTTGCTATTGTAATAACACACACGTTGGAACAATGTAAAACATTATGGCATAAGTCCTGCAAAACATTGGAATAACATAGTAATTTTTTATAAAGTCTAGTAAAAGTGTTAGTTTTTCCTGACCTTAAGATGATTTCTTGCTAATAGCAAGATTTAATTCCAGTAGACTCTGATTATAGAGTTGTAACGCCACTGTTAGTGTTTGTTTTCTTTGTCTATGGTGGATCAAGAATCTCATCTTTAACCATTCCTTCTGTCATCAAAACAATATATTTTTTTTTTGACGTCATCATCAAAACCATATAAATCATTGAAACAGTCGAGTAACAAAGTAGATCCGCGTGTTTTATAAAACGGGTTTTGGGTCGGGTCGGTCGAGTTATAACGAACATGTCTTTAATCAATCCATCGTAAAAGATTATTATTACACAAGACATAAAAAACAAAAAATATTGTAGAGATTAAACCCGAAAAAGAAAGAGCGAAACCCTAGTTTCAGAGATGACGCCGTCGAATCTGAGATGTGTCGTTGCGCAGGTAAATCGAGAAATTTGATTATGATTATTTTTCCTTTTCCCCTTGTATTGGTTCCGATCGATTTACCAAAAGTTCACAGGCCTGGAGATCGACTGGTTCTCGACGCAAATTCTCCTCATCGTCTCCTGGCAAAGGTAACGTTCTCAGATCTTTCAAATTCCCGGATCTCGTGTTGAGGGTTTCGCTGTGTTTTATTTGTTATATATCCTTCTTTTCTTTCAGGAGACCCTGATCGCTTCATCGAGGCCTTGAAGGCGAGAGTGTACAAATTTACAGGTGTTTTATTGGAGTAACTTGGTATATCTTGCTTCCCAAGTTACTCCAATATGTTTACTTTGACACAGACATATGATTGTTTAGAACTAATTCTCTCGATATGTTTTGTATTCGGAGGTAAACCAAAAGTATGTGATTTGTGATTGTAGACTCCAAGGATGGAAGCGAGTGTATTAAGAAGATCCGTGTTCGAGGTGCTGCTGTGTTGACGGGATATTTGTTAGGTATGGATAGAGAGAGTATTTAGTCCCTGAAGTATATAGTCCTTAAATGAATTTGATTAATTTTGTTTTTTGGGTATTGAAGGTTTTGCCCTGATAAAAAAACCTTCATGGGATATGGCTCGACGCTTGGAAAAGGTAAAAACAAAATCTAGATTCACTCGAATGACACTGTTGACCATTGCTATTATTTCAATTTCTCCATTATCTTGTGTTTCAGTCAAGGAGAGATTTTGAGAGTCGGGAATGAGATGATTTGGTGTCTCCTCAAAAATTCGCTTAAATTAAGGATTTGCTTTTGCTTTTGTTTAGTTCCAATAAAAAAAATTAGCTATATATGTAATATGTATAGTGATCACTTTATGATCACTTGTCATAATAATTTTACAGACTATTATGTTCAATGTTAAAAGAAATTAGCTATATATGTAATATGTATGCATAGCCGCAAGGAATCTTGAGTCGTCAAAAAACGTTTTCATGTGGTATGAAATTTATGATTTTTTTATCAGCGTGGCGTTTCTCTCACTAACCCTCCCATTCCTGATGACTTGCTTGCCAAGGCGTTCCAGATTAATTGGACCACAGGGGATTCAGAAGGTGAAGTCCAAATTGCCACCCAAGAAATGAATATAGGTTTCAGACCATATACCCATTTATGCAAATATAACTATATACAATGATACACATATTAATGTAAACTTCTAAGCAAAAGCGAAAGCAACAAAAAAAATGTTTGAAGACCACATTGTAGAGGTGAAACCCTAAAAATAATCAAAAGAGCACAAAACTCTGGTTAAGGCCCATTTGACCATATAAGTTAAGTAATGAAGACCACATCTGTTGACGAAATCAGACACGACGAAGAGAGAGCGAAACCCTAGTTTCGCAGACGATGCCGCCGAATCTGAGATGTGTCGTTGCGCAGGTAAATCGAGAAATTCGATTATGATTATTTCTCCTTTTCCCCTTGTATTGGTTGCGATCGATTTACCAAAAGTTTACAGGCCTGGAGATCGACTGGTTCTCGACGCAATTTCTCCTCATCGCCTCCTGGCAAAGGTAACGTTCTCAGATCTTTCAAAATTCTCAGATCGTGTGTTGGGGCTTTCGCTGTGTTTTAATTGTCATCCTTCTTCTTTCAGGAGACCCTAAAAGCTTCATCGCGTCCTTTAAGTTGAGTGTCTGTCCTTCTTTCAAGACTTTTAGATTTGGCGCATGGTCGTTGTGTGGATTTACATTTTACGGTGCTACAGGTAATGTTGCCATTATATGTGTATATTATTTTCAGATTTTTTTAATATCTTTTATATTGGTAAAGAACAAACAAACATATTCATTGGTGATTGATTCTTTCTCTCATATCTCAGAATCGTACAAGGTCTATAAACTCTCCCATGAACGGTTAGAATTATATGATTTACAGCGTCAAAAGGTATGAATTGTTTTGTTTTAATTTTTACTTGTTTTCTCGGCTTGAAAAAGATAACCCAATCTAAACTAAACTATAATCTACATCTGTGTTTTTCTCTTATTGCAGCGCGATAGAAAAAGAAAAAGAAAAATCTCGGGTGAGAGTCATCCAATGAATGAATGAATAAGGAGGAAAAGTTTGTAAAATAATCTATGCTTGTGATGTTGCAATTTCTCTCCTTTTTTCATATATATTTCTGGACTTTGGTGTGTAATAGTATTCGTAATAAACGATTAAGAAGTATGGTTGATCAATTTTACTGAACCATGAAAGAAATCTTTCAACATTATTCATTGTTTTGAATCTTCTGATGGATGAAATAATTTGCTGAATTGTTTTTGTTCATGATTAGATGATCTCAATACTTTCTCAAACCTACTTGAAGCATTTGGTTAACAGTCGGAGATAGCTCTGCCGAAAAAAGGTGTTGTTTCACAAATATAGAGGAATATCTAAAGTCAAATTAAGTTACATTTCTCATGGTTCAGTCTACAGTCATGCCAAAATCCACTAGTGTTGAGCTATACTGCTTTGAATCTGTTGTGCGAGCCCAACCATCAGAGACTTGTTGTGCAAGCCTAACCATCAAAGACTTGTTGTGCAAGCCTAACCATCAAACCACAGTAGCTTCTTCTTACAGGATTTTCATAGAGAGAGAAAAGAATATTACCTGCCATGTATCATATATGCTGCGTTGACAATAAAAAGCTGATGAGGTTCTGTGGGAAGAAACACTGTACACGACTTCCAATGGTCAGTTCTCGGCTTGAAACAGCATCAGGATGAGAGAAAACAGAAGAAACAGGATTTTACCGAAGTTGGATCGAGATGGTTTGTGCACACTCTGATATGATCAAGAAGATTTCTAAAGTTTCGAAAGAGGAATCACACCTGAAATTCTACGACGCCATTGTATAAGTTCCTGATCGTGCGGCCACCAGAGACATCAGCTCCATACTTAACAGAAACGAACCAGTCAATAACAGTTTGCTCTTCTAGTTTTTGGCGGCTCACTTTGGCTAATGGCTACTATTGCAGTAAAGATATGTTTTTCAGTTTTTTATACTCCAACGTGCGACAATGATCCCTTTATGATACCACTTGTCATAATAATTTTACAGACTATCATGTATAATGTTAAAAGAAATTAGCTATATATGTAATATGTATGCATAGCCGCAAGGAATCTTGAGTCGTCAAAAAAACGTTTTACTGTATATGGTATGAAATTTATGATTCTGATTCTAATTCATGGACAACACTTCACAATGGTTCATAACATTTTATCAGCGTGGCGTTTCTCTCACTAACCCTCCCATTCCCGATGACTTGCTTGCCAAGGCGTTCCAGATTGGACCACTGGGGATTCAGAAGGTGAAGTTCAAAATCCCACCCAAGAAATGAAAATAGGTTTCAGACCATATACCCATTTATGCAAATAACTATATACAGTGATAAACATAATAATGTAATTTTTTTTTTTGAAGACCACATAATAATACTGTAGAGATGAAACCCTAAAAATAATCAAAAGAGCACAAAACTCTGGTTAAGGCCCAGTTGAGCATATAAGTTAAGTAATGAAGACCACATCTGTTGACGAAATCAGACACGAAGAAGAAAGAGCGAAACCCTAGTTTCGGAGACGATGCCGCCGAATCTGAGATGTGTCGTTGCGCAGGTAAATCGAGAAAATTGATAATGATTATTTTTCCTTTTCCCCTTGTATTGGTTGCGATCGATTTACCAAAAGTTTACAGGCCTGGAGATCGACTAGTTCTCGACGCAATTTCTCCTCATCGCCTCCTGGCAAAGGTAACGTCCTCAGATCTTTCAAATTCTCGGATCGTTTGTTCAGGGTTTCGCTGTGTTTTAATTGTCATCTTTCTTTCAGGAGACCATGAAAGCTTTATCGAGTCCTTTAAGGCGGATGTCTGTCCTTCTTTCAAGACTTTTAGATTTGGTGCATGGTCGTTGTGTGGATTTACATTTTACGGTGCTACAGGTAATGTTGCGATTATATGTGTTGTGTATATTATTTTCAGATTATTCATTTTTTTTTAATCTTTTATATTGGTAAAGAACAAACAAACAAATTCATTGGTGATTAATTCTTTCTCTCATATCTCAGAATCGTACCAGCTCTATAAACTCACCCGAGAACGGTTAGAATTATATGATTTACAGTGTCAAAAGGTATGAATTGTTTTGTTTTAGTTTTTACTTGTTTTCTCGGCTTGTAAAAGATAACCCAATCTAAACTAAACTATAATCTACATCTGTGTTTTTCTCTTATTGCAGCTCGATAGAAATAGAAAAAGAAAACTCTCGGGTGAGAGTCATCCAATGAATGAATGAATAAGGAGGAAAAGTTTGTGTAAACTATGCTTGTGATGTTGCAATTGCTCTTTTTTTTTCATATATATTTCTGGACTTTGGTGTGTAATAGTATTTGTAATAAACGATTTAGAAGTTGCTCCTTGTTATCGCGAAAAAAATGGTTGATCGATTTTACTGAACCATGAAAGAAATCTTTCAACATTATTCATTGTTGTGATAGATGAAATAATTTGCTGAATTGTTTTTGTTCATGATTAGATAGGTGATCTCAATTCCCAATTTACTTTCTCAAACCTTTATTAAGCATTTGGTTAACCGTCGGAGATAGCTTTGTGCCGAAAAAGGGTGTTGTTTCAAAAAAATTAGCTAAATATTTAAGTCAAATTAAGTAAGGATTATTGGTTTTTGTATTTTGGTGGATTATAAATCTTCTTTGAATTTGATAAATTTATTGATTTCAAAATCAGCAAAATGGAAAAAAATCAAATCCATTCAAATATAAAGGTTAGACCTTGTATTTGGGTCTTTGTATTTTAGTCATGAAAATCATTACAAATCTATTCAAATTCAATTAAAACTCAAATCCTTATAATATTTAGATTTTAAAATGATATAACCAATATCATTATAGATTTTAAAATCATAGAACCAATAACACTGTATTTCAATATAAATTTTAAAATACAAGAACTAATAATCCTAAATTTGGTTTGGATTCTCGAATCCATTAAAATACAAGAACCAATAACACTTCATAAGTTGCATTTTTTATGGTTCAGTCTATAGTCATGCCAAATAACGTCTGCAACTTCCGTCACACGAAACTCCATACGACGTCGCTTCTCTACTGGATCCGAACATCTTTGGGCTTAAACTTGTTAAAGGCCCAATACCGAGTTCTACACAAGGCCCAGACGTGAACTCTTACTGAAATTCAACATTGGGGGACACAGATAAGCTAGTAGTAGTACTCAATTGTTAACAAATATTTTTCCGTGATAATTTAAAGAATCTTCTTCTTCCACTTTCCAGGTGCAATTCATGCAAGAGGAAGGCTGAAACTTTCGTAAAGCAACTTCTGCAAGCTGTCCCACGATTCCAAGAAAGAAACGTGTCATCCGCCCATCACATAGTACTTTACAACCACTTGTCCTCGACCACGTGCTGATGAATCCCGTCAAAATGAACCACGTGGATACACATCCGTCGTCACGTCATTGAGAATAGCCGGCGCTTTTGCTGAGCTGGACCGGTCTAACCTATTAAACTGTCTTTCGCTTTCACCTCAAAATTGTAGGATCATCTGTAACAAATATTCGCCACGTGTCAAACACAGAGTTGATTTTATGCTCGAGATTCGTGGAGTCAGATATGGGATGGGGACACCAGAACTGAAAACCAACGTCTCCTCGTCAACGCCAGCAGGCTCGTAGGCTACACGTGGTAAATGCATGTTCCACATGCAACACGTGGCACCCTCCGTCAAAAAAATTCGCTGGTTTTTTCAAATTTTAACCAATGGAAATAGAAACCAAGAAAGCCGTTTATCGATAATCCGAGATTGTAGCGTTGTTAAAGTTTCTTAACCCTACTTCCTTATTTACAGATTAATAATTAGTCATACGTGTAATTGAAAACCGCCAATGGCCACTATCCTCATCTAACACGTGTCATTTCCCAACGCCTTCCCTTCTCTTTTTATTCCAAACAGTGGGCGAAAATTTTCAAAAACCCCTTGAAACAAAACACTGCAGAATATAAACATTTTACATGGTTGTTGAATCTTCATCAATGGCAACAAAGCTTGGAAAAGACGAAGATGTTGAGGTTGAGCTTGAGCTATGCCTTTCTCTCGGAGGTCCTTTCAAGAAAACAGAGAAAGCTAAACCAATGAACGGAAATTTTAACGCCGTTAGATGCGCGAATGATGTTGGCTGTGATATTAACGGCGGAACGACGAAGCGTGAGATTAATGCGACGAGGAGAAAGGAAACACGGAAGAAGCTAGAAGCGAGGCAGCAGCAGAGAAGCGGAGGAGAAGGAGTTTGCAAAAGGATCAGAACAGAATGCAACGGAATCCTTAACGGAGTTGATCACGGCGTGAACTTGGACCTGAGTTTTAGTAAAATGGGAAACGGGTACGGGTACGGGTCGGGTCAATATGAGGAAAACGGTAAAACTGTACATATCGGGTCACCCATTTGCACCTCCTCCGACGTATCCGACCCCTACAGCTCGTCTCGCGAAGAAGGTATAAACATTTTATCTACCATAGAATGGAGTATTATAATTACTCAAAGTACTTCTCTCCTTTTTTTGTTTATTTTTTTATGGGTATATAAACTGAGAGTCTCTTAAGTACAAATAACTCGGTTGAAATAAAAAAGTTATAAATGCTCATCAGAGTCACGGTTGTATATATAAAATTTCGTGGAATTTTTTCCTTTAGTTTCGTCTACATCTTACAATTTCTGTAAAATATTTCACGAAATAAGTATTACATCTCAAAGTTTGGACTAGAAAGTATATGAAACCAAAAACTTGTATATTTGAAGATGTTAAATTTGAGTAGTTGATATTTACAAACTTTTTATTGCGTAACATCTCTTTTATAGGAGTAGTAGTATTTTAAAAGTGTTATGATCATAGAGCTTTCTGTATTGAAGAATCAGGAAAATTATTACAATTGCGTCCTCATGTTCATGTTCAGGTGGAAGTTGCGACTTTGGGGAAAATTCTGGCCAAACCAAACCGGTTAAATCTCCGGTTAACAGCATTCAGACCGGTACAGAGGCAACCGTGCGGAGCACAGACGGTCCAAATGAAGCAGTGGTAGTGAAGAACCAAGAATGGTCCAAATCTGCTGCAGTCGAAGAGACTGGAAAGCCTCCAAAACCGGGTCCCAACGGTAACGGTGATGGAGTTAACGGCAGTTTGCTTCCGTTTGCTCGGATGCCGTGCGTGACTAGTACGGGTAACGGACCCGAGGGCAAAACTGTAAACGGGTTTTTGTATAGGTACTCACAATCAGAGATCAGTATAATCTGCGTTTGCCACGGAACGTCTTTTTCGCCGGCCGAGTTCGTCATTCACGCCGGTGGGACACATGTCACGCACCCGTTAAGGCATATAACGGTTGTTCCGTCAACGTTTTAAAACGATTCCGTTTCGTTAACCTTGTTTCATAGTTTTGTGTATATATTATTAGCTGATGAACTTTTTGAGTTCAAATGGACTCCATTGGTGGTGAATTAATGGTGAGATCTTAGCTTTTGCTTTTCATTTTCTGGCAATAATTTTCAATTGATTTAACACATTTGTTTTTTTTTTAATTCCATAAAACTAATTTAGCACCTAAAACGTTGCATTGCCTTGCCTTGTTAAGTAAGGCACGTGTAAAGTGAAGAATTGCGAGAATTATTTAGTCACACCAAAACTTATGGTTGTTTTTATACAATTGCCATACGTACAACCGATAAAGAAAGCTACAAGCATAATTAAGCTTCAATCAAGATATCAAGCGTGAGTGTTTTTTGGGTGATCTTTATAGTTACGAATCTTATACAATTCACTCATGTATTTAGAGACAGATAATGCAGAAATGTTCGTTCCACAAAGACATCTTCTTTTGCTAGGCCTAATTAATATTATGGTTGAGCGTAATGACTTTTTTATTTTATCTCAACTAATATTCAAGATGTTCACTCCTCAGCTAAACAACCAATTGGTGTTTCTCCCTACTTACAAAAAAACAAACTGTACCTTACTATCATTGTTGTTTGTTGTTTTACATTTTATATCCAAACACTAAACCGATAACAAACCAATTCGGTTAAGCACAACAAATTTACTAACCAATTAAAAGAGAGAGACGCAATGGCAAACAAATGTAAATATGCGTCCTTATGCGTGTGGAACGCGAAAGCCTAATTAAAGAAAAAAATCGTCAGTTTCTTCTTGTTGCTTCTTCGTCTCTCAGTCTTCTCTTTCCCTTGGCGCGAGGAATCGCCATTGTAGTGGGTGTGGCAGAAACTCGGAGATACTCAAACTCAATCGCGCCTAAATCACTACCTTTAAACAATCTTCCCTCTCGCTAGAATTTCAGGTGCGTCGACGTCTTGTCACAATTTCGATTAATCATCGGGAATAAGATGAGTAGTGTTTCAATGTGCCAATGATTATGGGTATTGATCGAAACGCCAAGGCAATCTTTGAATTCTTTGTCGATTTTCTCAACAAGTAGCTATCTCTTTTCTGGTGAGAGAGAGTCTGTATTTGTATTGTTTCGTAGCTCTGCTTCTGGCGAAACGGGTATGATTCTTTTGTGTGCGACTAGATTATCTTCGTCAGATTCAAAGATCTCGCGTTTGGATTTTGATCTTTAGATTCAAGGTGGGGTGCCATTGCTTAATCTCTGAACCGATGGATCCTAATGCACGACTACCTGCTAAAGAGGTATATAATCAAGCAACTGTATGATCAGTGAGATTATCTTCATTTCCCTAAAGCGTTTCTTGTGATTGAAACTGTGTATGGAAACGCAGGTTGGGGATGAATTAGCGAAGCAGTACTATCTCGTCTTGCAAACTCGCCCTAAGCTTCTCCGTCTCTTTTATAAAGGTTTCAGTAAGATCGGGCGGCCTGGAAACAATGGAAAGATGTGTTCCTACACTTTATCGGTAAACACTATACCTTCTTCTTGATTGACTCAAATCCTACTTGTTATTTTTTTTCTGATTGATTCCTATTCTTGGAGCAGGATACAGATGACGATAATCTTAATATGCTATCTTCTGGAGGTTTTGATTCGGCTGAGGTTACCAGTATCATTTCCCAAGACTCTCAAGATGGGAGTGTCTTGGTCGTTGTCGGTGGCTACTTCACTTGCAAAAACAGACCTGAGAGGAACTTCACCCAAGTTTTCTTGCTTGCTCCCCAAGTAAATGGCTACTTCGTTTTGAATGACATGCTCCACTTTGATGACACATCCGTTCTTCCTGCTAATAATGGTGGGTTGATCACTTCATCTATAAAGCAGCCTGCATATTTTAGCTTGCTAGAAAAACAAACGTCTAACAACTTGATTTGATGGGAATGGAGAATGTTCCAGAAACGAAGGTCGTTCGCAAAGAAGTTGCAGATGCTTCACTGATAGTTGAAGATGGGTCAAAGATACCTGATGCCTCTGTTGTAAGTGGCCTCTCGAAGAATCTAAATAGTTAACTTCCGGGCTTGGAAGCTGATAAGTACTGATGTGAATGATACGTGAAGGTGATGAAGCCAATACCAAAAGCTGATGCAGTTGATGATACTGGAAATGGGAACAACCGCGAGTCTCATGGTAGGAATTCGCAAATCACTTTTGGTTTATGTTTTTTGCGTCTTTGATCTATACATATCCCAACTCTGTTTTAACCTTTTGTGTTTTTAATCCATCAGCGTTTACCGAGTGTTCAACAGTTCATGTTAAAAATCTTCCTGCAAATGACGCCTCTGCCAAGGTTGCGAATGCATTGAACAAGTTTGGACCAATTAAAAGAGGTGGAATTGAGATCAGAAACACCACTTGGGTAAATGTTAATTTATTAATCAACTAGCGTCAAGCATTTTTCGAACCATTTCTTCGTCATGCACTCATTTGTGTACTTGTGTGTAAAACGTGTAGAACTATCACTATGGTTTTGTGGAGTTTGAGGAAGCAATTGCAGCCGAGAGGGCAATAAAGGTACACGCTTTGGACTTTGGACCATTGATATATATATATTGCTCTGATACTTGTCACTTGTCAATATGATCTCTTGACGCCACAAATGTTAGATTGATTTTAATAATGCTGGCATGAGTCTTAATATTCAGGCGTCTCCCCTGAGGATTGATGGGAAAAAAGTTGCCGTGCAGATGAAGCGAGGTGACTGAGTGTTTTTGGGTATTATACAAGTAGCAACTCTCATTAGATAAGTCTCAAAGAAGGCTCCATTTTTGTTTGGCTTGAGAATCAGGTTCCCGGGAACAGATGAGGATTATCGAGGAAGAAGGGCGACACCGAGGAAAAGGAGTTTATGACTTTCGGGGATGGCGAGAATCAATGGAGGGACAGAGTAAGGCTCAGGAGGAAGAGGGACGAACAGGAGTTGATCATGCTTGGGACTGTGAGCAAGTAAATGAGGAACATCGAAAGTTTCAGGAGGAACAGATGAAGCTCGAGGAAGAAAATGGAGAAGAAGAGAATCAACACTGAACCTAACTAGTTATGGTTGTAGAGATAGAATCTTATAAACTGATTGTTCTGTGAATAGAACTAAAACACCAGAGATTATGTGATTCCTTTAAAGCTTTTTTGACTTCATGTTATTGTGTCTTGGATTTGTGGAATTTGAAATTTAAGAAAGTGCATATTGATAAACAGATAGTTAACCCAAAAAGAGCAATTGCAAGGAAATTAAACTTAAAATTACTTATAAAATTAAAAATCTCCTTGGAATAGAAATGTTACATGAACAAACCACAAAGGGTAAAATCTATTCATTCATGACAGGTTTGTTGTCGCTGGCTTTGGGCCTCTGCTCTCTTGGCTTGTCCTCGATTTTCCTAATTAACATACAAAAGACGATCAGAGAGAATATGAACAATAACATCACCAGATTAACAAAACAATATTTAGAATCAACATCGCTCATCTCGATTTTGGATTAGACAAAAAGACAAGAGATTATATTGTTTCGTACCTTTTGTCGGAAGAACCTCCCTTCTGGCTCAGGAAAAGCTTGAAAAGAACTGAGTTCACGTCGTAAATCATTATCGCTCAGATCTGTGGGATTTCTTCGATATCAGTGGCTGCAACAGAAATGAAGATAACCCTAATAAACCACGTTCATACCTTTTATATTTGAAACAGACCGGCTCATTTACTTTTTGGGCTTTTACTCTGTCAGTGGGCATAAACCTCAATTGCGAGAGCCCAAAAGAAGGCGTTTTGGGCGGAAACATTATTCTAAACCTGAAATAGAAAGGTCACAATGTCTTTTCGGACAAGAACAAAACCTCAATTGCGAGGGCCCAAAAGTAGGCGTTGTGGGCGAAACGACAGCGTTTTACTCTTCCGTGGCAGCAAAGACGTTCCACAATTCATAAATAAAGCAAACGAAGATAAAGAGCTTAATTAACCCCATTTATACACTCAATTCGTGGTTGACATGAAAAGATATAACAATTTTTCTGCACTACCAAAACAAGCACAACCATGTTGTTGATTATGGTTTCATGAGAGTAGGGAGACGAGGGATACAAATTCTAGCGTAACTTTTCCCTTTGATCTAATGTTGATTACGAAATGCTCCGGGTATTTTCTCAGCAGCATCAGCAGACCGTACCATGGTTTACCCTTTGCTTCAGGGATGGCCCAATCTTCTTGTGTCAGGTATCTTCTTACTCGACTGTGATGCCATACGTTTCCATACTTGTTCAATATCTGTCACAGACCATGAACAATGATGCATTAGCATTATACTGAATCACAAAAGACACAGAGGTTGATTTATGGAAACAGGCTGAAACTCTGCAAACGCTTTACTTATAAATTAATAGCGATCAACTTGTGGAGTAATATCAAGAGGTTTATCCTTTCCTTTCTACGATCAACTTGTGGAGTAATTTCCAGATGTTTATCCTTTCTAGGGTCGTACAAAACTATTTATGCGATTCCATTGGGAAACTGGGGGAAGAACCTAGACCCACACTTAAGTCTCACAAATCTACATGGACAACATTCAAGCTTGGTTTCAGTGATTATATATTGCCAGATCAAAGCGGCCTTAGGTATTAGAAGTGAGAATTGGATAATATCATGGAATGCGAAGATAGCATTAAAGGGTGGATATCCCCATGAGCTTGTACAGAAAACTAGTTCTAGGTTCTGTACTAAAAGAAGGCAAGAAGGACTAACCACCGAATGAAGTTTTTCCATAGGCATCCAATCTCCAGGACCACACAAATCAGAAAGCACAGTGGCAACAGATGATACAACATCCTTTTCCTCCAGCTGCAAAACTTGTTGATCATCAGCTTCACGATCTACCTTTGCTCTTCCTTCTCTCTTCTTCTCTGAACACATGAAGCAGATACAATTATCGTGGTGTCACTATCATGCAATCCAGCAACTTTAAATCAACAAGAGAAACCACAATCACTATCCTCAAATCAGCATACGATCTCTTCAACCTATTTAATTCCACGGTGAAATGATCAAGAGCAAGTATAAACTCAAACTATCATGAGCTATCTGGTTTTACCTCCGGAAGCGTACTCTTCATGTCCATCTCTCCTTGTTTTCTTCCCAGTGCCCCTGATATCTTCGTCATCATCATCGGCTTCACCATCTTCTTCATCATCATACTCATATAACTCTCTACTCCGTCCACTCTTCTTACCCGACCCAGAACCAGGACCCGAATGGTAACTTTGGTACGGAACAACTGTGCCGGCACTAGTATGCCCTGAGATGTGGTGCCTAGGTCCTAACGGCCCGCCTAGGATACTCCGTACCGGAAGCAGAAAGTAGAACTCTTTGTCTCCGATCTGCAAAAGGTCCTGTGAGTCGAGCTTGACGTTCGGGTTCCCAGGGAGATGGAGAACGCCTTCAACGAAACAGCCATTTTTGCCAAGGACCTCTAGGGAGAAGCGGCGGCGCGTGAAGTCATAAAAGATCCGAGCGTGGTTGCGCGAAATGTTCATCCCGCCGCCAAGGGATGATAGGTCGACGTCGACGGTCGATTTCTTAGAATTCCGGCCGAGCATAATGGAGTATGATTGCATATAGTACTCGAAATCCTCACCTTGAAGCTTCGCAAATCCGACCTCAATGTCACTGCCTCCTCCAATGGCCGTAGCCATCTCCGTGAACTTTTCCGGTGGTTAATTCTGATCGGTTACGAAGTCGGAGAGATCAAGGAGGAACCGGGACTGTCAAATTAGGGGTTGCAATCGGTATAGTTTCTGAAACGAGAAACATCTGTTTGGAAAACGGGTTTACCTTATCCAGTGTCCATGGTAGGATAAAGGCTTCTTTGTGAAATGACTATTATACCCATAATGTCTAGGCCTGAATAAAAAGCCCTAGCGACACGAACAAGAGACGAAAGGTAGAAACTTTGAGTGTGGCGGCGAGACCTGTGAGTTTAATTTCTACCAACAGTGGTTGCTTGAAATTGTTTCATTTTTCATGTAAAACTTAGGGTGGTCTTTTCATTTTGATGGATTTGTTCTGTGTTTGTTTATTTTCGTTGTGGGTTTTGATCGTAGAGTTGCCAAGTGATGATTGAAAATTTTGCGCAAGGGTTTTGAGTTTCAGAAGATTGGAGTATACTCTGATCTGATTGAACCTATGAGAAAACAATTTTCTTATACTTGAGTCTGATGGCAGCTGATCAATGTTTAAGTGTTATCTAATGTAAATTCGAGATTTAGCTTAGATGGTTTTGATTTAGATAGTCATCTTCACATTTTTGCTTCTTCTTCAGTTACTCTTTTCTGTTGATTTAGATAGTCTTAATAGACTTTGAGTTTCTGAGGATTGAATGTTGTACTTCTGGGAACTGTCATATAACTTTTGGTCTTAAGTGGCTTAGACTCTCTTAGGATGATTAAGGTTTTACGCATCTTTTGGCCTGTGATGACTGGGAAATTCTGCTTTTTTTCTCTTGACGCTTGTATTATGTAATTTTAGCAACTATCTGATGTAGTTTATTTTCTCCCCTTATTTTGGTGGTTTGTGTTTGCATTATATGGTTGTATGAGCTGATAGGTCTATGCTATGTTCTGGTTTCGACATAAGTTGCATGTGATGTATGGAAACTGGGTCAAAAGGGATTAGAACTAGTGCAGATTGCATTCTGTAATCTTGAGAAATCGTTGAAGTCATTTTACTTGTAGATCTTAACTCTTTACATAATTGTTGTTGTTGTTTCAAGGACAATGTTTCAAGGACAATGAAGCATGTGGTAAAGATATTGAGCTTGCTAGTGGCTGCTTCTGCCTTTTGGATTGCTCTTTTGCAGGCTGCAATTATTCCGCCAAGTCATACATGGTTGGTGAGTAAACAAGCCTGCTCGTCTGTTTAATTTTTTGATTTTTGTGATTTATCAATCTCGATCAGGCTAATAATGAGTTTGTTTGCACCAGCTACCAATTTACTTTGTAGTGACACTTGGATGCTATGGTCTATTAATGGTAGGAGTCGGGATAATGCAGTTCCCTACCTGTCCTGAGGAAGCACTTCTCTTGCAGCATGTCTCTGCTCTCTTCTTTCTTTGTTAACATCGAACTTCTTAAGCTTATTAACATTGTTGAATCTTTACTAATTCGTTTCGGGTATATATTGCTTACTTTTGCAGGATATTGCAGAGGCAAAAGACTTCTTAAGCGCAAACGGAATCGATATTATATCGGGTTGACACATTCCGTGATGTATACTACTTGTCGACTCCTAAAGCCTGAATTTTTTTGGGGTTTTAATGTTAAAACGAAGCTTTCGAACAAAAGAAAAGTTACTTCGTGTTTTTTTTTTTTCCTTTCGTCCTGTTAAATTTGAATTGTTAACTAAGTTTTTTTGGCAAATTGGCAAAATCTGAGATAGTATCAAATAAACTTTTAATGTAAGTTGTAAAAATGTATTTTAAAGTTCTTTCGTCTTGTTTAATGTAAGTTGTAAACCCAACCTAAGCATACTTCAAAGATGGTCTAAACGGTAAAAGAAGAATCAAGTGAATTAGAATTTGGTATTAGTCATTTAAGTACAAAAATTTACGCGTGTGTAACAATAATAACTGAATCAATCTAACTAACTATTTGGATAAACTTTGAAATCTATGACACAATTTTTGTTAGTGTAAATGAAACCCGAAGGAAAGTATGATTAGACAAAGCGACATGCAAAGAAAACGTTAAGAAATAAATGACGAATCATATTAAGCAGAAAGGTCCATGTTCATCACATGGAGCAAGATCCTCCTAGACCAACCTGTCACCCTAGACTTTTCCCCTGTTTGCTGCTTCTTACAAAATACAAAATGCGCACACTCGACTCGAACCCCAAAATAAAGAATGCATTTTCCATAAATTTTAATACAATTTTTATTAAATAGCAAAATAAAAAAAAATAATAATATAGAAGAAGAAGAACAAGTCCAGCTTAAAGAAGCTCATCTCTTTACTCACTTCACGATTCCCCCGTCTCGTGTTTCTCTCTCGCTTCTTCTTTGAGATTTCTTTCCCTTCTTCGGGTCTTCATCGAGACCAATTCCGCTGAGAAAGTTTGATGTTTTTACAGCCCAAACAGAGACAGACACGTACATGTGTTGTGTCTCCACAATCCCATTATTATTAACTCACCACCAATTCATTCACACTTCTCTCCAAAAATTCCCATCCTTTTCAGATCCAACACTCTCCAGAAATTCCCAGATTACACACAAAAGCAGGGAAATTTGGACAAACCCATCTGAGACCAGAATCTGCAGAGTCAAGAGAATGGGAGTGATATTGGACTCGTGGTGCTTCTGCAAAGGAGTAGGCAAAAGCGAGAAGATGAAAGGTTCCATTTTCTCCGGCAAAGCTCCCGCGATGGCTCGAATCTCCGTCCCCGGTCCAAATGGTGTTACTTCCGGTACCGGATTCCTCATTCACCGGAATCTCCTTCTGACGACTCACCTCAATCTCCCTTCCATCTCCGCCACCGAAACCGCCGAGGTCCGCCTTCAGAACGGTGTCGCCGCCGCTCTCTTCCCTCACAGGTCCCACCACTCTCTTTACACTCTTGAGTTTGATTTCTTTTTATTTTCCTGTATTGTCGGTTGCACGATCCGGGGAATATTTTGAATCAATGCGATATAAAATGGCTCTAATTCACATTTAAAAAACCAGTCCGTAGCTTTTCGTCAGACCAAAAGAACCCAAAGAAAAGACCTTTATACTGTAGTTATGTTTATTTGGTAATGGATTCCGGATCTATAGCTAAATTTGGCAAGTTTTAACTTTGAAGCAAATTTGATTTTTCACCTTCTAATTATTGGAAACCCTTTTAACTTGGGGGACATTTGCCATTTTGATGCAAATTTCTCAGCATTTCCAAGAAACGTGAAAACTCATATATGAACAAGCTCGATATCAATCTGAATTGTGAATTTTGGCCAATGGCACTTGCAGGTTTTTCATCACAAGTTCCGTTATTGATCTCACCATAGTTGGCTTAGACCTTGTTGATGGAGACTCAAATTCCCAGACTCAAACACAACAGCCACATTACCTCAAGACATGTTCCAAACCAAACCTGGATCTAGGGAGTGTCGTGTACCTCTTAGGCTATGCCGCTCAGAACGAGCTCAAGATTGGCGAGGGAAAGTTAGTGGTAGCTACCGACAATCTCATCAAACTATCGACCGACGAAATGACCTGGAGTCCTGGATCGGCTGGGTTTGATGTTCAAGGGAATCTCGCATTCATGATCTGCGATCCGAGGAAGCTAGCGACATCACCAGCCTCAACCTCCACATCTTCCTCTTCATCGTTGAAGAAAGATAACAACAAGACACTGATGATGCAGTTTGGTATACCCATACCAGTGATCTGTGACTGGCTGAATCAGCATTGGGAAGGTAGTTTGGATGAACATACGACGAAACCCAAGTTGCCTCTCATTCGCTTGATGTCTTCTGGTCAGAAGAGCGAGCGTTCTTGTGCTTCATTCACCATGCGCCCTGTTTTCAAGCCAACCGACTCTGCTGATGTTGGAACGCCATCTTCGTCTAACACCAGAGATCAAACTCATCCCAGCTCTTCTATGGCGGCTGAGGAAGAGAAAGAAGAAGAAACCTCGAAAAACAATCCACAAGGCGGTACTACTACTACTCATGCGCAGGGTATCCCAACCCCTGAGATATATGAATCGCCCAAGTTAACGTCAGGTCCTTTAAGAAAGGAGAGTGGTCAAGTACATCTTTTGGATATCAACTTCCCTCCACGAATACCTAAAGTCACAACCTTTCTTCCTCAGCTCAACTCTCCAGGGAGTGATCATGCGGTGGAAGAGGCTGAGATTGCCTCTGAGGGATCAGATGCGCAGATTGCTTCAACAGGTTCTGTAAACGGCGCTCTCAGTGAGGTCATCTATAGTTCACCGCCGCCACAAGCACACTATGTGTATCACAATCATGGATACAGCAGCGAGGAAGAGACGATGTACTCTGCAGAAACAGCTGAGAGCCGAAACTATCCAACCCCGCCAGTAAAAAGCGAGTTTCATCACGAGAGAGTTGGAAGGAGCCAGAGCTGTGTGAGCTCCAGCAGATGGGGAACGCCTCAGAAGAGTTTGAGCGGTAGAAGAGAAATGCTGGAGAAGCAGAGAAGCTTCGTCCATGGGAAGAAGATGCATTCACACGGAGCAACCTCGCAGAGGAGTAATGACTATTACAGCCCAACGGTCTCATCGATCATGAAGAAAAGAAACAATAGTTCAGAGCAACTGGTTTTCAAACCGGTACCTAGACCTAGGGCTGTTAACTCTTCCCCGAGATGGATGTTCTGAGACCGATACAGACCTGAGAAAGAGCCAAACACCTTCATAGAAAGAGAGAGACATCTTTGTTTAAATTTTGATGTCTTGCATTCTTGTACAACTAATTTTAATTTCAACTCTTGTGCAGCCATATTGAAGAGAACGCAACAAAATATAAAACATGTAATAGTTTTTTTTAAGTGTTCAGGGTTAATGCTCGAGAGAAATCTGAGATTTCAAGTTCCTGGAATTTTTTTAAAAATACTTTTGTTTTTGCTATCAGACCATAGAGCTTATTGTTTCAATGTCGGGTTTTGATTATAGCGACTCGATAAGCTTAGGTGATTACAGCCCAAAGCAGAGTCAGTTGAGGAATCTGGTTCAAGTCAAGAAACAGTGTTGATTACACAAGTGGTCGAAATCCCGAATGGAGATCCAGAGGTGGAAATGATTGAGGCATCAGGATCAAGAGAAGAAGAAATGTTTCAGGAAGATGACTCAAAATGGATTTCATAATTACACAATCTCAGGTATCGAATCTTGTCTTGGAACATAGCCTTAGATTCTGCAGTGATGATTAGCCCATCTGCAATTGGGAGGAAACATCGAAACCAGTCACAAACTTGTTCATGCCTGTGTCACTAGTTTGATGTAACGCCACTGGGAACAAAAACCTTTGAAGAATAAGAAAACAGAAAACGTTTCCAGAGACTTGGTGGTTCAAGTTCAAACACAGAGTAGAGACAAAAGAGACTGGCGATCTGGTTTTGCATATGTCCTGGGGATGCAAAATGCATACACGATGTGGTCCTTCACAAGACACATCCTACACACCAAAGGAAGAGTTTACAGGAGCTGCAGACCATTAGCTTAAAACAGTGGCTGTTACGAACCTCACCTTGTGCTGAAATTGAGACTCTGGCTTATTCACAACTACATTCTGCGTATGAAATTGGGGTTTTACAATCATAGTTTCAGACAACAGGAAAGAGTTACAGCCACGTGGGTTCTCTCATGGGTGGATGTTGCATAACGTTTTTGGTGATTCAACAACTTGTGAGAAACAGAAAGATCAAGTTTTTCAAGGCTTATGGTGTTTCACGTCCCAATATTGGTTCAAGACAAGAGCGTAACATCTCTTACACTGGCCTGTTATATTCTTGTTTACTAATTGTTTCTTCGAAGATCAAGAGTGAAGCAAAAGAGGGAAGAAGCAAAAGTACTTAGACCTCTTACTGCCAAATTATGACGACCTGAGTGCTTATGCTTCCAGCCAAATTCCAAGTAAGTTTGACTCAGTCCCTGTTGCATCCAACAAAAGAATTATCCACTACTTATCAGCCCTATCACGGACAAGAGAAGAGAAGAAGGTAAAGCTTCAGCTCGAGAGAAGGGAGAACCTAAAGAGTAAAGAAGAAGAAGTAATAATAATAGTTGCTACCGCTTATCCAGAAATCACAATTGTATAGAACTAAGCGTGATGAGCTTGTTCCTGATCGTGATCTGCACTTGTAATTCTTGGTCTTGATTCTCAATAATATCCTACTATTCTGCTTCATCACTCTCTTCTTCACTCTATCAGCACCACCTTCGTGGACGAAAAAAAAAGAGTTATCAAGAGTTGCGATTATGTGAAAATGATAGCGATGGTGATTAATCTGCAGTTTTCGAATTGTGTTATTGACAGAGACCTTGATGACAACTGGGAGGTTGAAGGGAACATTGCTACTTCACACGCAGTATCTCCACAAGAAAAACAAAAAAAACTAAAACTTTATATCTAACTGAATCGAGAATCTCAGTGTTAAAAACTGACAGAATAGTGAAAAGACAAAAGAGACTGTGACACCTCTAACGATCTTACAAGATAGGATGTACATGTCTAAATTGTTTTCACATTTGCAGTTTTTAAACACTTCGATTCTCTATCAACCTAAAAACAAAAAACAAAAAAAAAATCTGATTGTAAGTGATATGAATAGACAATAGTAACATTACCTTTGTGGTAAGCAGAGTTGCCTTCGCTATTTTCCTCCTATTCATCTTCGTCATCATCATCGTCATCATCACACTGTTATTAAACGAAGTCTTCTTCTTGGTAATGAACACCGGCTACTTTCTTCGGTCGGTCTTTGATACACAGTCCTTGTTTTCCAGCCGTGGCTTTATCCTGCAGGCATTTCACAGCGTTAAGACACCGATCCCTGTTTTCCAAGAACAACTTGTCAAGAAGAGTGAGGAAGACAAACACACATAGCTGAACCATGTTGTAAAGATTCTCTTGATCGTCCTCACATAGCTGAACCATGTTGTAAACACGCAAATTGTTCCGACCGTACATAGATGCATCCTATGACAGCGGCTTTGCAGGTAAGGAAGAAGAAAGTGATGGCTCGAAACTGACACCTCTGTAGAAAGAAATACAAGTCCAAATCACTAAACCGCCAGTCTTTCTCTGCCACAAACAAGTAACTAAAGCCCATTTCTCGTCTTCTTTGATAAAAATTACTTTAATTTTTTTAATTATGTATGATAAATTTGTTTCAGAACAACATAGCACAAAAATGAAACTACTCTATAATACAAGAATTTCCAACTTTACATTGTAAACGACAATATTTATTCTTTGTAGTAGACCAATCAATTGCGTCGTATACAACTTTGTATCATAGACCATATAATTTTTTTGAAAAGTCAATGTCCATTAGATTTACAAACTGATTAAAAAATTAATAAGTCGCTTAGATTAAATATTATCCTTCACGAATTTTGTCCAAGTAGATTGCTTCTATGTTAAGTTGCTCGAGCGTTGGACGTAATTTGTGACGAGTGAGATTTTTTTTTTGTCTCGCATTCACCCACTTGTCGTAATTTGTATCATTTGGTCACGATGATCACGTTTCTCATCTCATGTAGTTTCGGTGTTTTCAACTTACATGACTGCCCACCAGCTGTTCGCCGAAATTCTCTCAAACCAGTGTTGTCAAGTCTCGCCTTTAATCGTTTAATAAAAAAAAAAAAAATCAGATTTAGAATCAAAAATATATTCTATTATCTAAAAATGTCTACATGTTTTTGATTTTTGAAAAAAGGAGAAAATGGAACAGCAAACATGGCCATGACTTATTGATGTGTTCTTGGAACTGCACTCTCAATCGATAAGAACAAACTTATCAAAGAAATGAGCAATACGCATACGCCATTCACTTCTAAGTTCCTATTATTAGCTTATACAGATTTAACATATATATACTTCAAACAACTATAAAGAAAAGTGAGAACTTAACTGCCTGTACCAGAGGCTCATGATGTAAAAATGATTTCTTAAGATTCGAATTATCTTCCCAAAAATATCTCAACAATTAGTAGACAAGAAAGAATTACGGATCACCAATGATTGATATCCAATAGAAGAAACGATCTTCCATGGTTCCTAGATACTTCTCTCAAAAAAACAGAAAGATATTCACATAACAAACTACAACTGATGAACTTCTCTTCAAGAGCCACTCTCGCAGCAGCGCAACAGATGAGACAGTTCCGTGATGTTGCTCTTAAACAAGTAACTTTTGTCTCTCAGTAGTCGATGAACACATACACAGAAGCAACAGTAAACCAATGGACTTCTTCAAACTCTTCCAAACCATAACCCCTTCTTCATTCTCTTCACTCTCTTTCTAATATGCAACTGCAGTCTGTGAAATCCCAAATTATTATGACTCGTAAAAGAAAAAAAAGAGTTTATGAATGCTAAAGTCAAGCACAAACTAGTTGAAATCAAGAAAAAAAAACGCTTTCAATTGTCATTCAGTAATTTTCTTGAAGCAGAAAAAGTAGTCCATTTGAGTTAACATAGCAGTAGAAAGATTTTAAGACAAAACTCACTTTTATCAATAGATTCTCTAATATTGGAGCAGAGCTTCGTTACAATATTTTTTGAAGTTCACAGCCTCATCGGTCAGGAAGTCACTGTAAAAGGTAAAAGATTGAATGTTAAAAAGCAGAATTAAGTTAATAAGACATGTAAGAAAGAGTTAAAAAGAAAACTAACCATAGTCGCTCAGCCATGCGCCCCACTTCCCATCTGGGACTCCATGGGTACTTGGTGAAGAGGTTTGATTTTACCGGCACGCTCGATTGGTTAAGATGCTGCATATCAAAAGTGAATCAAATTCTTTATACTCTAAACAAATGAAACCCAGTGCCTTTTGTTTGATTCATCTACGGATAGTTTTGATACCTGACAACTCTGGAGCATCAGAGTTGGTTGCTGCTTCGGAAATTGTGCTGGAAAGAAGAAGTGAACCTACATCAAAAGCCAAAAACCCATTAGCTTTGATACATGAGAATTCTCTAGACGACAAGATTAAATTAATGAATCAAAATCCACTTTGACGTAGCTTGGGTATAATCATTTTGTATTGAAGGCCTGAATAGCGATAGACTCACCACAAAAGTAAATGGTCCTGAGGCACCAAGGAACGAGGCCTTACGGCAAAAGGTCTAGCAAGAAAAACAAAATACGAAACGTTGAGAAGCTTGGAAAGCTTTCTAAACATGTGCCAAGTCATGCCAATAAATGCTTACAGGATCAGCTTCAAGAGGTCTTCCAAGAAAATGAGCCAATGCCTCAACAAAACCCCTTCTTGAAGCAATTGCAGAAACAGCTTCAAGGATCTAGAAAGTAAGATTGATAAGGCCCTCATAAACAAAATTAAATACATTGATACGTGTGTAAGTAGACTTAGTTGAACTGACCTGTCTCTCAAGGGTTTCTTCGAGATGGGGAAGATATTCAGCCAAGCACCTTTGAAATAGAAATTGAAATATACGTGTTTTCAATACAATGATTAATACATGCATAGTTTGCAGCTAAAGTGAATTGTGCGTGCGCATGCAACTTACATCCCGTTCATCCATGGAGGAAGTTTAACATCCTCAACAGAAAATAGCGCTTTCAAATCAGAAGATGATACTAATCTCAGACGAGGTGCCGAAGGTGCTGATTCATATTTTCGAAGAATCGGGTATATCACCTGCATCCATTACCAGCTTATCAAGAAGATGCTATCAATTAGAAAAGCGTAAATGATAGGATTAAAAGACTTATGATGAAGGAACAGAAAACCTGAAGATAAATCTTCTGCTCATGCTTCCAAGGGCACTCAACCACAAGTTTGTTTATGCCCATATCAATCAAAAGAGGTACTGCAAACTTGACTTCCTCTGGCTACACTCAAAATTAAAGGTAACTGAAAGTCAAATGCATATAATGCGCTGAATTCACAGAGATATATGATCACGAATCTTGACAGCAATAAATACCTTGTCACCTCCTGAAATCATTTGCATTTCAATTCCCTGAGAATGGGGGGGAACAAGAAGAACATAAACATTGAGAACGACGAGATGTTCCAACTAAAATGGTTTTGCACAACAAAATAAAAAGTTCTAACTAAAATGGTGTTCCCAGGGAAAAAGTTCCAAACCAAAAACAAAACTTATTTTCAAACCATCATTACAAACAACACTGATCCAAGCCTAGCATTGTAACAGAAATCTACACGCTTGAAAAGGCCCTAGCTACTGAAACAATACAACACCAAAAGGTTGCTTTTGTCCATCACTATGAAGGAGTAAATGCAGCTCGAAAACAGGAAAAATACTAACTACGATTCCTAATGTAAAAAAATATGACCTGCATGATACCTTGCGAGTTAAAACAGTGCTTATCTCAAACTTGACGCGATCATCATCAACTTGACCAACACGCTTTTGTTGGTAGGCCACATATTGATCCCTAAACGGAAAATTCATCAAAGAAAAACTTCAGGTTGAGCCAGGAATAAAACCTGAAAACAACCATGGCGACAAAGAATTAAAGGAAACAAAACAACCTCAATCCTTGAATGAGAACAAGTAACAGTGTCGCGTCCTGGTTATTCCACTCAGACAATAACGATGTCTGACCATCATGAGGTGCAGTAGCGCTGCTACATGGCATAAAACCTTCATCATCTGGCCCAAATATGAAATCCGGAGGAGCCATTGCATACTCTGAATTGTAAATCACATCCCCTGCCACAACACGAACAAGAAACTCAAGATCTGCTTAGCCAAAAAAGCTACATAATTTCTAATTACCAACAACATGTAGTTAAGGAAAGGAACCAATTACATTTGATCGTGTCCAGACAATAAGGTATCACCAAAGTAAAGCGATCGAGGATCTTGGGATTGAGTTTGTTACCGGACCACACATTTTCCATCTACAAATCGTTATACCACCAAAGAATCAATCAGTCTATTAGACCTCTAATTTTCTGAAGGATGAAGAGGCTGTAGAGAGGCGACCGAAACTTAAATCTCGTGAAAATCGGTGATGATGTTACCTTGATGGAATCAGGAGAGTGATTGAGTAAGTAGTGGAGCTGGTCCGCGATTAGAGGAGGAAATCCTTCGAACGCCATGGGAGGATCTCTGTTTCCGAGACGGGAAGTATCGTCGGCGGTAATACTCAGGTCGAAACTTTGAAAACTGGAAAGTTTCGTGCAGATTCGGTTAAGATGACTGTTGCAGAAGAGAAGAAGAAAAGGCTCTCACGATGTTGATGACTTCATCCTCCGATTTTGGTAGGCTTTGGGCATCATCATCAGCTATTGTTGTTCGGAATTTTTTACGGCGGTGGTCCATCACCGGTAATACGTAAACCGGTTCTCAATACATAATGCCCCTCCTGGTTTTATCGATATACCACCGGTATTGTTTTATTATTCAATTTATTCGAATTTTTTTTTGGTGGTCCGGTTCAATTTGGTTTAGATATAAAAACAACTCAACACACTACAGAGTTGTTTCAAAGACCCAAAAAAAAGTGCAAGTAGGATTATAAGATTCAACATTAACTTCCCCAAGATATAATATCTTAACACTACAGAGTCACTCAGACAATTAAAATACTGATGATATCCATTGAAAAAAACAGGTCTTCAATGAATCCCTAAACGTTTTTCTCTCACTTAGCAGAAAGATTTTCACATTACAAATTAAAGAAGACAACTCATGAACAACATTGTCTTCACTGTTCCTAAACCAGTCTCGAGACTTTAACCCTGCAAGAAAGGGAAAAGGAAACAATGAAGGATTCGTTTCGTTGTTTGAAGAATAAAGCAATTCAACGAATCCAAACCAGAACAACTTCTATTCGCTAGACTTACTGGTGTGATGTTTATGTGGTGGCTGGAAGGAAGATTCGAATGAGGTCTTTAGCAGTGACCTTTTTCCGACACGTAGGGCACTTAGCTTGACAAGATATGGCGCTAGTAATGCAGCTCTTGCAGAAAATATGACCACACTTTGTTGAAACCTCTTCGGTAAATGCACACATACATATCGGACAGTTAAACTTTGGTTCCTCTACAGTAGCTACGGCCTTAGACGACTTTCTCTGAACAATGACACATTGAACAAAAATGGTGAGCCTCTCTTTGTCCCAACAGCAAAACTCAAGGAAGTAAAAAAGAATCACAACAACGCTTCTTACCGAAACGTTAGGCTCAGATTTAGACCTTGTGCGGTTTTCCTTTGTTCTAGTAGTAGTACTACCTGCACTCATCATACCATGACAACACTAACCAAAGTGAACAAAGGAACACCACAAAATGTACCATCTGAGTTCTGGTAGCTACGCAAGAAACAATAAAAGAAGATAGATAGTTGCTAAAATCACCTGACTCTACATCAACTACTGAGGATCCTCGACGCGCGCCTCCCGATTTGTGTCTTTTAGCCTGGCAAAAGAATGAAACAGAATCAAAACAAATTTGTACATAAGCAAACACCATGTCTTGTGAAAAAGGGGGAGAAATGAAAAGGGAAGAAGAGAGCAGACTCGATTAAACGCAGATGCAGTTGATTCAACAACATCATCGTCTTCAATCGCATCTAAGTCAATCATTGGAGGAGCAGACACAGACTGAGGCACCATTGGAGGAGGTTGTGCAGTGCTCTGGTGAACTCGCTGGTGTTCGCTTGGTGTCCCGTTCGCATTGTTCACCTGTTGTTCCCTCATTAAACTTCTCGTGTTTACTCTCTCCCTCCGAGAACTCATACTTGAAACTCAAGAGTTAAGCCGACCTTAATCTACTGAATTAGGGTTTCGTTCTCTCAAGTTTAGACCATCTTCTGGAAAACAAGAATCACATTCATCTGGATTAGTAGAACTCGGGAAAGAAAATTTAAGAAACGGTCAAGTTCAGGTTTAAGGCGGTAAACAAAACCCCACAAGAAAATAAACAGAAACAACAAACAGACGCCAAAGATTAAAGAAATCAATCGACAGATCTAAAGATGGAAAAGCCAAAGATTGTTAAATTAAAGGCAGAAATTTGAAAGTTTGTACCTTTAAAACCCAGAAGAAGAAGAAGATGTTGACGAGGATGGAGATTAGAGAGTGGGATTTGAAGAACGAAGTTGTAGAGAGAAACGAAGGGTTTTAATGGATTTATTATCTAAAGGGTTTTACTTTGAATGGTAGAGAACTTTTTTTTTTTTATTGAGCAACTGCTTTTGTATATGAGAGATTCGTCGATTCAGATACACTTTTGTATTGGTTGTGGGACTCAATTTACTTATTTTCTTCTTAAAAGTTGTACATTTTGCTTTTGATTCACATGCAGCCGTACTGCTATTGTTTGACTCTTGTTTTTATTTGTTTGACTCTTGTTTTTCTTTTTGTTGCTACTGAACGACTCGAACTAGACCAATTCAAGACCCGTTGGGCTTTTGCTGAGCGGATAATATTTATTTAGCTTCGCAAAGATACAACATATTGCTTTAGTGAATAACATGCTACATTCGCGAATAAAACATTCTGACCAAAAAGAAGAAAATAAACATACTATTCTCATGAACGCTATGTTGTTTCTATATACATGAGACATCTTCTTCACATGAGGTATATCATGAAGTTGACGAACATGTGTTGTGTTACGAACTTATGATGCTAGAACCGGAAACTATCAAAGCAATTAATTGTAAGAAAATACTCTTATTCATGCCTAGACTATATATATATAGTATTGTGAAGGTCAAAACTACAAAAATATTTTCACACGTTTTTTTCTTTCTTTGGTTGAGAATTGACAAACAAAAATAAACTCCACAGTACAAATCAACAAACAGAAAAATCACTCCTTTTGTTACAAAAAGAAAGAAAGAACACATAAGAAAAAAAGAGATAATATATCCAAGAAAACGAAATGTGGAAAATGTCGTAAGTTGATAAATACGTACGGTCGTCTTCTTCAACGCTTGCTTCCCTTTCGGAAGCATGGAAAGCAGCAGATCTGCGCATCACATTTAGAAGCCCATTAAAAACCCATATAATGATGGAGATCAAAAGTAATTATGTTCTTGATTAGTACACAACCATATATTAACTAGATATTTACTACTGTACCTTGGAGGAGCTTGGGGCGGGAGAGTCATGTTGACCGTTGATTGGGCGAGATGGAGTGTTGCCGGCCGTTCCACCGTAGGATCCTCGCCTCTCTTCCTTGACTTGGTCGAAAATGTGTGTGTAGCTCATGTTCTGATCCCCTGAGCCCATTGATCCTGGAAATGGCGGAATCGTCGTCCCTCCCTAATAAATCACAAATCATATACAATCATAATTAATATTCGTTATCTTGGATTATAAAATGTGACTCCTCAAACCGCCAATGACAACAACAAAAAAACATTAAAATCAAAAATATTTCCATATGACTATTTTTATCATTTTCTTTCGTGTTTTGCGTTACAACTTACAACTAACAAAGACATTTTGTTTAGAGTCTTAATTAGGGAACGCATTTATTATATAATGTGTAAATGCACAATGTGCAAAATGCAAAACAAGCAATCGAGGTATAGTAAGCATGTCATACCCTTCCGTTGCTGCCGCCTCTAAGATTGGGTTTAGGCTGTACGGGACGAGGAGGAGCTTGCGGCTGCCGCTGGTTTCCTGATCCGCCTCCACCTCCATAACCTCCGTATAGTCCGCCTCCACCGTCTCTCCCTCCGGCTCTACCTCCGGCTCCGTAGAGTTGATCTGCTGGAGGAGCCTTGACTTTGTTTCTCTCGGTTGGTGGAAGCGCTCTAGGCGGCTCGTCCCTAACCGGTTTTGGTGGTTCAGCCCTTGGATTTCTAGGAGCAGGTTGGGGAGGAGCTTTTGCTGGAGTTCTGGTCTCTGGGTTCTCTAGAGATTCGTACAAGTCTGCTCGCTTGTTCGTCCTCGCGTTGTCGAAGACGACCGTGAATGGTTGATCTTGGTTGTTCCAGTCCCCGAACTTTGGAACGTGTGGACGGTTCTGCAATCAAATCATTCAACGATGAGTTTGTGTTTCTTAGAATTTGGTTTTGAGTTTAGATTGACTTAAAAGATTAAACTTAATGTGCAAGAAACCAATATGTATGCCCTATGAGAGCTAGTTTCCCATTAATCATAGTATTGACAGGAATAATAATTACGAAAGTCAACTGAATGAAACAAACCTCAAACAAATTATTTAAAGAATCATGTGAAAACAAACAAGAATTTCGGGTCGATTCAGCTAAAAAATAAGTGTTGATGCAAAAGAGTTTTACAACTTACTGCCATATTTCTTGATCTACAGATAGAAATGAAGAAAGGCTTCAATGGCTACGTCTGAAACAGAGAGACAAAAAAAAAAGAGAAGATTTGAGAGAGAGAGAGAGAGAGAGAGAGAGAGAGAGAGAGAGAGAGAGAGAGAGAGAGATACAAAAAAATGTATGTGTATATAAAAGTTTGAATGTCTCCGTTTCTTCTCTCACGGTCTACGGAGACTTCTTCAAAACCTTGTGACACTGACGTGGCATTCACCGCGTCTCAAATCCACACACACCCTTTTATTTATAGTTGTGCTTCTTGTGATCACCCAAAAAGTATCTTATCATTTCAAATAATTTATCCCGGAATATCTAATCAAACATTCGATTATATATAACTCGATCGGAGAAAGCAAAATATATATGATGGATGGGCCAAAAAAAAGCCAAATGTTGTGAAGGAGGGTCGGGTCATGCACTCGCTTTTATTTTGCTTAAATTTTTTGTTGACATTTATTTTCGTTAATTAAACTATTACCGGAGTTGATTCTATAGCATGTAGATAATTAAAAAAAAAAACAATTTGTATCGTATTAGTTAATTTTGGCGTCTCTATGTTAGCTGGTGAATGGCAACATGGTTACAACTGCATTATTTGGCTATATACTAATACTAGTTTATATCTAATTAACTACCACAGGTCCACATGACATATATATGTACTCAATCGTTGGTATATTATAACTAAGAGAAATTGTCTTTCCATGAGGACGACGACTTCAATGACTGTCTCTATTATTACCCAACCTTTAATATCTTTTGACTTGATCACATTTAATCCAACTTGTTTTTGTATATTGAGATAGTAACTAGGCAATGGTGCTGTCTTGTTACACACTCTAAACCTTGATTGATAATAATCAAAAGTCTTGGAAATAAAATTAAGAAATTCTCGAGGTGGTTCAATTTCTTGGAACACCTTCTTATGTTGAATACAAATAGAGTTAACAAAATTGTGACAAAAATTAAGCGAGATAAGTCTAAACCGCTTGATGATTGGATGATTTGTCGTCGTCTATTCAAATTCACGGACTCTAGTGAAACAACAAGACGTAATCGAAGAAACAGTGCTGATTCCCCAACAAGAGGGAAGCAAATTAGTAATATCGAAATCAAACTCCATTACTACTATTTGTTAGGTTTGTGACACATTTATAAATGAGTAAACAGTAAGCACAAACTATTGTTCGATGTCACACTTTTTTTTTTGACTAGTAACAGTTGTCAGTTGTTATGTCAGTAATCAGTAAACACAAACTCACTATTGACCGCTCTAAAGCGCAAACGCTTCGTACTCTACGAACTAATTCGCTTCTGAACTCCTTACATATCCTTGGCTCTGCTTTGATTCTTTTTCTGCTGCGACATCGATCGTCTTCTTCCATTTCTACAGTTCTTTTTCTTCTCCGTCCTCTCCATTTCATGATTTCTTGGTGGTATCAATGGTTTAGCAGCTGAATTCTTGGGGAAATCAACCTTTCAATTGTGTCTTCATTTAAGCGTTTGCCGATCTGGGTTTAGTGTTTTTCAGTTTCAAAAGATTTTTGCTCCAAAGACAGATGTTGAGGGCGAAAATTTAGGTTTATTTTTTTTTTAAACATTGGGCGTGAATTTTGATAGAAAAGGCACAACCTTTACTCTCTTTTTTTTGTTGTTGGTGGGAAAGAGGGGAATCAGACATGATTCAGCTACTGTTTTTCGTTCTGTTTGTAGAAGGTGCGATTGCGTTCTTACTGCTGGTGAAGATTGGTCCTCTAAGGGAGCTTGTAATAAAGAGCTTAGACCAGCTTAAAATGGGGAAAGGTCCTGCCACTGTGAAAACCATCGCTGGAACCATGTCTGTAATCCTCTTGTCGAATCTCATGAACATCATCAAGATCCAGAACAAGGGTGCGAAACTTGGGACTATGTCTCCTATGGATCAGGTCCTCTGGAGAACCCACTTGCTCGAGGCTTCTCTATTGGGTTCGTTTTCCTTTATTTTGTTTGAATGAATCTCAGTGTAGATATGTTCTAGTAAGATAATTTGCAATGGTTTCTGAAAAAAATTTCAAGTCTTTTTATGTTTTCTCGTCTGCTAATTGTGCTTGAATTTCTAAGGCTGAATCAACATCTACTGAGTTATATAGCTGGAGGTTGATAGGCAAACATTAGCTTAAATTTGTGATTTTAGTGAGTGGGAAAACTAGTAACAATTTGTGATTTGCTCGAGACGTTTCTTTGGCGAGGAGGATCTCTTTGATTGAGTCCATACTTGTGCTTGGTACTGTCTGTACTAGTGAAACTCGTTCTGATGATGTTAACCTTTAGACAACTGTGTCACTGGAATCATGTTTTGACCTCATGATCTTGCAGGTGTTGTGCTCTTTCTCGGCTTCATAATTGACCGGACGCATCATTACCTAGGAAAGCTACTCACTTTAAGAAGCAATGTCGGGTCATCAAAAGGAGAAGTCGAACAACTTAGGAAGGAGAGAACCGAAGTGAAGGAGAAAGAAGAGAAGACATCCAAGGAGATTAAGCAGCTGAAGGAAAAACTGTCACGTGTTTCAGAGAGTCTGAAGAAAGTAGAGAAGGAAGCCAAAGAGAAAGAAACGAAGCTCGAAACAGCTGAAGCCCATGTTACAGCTCTTCAAAAACAGTCTTCAGAGCTATTGTTGGAGTATGACAGATTGCTAGAAGACAACCAGACTCTCCAAAGCCAGATTTCGGTTGGAACCAAAATCTTGAAATGATGTTAAGATACTTGAGAGCCGTCTAATAGGGGAATTTAGAGTGTTTGTAACGATTGGGTCCTTATAGTTTATGCAGAAGTGGTGTTTGGATGAATTCTAGTAACATTTTACAGTTTTGGTTTCAGAAAGCTCACTCGCTTTTTCTTTTCTTCCATTTGCTGGAAGGAAATGAATTTACCCATTGATGCTGTCTTTGAAATGTTCAGTTTATGAAAAATTAAATTTATCATCACGAAAAAGCCATATCAATATCAAGCTCACCTTTTTAGAGAAAGAAACATCAGAGTAGCAAACGAACCACACAAACTGAATGCCGTCTGTGGGCATCGAACCCACGGCCATATGGTTAAAAGCCACGCGCTCCACCACTGAGCTATTGATAAAATGTTCGGACTGTTAAAATAAGTTACATTGCACGAGAGTGGAGCCACGGCATCTTCAACTCTCGGAAAGCCGATGGAAGAATCCTCCGATCGTCTGAATCCGACGGCAGACACTTCGGGAATCATGCCGGAGTTTGATGCGCAGACCATGCGTTCTTCCAAACCTGGCTTGAAGCGCCTCTTCATCACCACTACTGTGCTCTTTTCATTCCTTTTAGGTAATTTTTTTGGTCTTCTTCATCTCCTGATTTCCGACTGTTAAGATTTTTTCTTCCTTTGATTTACGTCTTTCCGATTTTCGGAGGCTTTCAGGTCTGCCATTTCTGTGGAAGTCCGTGGAAATCTATCGCTCCCCGTTACCGTTCCACGATATTGACTCCCTTTCCGATCAAATCGAGTCGACGCCCTTGCGGTTTCCCTGCAATTACCACGCCGTATTCGTCGGGTTCCCATCGACGGATCCGGATAAATTGCGATCTGATATACAAGACGGTATAAATCAGTTGAGCCATGGAAAATCACAATGTGGTTCTTGCAGTTTTTCCATCTCTGTCACCGTTCAAAACCCAGATGAGCACTGCTCAGAAACGCTTACTATTGATCCTACCACGTGCTCCTATCGTTGCGGAGTGATCAAAAGAAATACTTTCGGTGTTGGATTGGACGATGCAGTGGATGAGTCACTGGATGATGTGTTCAGTGGCTGTTCTGGGAACAGCGGGAAGATGTACAGCGTTGTTGTGGTGAATAAAGAAAATGCCAATGGTGAAGATGAGGTAAGAGCTGTGGTGGGCAAGCGAAGGCATGCGTGGATTGCAGGGAAGGGATTGGAAGAGAGATATGGAGAGGTGGTCGCTAGAGTTTCTGAGATTTTCGTGAAGGTGTTTATGAACGGTGGAAGAGAAGAAGACTCAATTCATGGGGAGTTTATGCCTGTGGGATCAGATGGGAGGATTGTTCTTTCTTTCAGTCTGTTGAATTCCAACCCACGTGATTGGATCTACGATTGGTATGATCAGTGTGTTATGCTTTTCTCACCATTTTGCTTTGGGTATAACACACCTGCACTGCCATTGTAACATTCTTGCCTGTGCGCTACGTTGACAGGGACTTTCAGAGGATAGACGAGGCATTGTTGGCTCCGGTGACTAAGGCTTTAGCACCTATAGCTAATATAAGTGTTGAAAGTCAGGTACCAATCAGGGTCCACCAAACCGAAATCTTTTGTATCTTGGTTAATCTCTCATGCTGATGTTTTATGCTTTCTTTGTTCTTAGGTTTTGTATCATACACCCAAGTCTTCGTTCTCATCTTGGGATGAAAAGCTTCAGAGCTACATCTTTAGGACCAGTGATCTTCCCTTCTTTGTACGTAGCCTTTCTTAAAATCTTCATGTCTAGATTGGATAAAAGTGGTTGGTTTAACAGATTGTCTTAAATGGTTTTCTCCAGGTGAACTCGAACGAATGGCACTTGGACACTTCTGCTGGAGCCAGTGGACGCTCCAAAATATTGCAATTTGTGGTGTATATTATTCTACTCTGCCCATGCTTGCTTATTAGGCTGCTTGATGCTGTGATGATTATGCTATACTATTTCCTGATAAACTGAGCAGGAATGATTCCGCAGAAATATCTCAACTCTATGATCTTTGCTCATGTTGGCAGATATATCCCATCTGGAAAAGAATGCCCTCTTCACTTGCAGTTGCCAAATGGGGAGATATCTAAAACTAATGGCTTCATATCTCCGGTAAGTTGTCACTTATCGGACATTTGCTTTCCTTTTACTAATCTGTTGGTAGACCTTCTTTGTGAGAAATAAGGTCATCTTCTCATTTTGTTCTGTAGATGTGGGGTGGTGTGATTGTGTGGAACCCGGGAAATTGTGATAAGGATTCTGAAAGCCCAAGTAGGGACACGATTTCGCATCAGGTCCGGCTAACCATTCATATTTATACCATGCTTCACATTAATTAGATATTATTGATTGATAATTTGAGTTCGTGAATTGGTATTTGGAGAGCTTTGGAAGAAGATCACTGAAACATCATAACTATTTTGCAATTTCTGAAACAGGATCTAGAGCAAATAGTTAAAGTTTTCTTGGGGCAATTCCGACAACTTTTTGGTTTTAAGTCTGAAGCCTTTTATACTAGTGGATTGGGCACGTACAAGATTTTACCTAGTGAAAGAGGCTTTACAGAGTGGTAAGAATATGATAAATCCCCCAATATTGATGTGTCTTTGTGTCTCACTACCTGTGATGCTTATCGACCAAAAAAGGTCTCTACTTAAAGCAAGAAATGCTTATGAGAAATGGATATTGATGAGTGTTGTCTTTCCCGGTGTGGCGTTTTCAGGGAATTGGATGTCTTGTCGCGGAAACACACGTGTTTTAATCTCCACTCTTGTTCGACAACCCTCGGGTCTCTTTCTAGATTGGTATGTGATTAACTCCACTTTACTAGTGATAGCACTTTCCGCTGCATCGTGGTGTTTCCTTTTCACATTTGCTTATCTTCACCACTTGGCACTTGCAGGTTCAGTCACTCCCCAGGATGATAATCAAGGATGAAATTGGAGAACAAGTATGTTTCCCATCTAGAACATTTTTCTGGAAATTGTTATGATTCTTCTGATCATACCGTTGTTTCCCCCAAACCAGGTGAAATACTCTCTGAAAGCAGCAAAGTTGGCTCAGTCTAACGCTTCTCTGGGAGGATACAGTTCTTCAGCCAGTATGTTACACTTATCATAAGCTCTAGCATTCTCTGTTATACACCTTAATGTTTTTGGTAAACTCTAACAAGAAGTTGCGGTTTTGTGTTCATAAAGGTTCATCAAGAGAAGCAAGGTCCCTAGCCGAGAATGCCTTCTTCCATCCATCCATCATGTCCGTCAGCTACTTCTCTTACGAACATTGCTTTGCAGTGTACTCGGTTAGTTTCAGTGACTTCACTACTGTTATCATTATTATTTGCATCTTCTCGTTTCTCTGAGTCTCATGCTTTCTTGGACAGCCGTTTTTCCTGCCTGTTGCGGGACACGTTGTCCTTGCAGCACTACGCGAATGGAAAAGATACAGACAAGAGAAGGCAAAGTACTTGACATGGCTGACCAGAAAGAAGACGGCCTAGGACCCTGTGGTCTCACTTTGAACACCAAAGTAACCCTTTAGCATATTTACAGATGCCATGTAATTTCTAAGTTTTTGGTTGCTCGAGTACAAAACGACGCAACGACGTTGTATTTAGAAAAGATACCATAGCTTTAATGCGGTTTAACTCTCAGTTTTCCTAGGCTTTTTCATTGTGTTTAAATTTGAAAGCTTTTCTAATAACAAAAGTGGCGCAAACCGGCAGTGTTTGTCTCACGGTGTTTAAGATTACAGATGTCTGCCCCCAAAATTCTAATCTCTCAATGCGCTGATACAGTCAAAATAATACGAGAAAAAGAGTCAAATTCGGGATCATTTCGACAATATCTTAACGTAACGACTTCCACAGACCGTTCAGCTCAGCTTGAAGCCATCATGCAAAGTACACTAAACTATTAGCGTTTAGATCCCAAAGCAAGAAGTATCTTCTTCCTCGGGCCCTGAAACAAAAGAGAACACCGCTTGTGTTAAGAGAGCATAAAGAATGTTGAACAAAGAGCTTGAATCTAGTCCTATCAGTAGTATTTTCGTGTTACAGATCAACTAAAACTGAAACAATGACTTTACTCGAAAATCTGTAGGGCAGGCTGATATAAACCAGAGTGTTATTAGTTAGTAAATGTTGTGGCAATTTAACATGGAGCTTACCATTGGTATGAGCATAGCCTTGAGGTCATCATCTGTCATATGCATGAGAGCATCCATATCAACCTGGGAAAGATAAAAAAGAATGAGAACATGTCTGTGACAAGATGACACCAAGCATAACGTGTATATATATAAATTTACGAGCAGAGATTACATACTTCTTCCACTTGAAAAGCGGTCGAATATTTCTCGAGACCCAATGATTCCAGAAAGCTATCAACCGATGCACCAGCCTGAACCAAAAGATGACAAGCTAAGAAACAGTAGTGGACGGAATCAATATGTTCGCACAGGCCATTAACTATGAAGGAAAAAGATTGCCTGCTGTGACTTCTTCTTGGTAGTTTGATTGGAAGTTTTTCTAGTCGCTGTTGCAGTATCAGTGGCTACGCTCTTCATGCTTGGTCTAGCAGCCTCCACTTTAGATTTTGGCGGGTCACTGTTTTTTGGTTGCGGGTTCATCGTCCCAGAGAGCTTTTCCCGTAAATCCCGCACGCCTGAACCAGGTTCTCGCCCACTTTGAGACCCATGATGTCTCTTCTGGAGCTTCAGGCGAAGATCTTTAGGATCAACTCTGCGATCTAAATAAGTCAACCGACAGAGAATCAACTACCAAACAGAGAGATACCTTCGCCAAAGAGAATAGGTGAGAAAAAGAAAAAAAAAAAGCATACTTGAAAGCTGAGGTTTGTTACTATTGAAAAGATCGTGCTCCCATTTGTCGTCCAGCCTTTGCCTGGAAGCATGACGAAGGACAAGAAAATGAACCACTCTCCAACACAACAACACAACAACGTCGATCAACATCACCAAACATCAATCAAGTCCAAAAGCCATCACTAAAAAGCAATTCAGATGGATAACATCTCCAGATTCAACGATGCGGGTACGCACTCAACGTAGAGAAAAGCTTATACTGCTGATATATTCGGAAATTCAGCGAGAGTTGTTTTAAAAACTACCAAATCAAAATGGGCACATCAGAGAGTCAGAAAGCCCTCTTAAGCTAACCGGAGACCGGATTCATATAGAGGTAAGCAAGAATCAGCCTGGGCTGCTCGAAGGAAGATCACAATGTAGCTATTTACACACTAGAGGAAAAGACCCTAGAGCTAGTACCAGCTAACAAACACTGAGGAATTCTCAAGGAAAGCATGTTAAATCTCGCTTGAATCAAAAAACATAATAGGGAGATAGATTAGAACCTCTTCCCAGTCACTTGTCGCGCGCGAGTAGAGATGTCGCCAGAACCGCCATTGATACGATCCTTTACCGTATTCCTGCTTCCAGACTCAGACTCCAATTTATCAGCATACATCTCTGTTCTTCTTCGATGGAAAAAAATACAGAGACTAATCCTAACCCTAAATCAGGGAAACCCACAGCAAAATTAGCCAAAGAGAAAGCGAAAAAGTCGTCTGATTTATATTAGAAAGCTCCCAGGTTTCAAAGAGACCCAAATAGAGACACCCCTAGAGAAACAAACTATCCAGAAATCACAGAGCTCTCGAACGGAAAGTAAAACTCGACTTGTTTTTGATTCGGGAAATTATCATCCAATCCAGTACCGGGTCAGCTTGGGTCGGGTCGGGTCGGGTTTATATTCAGGATTATGCGCTCCGAACAAAAACACCGGTTTGACTGTTTATTTTAATTTTTAAACAGAAGACATTCGAGATTATTAGCCGGCTTAAACCGGTTATCCAAAAGACTACGCGGTTCGCTTGCTTTTCCGTTTTTTTTCTTTCTTTTTGTCAACACGCGGTTTTTAAAAACATCGCTTCCTTCGTTGTAATGGTTTTGTGAAAAGAAAATTAAAAATCCCTAAAAAGCTTCTGAAACTCAGAAAGACATACACAGCGAGCTAGCTTTTCCAACTTTCTTCGCTAATTCTTCCATGACTGATCCAGTTCTGCTTCAACTCCATTTCTAGGGTTTCTGACGTTTTCTGATTCGGTAACTCCCGCGTGTGATTTGGCCCTTTTCCTTTTTTTTTTCGTATGTCTTTGTTGTTTCTATCGTCGACGAAGTTGAGACCCAAGAAGCTCAGATTCGGGATCCCAAATTTTTTCTTCATTATTTTCATTGATTACAACTAGTCCTAGGATACAGAACGGCGTTTTGTTTTGTTCTCTATAACTGACGGTCGGAAAATTTGGAATTTCAGTTGCGGCGAGGTCACTTGTCCAAATTTTTGAAAATGTCTCGAGCGGAGTCTTCATGGGAGCGGCTAGTAAATGCTGCCTTACAAAGGGATAAAGCAGGATTTACTGGTGTTCCTGGTCAGGGCAGTATCATGGAGTATGTTCCGTCATCTCTATCGAACAATAGGGACATCGATGCGATTCTTAGAGCTGCAGATGAACTCCAAGATGAAGACCCCAGCATAGCAAGGATCTGTAAGTTCTTGCTTGTTTCTTTTGTTCATTCTTCATCTTTGCGGTTTAGCTTTTCTTTCCTCTGTTGCAAAGCCACTTGTCTGTATGGTTTTCTTAACGATTTTGTCTTCTTGCTGCAGTATGTGAGCATGCTTACTCACTTGCACAAAATCTTGACCCTAATAGTGAAGGCAGAGGTGTTTTACAGTTCAAAACCGGATTGATGTCCGTTGTTAAGGTATGTTTCTCTTCTGTGGTCTTTTTTTTTTTTTTAATTTGATTTTCCCATTATGGTTTAACATTCTAGTACTTTCTTCTTCCTTGGCTTATTTCAGCAAAAATTAGCGAAAAGAGAGGTTGGGACCATAGACAGAAGTCAGGATATTATCCGACTGCAAGAGTTCTACAGGCTGTACAGAGAAAAGAACAATGTTGACACGTTGAAGGAGGAGGAAAAGCAGCTTCGCGAGTCAGGGGCTTTCACTGACGAGTACGTATATAAACAATCTGCGAATCTTATGTTCTGTTGTTGAACCCAAAGTTACTCAGATATCTTAACTGTTGTCCAAACGGTTTGGTATTGGCTTCCAGGCTGGAGCGGAAAACAGTGAAAAGGAAAAGAGTTTTTGCCACCCTGAAGGTGTTGGGAAATGTGTTGGAGCAGGTTGCAAAAGAGATCCCTGAAGAGGTTGTGTACATTTCTTCCATGCAATTGAACTCCTATTATTCAAATCATTCTTGGCTGAAGTAGCTCTGTTGATTGAGGCTAATACTCACCTATTTTGTACTTTTACAGCTGAAGCATGTTATTGATTCGGATGCTGCAATGAGTGAGGACACAGTTGCTTACAACATTATTCCTCTTGATGCTCCTGTCACGACAAATGCCACTACGGGTTTCCCTGAGGTGAGGTTTTACCCGATTTTTCACATGCGTGTATGGCTTGTGGCTTGTCTTGCTTTATGACAACAAAATTTGAGCAGGTGCAAGCGGCAGTTGCAGCGTTGAAGTATTTTCCAGGCCTGCCAAAATTGCCTGCTGATTTCCCCATTCCCGCAACAAGGAATGCTGATATGCTTGATTTCCTCCACTACATATTTGGGTTTCAGGTTTGTCTATTTAAGAAGCTTTTTATTTGTGTTAGAAAATGATCTTTCATGTATTGTATGTGATTTCTAAATCTTACCTTCAGCAATATGAAAATTTATAATATTGAAACATGTAATGAGTGCTATGATATGATTTTGGCCAAAAACTCTTCTACTTGCTTAGTCGATATATTCAAAAGAAGTATATGGTTTCCAAGCAAAACTTTTCATTTTTTTTATGATCTCTTTTATTTGCGTCCCTTCCTGGCCATACTTATCATATATCTCTTTTCATGTTTATTATTGGTTTTCCCGGGAATAATAGTATGATACTGTTAATATCCAGCTTCTTATAAGTTTTTTTTTCCTTCAACTTTTAATATATAAATTCTTATGGTCTCAGAAAGACAGCGTCTCCAATCAGCGTGAACATATAGTTCTTCTTCTCGCAAATGAGCAATCCCGCCTTAATATTCCAGAAGAAACGGAACCTGTAAGTACCAAAGCTTATTTGAATTTCATATGATTGATTTCGCAGAAAGCTTTTTGATAAGAAGTAGATTATTTCTGATTTTGGTTTTGTTCATTTTATTGTAGTCAAAACTTCTTATTAGCCATTCTTTGTCTGGTCTTTTAGCTGACAAAGCTTAAAAGTGAAGTATTGTTATGTTCATTCTAGATACTTATGCGTGGTAATTGTGCAATGCACATGATTTTACCTTGTCTGCTGCTTTATTTAGAAAGCAGTGAGTTGCATTTAAAGATCTCATGCATAACTATTTCTCTTATGCTCTCGCAGAAACTGGATGACACTGCAGTGCGTAAGGTGTTTTTGAAGTCCCTAGAAAACTACATTAAGTGGTGTGACTACCTGTGCATTCAACCTGCATGGAGCAAGTAAATTATCCCCTCTTCCTTGTCTTTTCCTGCTACCACTCTTGCATGCTCACTCCGATTTTGTAAAATGCAGTTTAGAGTCCATCAGTGGAGAAAAGAAACTACTATTCCTCTCTTTGTATTTCCTGATTTGGGGTGAAGCTGCCAACATACGGTTTCTTCCAGAATGTTTGTGCTACATATTCCATCATGTAAGTTTTATGCTGAATGCTTATATTTCTCCATATGTGTGCATATGTTACCAGGATTCTCGAAAGCCACTTTCATGATTCTGTTCTTATCCATTTTGATATGAATGCAATCTCCTAACTTTCTGAATTGCTACTGGTTCTCTGGTATGTTGTTCATTGGGTATTATGTGCTCTTGCTCAATATTTTTTGCAGATGGTAAGAGAAATGGATGAGCTCTTACGACAGCAGGTTGCTCGCCCAGCTGAGAGTTGTATGCCAGTCGATAGCCGTGGCTCTGATGATGGTGTATCATTCCTTGATCATGTCATTGCCCCGCTGTATGGAGTTGTATCAGCGGTATGTTCTCTGAAGTATTCTTTCACCCATTGACTTTTTGGGAGTTTCCTTTCTCTGTTTTCTTCATGATCGATAATGTAGTATTTCTTTGATCCCACGTTGCTGCTACTTAATATAGAAACGTACACCATGGAATGTAGCACGAAAATGTTTCTAAAACCGTGTTGTTGAATTTGATTTAATAGTCATGCTTAGACGTCCTGGTATAAAATGTTGGTTTGTGCAGGAAGCTTTTAACAATGACAATGGCCGAGCCCCTCATTCAGCTTGGAGAAACTATGATGACTTCAATGAGTATTTTTGGTAAATTTTTAATATCTTTTTTGTCTGTTGAGTTAATTACCCTCTCTCTGTTGCCTGACGTTTTTGATTTTCGAGGTCGCTTCATTCCTTCGAGCTTGGTTGGCCGTGGCGCACAAGTTCATCTTTTTTTCAGAAACCTATACCGAGACGAAAGGTATGAAGTGGCCCCTCATAACTTACTTTAATAAGAATTTTGTATTCATACTGGTTTATTGCTTCTTTTGTGAGATTACCATCAAGTGGTAAAGATTTGATAGTCTATATGTATTGGGAAAAGCGATTAGTTACCCTCGTGATGGCAATTTGCAAACGTCTATAATTCAGCTCCTAGACCATGTGTTAGAGGTTGATCTTGAAGTTATGTTGGCGTGTAGTCTTGCAGTTGTACTCGTTTACTTTCCTTCTTACTAAGTAGGCTGCTATTTTTATTTTATTTTTCTCTAAAGAAGTTGAGGTTCAGTTCGCGTGTGTTTTGTATAAGATCTAGATACATACTTCTTTTTTCCCCATAGGTGAATATGATGTTGATATACTGGTCTTAACCTTGCAGTACGAGCTTAAAACCGGTAGGGCAAAACATCGAGGAAAGACTTCCTTTGTTGAGCACCGAACATTTTTGCATCTCTACCACAGTTTCCATCGGCTATGGATATTCCTCTTTATGATGTTTCAGGTTTGTAATCCGACTCAGGATTCAGTTTATTTGTTGTACTTGTTCTCAATGTTTATAGTTAACGCCTATCCTTGGTGGTGTGGGTTTGTGTTGTTTGATAGTCGCATTGTTAACTTTGGACGTTTGTTTATGACTTGTTCTTTCACTATTGTGCCATAAAAGGTTCTCCGGCTACCACACTCTAACAGACTTCCTTACAGGCACTAGCCATAATTGCGTTCAACAAAAACAATCTTACCTCCAGGAAGACATTGCGTGAAATTCTCAGCCTGGGTCCGACTTTCGTTGTGATGAAATTTTCTGAGAGTCAGTGTTAAACCTCATACTCTTTACTTTATTGTTATTAACATTATGGTTTAGTGAAGAAAAGCTTATGCTTAATGTTATAGGTATTCTTGACGTCATCATGATGTATGGTGCTTATTCTACGACAAGACGGCTGGCTGTTTCTCGCATTTTTCTCCGCTTCATTTGGTTTGGCCTTGCTTCCGCCTGCATATCTTTCCTCTATGTGTATGTGAACCTTCTTTTTATTGTTCCGTCGTTTTTCATATCGCTTTTGCAATTTTTCTTTTTTTTGGGGTAGTTTTTGCATTCCCTTGTTTGATACTTTTTTTATTTGTTTGCAGGAGAGCACTTCAAGAAGATAGTAAACCAAATTCTGATTCAGTCATCTTCAAGCTTTATGTGATTGTCATAGCCATCTATGGTGGTGTTCAATTCTTTTTTAGTATCCTGATGCGTTTCCCAACTTGTCACAACATTGCTAATAAATGTGATCGGTGGCCTGTGATTCGATTCTTCAAGTGGATGCGCCAGGTTCTGAGCCTCATATATCTCTTTCATTCTATATGCTTAATGTTTAGATCCTTGAGAATAATCTCTGATGCTTACTTGATTGTATTTTCAGGAGAGACACTATGTTGGCCGTGGCATGTATGAAAGGACATCTGATTTTATAAAGTAGTCTCTTCACCTTCTGTTTGTTACTTATTTTTTAGTTACGTATTTTAATCATCTGTATTCTGGGGACTTCAAGTTGTTCTAGGTATATTTCATACTGAAAATGCATGGGCGGATTACCTCTGATAAACTGTAATGCTTTAAACTGTGCTTCTGACTAGGGTGCGAGAAGCAGGAGATATACTTATTTGATTGATACTGACCATCTTCAGCTAGAATGGTCTTTATGTTTTTAATTTGTAAAGGTTGTACTCACCCATTCGTATAACGCAGGTACTTGCTGTTTTGGCTTGTCGTTCTGTCTGCAAAGTTCTCATTTGCGTACTTTCTTCAGGTTGGTTCTTTTGGCAGGAAGCATGATTGTAATATGTTGGTAGTTGTACTGAAGATTGTGGTTACACGTAAATATGTATATCTACAACATAAAATACTACTTATGTACCCAAAGTGTTTCTTTTCTGTGTTAATTAAGATTCTCCCATTTTGTTCAACATAGATTCTAGCTCAAGTTATACAGCAAGCTCGTTAAGTTGGAAGTAATTTTATGAACGCAGGCGTACACTTATCTTATAAGAAAGAAAAATATTCATCTGACATTTGAACGATATTTCTGTTCATTGCGATTTCTTGTAGTCTGATCCTGAAGTAATTATTCGAGAAACATCGCAAAGATGCTTTGTTTGGCAAGTACGATTCGTATTACTAATATCTCTTGCTGATGAATTTGCAGATTGAGCCGCTCGTTGGTCCAACAAGGATTATAGTGAAACAGGATAATATTCCGTACTCATGGCATGATTTTGTGTCAAGAAGTAAGTATTAGGATTCGTAGATTTTGTTTAGCGAGTAGTGTTGACCATAGACATGGATTTTTTTTATTTACGATACTTAATTTATGTAAGCCTAGTAGCTTGAAGGATTGTGCCGTATTATGTTAGTTCCCTCTGGAATCATACACCTATGCTTCTTTGCAGTATATGATATTAAAGCCTAACTCTAAAAATAGGTCCCCGTAGGGATGTTATTAGCTCTTCTATTGTGTTTCGTGCTGATAACTGTACTGGTAATCTTGAATAAATATTTTTCTGTTAGATTGTCATACTCTAATATTTCTTTATCTGGATGCAGAAAACTATAATGCTCTGACTGTTGCCAGTTTGTGGGCTCCTGTGGTCGCTGTAAGTTCAATGGTCTTTACATGAGGGTTGGCACTTGTGTTGTTCTAGGTTTTGTTGGGAGCAATCACTGGTTCACATTTAAGTTCTCCTTCATTGTATTGTAACTTTCTCTTTCACATAATGCAGATATACCTGTTAGACATCCATATATTCTACACCATTGTCTCTGCATTTTTGGGTTTTTTGCTCGGTGCGAGAGATCGTTTGGGGGAGGTATGTGTGGTTCCACTTCTGTTTGTCTTAAAAATGCCGAAACCAAGATATTTAAAGCTGTTACTACACTGTTTGTAAGAGGCTACGTCCTTACCTGTCCGTGCAATCTTGACAGATAAGATCTTTAGAAGCAATTCACAAGCTCTTTGAGGAGTTTCCAGGGGCCTTTATGACGGCTCTTCATGTCCCTATTACCGATCGGTTAGGTTCCTTTCCATCTGTCGTCTAAGAACTTCATTTTAAACGCGCATCTCCCTTTATCTTTGTTAAATATTAACATTTTTCTCGTCATCATTGCCTTTCGCCTATGATTCAAAATCATGTGCAGGACTTCTGATCCTTCTCATCAGGTAGTGATGTTTTTCCCTCTTCTCGGTTTCGTACATGTTGGCCTATTTTACGTTTATGAAGCACTTATTTCCTAAATGAATGTATGCTATGTCATGTTTGTTTTCTTCTCACGTTTGTTGTTTACATTTGCATGCAATTATCAACTCAAAGGCTGTGGATAAGAACAAAGTAGATGCAGCACACTTTGCTCCATTTTGGAACCAAATAATAAAATGTCTACGAGAGGAAGACTACGTCACTGATTTGTAAGTGCTTTATGCTTTACAATAACTATGCTGTGTGCCTAATGCTCTTAGCTTCTGCTTTTTAGTGGTCTCGTTCTTACCCATTTTTCTCATTTGGGACCATTTTCTAGTGAGATGGACTTGCTCCTGATGCCCAAGAATTCTGGTAGGCTCCAATTGGTTCAGTGGCCACTTTTTCTTCTTTCCAGCAAGGTGAGTTTGTTACTTTACCTGCTTTTATCAAAATTCAACGTTTTATTGTGGCTATCTGGTTAGCTTCGTTGCTTTCCATAAAAATCGTGTATGAGGTCATTTCTTAGTGAAAATCTGAAAACTATTTTCCTATGTTATCTACGGTAGATATTATTGGCCAAAGAGATTGCCGCTGAGAGTAATTCGCAAGAGGAGATTGTGGAGAGGATCGAAAGGGATGATTATATGAAATATGCTGTTGAGGAAGTCTACTACACTCTTAAACTTGTCCTAACAGAAACTCTGGAAGCCGAGGGGAGGATGTGGTAATGGATTTTCTTAGCCCTAAAGTGAGTTGCACAGATTTTTTTCTGGGTAAAAGGTTGATATATATTGTGAATTTTGCAGGGTGGAGAGAATCTACGAAGACATCCAGGCCAGCATAAAGAACAGAAATATACATCATGATTTTCAGTTGAACAAACTCTCCCTTGTTATCACGAGAGTGACCGCACTCTTGGGAATCCTGGTATGCGCATTGCCAGTGCTAATTATGTCTTTGTCAGAATTGCCTTTATTGAACCGGCTCTTGATTATTATTATAGTACTATTCTTCATGATTCTGAAAGTTATGTTAGTGTGAGTTATATGCGTCCTTACCTAGGGTGCCGTAGTTTTTGACTGTTATCAATTGGATGGAGTTTTATCTTCTGTTTTTTCTTGGATATATTTGATTTTAAGTTATGTTCAATTCCATGGACAGAAAGAAAATGAAACACCGGAGCATGCGAAAGGGGCTATCAAAGCACTTCAGGATCTCTACGATGTTATGCGGCTTGACATATTAACTTTTAATATGAGGTACATACAAAGTTGAAGATTTAGCTGCGTTTTTGTGCAACAATCCAATCGTTCTTTTCTTTTATATGTTTAACAGTTTTATAAAAATATGTTGCTCTGTGTAGAGGTCACTATGAAACGTGGAACATGTTAACTCAAGCCTGGAATGAAGGCCGGCTTTTCACAAAATTGAAATGGCCTAAAGATCCTGAACTGGTATAATGATGATTTTTGTTGTCAAGGTTATATAAGTGTACTCATGTATTTTCTGTCAATCTGATAATTCTCTATGATTTGCAGAAAGCTCTGGTCAAAAGATTGTACTCTCTATTTACCATCAAAGATTCTGCAGCGCATGTTCCCAGAAATCTTGAAGCCAGACGCAGACTGCAATTCTTCACGAATTCTCTATTCATGGATGTGCCACCACCAAAGTCTGTCCGCAAGATGTTATCCTTCAGGTATTTCTTTGTTTATACTTTCATCTTTTTATCCAAACAAGCTTTTCACAAGCTTACTTCCTTTGAATTTTTTTTCAGTGTCTTCACTCCATATTATTCTGAGGTTGTGCTATACAGCATGGCTGAACTCACTAAGAGAAATGAAGATGGAATATCAATCTTGTTTTACCTTCAGAAAATATATCCAGGTATATTGCCCTTGTGAATTCGTAAAAAAGATTAGTGACATTTGCCTAGCTTTTTTTGTTTCTTACTAGTAAGTTACTTCTGTTATGCTTTCTGTGCTTAATTTTGTTACCATTGTGGATAGGTGCCTAATATGTTTTCATTGATATTTGATATGTTGCAGATGAGTGGAGAAATTTTCTTGCACGAATAGGACAAGATGAAAATGCGTTAGAAGGCGATCTACATAATGAGAGAGACATACTTGAACTTCGCTTTTGGGCTTCTTACCGTGGACAAACATTAGCTAGAACAGGTAAAGTAAACAAATCACTACACCTTTTTTCTTGGGGATACACTATTCACTTCACGATCTCACAGTGCAAGTTGTATTGGTATCTATTTAGGAAAGAGCCTTATTTTCAGCTTTTCCCTTGCATATACTTTCAGTGTTTTGTTTACGTGTTATCTGGCATTATACCTGCAGTTCGCGGGATGATGTATTATAGGAAAGCTCTCATGCTTCAGTCTTATCTGGAAAGAAAAGCTGGAAGAGGTAAGAGGCTAAAGAGCTTTCTATTGATATATCATTTTGGTCAAGCTTTTTCTTAGGTATGTCTCACTTATTACAGACGGGGAGTCCGCACTTTCTAGTAATGACACAACGGATGCTGATGGATTTGAGTTATCCCCTGAAGCAAGGGCCCAAGCAGATCTAAAGTTTACATATGTTGTCACATGCCAAATATATGGAAGACAGAAAGAAGATCAAAAACCTGAAGCTGTTGACATTGCATTGCTAATGCAAAGGTATGAAGACACCTTTCTGGATTTCTCTACCTCAGGTCTAAAGCTTCTGCTATCCTTGTCTTATAAATATGGTATTTCCAAGCTAATTTCTTTCATTCTGTTGTCAGAAATGAAGCCCTTCGCATTGCTTATATCGATGTTGTTGATACTCCGAAGGAGGGTAAATCTCATACAGAATATTATTCAAAGCTAGTGAAAGCCGACATCAGTGGAAAGGATAAGGTAAACTGTGATTATCTGTGAACCCAGTCGCGAGACTAGTTTTCTTGTTTTCTTAATGTTCAAACACCTAAACATGCTTTAAAGTGATGAGTAAACTGTGATTGCGCTGTAAAAGGAGTTGGCATTTTTCTGGTTATGCAGGAAATTTACTCCATAAGGTTGCCTGGGGACCCGAAACTTGGCGAAGGCAAACCTGAGAATCAAAACCACGCCATTGTGTTTACTCGCGGAAATGCAATCCAAACTATTGATATGAATCAGGTTAGTATGCAATTCTTGTGTGGCATCCTTTTGTTTTAAAAGCCTTCTTTCGAGATCTTCTGTGTTTTGTTATAAATTAAGTTTCTCTGGAATTTCAATTAAGTAAATTAGCTATATAGGCTTGGTAAAGAGTATTTTGAATAACTGTTTGGAGTTGGCCATCTCATCATATGTGTACCTGCATCTTCTATCATGATTGCATGCCTGCTTACATTCTTTACGTATCTATACGACGATTCTATACGAGAGCTATATTCATCTCCAGCCTCTAGCATCATGTTATTTATTTATTTTTCGTTATTTGTTAGGATAATTATTTTGAAGAAGCCTTGAAGATGCGAAATCTTTTGGAGGAATTCGATCGGGACCATGGAATTCGACCTCCCACCATTCTTGGAGTTAGGGAACATGTATTTACTGGAAGGTGTGAACCAGGCATTAGTATATCTATTTTTCTTATTTGGTATATTTCATCTTACATAATTGTTTGTGACAATGTGCAGTGTCTCCTCCTTGGCCTCTTTCATGTCCAATCAAGAAACCAGCTTTGTAACTCTTGGGCAACGAGTATTGGCAAAACCCCTGAAGTACGCTTATCTTCCTTGAACAAACCACCTAGAAGCTTATCTTCCTTGAACAACGTGAACTCGTATGGAATCCTTATTCAGTCATTTCTGTATTATAGGATCCGCATGCATTACGGTCATCCAGATGTCTTTGACAGAGTTTTCCATATTACACGTGGTGGTATCAGCAAGGCCTCTCGGGTCATCAATATTAGTGAAGATATTTTTGCTGGTAAGCCAATTCCTTGATTGAAAGTTACCTTCAGAACTGTTCGGTTTTGCTAGATCATAAAAACACACACAAATGATGGAAAAATGATAGACTTAAATATTGACCATTTTTATCTAAATTTCTTCAACACTTGATTGATGTTGATGCTATGATTTTCAGGTTTTAACTCAACTCTACGTCAAGGGAATATTACTCATCATGAGTATATTCAGGTCCGTACTTTTCAACTCTTTACAAATAAATGGATAAACAATATATATGTATTAATTTTATTTACAGGTGGGCAAAGGGCGAGATGTGGGCCTCAATCAAATAGCTCTGTTTGAAGGGAAGGTTGCTGGTGGGAATGGTGAACAGGTTCTTAGTCGGGATGTTTACAGACTTGGCCAGCTCCTTGATTTCTTCCGAATGATGTCATTCTACTTTACAACTGTTGGCTTCTATTTCTGTACAATGGTATGTGGATCCTCAAATGAGTCCTAGTGATTTTTACGCCTCTAGCCATAGTTTTCAAGTTGACACATGCATCCAGAATGTTTACCTGATTTAATTAGAGTGGTCTTAGCGTCATGGTTTCCCATTTTACCTCTATAACAATATTTAGCTGCCAAATCTATAAGTTCCAAGTTTCTCGAAGTATGGTTTCCAGGAACTAATGCTGATGAATTAACATTTTCTTGGCCTCTTGCAGTTGACGGTTCTTACTGTGTATATCTTCTTATATGGGAGGGCATACCTGGTAAGCATGGTTACCTCATGTTGGTTATGACGCATGTGCTATCTTCATGGCTGATTTTTTTACGATTTTTTCTTGCATATTACCCATGATGCTGGGTGAAGGTATCCAAGTCCTTACTTGTGTTTGATTTTTGATAGGCACTTTCTGGAGTTGGAGCTACTATTCGAGAAAGAGCTATTTTACTGGACGATACTGCACTTAGCGCCGCCCTGAATGCTCAGTTTCTGTTTCAGATTGGTGTCTTCACTGCTGTGCCAATGGTTTTGGGCTTTATTTTGGAACAAGGTTTTCTCCAGGTACTGGTTTTCCACCAGTTTAATCATATCGTAATGTTATGAGTTAGCTCGTTCATAACATTGGAGACTGACATGTGTTCTGAGTTAGCTCGTTCATTTACTTGATTATCTACGGTGTACTTTTATTGGATTATATGTTGCCTTATGGTCACAGATTCGCATCTTTTCTTTTCTTTCGTTATTCAGGCCATTGTCAGTTTCACAACGATGCAATTTCAGCTGTGTACCGTCTTCTTCACATTTTCCCTTGGCACAAGAACCCATTATTTTGGACGAACAATTCTCCATGGTGGTGCTAGGGTATTTTCTTATCCTCGGTTCTTACATCTCTCTATATTGTATGGAACGTGATAAACATGTTTGTAAACAGTACCAAGCCACTGGAAGAGGATTTGTCGTGAAGCATATCAAATTTTCTGAAAACTATCGTCTATATTCCAGAAGCCATTTTATTAAAGGGTGGTCTCCTCTTACACTCTTTGTTTCTTATGTGCATACATTCCTGATGTATACCTGTTTAGTAAAGTATGAAAAATTCATTGGTATGCTTTTTTTCTCTCTAGGATGGAGGTTATTCTCTTACTGGTTGTCTACCTGGCGTATGGAAATGATGAGGCTGGTGCTGTTTCCTACATCCTTCTGACTATTAGCAGCTGGTTTTTGGCTCTCTCTTGGCTTTTTGCTCCGTACTTGTTCAATCCAGCTGGATTTGAGTGGCAAAAGTAAGTAAAGCTATCTTATTAAAATCCTGTTAATTATAAATGTTCTCTCATTGAGCAAGATCTGTTTTCTCCTTTCAGGGTCGTGGAGGACTTCAAAGAATGGACAAATTGGCTCTTCTACAGAGGTGGAATCGGTGTTAAAGGAGCTGAAAGCTGGGAAGCATGGTGGGAAGAAGAACTGGTAAAAACTTCATCTGCTTATATATTTTTGGATTCTATAACAGTTCACACTTTGGAGATGTGTGATGAATTTCTTGCTTATCTGTCTATCAAATTTTCTACCTTATTTGGCAAATAATAATTATCTTTGATGCGTCAACAGTCTCACATTCGAACCTTGAGCGGGAGGATAGTGGAGACTATATTAAGTCTACGATTCTTTATGTTCCAGTATGGCATTGTCTACAAACTGGAATTGCAAGGATCAGATACATCATTGGCGGTACAGCGTTTCCCTTTGTCTACGCTTCAGCATATTCTTGTTTGCTAGTTTTTTTTGCGTTGAAAAATCTTTTAATGCCTTTTCCACATCCTAACATGGTATATGTGAAGCAATAACCACCATTAAAGCAGAGTGCATTAGTCGTTAATGATCCCTCTGGTCATGTTTCATGTCAATACCACTTGATAATTACTTGCGAGGGTAGAAAGGTCATGGCGTGTTAAATTGGGTTATGATGATGTTTTGAATGTGTGGAGTATGACATGGGTGGTGGGATTTCTGTAAGATATTTGCTGTGAACGCAGCTGCTTAACAATATAAGTACTTATACTATGTGCAGGTGTATGGTTGGTCATGGGCTGCATTTGCGATGAGCATTGTTCTTTTCAAGGTTGGTTTATCCTCAATAACCATAAATTTTCTGATTGAATTGCAGCATGACATGATCTGATATATATATATATATCCAATTTTCAATAGGTCTTTACCTTCAGTCAGAAGATATCTGTCAACTTCCAGCTTGTCCTGAGGTTTGTACAAGGCCTTGCCTTGTTGGTGGCTCTAGCTGGGATAGTTGTAGCCGTTGTGCTCACAAACTTGTCGGTGACAGACGTGTTTGCTTGCGTATTGGCCTTTATTCCGACAGGATGGGGCATTCTCTCAGTAAGCTTTCTCACTGATGGTTTTTTACCTCTTTCAATCTCTCTCTCTCTCTCTCTCTCTCTCTCTCTCTCTCTCTCTCTCTCTCTCTCTGCGGTTTAACAATGTAATGTCTCTTTCTTGTCCAATCAGATTGCGTGTGCTTGGAAGCCAATCATGAAGCGGATTGGGATGTGGAAGTCGATCCGCTCGCTAGCGAGGCTGTATGATGCAGGAATGGGAATGCTCATCTTTCTCCCCGTTGCGCTCTGCTCGTGGTTCCCATTTGTCTCGACCTTCCAAACACGTATGATGTTTAACCAAGCCTTTAGTCGCGGTCTCGAGATCTCTCTCATCCTCGCTGGAAACAATCCCAATTCAGGCCTTTGAAATTCTCATTAGCTTTAGCTTTGCCTTTTGTTGAGTGCTATCTATATATCATATGTATTTGTTTCTCATACACTGACTTGTGTATTTATTTCTCTTAGTTACGAGTGTAGCAGTAGAAAAATGATGAGAAGCAGCCTATTTGTAATTTTTAGTCATTTAAAGACTCTTGTTATTTAATTTCTAAGTAGCTTCATTACATGTCAGATTAATGGTTTCTTCATTTCTTCATCACGACGTAGCTCTTCATCACGGCAGAATTTCCCGTACGCTCTTAAGTTGTAATGAATTTTTTATTTGAAATTTCAACATAATTAAAGTTCCAAAATTGCTGTAAAAAAAAAAATTAAAGTTTCAAAATTAAGTCATCCTTTTTTTCATCAACGTCAAAGACTCAAAGTCATCCATACTTTCTCAAAAGTCAAAACTACCGAAAATATTAGAACCTTGGGCCCCATAAAAGCCCACTTAAGCGAAAGCATAAGCCCATATAACTGGAGAAAACAATTCCCAAAGCCTGAAAAGCCTGAAAAGCGGAAGCAGAAGGTTCCAGTCGGAAGGTCTCAGGCTCTCAGCAGCCTACAAAGGTACCGTTATCAAAAAGCTTATACGAGAACATTCAGGCAAACTCCAGAAATTCGTTGGACCCTCTCAGCAGAGTGATGGCGGGAGACGACGGTTGGAGGAAGATCAAACTTTTGTGTCCCTCTGTTTCAAAGATTATCGACTGGGTTGCTTGGGACGATCAGAAACTGGACTTTAGGTCCATTGCCGCTGCGTTTCGGCTCGAACCGTCGACGGTGAAGCTCAATGGTCACTTCATAAGCAGAAATATTGACCTAATGGCTGCTTGCGTGACGTGGAAGTCTTTGCTCGCTTTCTTCTCAGCCAAAGGCTTGTCTACTGGAAAAGACGAAGCCGATGCCCTCCTCGTTGACGGCAAGCTCTCGAAAGTCGGCACCAAAAGTGAGTTTCTTTAAAATTAAGCAAATCCTCTTCTTTCTTTTCTGGGATTAGTTACCCAAGAAAATTTCGATCCAAACTCTTTCTTGTTGGTACGTGATTAATTTCTCAGGAGTACACTCTGATTGTCCTCTTGAGGACTTAACCTGCAACGTTCTTGGTTTATTCAGAAACAAGAAGTTGAAAGATAAGTGTTCAGGTATGAACACTTTTTTACACACATATGGTTTTGAATATCTACTTTTGACTTCTGAGTTTGAATCAGACTTATCACTTTTCATCAATAGGAGAACCTCTGGTCTCTAGATACAACAAGAGAAAGCTATTGTCTGAAGATACGCACTCACTCAAGAAACTAAAACTCAACATGGGTGATAGCTCTGGTAAAGTTCCAGTATGGTCTATTCTCTTATGTACTAAAACAACTTTATGGTCACTTCTTTGATGTACTTATATAGATGGGGGTTTAAAGATGTTGCAGGAAGACAAAGTGGAGTCAGCAAAACGCCATTGAAATGCAGTCTGAAGAGGACAAGAGAAGATGATATGATTGCTTCTTGTAAAAAAATAACATGACAAGACAATGTAAAAGCAGAGCAGGTTGTGGTAGTTTTTTTGTCTCTCAAGTATTTAACTAAAAACGAAATGCAAAATTCCAATTCTAAGAGCAAATCTTACAGGATCCAAAAATTATCTTGTTGATACATATGGTACAGCTGTTGTCTCTTCAAAGTTCTGAGCCTACTTGTCCGTGGAAAAATATTGCCATGCCGCAGCAGCTCCTGCAACTAAGATGATTTTGAAGAGAAGTTTACTAGAAAAGACCGAAGATCGAGCTTCATGTGACTCCGTTGATGATGACGGTGCTTCTACTGGTCTCCCTCTAATCTTAGCTATGAGTCTTGATAACAACTGCTTAAGCCCACCTTTTTTCTTTCCTGCTGGAGGAAACACAAAAATCATTAAGTCATCCCAAGTGGGCGTCAAATGATTCTCAGCAGCATTTGGTGACTAACCTTGGCTTTTGAGAAACCTTTCTTCTTCACCTATTCGTCTACGTAGAACATTGAGCAATGACCCGAAGTACAATGCGAAAACGGTGCACGTGATCGTGATTACGTTGTAAGGCATGCTAAAATCAGGGGTTGTCAAAGGTGCGAGCAATACTTCTGTGTAAGAGCGCACTAATGATTTTTCCTGAGACAAATCCAAAGGATAACTGAAGTTATTGTATTTGAATTAAAGGGAAAACGCAGAAACTACTTTTGAGTGTAATATCGGTTCTCTACCTTAAATTTTGATAGAAAGGGCGATTTGGTGACTTCTTCTTTGAAATCTAAACTTGCATGATGATCGGGAAAGCTTATCAAAGCCGATGGAATGTCGAATCCTTGGTTAGCATCAGGAGGATATTCATCTATATGTAGAAAACCCTGTTAAGCAGATTTTCAGAAACAAGTTAGTAAACACAACAGTCTTCTGACACTCAAGATCCACTGATTTGGCGATCAGATTATGATAGGTGAAGGTGAAGAAAAGTACACATGGAAAGTATGAAAAACGAAATATCACCTTATCATATTCTATGGATATGGCTGCAGATTTCACTTCACATGGTAGTTCCAGCATCATCTCCATCATACCAGAAGACATCTTATCCGTAGATGGTGAGACATTGATCTTCTTTACGACCTCAATGACTGTCTTCTGTTCTTGGTCCACAAAGATTTGAAGAGAGTGATAATAAACCTTGATATACCATGGGAAAATCTGGAAAATGTTTACTTTTACTGTACAGCATCCATTGGTGAGATCTCTGCCCGACAAATTCTCCAGCGATTCTGTCGCTTTTAACAAGATGGCTATTGCACCTCTTTCGTTCCCGCTTCCCATCAAAAACCGACTCGCGTGTAATGGAGCTTGTTGGCATGACCACTTTGCGGGAAGCTTCCAAGTAAGGCCGAGATCAAATGGCTCACTGTCACTAGATTTTTCAATATCAAAGACAAGAAGAAAGCTGTTGATTTCTCGAAGAATCCTGTCCGGCGTAAGGGATAGTTCAAAGTCTGCGTTGTTCCAGAGTTTTTGTGCTTCTAATTCTGTATCCACGCTCTTTAATTCGTGACCAGAAAGACCATCCATATGAAGATATACATTACTTGACTTTGCAAGCACACATCTTCCAACAACTTTTCTCCCGAAGAGGGAGCTGATGGACCAACTCGGCTGTATGTTTGCTTCAACAGATATAGTGTCAGGCTGAAGAACAACAGTAAGAGTCTGCTCGAGCAATATGCCAGAACCCAATCCCTCTTCACCAGATTCAACCGTGGATAAATGCAATCTCTGAGAATGATAAAACGCTCTGTAAACAGATGGCCTATTCATTAACGCAGAAAGTCCATCCTTGTCTCTACACGGAAGCAGCTTTAGCCACGGGGTCAAGTTCTCAGTGCAAACAGCTTCACGTGGCAGTGAACCATACCTCAGCTTGTCTGAGTTTGGCCCGAACCCCCATGTGGGAGCTGCATACGAAGTGGAAGATTCTAGAAAGTTGATGGAAGCACAGAAAAGCCCTGACAGTGCGTTGGTTAAGTTCTTCCAAGAAGCATCAACCTCAGACTGAGGTACATCAAACACAGCCCACAGCTCGACCCCAACAGGCTTCGCGTTCATGCTTGAAAGCGGGTCAAATCCTCCCCAGTGCTCATGGTTCCAACGACCCTGAGTGAAAGATAGCTCCATCTCCTTGACCCGAAACTTCTGAACCTGTTCATTTTTAAGAGAACCAAAACAGCTACATCAAATACAGGTAAACAAGCCATACTAACATGAACATTTCAAATGGCAAAGCAAACATAGGTTACTTCCGAAGCTGCTAATTCTACATCACTGATACGAGAGCTAAACTGGTTAAACCTTTCAAGATCTTAAACCTCCAATTTTCAAACTGCAAAATATCAAAGCTATGAAGAAGAGAGCAAATTTACAACGACCTAATCGCATCCCAGCTAAAATTTCCGCTTACAGGGCAAACCAATACGAAAAGTTTTCTCCTTAAATTCTGAGCTCAATACATTGCTATGGGGAAAACGAAGAGGTTATTACCAACTGAGAAATAGCTTTCGGGAAGAGATGGTGGTGGCGGCCATGTGAATTTGACGGAGGAGCTCGGTTCTCGAAATGGAAGTGAGCTAAAACTTTTCGATCAGGCAGAGGCTTCAACAGCAATGCCTCGCTGAATTCTTCAACTTCTTCCGACCCAAAAGCGATCGCAACCAAAAACGATTGCAAAATTAACAAAGAGATCCAGGTTCGAACAAGTCTGGCCATAATCGGATCCACTGATGGAACGCCGGAGTCGGTGACTGGCTTGTATTACCGCGGATCGAGCATTACAGAGTAGGTCGCTGTGCTCCGGCGAGGAGATGCGTTTAAGGCCAAAACGCAAAAAAAAAACGGTAATAGCCGGCCGCGATTAAAGAGCGATAGCAAATGAAATGGCTGCTGATAATAAGTAAAAGGGAGAAACGAATAGAATTTGATTTTTCACCCAAAATAAAATAAAAAGAGAAACGAATAAGATCCAAAGTTCATTTATTCAACATTTATTTCAATGTTGTGGATCGTAATCTACAGACAAGATGATTTAGAGAGAATTTGTCAAACCACCATAATTAGAGCCAAACATAAAATAAAATAAAATACTAGCATGTTTAGTTGACAAATTGATGAATGGAAATTAATGTAATTCTGATTCTAATGCGATCATTTTTTGCGCATTAGAGGTGATCTAATCCCCAAATTCATTGTTAATGGTCTTCTTAGTCAGATTACTCAAACTAGAAGTTTATTTTGACATTTATATCTGTTCGACGTTATAAACGATGTGATTGTGATCATAGTTACACACTATCAAATATATACATATGAAGAATCCTACACTTATTAAAAATGCTATTTTTTTCCTTAGTAAATCATGGTATATGCTTGCATTTATGACACATTTGACATACATATTTTGGATCATTGACGAAAAACTTATAATCGGTGTTAAATTCGTGATGGTTGAATTCTATACACTTTTTGTATACACAAAAGTTATAATGTCAACATGAACTAAGCACATTATATATATGTGAGGATGAAAAAAATCTACAACTATTTTTCCTATAAGTTAAGCTTGATTTTCGACCTATGCATATAGACTTATATTAAGATTGAGAATTGTATACGACCATATGTTTTTTTTACAATATACAAAAAAAAAATTCAAAACTAAAGACAAAATAACACAACATTTTATAATTAAGTTATCCAACAAAGCCCTCTACAAAGAAAATAATAGAACTGGCAAGGCAGAACAAAACCTATTAAATTATCCAGAAAAATACAAAGCAGAAAGGCACAAAACATTATGGTTAGGTTTCTCCACCACAGAAGATTGAAATAGGTAGTAATTTATATAATCAAAACGTCACTGTATTTAATTAAATATCAGAATTACTACAATTCTCCTCGAACCGCACGTATTCACTTACACATCCGAGATGTATACAAAAATCATAAAAAATATTTCTTTCGATGATGGTTTCGACTTTCGAGTGATGATAACTTGTTTAACGATAATGACTATTTAATCGGGCACTTTGATTTCCGAAAGTACCCCAACGCCAACATAAGAAAGCCGCCCACTACAATGAAAAGCTCCGCCACCACCTTGTGATAAAACGATGACGTTTCATGACGATTCTATCAACTTCCTCGGACTTGCACTTGTTCTGCTCCTCTGCTTTCTCTCGCCGGCAACCTTCGCCGCAGATTATATCTCGTCTACTTTGGACGGTCCGTTCGTTCCGGTAACGGTGCCTTTAGACACCACTCTCCGGGGAAAAGCAATCGATTTGCCTGACACCGATCCTCGCGTACGCCGCCACGTCACTGGTTTCGAGCCCGAGCAGATTTCTCTCTCTCTCTCATCCGATCACGATTCCGTTTGGGTCTCTTGGATCACAGGTTCATTCATTTTCTGAAAATTACGTCATCTGTAATTCTCTTCAAGTTAAGTCTTTTATAATTTATTTTATTATTTCGTTCGTCCTATAAGAACTGAATTTTCTTCCAAGTTATGTAATAAATGCTAAACTCTGACATGAGAGGAAGAATCTTATCACCAACTCTTCTAACTCTTTTTAGTTGCTTCAGTATAAAGTTAGGATATTGTGACTCTGATGAAAAAATAAGAATTCTTATAGTATAAGTTTGTATTAAAATTAATTCATGAAATCATTGTTTTTGTGTTTTGAAAGGTGAGTTCCAAATCGGCGAGAACGTGAAGCCATTAGATCCGACAAGTATCGACAGTATTGTCCAATTCGGCACTTTGAGGCACTCACTGAGTCATGAAGCCAAAGGACATTCACTTGTTTATAGTCAACTTTACCCTTTTGAAGGTCTCCTTAACTACACTTCTGGAATCATACACCATGTTCGCATTACAGGTTCTTCTTTTCTCTTTTCTTCATTTTAGGCCACCAATTTGCGTTTGCGTTTTGCGTTTTTTTGTTTGCCTATTGTGTATCATTTTCCAAATGAAATGGCAAACGCAAACCGAATGATCCTTTTTGCGTTTTAATTTTCAAAATATATTGTAAAAAGTGAAAATGTTTTATGTTAATTTTTTTAATAAATTACATAAATGCAAACGGAAACGCAAAAATTAGCGTTTCAAGCAATCGAGTCGTTGATCGATTCTTGATATAACGGTTTGTTTTTTAAAACACAGGGCTGAAACCAAGTACTGTCTATTACTATCGCTGTGGGGATCCTTCACGACATGGTATGAGTAAGATACACCATTTCAGGACAATGCCGGTTTCGAGGCCGTCGAGTTATCCCGGTCGGATAGCAGTTGTGGGTGATCTTGGTCTCACTTATAACACCACAGATACGATTAGTCATTTGATTCATAATTCTCCGGATCTAGTTTTATTGATCGGCGATGTGAGCTACGCAAACTTGTATCTAACCAACGGTAGTAGCTCGGATTGTTATTCTTGCTCTTTCCCACAGACGCCTATACACGAGACGTATCAGCCACGTTGGGATTATTGGGGTAGGTTCATGGAGAATCTGACTTCAAGAGTTCCTTTTATGGTGGTCGAAGGAAATCACGAAATCGAATTGCAAGCTGAGAACAAGACATTTGAAGCTTATAGCTCAAGATTCGCTTTCCCTTTTAAAGAAAGCGGCTCCTCTTCCACGCTCTACTATTCTTTTAACGCCGGCGGGATTCACTTTGTAATGCTCGGTGCCTACATCGCCTTTGACAAATCAGGTTTATTATTCTCATGCACACTCTTTTGACCTCTAAATTTACTAGTGGATTTCCTTGGGTCCCAAGTTAACTCTAGTTCCGGTTTACCTTCGAATCAGACCTAAATTGTTGGGTAGATATGATTCATATATTTAATTGCTTCAAAAACCGTTTAGCAAACCAATCTGATCGCGTGGTTAACCGCCTAGAAATCCATACATAGTAAATGGGTCTCGGTCTCTTTTTCTTTTCTTTTTTTCTGCAGCGGAACAGTACGAGTGGCTAAAGAAGGATTTGGCTAAATTTGATAGATCGGTGACACCTTGGTTAGTAGTTTCTTGGCATCCACCTTGGTATAGCTCTTACACAGCGCATTACAGAGAAGCCGAATGTATGAAAGAAGCTATGGAGGAGTTGCTTTACTCTTACGGTACCGACATTGTCTTCAACGGACACGTAAGACACGAAACTCTCTCTTTATTTTCTCTTTTGGTATATGATTAGACCGTGTGAAAACATCTTTTCCAGGTTCATGCTTATGAACGGTCGAACCGAGTTTACAACTACGAACTAGACCCGTGTGGCCCTGTCTACATTGTGGTTGGAGATGGAGGAAACCGTGAAAAGATGGCGATTGAGCATGCCGATGAACCCGGTAAATGTCCTGACCCATTAACCACACCGGATCCTGGCATGGGTGGCAAATTTTGCGGTTGGAACTTCACCACGTCTGGTAAATTCTGTTGGGATCGGCAACCTGATTATAGTGCCTTGAGGGAAAGCAGCTTTGGCCATGGAATCCTAGAGGTAATGATGGATCTAATTAATTCCTAAACCAGGTTATGTAATTAGGGTCTAGTCTTATAAGATTAATTATACTATTATGCAGATGAAGAACGATACATGGGCACTATGGACATGGTATAGGAATCAAGACTCGAGCAGTAAAGTCGGAGATCAGATTTACATTGTGAGACAACCTGATATTTGTCCCCGTCACAACCCCCTTGTTAACCATTTCTAAGCGCAACGTTTAAACAAGAGTGGCCTACACTCTCATCCAATAAAAGATTTTGTCTACAGTCTACCAGAAAATACAAGTTTCAAAATTTCTCCGAAAATAAAATAGTAATAATAAATGTCTTAAAACTGTAGTATTAAAAAGATCTCGAAGAAAATAAATGTTCTTGGCCAAACGATCATTGTTTATTACTTTTGCTCCATTACAACCCATTTTTTTAATAATTTAATACCACAGCTCAACCTATAAAATCATTTCAATCGATTTTTTTCATAGCAATCAACTTGTATTACAATAATCTATCTGATTCATAAATTTATTATGGTCAAAAAAATTAACTTGATAGGGTTGATCAATTGGGTTGGTTTAGATCGACTCATGTATTATGCAATAAATATTCAAAAACATAAGAGCCAAATAGCTTTCAAAAGTATTCATTTTCATCTGAATTTTTAGATAGGAGATACAACATCTTTAAACAAAACGTTTGTTGGTAATGTCAATAATATCATATGATATATAGGAATTTGAACAAAATCAACTTCAACCACAACCTTCGTGAATGGCTAGTAATTCAAGAAACTCACTAAATATTCCATTAAAATATTCAAACCTTGTGCAAATATGAATCTTTAATTTGAGGTATTTTTCACTGCTAATAAATATATTATTATTCTTCATTTAAGTCTTATCTAGATTATGTGATTATTTTACCGTTTTTACGAATTAGAGTAATCATCTTCAATTAAAACTCTAGTTCGTAGACTTGAAATTGTTACTCGTAATTGTAAAAACTGAAAGATAAACACTTGCAGATTTTTCAGTTTACTTGCCTTTTATAAAAGCAATGGTGGATATTTGGTCACCAAATTCTTCTCTACACCTTGGGATTATCAAGAAATGCTTGGGTCTGTACCGATATCTTTGAAAAATTTGCTCACGAATATGCGAGTTGCTGAAGAGAAAAACAGTGATTTTCATTTGATTTTCACAATCCGAAAAAGGGGACCGAAAGCTCAGTTACGTACCAATGGCATAGTGTGCAATGTCCTTCTCACTCAAAGCTCTTTTCACTCCCGCTGTAAACGAACTTAGTTTTGGAAGCGCCATGATTGGAAACTTAGGGTTCGTTCTTCGTTCTTCGTTCTTCCTCCGTCTCACACTGAATTTGTGATAAAAGGGAAAAATGAAATGGCCATGGGCCTGTGCTATGGGATTCTTTCTGAACCTTTTTGTCCTTTTGTTGGCCATGCGGTGGTTCAATACAGTAATTTTTTCTAATTTTTTAACTTCTTCCAGTTATTTTGGACAAAATTTTCAATAATTTTATTTAGTGCAAAAAGACTGAATAAAATCAACATATTTATTAATAAGTATGAGGATTTTAATTTACCAAATGCCAGGGGGAAAGAAGGGTTACAATCTACAAAGGATGTAATGTTGTAGAGAAAAATAAAATAAATTGATCTTGTTTTTTTATGTGTGTGTGCCTTTTGTCTAAATAGAACTGAAAATTGAATAAATTATTTATGAGTAATAATAAATCTATCTACATATATGGGGAAAAATCGAAAAAAGCTAGAAAATGTTAAAATTGTCAACATATCGCGAAATTAACACAAGGTAAAAAAGGAAAATGGCAAATTCCCTTTAGAAGGAATAATGAAACTCGTTTGCCGAGACTAGGTTTACAAGTTTTGAAAGACTTACAAAGATAAATTATTGATATTTAAAAACTGTTTTGTTAATTATTTTTAAGTTTAAAATTTATATAATAAAAGATTTTATCTATTAAAAAAAATTTAAATTTTTTTCTAAAAATAAAATAATATTCTTTCCGCTTTTTTTAATAAAATGTTTTACAAATTTTTTTTTTAAAATTAGATAATAGTTTTAAAAATCACTACAAAAATAATTATATATATATCTATTTAAATTTATATATTATTCTTTTATTGGTTAAATTATTTTAAAATTAATATTTTACTTTTAAAAAAATAAAATAAAATAACTTTTTAATCTAGATGCATAAATTAAATGATTCAAAATTGTTTCTAAAAGATCTCGAGGAATTCGAGGACGAAGCTGCTGCAAACGGGACAATGGCCTTTCTGAGCCATGAGCTCTTTAGAGCATAGCTTACAGAAAGTGTGACCGCAAGGTGTGAAAGTGGCGCCTTTGATTTTCACGGTACAGACGCAGCAATTGAGCTCTCCTTCTCCTCCATGACCATTTCCTTCTTCCTCGTAATTCTCATCTTCTTCTTCATCTTCTTCGTATTCTTCATCTTCGTCCATGGCGTATCTTGATCCTGTTAATCCCATTTGCCGATCTGTCTCTTCCAAGAGATCCATCAGCGACATCGTTTGCTTAGGCGCAGAAGCTGCCGATGAGTTCTTCTCCTCTGCTTCTCCTGACTCATCATCCTCGTTGTCGTCTTCGTCCTCATCGTCGCTTGTGGACGCCGCAGCTTCTGCCTCCGCCGCTTCCTGCGCCGCAACAGCTTCTCTCGCCGACATCTGCCTCTCTTCTACGAACGTGACTATCGGATGACGGCGTCTGTTATCTTCTTCTCCGTCTCCGTGATCTCTGACGGAATCGTGCCGTGATAACTGCGGCTTAAAGCTCCTCGACGGCGGGAAGTCTCCCGGAATGCTGACGTCAGCCAAATCGTCCGGATTTTTAGTCGACCCGACCCGCATCGAAGATCCGCGAGAGAACATCGCTCGTCCTGCTGAACCAGGTGGATCCGACATCGGAATTGCGTAGACCAGTTTGATCGTTTCGTTGGTTAAACCGGCGGATTGTGATCGGAACGCGGCTCCAAGGTGTTTGGGATTGGGGAGAAGGATATCGGAGGCGGGGATATGAAGCGACGAGGTCCAAGCAGAACCGATTCGTTTGAGACGGAGTTTCTCACGGAAAATCTGCCACGTGGTTCGATCCTTGTGCCCTTCCTTATGGTATTCCTCGCGTATGATATCGAAAAGCGTTTGACTTGTTGTGCGGTGCGGTACAAGAGATTTTTCCGGCAAAGGCGGTGGCGACGGTGGAGATGATGGTATAACGATCTCGCCGCCAAGAACAGCGTCTAAAGTCAATCCGGCTAACGAGTTACTACGGCTCTTCAACGCCGACATTTAACTCCACGCCGTCTCCTGCAACCTTTCTCCATCATCGGAACCCGGTCAATAAATCAAGATGATGAAAAATTAAACGTTTCTTCCGTTAACACTACTAAAATGGAAATGTTACCTCTTGCATCGAATTTAAAGAGTGCTGAACATCGCTTTTGCTTAGATTGAAAATTCTAAATTTTGGGTATTTTGTAAACAAAATTGGGATTGTATTTAACTTTTTATCATCTAGCATTCGTTTTTTTTTTTTAATTTCTTAAATTGATAGAAAGTTTGTGGGCAAAAATTTCCCAAAAATTATGGGAAAATCTGTTTTAAAATGGAGATCAATTGGTAAGGAAGAACGAGTCTTAAGGTGAAAATGTATGATCTAATTAAGGATGTCTCCACAATTTTTTTGGGTAGAAACAAAAAGTTATTTAATTATTATTATTAATTGATGATCAATGTTAATTATCAAGGTTTTTAAAAAGACTAGGATTGACCCGGTTAATGAAATTTGTGATGGAGATAACAATTATACCGTCATGGTATCATGCTTTGGTATGCAGATAGGTGTTGAAAAACTTTTCGTATAGAGTTCTTAAACGGCCTTTGTGGCTATTTCATTTTGAACTAAAAAAATGGAGAGTTACTACGTAGTTTTCAGCTCTCCATAATGAAATCTTGACTAATATAGTCTCTCTACTCATGAGATATAAAAATATCCGAAAACACATATGAAGGTAAATATATTTTGACACAAAAACATACGAAAACTTTGTCTGTACTGGCTATTCAAATTCAATCACAAAATCTAATCACAAGATGTTTCTGAAAATGACTATGGTTTTCTGTAAATTACAGGCTATAATTAATAATTTCAATCATTAGACAAAATGTCAATATGTCCGAGTGGTTAAGGAGACAGACTTGAAATCTGTTGGGCTTCGCCCGCGCAGGTTCGAACCCTGCTGTTGACGTTTCATTTTTAGCTTTTTCGTTTATTTTGTATTCACTAAACCAAATACCAAATGAGAAAATGGGCCTCATGACTAAAGCCAACTCTAGGTGGTATCGGCCCAATACGATGGTTTAAGAAAGGACCCCAAAACCCTAAATCGAAAAAGTTGTTCTCAGTTGCATTTGCGATCACCACGGAGGAGTAAACCAGCGGCTGATCAGGAGTTGGGGTAAAAATGGTGTCGGGGTCAGGGATATGCGCGAAGCGCGTGGTGGTGGATGCTCGCCACCACATGCTAGGCCGATTGGCGTCGATTGTGGCGAAGGAGCTGTTGAATGGACAGAAGGTTGTGGTTGTCCGGTGCGAGGAGATTTGTCTCTCCGGGGGACTTGTCCGTCAGAAGATGAAGTACATGAGGTTCCTCCGCAAGCGTATGAACACTAAGCCTTCTCACGGGCCCATTCATTTCCGTGCTCCGTCCAAAATCTTCTGGCGCACCGTTCGCGGGTTCGTACATCTTTCCCTCTATGTGTTTAATTATGGACATGAACAAGAGTTCACATTCTTTGTCTTCTCTTCATTTCGGACATCCTGTTCTCTTAATTTTTTTTTGCCTAATGTCCTGAGCTGCGACTATTTTTCATTTCGTTGCTCCTGGATTCGTGTCATTTATAGACAATCTGTTTCGATGGTACATGAGAGATTGAAATGTGCCAAAACCGATATAAATTTTTGCTGCTGAAAATACTTGTATCGAACTTAGTAGAGAGTCTGTGACGTTTTCAGTATGATTCCGCACAAGACTAAGCGTGGAGCTGCTGCTCTTGCCCGCATGAAGGTCTTTGAAGGTGTTCCTACTCCATATGACAAGATCAAGAGGATGGTCATTCCTGACGCCCTCAAGTTTGTTCTTTTAACCTCTTAATCGTTCCGGTTTCTCTTAATATGTATTTACTTGTAGTAATCATCACTTAAACGTTGAATCTTCCTCCTTGATCAGGGTCTTGAGGCTGCAAGCCGGGCACAAATACTGCCTGTTGGGCCGTCTTTCTTCTGAAGTCGGGTGGAACCACTACGACACCATCAAGGTATGTTACACTTCACCTCTTAATAGTCAGGAAAAGCGATTATTAATTCAAGGACACAGATAGTATGCACACACCACATAAAATGTTTTGCTTTAGGTTCTGTCTTAGGAATGTTAGATACGCATCCAAATGCATTTACTAAAGTAAGGAGGAGGGATCATAAGCTAATAAACGTATGTGTGATGAAATATGAGCAGGAGCTGGAGAACAAGAGAAAAGAAAGATCTCAAGTGGTTTATGAGCGAAAGAAGCAACTTAACAAACTCAGAGCTAAGGCCGAGAAGGTTGCGGAAGAGAAGCTTGGATCTCAGTTGGACGTTCTTGTACCTGTCAAGTACTGAATTTTTTCAGTACCTTCTTTTTGAATGTTTTCTCAAGTTTTGCGCCGACCTGAGACTGTACTTGACAAGTAAAAAAAACAGGACTTCTTCTTCTCCAGAGAACTGATTTGTGGTTTTTTTTTCCGGGAAATTGGGTCATGTACTCTCTGCGTTTTATATAAGACATGTTATATCTAAATTCTGGCAGTGACATTTACATTAGTTAATTTCTTCAAAAGTATGCAGATATGGTTTAGGTTTTCTCGGTCATGCATTATGTTCGAGTAGGCTACAAGGAAATTATTTACTCATTCCAGAAAAAATAAAATCAGAAAGAGGTTCTAGATATTCAACTGATTACACTTGTAAGTTGTAACGTGTTCGATTTGTTTATTTTTTAGATTGTAAAAGAGACTGATGAAACGAATTTTGTGTAGAAAATATTAAGTAGATAAATATTAAACGGGCTGAAAAATACGAAACTGTCAGTCTAGGCCCATAATATATCACATCGTCTCCTTCGCCGCGCTTGTTTCTCCAATTACGTGTCGAATCTTCTTAGGGTCACGATCTGAAGCCGATCGCTGTAGTATCAGTTTCGTGCTGCGCAGATTCTCGAGCTTTCTCTCACTTAAGGTAGTCTCGCCCTCTAATCATATTAAAACTGATGTCAATTTATATTTTTTTTGGCTGATATTCAGTGGCTATTTGATCCAGATCTTCCCGATCTTAAAGGAAAGGGAAATCACCAACGGAGAGGGGAGTCTCTCTTATACGCTTCTCACTGGATATCTAACACCCGGTAAGAATCGTCTTGCTCGATAAGAATTGGAAAAAAGTAAGCAATAGAAACAAGTGGGTGAGAATTAGGGAGGGCTGATTCTTTTTCGGAGATCTAAGCCATCGTAGAAGATCGTCTTGGTGAACATACGAAAGATCATTGCAGAAGTTCCCGGTTTTCAAGTAATTGAAGAAAAGTAACGATTTTCAGAGGCGGATCTGTCCAGGTCGGTACTGTGAAAGGGGAACTACACCAGTTTCTTCCAGAAGATATGAGCTTTCCGTGAACGAGGAATCTGATTCTGGTGGGATCGTTAATCGATCTGGTCCTTTGCTTCCAGCTTGCCTATAAACAGCTTCGACATCAGTTTTCAGGTGTTTAACTCACAGTAAGCGATAATGGGTACGGAAAACCAGGGCTATCCGAATATTCCAGGCAGAACTACCTCCTCCCCATTCGCATCTGCTCCGCCACCAGGTGTTCCGCCTCATTCCGGTGGACCAGCCGCCGGATCAGAGACGGTTGGCTTTAGACCTTTCCCACCATCTGCTTCCCAACCAATAAGGCCTTTCGCTCCATCTGGTCCTCCTATGGCTCCACCAGTGGGTGCGATGAGGCCTGGCCAGTCTCCTTTGGTTTCTCAGATTCCAGGGAGCAGACCTCCACCGCCATCATCAAATCCGTTGCCTTCAACAGCATATGGTCCTCCTGGTGGCGGCGGCTCTTTTCAGCGTTTTCCTTCCCCTCCATTCCCGTCTACACAAAACCCTCCTCGTGGTCCACCACCACCACAGACTCTCGCAGGTCACTTATCGCCTCCCATGTCTTTTCGCCCACAGCAACCAATTGCGCCTGTAACAATGGGACCTCCGCCACAGAGTATGACTTCCGGGCCACCTGGAGGAATTGCTTCCCCACCTGCTGCAGATTTTAATATGGCTGCGAGACCTGGTTTTCAACAGTCGATGCCTCCAGTGAATCCGTCTTATCCTGGTGGGGTTATTTCACAGCCATCTTTCCCCGGCTATCCCAGCAAGCAGGTCTTACCGGCTCCCCCAATGCCATTCCAGTCTGCATCGCAGGGTCCACCGTCATATCCTCCTCAGGCAGGAGGTTTTGCTCAGCACCCGAACCTAGCAGCACAGCAGAATATGCATCCAAGTTATGCACCTCCCCCCAGTAACGTTCAAGGCTTGGTTGAAGATTTCAATTCGCTAACCCTTTCGAATATTCCGGGATCGATTGAGCCAGGACTTGATCATACCAAATTCCCAAGGCCACTGGATGGTGACGTGGAGCCGAATTCATTTGCTGAAATGTACCCCATGAATTGCCATTCCAGATATCTACGGCTGACAACTAGTGCGATACCAAATTCGCAGTCTCTGGCGTCGAGGTGGCATTTACCTCTAGGAGCTGTGGTTTGTCCACTTGCTGAGGCTCCTGAAGGGGTTAGTATTCGCTAAGCTAGCAATCAAGTCTTTTAAATTCTTTCATGTTTTGATAATATGGAACTCTTCACGTTCCCTTATTTGCAAATTGTCGTTTTTGTCTGTTCAGGAGGAAGTACCACTTATTGATTTTGGCTCAAGTGGCATCATCCGCTGCAGAAGATGCCGTACCTATGTGAATCCTTATGTGACTTTTACAGACTCTGGAAGAAAGTGGCGGTGTAATATTTGTTCCATGCTTAATGATGGTAATTTTTCCACATCTTCAGGATTGGTTTGTTAATCAATGTGATATAGAACATCATTACTGTTTGAATATGCCTTGCACTTTCTTTCTCTCTTATTTTTCTTAATGGTCAGTTTTTTTCTTTGTGCTTAAGTTACATGTTGTGGGTCTCTCTGGTTTTCCTTGATGGGATTATGGGAAAGAGATATCTATCAGGGATAGTAGAATTATCGTAAATGGATCTGGTGAAAGCTACAAGGAACTGTTTTTGGTGTTGTGTATGTTTTTTGCCTAGTCATTGGATTGTCCTCTTCTCACTTTCCATAAATAATTTGATCGATGGTGCTCTATATTCAGTACTTTGGGGCATATGTTTACAAGGACATTCATAGTTATGTGTCAAATTTCTTAATCAGTGCCTGGTGAATACTTCTCACATTTGGATGCTACTGGCCGAAGAATGGACATGGATCAACGGCCTGAGCTGACACAGGGGAGTGTTGAAATCATAGCTCCAACTGAATACATGGTTCGGCCTCCGATGCCACCAATCTACTTCTTCCTCATTGATGTTTCATTTTCGGCTATTAAAAGTGGGATGCTTGAGGTAAGCATATTGGATTTTAGTATTCGACCTTGTTTTTTTTTGTTGTGCATTAGAATTTTTGTTCCTTAGTTAGTAAGCACCAATCCATGCATGGTTTTACAGATCAATGGATCTAGACTAGAGTAGACACGCTCCTATTTTTGAGGCAAGCTTTCCTCAAATCTTGATCTACGCTGACCTTTTTGCTCCTTTGGCAGGTTGCTGCTCAAACGATCAAATCTTGTTTGGATAACCTGCCTGGTTATCCCAGAACTCAAATTGGATTTATTACTTATGACAGCACCTTACATTTTTACAACATGAAGGTAAGAGAATTGTGAATACGCAGGAAATTTTGTTCTAAAATACTTAAGCTTCCGTCATGTATTATTTTTGGACCTTGGCAATGCAGTCATCTTTGAGCCAGCCGCAAATGATGGTGGTTTCGGATTTAGATGATATATTTGTCCCATTGCCGGATGATCTCCTTGTCAATCTATCTGAATCTAGAAATGTGGTGGAAGCCTTTTTAGACAGTCTGCCTCTGATGTTTCAAGATAATGCCAATTTGGAATCGGCTTTTGGTCCAGCCCTCAGAGCAGCGTTCATGGTTATGGTTAGTTACTATGCTGCCATGTCAAATTATAATCTCGTAATTCATTTGATTTCAGTGTTCTGTATGGATACTCTCTGAAATTTGTATCAGTTTGTAGTTGACTCTGTTTTCTCTCTCTATTTCAGAACCAACTTGGTGGCAAGTTGCTAATTTTCCAGAACTCGTTACCTTCTCTTGGTGCTGGGCGGTTAAAGTTGCGCGGAGATGATCCTCGTGTGTATGGAACGGACAAAGAATATACTTTAAGGGTAGCTGAAGACACCTTCTACAAGCAAATGGCTGCCGATTGTACCAAGTTCCAGATAGGAATTAATGTTTATGCATTCAGTGATAAGTACACTGATATTGCCTCCCTAGGTACGTGAACGTCATAGTTATGACTGATGTTTTTTTTCAGGGGCTTGCAGTTAATGGGTAGTTAGTTGTGCCTTCTCCCCCCTTAAATATTAATAAAGTTTTATGCATTGGTTTGTGTAGGGACTCTGGCAAAATACACTGGAGGACAGGTGTACTATTATCCAGGCTTCCAATCATCTATTCATGGAGATAAGTTACGACACGAGCTGGCTAGAGACCTTACAAGGGAAACTGCCTGGGAATCTGTTATGCGAATAAGATGTGGAAAAGGTGTAGTAGTTTATGATACAATATTCATTTGTGCTACCTGTTATGTCACTCAAGATTTGCTAAATTCGTTGGTATGCTACATGTGATCTAATACAATTTTCCATGCAGGAATTCGTTTCTCGTCCTACCATGGGAACTTCATGCTAAGGTCCACTGACCTGCTTGCTCTTCCTGCTGTTGACTGTGACAAAGCATATGCAATGCAGCTAACTTTGGAAGAGACATTGCTCACAACCCAGACTGTGTATTTCCAAGTTGCTTTACTGTATCCTTGAATAGTATATTTTTAAAACGTACTTGAGTTTTAAGTTTGAGTTTCAGCTGGTGCAACGCACGCATCATGTGGTTTTTAGTAATCCTTAACAGAACTTAGATATACTGCTTCTTGCGGAGAGAGGCGTATAAGGGTACACACAGCTGTTGCACCAGTGGTTGCAGACCTTGGAGAGATGTATAGACAAGCAGACACTGGTTCCATTGTCTCTGTATATGCTAGATTAGGTAGGACATGTTCAATTTTTTCCCAGTAGGATCATATGTTAATTTGGATAGTGTTTGATGACCGTTTTAATCCTGCAGCAATCGAGAAAACCATGTCCGCAAAATTGGATGACGCACGGAATACCATACAGCAAAAGATTGTTAAAGCTCTTAGAGAATATCGTAATCTTAACGCGGTGCAGCATCGGTTGGGGTCTAGATTAATATACCCAGAGTCTCTGAAGTTCTTGCCATTGTACGGATTGGCAATTTGTAAGTCCACTCCTCTCCATGGTGGACCTGCTGACATTTCACTTGATGAGCGCTGTGCGGCAGGCTTCACAATGATGGCCCTGCCTGTCAAAAAGCTACTAAAGCTTTTGTATCCCAACTTATTCCGTGTTGACGAGTGGCTCTTAAATGTTTGTGCATATCTATCTCAATCTATATTATTAAACAGCTTTTCAGAAATTCTTGAATTATTTATGAATTCACATGTTTGCAGCCATCAGCAGACCATCATGACCTTAAGGACGTATTAAGTAGATTGCCTCTGGCTGCAGAGAGTTTGGATTCTAGAGGCCTTTACATTTATGATGATGGTTTTCGATTGGTTTTGTGGTTTGGCCGGATGCTCTCACCGGACATTGCTAAAAATCTTCTTGGGGCTGACTTTGCAGCAGAGCTATCAAGGGTATGCTCTTTTCCACATGCATCCTTACATATGAATTTATGAATACGCATGACATCCATTCATTTATATGCATCAGTAGCATTTTTTTTCTCTGCTACTTTCCTTACATATGAATATGTGAAGCGGCTATGATTTATACGCATCGATATTGGTTCCTTGCTTTTGTACGTTTCTGAAACACCTCGATGTGTGTGAAACGCGTGTCTTTCCTCGTGGTGTGTCTCAGGTTACACTGCAGGAGCAAGAGAATGGTATGTCAAAGAAGCTAATGAGGCTGATAAAGAAAGTGAGGGAGAATGATCCGTCATATCATCCCATGTGTTTGCTAGTGAGGCAAGGAGAACAACCCCGAGAAGGCTTCCTTCTCCTCAGAAATCTCATCGAGGACCAGATGGGCGGTTCTACTGGTTATGTTGATTGGATTCTGCAACTTCACCGTCAAATCCAACAAAATGCCTAATAGTTCACGATGGTAAGAAACATTCATTTCCTGTCATAAAAATATACATGCTTAGTGCCTCCAGATTATGATCAACGTATCTACTATCTATATTTTTACAGATAACTCTGGTGCCAAAATGCGCATCTTTGTAAACCATTGAAGAACTCCTGAGCTCGAAATATTCTTCTTAAGCCGTTTACTACGGTATCACAAGGTTAAAAAAGATCCGGATCATTGCGGTCTGCTTCCTTGGGCATAATGTGTTGTTTTGGTAAAAAAAAGAAGCACTACTTTGATTTTACGTCTTTTGATTTCTATAGAACCTCTTTTTCTCATGTCCAGGCTTTTATTTGCCTGACCAGAATGGTTTTGTCCTTAAGATTAGACGTTTTTGTTTATCCTTTGTTGCCTTTTTTCTCTTTCTTTCCGATTGTTCTTGTTCGTCTGTACCAGATTTATTTTGGGAGTTACAGTTCATGAATCTCTCTTGTTTAGGGGATATATTAGCAAGAAAATAGTTTCTGTTGAAACAAATTTAATATGATATATCTTCTTTTTGAAGGCTGTCAAGTATTTATGGGCTAAGTTAACAGTAAAGGCCTAGTTGCTACATCCAAACTCAGCGTTTTGATACAAACCCTTGTAAAATTTTATGGGGTCTCTAATCTTTTATGAGGCTTATGTAAAAGGAATTCGTTTCTCTGTCTGAATTTGACCAAAGACTTTTTGGTGCACAGGCAACTAGACTCTATTTAATTGGGAAATAAAAAGCTAGGAACCTTCTAATAATTCTATAACGTTCTATTCAAAGATTCTGGTCGGTCGAACCGGAATATGTTGGTTAGGAGAAGAAACGTGTCAACAGCTTATTGGGTAGTACTTTCTAGAAGGGTATGGAACATAGACGATTTGGTTATACGACGCCGTAGAATACTCTTTCGGAATTGCCTTTATATATAACCTCTGAGCATTGCTTTCAAAGAAAGTTTCAGATTTGAGCATATCGACAAAAAATTTCCGAGCTTGTTGGGGAAGAAAGAGCGACGATTCTTCTTCTTTTGTCTTGGTATGTAGATCGCTCCCTCTTTTATAGGCTTGTATCAATCTTTTATGCCAATTACACGTCCCAATTTAGCATCGTGATTTCTGGATTTGGATTTCGTATTTTGCGGATAATCAATCCTTTTAATCGTACGAAATACTTTCTTGATTTGATCTGCAGTAGTTCTAATTCTCGTTTGAACAAAACTTCTTTCGGAGAGTATTTTTTTTCCCGGAATGTGGTCTTGTAGCTAAGGTGTTAGATCTGTTCGATTGTAGATGTTGTACGAGAATTATAATTTTTGAGTTTTCAAATCTTTTCAGGTAGTGAAATCGTTTCACGGTCACGGATATCTAGAGTTTTGTAATCGAAAAAATGGCTGAGGTATGATATGTGGTTCATCTCTGGTTTGTGGTTAAATGCGTTGCCTTGTTGTTGGTTTTGATTGAATGGTTAAATTCTTTGATGTGGTAGGAAGCGCATAAGGTTACGTTGAATGTCTACGATCTAAGCCGAGGCTTGGCACGCCAGCTCTCGGCATCGCTTTTGGGAAAGGTTATCGAAGGTGTTTGGTGAGTTAAATCTCTCTGGAACATATTCTTACAATTCTGTGAAATCTGAAAAAAGTCTGGTCTATTTCGTGCAATCCATTGTCTTATGATCTTATCTAAGGCTAAAGTTTAACTGGCTTTGACTGTTTCTCTGGGTAGCGTTTATTCAAATTCATAAGAGTCATGGCTTTCACTTATTTGGTAGTCAATCGCAAGAACAGGAATGTTTGTATTGTATGTGTGCGCTAAGAGTTTAAAGTATAGTTGATTGTGACCAAGCTTGTGCTCTTGATATTAACCAAGTACCTGATTTATTGTTAAAGTTGTTTTGTTTTGTATCCCCTCTGTGTATGAGTCTTGTTCTCCGTTGTGTAAGCTGTTATAATAACATGTGTAATCCTTTTTCCCAGGCATACGGGGTTAGTTGTCTATGGGAATGAATACTTTTTTGGGGGAGGAATACAGCATGTGCCAGCTGGAACAACTCAGTATGGAACACCCATACGAACGATAGATTTGGGTGAAACACATGTTCCTGAGGATGTATTCGAGATGTACTTGCAAGAGATCAGTCCTCGTTACACTGCTGAGTCCTACAATCTGCTTACTCACAACTGCAACAACTTCAGCAACGAGGTCTCTCAGTTTTTGGTGGGTAAAGGAATCCCAGATTACATTCTTCAGCTTCCCAACGAGGTCTTGAACAGCCCCATGGGTGGTCTTCTAAGTAAGTCGCTGATAAGTCATAACTTGCACCTTCCTGTTTTGCTTAGGCCTGAGTCTTATATTATTATCTCCTCTTTTGCAGTGCCTATGATACAAAACCTCGAAACCACTCTGAGAGCAGGCGCTGTTCCTCAGGCTCCACAGTTTAGGCCACAACGACAACCTTTTTCAACTTTTGGCAAAGATGAAGGTCCAAATCCATATGGCAAACCCAACGAGAATCACTTCAAATTTGAGAAAGCTTCAAAGTCTGAGGAAGCAACAACTGCAGTTCCTACTGAAAAAGTGCCACCTGTTGTTCAACCGTCGGCTGGTAAAGAGAAGGTGAAAGAGGACCCATTGGGAGACGCTAGGACCAAGATTCAGGAAGAGATTACCCGCGAGTTTGCAGCTCTCATGGCACAAGGCACACTACGAGCAAGCGAGGCAGCTGCTATGGCGACGAAAAGAGTCATGCAAAAGTATGGACATCTCAATGTAGCCGCTTAATCTTATAACAGAGATTGAAACTTTTTATTCTACTGTATTGAAATCTTGAACGAATTTATTACCATTTTCCCAGCTACATTCGTATATCATCATGTTCAACGATTTACAGATTTAAAAATCGTGGCTTCTTGAATTTGGAACAATCACGACACTACTAGGGTCTCTGAAGAATCTACTCCTATTCTATCCGTCACAATCTGAGGAGGATCTGCGAAGGAAGTCCCAGGTTCTAACTCAATAGCTGTCTCTTTGGATCTGCAAAACACCTCTGAAGGAATATTGATGCCTGCAAAACCAACCATTACGGCTACAGCACCAATGTAGTCGGTGAAGCTTGGTTTGTTCCCTGATAAGCTGTCTACAATCGCTGCCAACGGAACCTGAATGGTTAGCCCAGCTGTTGCCACTGTTGTTGTAGTCAAAAGTACTGCTTTTGCCCATAGATAGTCACTAAGCACATTATCTAACAAACCTGAGACATGAGACACACACCATCACTCAAATCAGCATACCAACAACAAATCCTAATTTTCTAACAATGGCGGAACATGAGGGATGGGGTTTGCATACCTTTGCCAACAACTAGACCAAACTGTTTCGTGGTTAGTGCGTTGAAGCGTTCTCGCTTTGTGAAGTTGAGTATTAGAGCAGCAGGTAGGAAAATGAAGAAGTTGAAGAGACCTAGAAACCCGAGGAGCTGAGCCATACTGAAGCGTCCGCTTCTCTCATCATCATCTGGAAGCTTTTTGCGTATGAGAGTGATGTAGACAGCGTATAGCGCCGCTGAGATGAGAGAAAGAATATCTCCCAGAAGAGGGTTTTTAGCTGTTGCAGTTGAGTCGGATTCTGAGTCGCCCATACTCACGATTATGGTCCCAGACATACAAAGAAGGACGCTGAAGAGTTTTAGCCACGTGAACTTCTCTCCCAAGAATATTAGTGATACCAGAAAGGTGAAAAGGCTTGATGCACTGCTTAAGATTGTATTTGACTGCAATTCACAAAATGAACAAAAATAAAAGCATACTCAAGTCGAGCATTAAAAATAGCTTCAGAACACAGGAACAAGAATGGGGTTTTCGATGTTCTTACCGTAACAGTCGTGTACTTGAGAGAGAGATTGAAAGTGAGCTGTGCCAAGAACCAAAACGGGCATATCACAAGGCTAACTTTAGCAACTCGCATCCGTGTCCAACGTCCTTTCTCATCTAATCCTTTGCTGGAGGTTTCACCACTAACATTGACACTAGCACCAATCTCAAGCTCTACTACATTTTCTAATCCAGACTCAATTCCATTGCCTTCCTCACTATCTCCCTCATCTCTCACAGCAAGCCCTGAACCTTCCGGTGAATCTGATTTTGCACCTGAAACATCTTCTCCGAGCAAAACAGCCTTCTCCGACTCGACCAGTTCCCGTAGATGCGACCTTTTGTTTCTCCAGAACAGTACACTCCCATACGCATCTTCCAGATATCGACCGATCTCAAAAAGGGGAAGATAAACGACGAACAATGAATTACAGATGAAAGTGATCAAGAACGGAGAAACGCCAGCATCCACTACAGACTGGACTACAAAACTGGCTGCAATCCAAATCGTGGCTACAGCAAATATGTATATCAACCCTATTACCCATCTCCATACCTTACTTGACATATCTCTTCGAATCCCAAATTAGGAGAAGGAAAACAAAATAATAGAACCTGAGCTCACCGATCTCACCGGCTAACATCAATTACACATTTTTCAGAGAATGCTTCAACACCCATGAATCAAAGATCTCTGGCAACGAAAAATCTCCAGAGACACAAAGAGCATAAACGAGCTGATAAATCTAAGCAAATCAATTGGTCGAAGAACAGGATACCACCACGCAACTCGACAAATACTGAGATCGGTGTAAAATTGTTCAATCAATGGCGATACAAAGCTGAATCAGATATGCAGCGCCAAGGTGAGAGAGAAAGAGAGCGATTGGCGGAATTTTGAGCTTCAATATGGGCTTTCTTACTAGCCCAATAGTACAATATAGGCTTTATATGTAGCCCAGTAGTACAATATGGGTTGGCAGAATTTTGAGCTTCAATATGGGCTTTTTTACTAGCCCAATCGTGCAATAGAGGCTTTATATGTAGCCCAATAGTACAATATGGGTTGGGAGAATTTTGAGCTTCAACATGGGCGTTCTTACTAGCCCAATAGTACAATATAGGCTTTATATGTAGCCAAATAGTACAATATGGGTTGGCAGAATTTTGAGCTTCAATATGGACTTTTTTACTAGCCCAATCGTACAATATAGGCTTTATATGTAGCCCAATAGTACAATATGGGTTGGTAAAATTTTGAGCTACAATATGGGCTTTCTTACTAGCCCAATAGTACAATATAGGCTTTATATGTAGTCCAATAGTACAATATGGGCTCTTAGCCCGTGATGATGCAGCGTCTTTCCTTCTCTCTTGCGTCGCACGTTTTCTTCCTCTCTTTTTTTCAGGTTGATCTATAGGGTTTTTTTATCATTTATTTATTGGATGTAAGTGTTGCCATTGGGTTGCTATTTAACTGCTCTTTATTTATGAGCTTTTATGGACACCAAAGCTATAATTATGAATCATTTTGACTAGAAAAGAAGAAGTTACTGTAAAAAGTAAAAACCAAAGAATAAGACTCATGAAAAATTGCATTCTCGAGCTACGAAAACCCAGCTGTAATATACACATTTGATTAAACAGAAGTTACAGAACATTACGATACAAGGAAGAAGGTAACAAATTCTATCACTAACTCTCTGAAACTTAAAACGAAGTCCAAAGAAAAAAGAAAATAAACAATCAAATCCAAGATAAAAATCGAGAAGACAAAAAGATGTAGAAAAATAAAAATCAAGAAGCACTTGGGTTCCGGGAATGTGCGGCACTTGGGTTTAGGGAAGGTGCTGCACTTGGGTCCCTAGAGTGTGCTCTTGAAGCAACTCCCCACTCCATTGCCTCTGCCACGGCTCTTTCCCGTTCCTCCGCCGCCGCAGAATCCTCACCGGACGTTCCTTCCGACCGCTGAGGAGGAGCAACTTCGTCGTAGCGTGGAACAGAGATGGACCCATCAGGAGCGGTTCCCAAGAATCCTAGAGCGGTTACGACGTCGCTTATCAGTGGCCGTACCATCGCCTCTTCCTGTAAACACATTGCCGCCACCGCCACGGCCTGATTAAGAGCTTTCTCCGGGAACACTCCCTCCAGACTTGGATCCGCTAACTCCGGGAATCTACTTGGTTCTTTGAACACCGGTTGTGCCTAAACCCACACAACAATGTTGATCATTTAAGCAACTGAAGCCAAGTCCCATGTCTTTTTCAGTGTAAATAGTAGATAATTTAGGTAACTGAAGCCAAAAATAAAAGCCTCTTTTAATCTGGAGGAAAAAGAAAAAACTCACCCAAGTCACAAGATTCTGTTCAGCTTTGGGTCTGGTCGTATCAATAACTCTTCGTCCAGTTATCAATTCTAGCAACACAACTCCGAAGCTATAAACATCAGATTTAATGGTTAACTGACCGGTTCTCTGATACTCTGGAGCACAGTATCCGTAAGTTCCCATAACTCTGGAAGACACATGTTGTTTGTCCCCGACAGGACCTAGCTTTGCTAACCCAAAATCGGATAACTTGGCGTTGAAGTCACTGTCCAAAAGGATATTAGCTGCCTTCAAATCTCTGTAGATCACCGGAGGATCTGCCTTGTCGTGCAAGTATTCAAGACCCATCGCGGCTCCTAGCGCGATTCTAATCCTTGTGTCCCAATCCAACGGTACTTGGTCCGGTGTTAGATCTGTAAGCACATCGATCAACGATCAAACATTAGGACTAAAACAACAAACCAGTCAGTAATGATCCTTAGTTTTGTAATTTTACCGAGGAGATGATCTTCGAGTGAACCACGAGACATGTATTCATAGACGAGAAGTCTCTGATCTCCATCAGCACAATACCCAATGAGATTCACGAGATGCTTGTGATGCAATAGACTTAACATCAAGACCTCCACGATGAACTCTTTGTTCCCTTGCAGCCCATTTCTATCTAATTGTTTCACTGCCACAATCTGAATCCAAATCAACCATTAGAAAATTCCTGAGAGATTTGTTGTATAGGAATCTAGAAACACAGACCATGAATGCTAGATCATGTACAAGATTCATCAAGTTTTAACGTTTTCAAGTTTCTATAAAATTGAAATCGAGAAAGGAACTCTTTAAATCAATTAGTACTAACCTTGCCACACTTTTCGAGTTTTCCCTTATAAACCCTTCCGAAACCGCCTTCACCGATCAGACATTCTTGTCTGAAATTCTTGGTCGCAGTGGCAAGCTCCCTGAAGGTGAATGTTTGCGCAGCTATGTTGTTTGTCACTTCTTTGTCTGCATCGTTGTTCTTGTTCTGCTCATTTTCAGTCTTGTTAGGCTTTGGATTCTCTGTAAGCATCACAAACATTACTAAAATATAATAGAATTATAAAACCCTAATATATAAAAAAATCTGAAAAATGATTCTAGATTTTCTGAGCTTACCAGGGTGTGTTTTGTTGTTGTCTCTGCCGGTCAACTCACCATTTCTCCGGTTGCCGTTATCTGAATCTTTGGGAGCTTTTTTCTTTTCATGGAAATAAAAACATGAAAAGCAATTCATTTCTCCTCTAATTCCTTTCCCTTGCGAAGAACCCTTTCTCAAGAAAACTTTAATCTCTTTTTGTCTTCTTCTTGTGATTAGAGGTTAATTATGACACAGACTACAATCAAACCGTGGGGATTCTGCAGAAAGTCTCTCAATTGGTCTTAATCTGAGGACCACAAATTAAGACCAAAAATGGATCTTTGTTCGAATCGTTAGTTTGTTCAATAAATTGCCTGCGTTTACAAGGAAAAACAAAACGATATTTTCAGATAAAGCTAGAATTATCTGGAAAAAAATGTGTTTGTTGAGAGAAAGAAGAGCAAACCTTAGAATCCTTCATAAATAATGGTTGCCCGTTTCCCAAGAAACCCTTAGGGTTTTCCCTTTATCTTCTTGACCTTTAATATGTTTATCGCCAAGATCTAACAAAACCCAGGTCAAGGAAAATAAAATCAACAACAAAACCGTCGGGATACGAAGCGCGGAAGAGTCTCCGAGAAAACTGGAGGGAGAAAACTGGATTTTTCGGGTTTAGGTTTCTGAATTTCTCTTAATATAGACAATTTAAACTACTGTTAAATTAATGAATAAAAATGAAAAATGGAGTCCATATCTCATGAATACTCTCATGTTTGTGTGCCTCACATATCTCTAAGAATTTTGGTGTGCAATGCAATTTGTATTATTTTTTTATAAATAAGCAAACCTCCCCTAGAAATGCTTAAGAGATTTTAAACAAATATAAAAGTTATTAATGTTGTACGGTTTGTAGAAAAGAGAAGAATGACATGGAGACCATGAAGTGAATAAAACAAATCCAACAAAAGGGTTGGATGTAATGTTGATGGGGGCACGAACTATCGATTTGATAATAAAATTGCGAATAATTGTAACATTATTATTATTCCCAAATCTCATTTTTTTTTTTGAAGGTAAAAATCTCTTTTAAAATTGCGAACAGACAAGAACATTATATAGAAGAAAAGAAACAGGAGACCTGGAAATGACTGGGTAATGATGATTTTCTCTCTCTTTTGTTTATGTAAATTAGTCAAACAATCTTCTCTATGCCATTTTTCAAAAAAAAAAAAAAAACAATCTTCTCTTCGAGGCTCTTGCAAATACGATTGAAACATTTTTCTTCTCCAGTATCTATCAACCACACGTATGACATATTACTTAATATTTTCACCTATCATATCGTTATTTAGTATTACCATTGTAATCAAAATATAGAGAAATCTGATCGTAGCCCTATAGTCGCATTATGTGTTGATTTCCGGTAGAATACATGTTTATTAGAAATAGAAAAAGAAAAAGGTAAATGGGCCGACCAATAAGTTGCGACCCATTTCATGATAATGGGCTGACCCACAAATCGTTAATCTGGTAATGTTCAACTAACTCACATAGATGTGAAAGAATGAAACAAACGTATAAAGCGAGCATTTATCTGCACGCGCGCTTGCTGTATCGTCGTCAAAGAGAGACATCGATCTCAGTAGAAGACTCTGTCAAGATTACGTCTCTTGAATTATCTGCCTTTGGGTGATCCATCGTGTCAAACTTTATACGCACATGAATCGGCTTCACGAAGACAACGTCTCTTATTTCTCTCTTTGACTTCAACAACAGCCTCACGAACAAATCTTCACCCACAGTCGTCGTGTTCCTTGCTGGCTTCAAAATGTCTGCTATTCTTCTCGCCAGTTCTTCCTGGCTCGCACCTTCTGTCTCTTCGTTCTTCGCCAGTCTTAAATACACAGCTGCATAAACAATAAGCTGCACAAACCCGATTTGAAAAAAAAATGTAAACTTTGGCTCTAGCTTATGCATAAACCACGGTATTAAAGACTTGAGAGAAGATTATAGGCGTGTGTACCTCGCTTGTGCCAGGGCTCGTATTGACAGTGCAATCGATGTGTATCCGTCCATCATCTTCACTTTGGATCTCAGAAGGGTTAACATCTTCTTCTTGCTCTTCCTCTTCATCAGCTAATTCGGGGTTGGCTATTTCCTTGGCGAGGCTGTCTAATTCATCATACCATTGTTGTGAGACTCCAACCTGCACAAGTCATAAAAACAAAATTTCTGAGCCACTTTGGGGATTTAAACCAAAGCAAACATCGGGGGGTGAGAGATTCTCTTTGACCTTTTCAGAAGGTTCCACTGCACTTCCAGCACTCGAGACTTCACTGATTGAGCCTCTTGCCTGTCGCCATATGCAGCTTTCTTGAACGGGTTCAACAACCTCCGTGCATTGAGGGATCTCTATGTTCAACCGTATGCTAATTTTACCTGTTAAGATAAAAGTAGTAGTAGTAGAATAGACTGTCGAAACCATCTTCATGCGGCAGCTAATGTCAAAACAGTAGGGCTTTCTCAAGCTAATCGCACCTGGCAATAATCGGAGTTCGTGAGTAAGGCTGATGTGTGCTTCCTGTACTCCGTTAGCTCTGTTTTTATCAGTTGGCAAGTTTCAGAACAAGATCAGTGCTCTTAGCTAATGGAATGTAATAGTGAAAAGGGTGTATCACTAACAGATTGAAAACTCTCTCCAGCGGAATGGAAAACCAATAGGGCAACCCAAGGATCCCGATGTTCGTAAACCGTAAGCTAGAGCATGCTCCGGATTCTCTATCTAGCTTCAACACCCTCTGACCAACTTCATAATATAGAAATGATCCGCATAAGTAGAAGGACAAAAAATGGGTTAGTTGGTTAATGCATAGAGACGAAACAATGTAGGCGAAGCTGTGTCAATCAATATCTTGTACCTATATCTGTCATGACAATGTCGTCTCCAAGTTTAGTGAAAGAAGACAAGAGGGCAGCATTTGGCTGCTCCTTGCATGAGGTAATAGCCTTAGTTTGCTGTTGCAACAAATTAGAAGGCAAATGTTTCAAGACTGATAGCTTCTCCGTCATCAATTCCCCACACATCTCCATTATCCCCGGAAACCCTTCAGATTTTGATAAATAAATGTATATGTTAGATACGATAAGTCAACAAGCCAAAGTACCATAAAACGGACAAAGAAGATGCCGATTTTTATATGTAAAACCAACCTTCTACGACTTCTTCGATCTCTCCTGAAGCTAAATTAACTATCCACAACTTTGAAAAGCTGAAAAAATATGAGAAACCTATAAGGTTACTAGAGAAAGATAAAAAGGCACCAAGGGAAACTAAGAGAGAATGAGTTTTCTCTAATGTAATCAAGCAACCACTTTAACTAGTATATATACCTCTTGTTAATGACTAAAAGACTATCATTATCACGTTTCAGTAGATGCCATGGAAACATCAGGGAGCGAGGATCAGATTCTTCTGATTTGGCATCAGCATCAGCTGTCGTATCATCATCGTTTCCAAGACCCATTTTCTCCATTACCCAAGACCATAAGCCACCGGTCTTCTTGATAACCCTTGGATATACCGTTTCCAGGACCCGCGTCTTCATATTTGCTCTTCTAATGGCATGATTCTGAACTCAGAGAATTGGGGGAAAAAAAAGAAACAAAAAGGAAAAACAATCTTAACATGAAAACATTCAAATGCAACAATCAGTGGTTATAATTTCGCAACTTCTTCAAAGAGTTATACCTCAGAATCGACAATGTAAAGACAATCTTCCTCTTCGTCATAAAGGGTCGCTGCAGGACGTAACATCTTTGCAGATTCAAATTCGCCATCCTCAAAACCAGGGAAACAACCAATCTGAAATAAAAACATTGTCTTCAAGTTTAGCTTTGTTAAACAAGTAGCTCCACATTGTCTTGAACTTATCTCTTTAAGGGAAATTGAACAAAGAAACTTTTATATTTGATAACAAAGAAACTTTTAATGTGATTCAGTTCACTTACACTGTCTAAAATCTTCCCACTACTATCGAATACAATAATACGATGATGATTGCTATCAGAAAGAAATAGACAATCTCCAACTTCATCTGCAGAGATACAACCTGTCACGGAAAATGTCACATACCGAGAGTACTGTTCTTAGTCGAAAACTTCAAAATCTTATTCTAGAGTAGCACGAAAGATGATATGTAAATTCTAGATCAAACTCAAAAAGACCAATAATAAGAAAGAAGACTGAAGATACATATATATACCTGGAAAGTATAGAAACAAATCCTGCAAGAAAGAAGAGAAATGTGGTTCCTTGATAGCATCAGCCTGTTTAGACCAAGTGTTCGTGAAAAGTTTGACAGACTTGGATTTCTCAGTATCTTGAGTGAGGCTGTCAAGAGCTGCAGCAAACCAGAATACCCAACTAAGCACCCAAACCAAGGGAATTACTAGATTCTGAGGAAAATTGAAGGTATGAATCAAAGACTATTCAATAGCTAAAAACATCCTAGAGCAGCAAAATGAAATTTGTTTTTCTTTTAAGGTAAGCATGGAACAATAGCTATGAGATTGTTAGAGAACATTTGTAGTGAATATGATTATTATTAAGTAGGCATACCTTTACTAACGGAAGCAATATCCAGATCCTTCTCTTGGTAGATTAAAGGATTCTTAAAATCTCTAAACACGATGTAGCATACTTCTTCTCCACTTGACTAATACAAGTAGCAAAAAAATACTCAAATCGAAGTATAAGCATATAACTTGAGAAAATAGTATACAAAGATGTAATTTACAGCGAGAATACAATATTTACCTTTGGAAACTCTTTCCCAGAAAGTAGTACAGGAAAAGTAAGGTATTCCTTCACAATCAACTCAGATAAAGCAGTTCGATCATCAGTGATTCGAGCTTGATCACTGAAGTGGATGCCCATGAAACAGACACCCGGAGACCTTAAAAGACCACAAAAACAGAACACTCAGTCACAAATCTCTTTAGGTTGCCATGATTCATCGTTTAACAAACAAAAATAAAAAACTTTCTTAAACCTCTGCTGAAGCAACTTCAGTTTCTCAAAGAACCCACTCGGGTCACTACTTCCGTTTAGCAACTGTCCAGCAAGAACAACGTAAGTTCCTTTGTCCTTGAAAAGCTGTTTATTTGCAATGTCACGATTCAACCAATGATGGGAAGGACCTAAGAGTTCAATTTCCAAACTTTGTTAACAACAGAAAGAGAATGTTTCAAACCCGAAGTCCGAATCAGGTATAAGGATCAGTACCTTCAAGTTTATCAAGTGAAGCTCGAATATAAGAGAGTAAATCAACATGTGGAGAAGAGGAAGGAGAAGAAGCTCTAGATACTCGTTTTACTGATGCGAAACTGAAAGAGACTGCCCAATACAAATTAGAAAATGAACCCAGAATCGAAAGTGAATACGTTGCTCGAAGTAATCAATCGAATTACCCGCGAGAAAAACATGGACCGACCAATGTCTTCGGCGCAATGTTCATGTCTCTATCGAGTGAAGGAGCTGAACAAGTAGCTGGAGTAGTAGTAATGGGTCGCCGAAATCTCCCGTGAATATTGTCTAGTGGAGAAAAAAAGACCGCCAAAATACAATAGAAGTCGTTAAAACGCTTAAATTTAGTGAAAACCCAGAAAGCTTGACTCGAAGAAGACGATCAAATTTCCGAACCTGAGGCAATCCGAGAAGAAAGCCATGAAATTTTCTTCAAATGGAGGCATTTGTTAGACATTCTGTGTCGTCGCTTCAATTTTTTAAGCTCAACGAACTTAAGGAATTTGAGATTTTTGAAGGGTTTAACCGCCAGCGTCGAGCCGGCGGGATCTTGGCAAATATCACAGTTTCAGGCAGCCGGTAGAAGAAGCAAAGGTCATGATGAAATTTGATTAGAAAAAAACCCATAAGTTTTGGTTAATAAATGTTAATGTAAAACGCTTGCACGTCGGGGTGGTGGCGCAGTTGGCTAGCGCGTAGGTCTCATAGCTATCTGAGTAATCCTGAGGTCGAGAGTTCGAGCCTCTCTCACCCCAAATTTTGTTTTTTCTCATTGACCCAATGAGAGTCGGGTCATTTCAACCGGGCCGGGTCGTAATCCAAACCCTTCTAATAGTAAAACCCTAATTGGCGCCGATATCATCATCATCTTCCGTCTCCATAAACCTTTTTCTTCTGACCCTTTGCTTTGCTCTCAGCGGAAGGCAAAAGATGCCGAAAAAAAGTCAAAGTAAGCTAAACCCCTCACTCACATCTCTATTCTGGGTTTGTCTTGGTCGATGAACCGAAATCCGTGGAGGATTTGACAGTGTCTGTATTGATTGTTTGATGTTGTGATTGTTTTGCAGAGAGCAAGAGTAAGAGGGTGACCTTGAAGCAGAAGCACAAGGTCCTGAAAAAGGTGAAGGAGCACCACAAGAAGAAGGCAAAGGAGGCTAAGAAGCTCGGGCTTAACCGTAAGCCAAGAGTAGAGAAGGACCCAGGTATCCCCAATGACTGGCCTTTCAAGGAACAGGAGCTCAAGGCCTTAGAAGCTCGACGTGCTCGTGCTCTCGATGAAATCGAACAGAAGAAAGCCGCCCGCAAAGAAAGGGTATATCACATCCTCAGACTTTGTAGCTCCAATCTGCGATATTCTGTTGCATAATGATTTAGTAAAAGCTCCGATCTTCTTGTTTTCAATAATCACATCACTTCAATTTTTAGGTCACAATTGATTTTTGGTTGATTGGCAAGGGATATCATTTTACATGTGTTGCAGTTTGATTCTCTCTTGATAATTATTATGAAGTGCTGTTTCTGCCCTCATCTCGCTTAATAAATTCTATTTAGGCCAAATTGAAGAAACTTGGTTTGGTTGGGGATGATGGGGATACCATGACGGAAGAGGAGAACGGCGGAGATGACTCAAGTAGAGTTGTCAATATCCGAGGTGAGTGTGATTGTGCTTTGATTTGGATATCTTCCTCTCTACGTTTATGTGATTTCGATCTTCCCTATTCACTCACTGATGTCTATTGTTTTACAGATAACTCGGAGAGGGCTTTCTACAAGGAGCTTGTTAAAGTCATTGAATTGTCTGATGTCATTTTGGAGGTTCTTGATGCCCGTGATCCACTTGGCACTCGTTGTACCGACATGGAGAGGATGGTGATGCAAGCTGGTCCCAATAAGCACCTTGTATTGCTGCTTAACAAGATTGGTAAGTTCTATATATATCTCTGCTTGTGGACGTGGAAAAAGTTACTTATTTTATTCCGGTGATGTTTCTTTATTTTTTTTTTGTAACGGATTCTCTGTGTCTAGATCTTGTTCCCCGAGAAGCTGCTGAGAAATGGCTGAAGTACCTTAGGGAAGAGTTTCCAGCTGTTGCCTTCAAATGTAGTACCCAGGAACAGAGATCAAACTTGGGTTGGAAATCATCCAAGGCGTCTAAACCAAGCAATCTCTTGCAGACGAGTGATTGTCTTGGAGCAGACACTCTTATCAAATTGCTCAAAAACTACTCGAGAAGTCATGAGGTAACTTTTTCATAATTTACATTCCGACCACCCTTGCATTGAGTTTAACAAAGTTTATATCATTGAGTTTTGAATTAATCTTCCTTTGTTATTTCTTTTTGGCAGTTAAAAAAATCTATTACAGTTGGTATCATCGGACTGCCTAATGTCGGGAAGAGTAGTCTTATCAACAGTTTGAAGAGAGCCCATGTTGTCAATGTCGGTGCCACTCCTGGACTGACTAGGTCTCTGCAAGAGGTTCACTTGGACAAAAACGTGAAGTTGTTGGATTGTCCTGGAGTCGTGATGCTCAAATCTTCAGGAAATGATGCTTCTATAGCTCTCCGCAATTGTAAAAGAATCGAGAAGCTGGAAGATCCAGTTAGTCCAGGTAATTGGAAATATTGCGTGAAATATCTTTGTGTGCCTTGTCTTGTACTCTTGTTAAGGTTATAAATCTCAGTGACCTAACTGTGAAATCTTGTGCTTTGTGGGAAAATTTAGTGAAGGAAATTCTCAAGCTTTGTCCAACACAAATGCTGGTGACTCTGTACAAAATCCCGAGCTTTGAGGCAGTAGATGATTTTCTATATAAAGTCGCCACCGTAAGGGGTAAGCTTAAAAAGGGTGGTCTTGTGGATATCGAAGCTGCTGCGAGGATTGTATTGCATGACTGGAATGAAGGTGCGATTATTGTCTTTTAGTTCCTCATAATAAACTTGGAATCCTGAAAACCTGTTTTTTTTAACTCATGGGGTTTTGAATGGCTGTGCAGGTAAAATCCCATACTATACAATGCCGCCACAGAGGGACCAAGGTGGACACGCTGAGTCAAAGATTGTGACCGAGTTGGCTAAGGAATTCAACATCGATGAGGTTTACAGTGGTGAATCCTCTTTCATCGGGAGTTTGAAGAGTGTAAACGAGTTAAACCCTGTTGAAGTTCCTTCGAATGGTCCTCTCAATTTCGATGAGACTATGATCGAGGTTGGTTAATAACATTTACTTATAAACTAGTGAGTTTCGTCTTGGTCTTAGTTTTTAATCGTGGCGATGTATCACAAAAATCCCACAGGATGAGTCTAAGACTCAGACGGAAGAAGAAGAGCCTGGCCTTGACAGTGATGATGAGTCTATGGCAGAGGAAGAGGAGGAAGAAGAAGTAGGAAGGTCGAAGTCGCAGACGGGGAGGCAGAACATGCAGCTATACGTAGCTGAAAGCATGCTGAATACAAAAAAGCAGAAAGCAGACAAGAATAGGAGGAAGAAAGCCAAGAAAGCCGCAGCTGGTGAGGATGCGATGGACGGAGATTATGATTTCAAAGTAGATTATGCCAAGAGCAAAGCCACAGCCATGGATTTAGGAGACGAATTCCAAATCGACGCCAAAGTTCCAATGGCTGCACTACTTGATTTGCCTGAAGAATGAGTGATTTTAAAACAAACAGGCGTTTTTCTCTGTTTTTTCTTATTTGCGTTTATGATAATCTAGTAAACTTTCGATATAACATATGTTTGCTTCATGAAGCGATTTTGATTTCTATAGTTGTTGACCATTCCATTTTACTCCACCAATTATTTTGGATTGTCAGTAATTTTGAATTTTTACAAAACATTAAAAAGATCAAATTGATGCAAATGTGAAACCAGCTTGAATCCGTGTTGACTATGTATGTATATCTAAAGGTGTGAAAGACAAAAGACGTTGACTATGTGATGAGAAGTGCGAATCAAAGCTTGGCTCTGCTCAAATTCAAGAAGCTCAGGAAAAGATACTAAGAGAGACCGTGAGCTCAAGCTACAGAGAAGATGACTTCAGCTACAGTTGATTTTGGGATCGGACGGATTCTGAGTCTCCTAAAAAACGAGACCTTGTTGTTGTCAGGAGTCCATGGCGAGATTGAGAAGATGAAGAAGGAGTTGCTTATCATAAAGTCCTTTCTTGAGGACACCCATAAACATGGTGGAAATGGATCCACCACCACAACAACAACCACCCAACTCTATCAAACTTTCGTGGCAAACACAAGAGATTTGGCTTACAAAGTGGAAGACATCATCGACGAGTTTACTTATCACTTCCATAGTTATCGCAGCTGCACAAAGCTTTGGCGTGCGATTCATTTCCCGAGCTACATGTGGACGAGGCACACGATAGCTCAGAAGCTACGAATGGTGAATGTCATGATTCAGTCCATTTCTGAATCCATGAAAAGGTACCATCGTTCAGAAAACTATCAAGGAGCATCATTATTGCCTTATGATGATGATGATGGTGGTGGTTCAAAGTGGGTGAATAACATCAGCGAGTCGTCTCTCTTCTTTAGCGAAAACAGTCTTGTTGGGATTGACGCAGCCAAGGGAAAGCTCATAGGATGGCTTCTCAGTCCAGAACCTCAAAGGATAGTTGTCTCGGTGGTTGGAATGGGTGGTTCAGGGAAGACTACACTCTCTGCTAATATCTTCAAGTCCCAAAGCGTGAGGAAGCATTTCGGGTCATACGCTTGGGTAACAATCTCAAAATCATATGTGATTGAAGATGTGTTTAGGACAATGATCAAGGAGTTCTACAAAGAAGCAGAGACACAGATTCCAGCTGAACTATACTCGTTTAGTTACAGAGAGCTGGTGGAAAAACTTGTAGGGTATCTGCAGTCAAAGAGGTACTTTGTTGTGCTTGATGATGTATGGAGCACTGGTCTGTGGAGGAAGATAAGCATCGCTCTACCAGATGGTATTTGTGGAAGCCGTGTTATGATAACTACTCGGAGCAATAACGTGGCTTCTTTCTCATACGGCATTGGGAGCCGTCACCACGAGATTGAGCTCTTGAAAGAAGATGAAGCTTGGGTGCTTTTCTGCAACAAGGCGTTTTCTGGAAGTCTTGAGCAGTGCAGAAGGAGAAACCTGGAGATGATAGCACGGAAATTGCTTGAGAGATGTCAAGGCCTGCCATTAGCTATCGCTTCTTTAGGGAGCATGATGTCAACAAAGGTGTTGGAATCAGAATGGAAGAAAGTTTACAACTCGTTGAATTGGGAGTTGAACAACAATCTTGAGCTCAAGGTTGTTCGAAGCATCCTGTTGCTTAGCTTCAACGATTTGTCATACCCGCTTAAACGTTGTTTCTTGTATTGTTCTCTTTTCCCTGTGAACTATCGGATGAAAAGAAAAAGGCTCGTGAGGATGTGGATGGCACAAAGGTTTGTTGAACCGATCAGAGGAGTGAAAGCAGAGGAAGTGGCTGATGGTTACCTCAATGAGCTTGTTTACAGAAATATGCTTCAAGTTATCTTGTGGAATCCTTTTGGACGGCCCAAATTGTTCAAGATGCATGACGTGATAAGGGAGATCACTCTATCTATATCCAAAGATGAGAGGTTTTGTGATGCGTATAGTAATGACAACGATGATGATGCAGAAACAACAGAGGATTACGATACTCGACATTTGTGCATCCAGAGAGAGATGAGATCAGGTATCGTACGTACAACAAACCTTCACTCTCTTTTGGTTTACACTAAACACAACATTGAACTGCCTCCAAATATGAAGCTTTTAAGAGCCTTAGACCTTGAAGACTCTGGCATCATCAAGCTACCAGATTGTTTAGTCACTCTGTTCCACTTAAAGTACTTGAATTTGTCCAAAACCCAAGTGAAGGAACTCCCAAGAAACTTCCACAAGCTCGTCAATTTAGAGACACTGAACACTAGGCACTCCAAGATTGAGGAGCTTCCTCCAGGGATGTCCAAGTTGCGGAAGTTGCGTTATCTGATCACTTTCCGTTGCAACTATGGACATGATTCCAATTGGAACTATGTTTTAGGTATAAAGGTTTCTCCTAACATTTACCAGTTGAAGGATCTGCAAGTCATGGACTGCTTCAACGCAGAAGCTGAGCTTATCAAGAACCTGGGGAACATGACCCAACTCACAAGACTAAGTCTCGTCATGGTTAGAAGAGAGCATGGAAGTGACTTATGCGAGTCACTGAATAAGATCAAAGGACTCAGATTCTTATCTCTGACGTCCATTCACGAAGAGGAACCGTTAAAGATAGATGGACTGATAGCAACTGCAAGCATTGAGAAGCTCTTTCTTGCAGGGAAACTGGAAACAGTACCAAGCTGGTTCAGTACTCTTCAGAACCTCACCTATTTGGGCTTGCGCGGATCTCAGCTGCAAGAAAACGCCATCCGCTATATCCAAGCGCTTCCTAAACTGGTATGGCTTTCATTTTACAATGCATACATCGGACCTAGGTTGTGTTTTGCACAAGGGTTTCATAATCTGAAGATTCTAGACGTAGTTCATATGCAACATCTGAGAGAAGTTGTAATAGAAGATGGTGCGATGTTTGGCCTGCAGAAACTTTATGTGAGAGATTGCAGAGGGTTAGAGTCGGTACCGAGAGGCATTGAGAATCTTGTGAATATTCAAGAACTGCATTTGAGTCATGTTTCTCATCAGCTAGTAGAGCGGATTGGTGGAGAAGGGAGTGTAGACCGGTCAAGGGTTAAACACATTCCTGCAATTAGGCATCATTTCAGAAATGATAATGGCTCTTTCTATGTCAGCCTCTCATCTTGAGTGGCTAGAGAAGCATCAAAATTGTGTAACATTCTCAAAATTGTTTACTTCAAAAAGGAATTCAGAAGACGAACTTAACGATCATGCAGCATGTGAGTTTCTTCATTGACGAGGAGATGAAAGTAGCCAAGGGTTTCGATGAAGAGGCTGTATACTTTAGAGAAGTGGATCTCGGAGAACAGGGGAAGACAAAATCTGTGGTAATGTAAGCCGAACAATAGAATATAAAGACAATAAACGATCATGTATAACAAATTTCCACGTACAGTGTTGCTGCAAGAAAAGGTACTGTATAAAAAACAGCTCATATCTAATCTACAAATTGTTCGGGCAATTGGAGCAAGTACTTGGACTAAAAGAAACGTCACTGTCATGAGGAAATCTCTAGTATCTGTCCCGTTTTCTCTTCTTTTCTCCTTTCTTGTCTTTTTTACTACGCTTCTTCATAGACTCCTTTCTTATTCCCCGACCACGCTCGTTATCATCTGAGTGTTGTCTCAGTGAAGGTGGTCTCTCCGGCCCCAGGACTACCTTCCGCTCTCCTATATCATCACAACTTCGCAACTTATCGACCATCTCGGTGGGAAGATAAGGACCTGTCTCATCCATCCTAGTACCGACAGAGCCTCTGCCACGTTTGTTCCTGTCAGTATTTACACGAGATTCAGAAAATGAGCAAACTCAAAGGTAACAGAAGCCGCTACGCTGAGTAAGAAAGGACATATACCGTGATTGGAGAAAAGACTCAATCTCATCATCTCTTAAACCTTCATCATCTTCCGAGTACCATCTTTTGTCCGATGATGATGATGATGCATGAGTAACCTTTATCTCATCTCCGGAACTGCATCTCTTATCAAATTTCCTTTTCGAGAGACTACCGCTCCGCCCCATTTGGCTACTGCTGCTTTCGTCTCTTGGTTTTCTTTTGCGCCTTTCGTCTTCTAGCTCAATCTCTTTCTGCCGAATCCTCCACATCTCATTTGTTTCTACCGCTTTGTTTGCTGTACGGTCAAGAAACAGAGCATGTAAGAGATTAGAGTAAACAAATAACCTTTTCAGCTACATTGAGCACTAGACAGACGGGCAAGTCACAAACCCTCGTAATCCCGGGTAAACAAGAAATAACACTCAATCCCTTAGTAGATATATCTCCTTCTCTTTGTTTTCAAACAGACCATATAATCTTATATTACGGAGGATCCATTTTAGAAACATAAACCTGAACAAAACTTTCGCATGTTACCAACCTATTAATCGTGTTTCAAATCATAATTAACCAACAAAGAAACTAAATTTCTTCCAAAAAATGCAGCTATTGCTTCAAGGAACAGAAAAGAAAGTCAAAACTACAGCTATGTAAAGATTTCTCCTTTTCCTACAGCCTCAACATGCAAAGATTGCAAAAACCATTGTACAAGATAACAGCCTCCAAATACTGAGCTAGTTCTTCTACCTAAATTTCCACGGTGATCAAATTGAGTTTGATGAAACTAAAAAGACATTACTTGAAACTAGCTTGCTGATGGAAAGAGAAAGGTGTATCCCCACAATCGGTAAAAACGAGCATGTGTAATGAACAAAAGAAAAGGGTCAGCAGAAGAAGCATACATTGCTGAACGCCAAGAACAGTTGCTGTGAGGAATCTTGAGTTAGGTCGATACCTTACATTAGGCTTCTCGAGATAAGCTCGGACGCCTTCTCTTTCAGCTTGTCTCCTCAATTCTGCTGCTTCTCTCAAAAGAACCGACGCTATTCGGTTTTCAGTTTCCAGATCCATCCTAACGAAAACCCAAATTCTCCGTATCACGAGATTACACCGTTCGTGATTGTTCTCTAATCAGATCAACCTGGGAATTCTCAGAGACAAACGCGGAAGCATACTCCAACGGCTAAGGTAGTGGAATCAAGAAATCCTTTCTGCCATTAAACTTGTGCAAAAGCTATGTTCTTTCGATGCGAAAGGAAGAAGAGTCAATGGGACAAACTCAACAATCGGAAAACAGAGAATTCCCCAATTACGGTGTCAAGAAAAACTAAATTACTCGCGAAATTTTTGACTCAGGGGAGACTAGTTACCAGTAAAATCAAATATTTGATGAAACAAAGCTTCACAGAGACAAAGTCGCGCGATTTCTCGGCGTTCTTCTTCCTCACGCGCACAATAGGTGGTCGCCGATGTGTGGAGTAATAAGTGAGTCAATTGAATCGACGATCACCGAGAAACTTCTTATTAAACCGGACCGGAACGGTACAATGCACACTCACTTTGGTTTGGCTTAGGCGTGTTTTAACTGACTTTTCGGTTTAGAAATTTGGCCAACGTGATATGATTTTGGTTTAGATTTGGTTTTTGACTAATTACTTGCAGAATTTTTATAGAAAAACTACGAGTCTAATCAAGTTTGCAAATACAGAAATAAGTTTAAACACTAACTTATATTGAAATGTCCAATTATAAACAAAACAGTGATTACTCGCCAAAATGTGGAAAGTTGAAAGTCTTCTAAATTAAAGCGGTTCACAATCCCAAAGAGTTTGAATTGTTCCATTTTTTCATTTCCTCTCCTCGCTCCATTCAAAACAAATCCAAAACAAACAGATTAAAAAATTTTGAAATTTGGAGTTACAAAAAAACTTGTCATCAACGATCCGCGGCGGTTAAAATGGAGATCTGACCATTCGTGTTACTCACGCGCAAGTCACACGAGTGAAAAAAAAGAGAGAGAGATAATGGATCGCCTTGAATTCCGGATCCGGATCCGAAAATAGCTGACCCGTTTTGAAGCGGTTTTACATTTTCCCAAATGATATGACCGTCTTTGGGCTCAAGGCTCTTTGGTGTCCCTTCGTATTATCGGCCTTTCCCGACGCTCTTCATCTGGAAACTCGCGATTCTTAGGGTTTACTAAGGGTTTCTCCTTCACTCTCACACACTCTCTCTCTCTATCCAAACTCCTTCTCCACTCCAGAGCTTTCACTTCTCTCTCTCACTCGAACCTTGTGTTTTCGATTTTTTTCCATCCGCTGGTATAATGGATAGATACCAGAGGGTCGAGAAACAAAAACAAGCGTCTCCGATTAACGAAAATGAGATCCGTATCACCAGCAAAGGCCTTATCCGAAACTACATCAGCTATGGCACCAGTCTTCTTCAGGTACTGCGTCTACCTCTCTTCTCTCTCTATCGCTGTTCTAAACTCTTCGAACTCATTCGCTGAAATTGCGTGATTTCACCAAATGTTCAGTGAGGGTATATAATGTTTCCATAGGAAATACGGATTGTGCATTCTCCTTCTGCGGTGTGATCTTCTGTGTTTAATTTCCCGTTTTATCTCGCTTTTAGGAGAAAGGTGCGAAAGACATTGTGCTCAAGGCAATGGGGCAGGCAATCAGCAAGACGGTGGCCATCTCTGAGATACTCAAAGTCAGTGCTCACTTTATGAACCTCAGAGAAGAGTATCATCTAATATATGCTTTTCTGTTTCATCGAATCGTCTAAGATTTTTGTAATCCACACTGCAGAGTAAAATTCCAGGTCTGCATCAAGATATTGCAATCAGTTCTATGAGCATCACTGATGTCTGGGAGCCTACTGAGGAGGGTCTTGTACCGTGAGTATCTTGCTCTTCACTCTGTTCCTTGCTTTCTTTCCTTTTTTGGGTGGCTTTAAGCGAATTACCTTATGATGCAGGGTGGAGTTGACGCGCCATGTTTCCATGATTTCAATCACATTGTCGCTGAGTGAGCTAAACAAAGATTCTCCTGGGTGAGTTTCACTTTTGTTCATCTCCTTTTTTTTTCCCCTTGGAACTAGCAATGTCTGAGTTCGTATGCTTCTAGTATTATTTTTTTGTTTAAGAGAATCATCTCAGTTGCTATTTTCTAGTGAATTGGATTACTATCGCATTTTACTTCACATGGTCTCGTGGTTCTTAGGATAAAGCTACAATAAAGGTTTGTAAATGTGTTTTCAGGTACCAAGCTCCAGCACAGGTAGATCAGTCTAAGCCTCAAAATCAGCCACAGCAAGAAAGACAAACCCGTCTTCCGTACAATGGTTATGGTGAAGGTGACGCCTGTGAGTTTTTTTTGAGAACGTAAAGCTGTTAATGTTAGCCTATATTTGAACACCTTTTCAATATTTGGATTGTAGATTCTTATGGTGGAGGGAGAGGACGTGGCAGAGGCAGAGGAAGAGGCAGGGGAAGAGGTGGATATGGAAACTACCAAGGGACTTATCAAGGAAAGTACCAAGAGAACTATCAAGAAGATTATCAAGGTATCATTGATATCTTAAGGCAATCTAGTGTTTCTGGGAAACTACTGTCTATATATTTAAAAGCATAATCTAAGGTTAATGATAAACATTTATTTGTCTAGTCTGTTACTGACTTCTAGCTTTATCGTGATATGATTAGAAAATGATGGCGGGTATTCGAACTGGGGCAGAGGCCGTGGACGTGGTCGGAGCTATGGTTATCGTGGTAAGTCAATTAAGGTGTATGTACGGTATATAATATACCATCAACATTGATTAGTTCTTATGTTTGTCACAGAGAATTAAAACCTTACAAATCAAACGTTGTACTCTTTTGGTTTTAGTCTTTACGTTTTGTTTGAAATATAATTGTCGGATATCTGTTAGGTGCTGGATATCAGGGTGGCAGAGGCGGCTATGGTGGTGGGAGAGATGGTGGGTACGGTGGTGGGAGAGATGTCGGGTACGGTGGTAGGAGAGACGGTGGGTACGGTGGAGGGAGAGATGACAGGTATGGTGGAGGAAGAGATAACAGGTATGGTGGAGGAAGAGACGATGGTTACGGTGGAGGCACAGAAGAGGGTTATGGTGGAGGCAGAGACGAGGGATTTGGCGGAAGAAGAGGTGGGTTTCGAGGTGGTCGAGGTGGCGGTAGAGGTGACAGGTATGGTGGAGGCCAACGTGATGGATATGGTGGAGGCCGACGTGATGGGTATGGTGGAAGTCAAGGTGACGGGTACGGTGGAGGTCAAGGTGACGGGTATGGTGGAGGAAGAGACGATGGGTATGGAGGAGGTCGAGGTGATGGGTATGGTGGAAGTCGAGGATATGGCGGAGGAAGGGGCTATGGTCGTGGTGGACGTGGAAGGATGGGAAATGGTGGTCGTTCAAGGGGTGGTGCTACTAACCAGAGCCAATCCTAAGCTGTTTCAATTCCCATTCTCTAAGCTAATAGTATATGGGCAATTTGCTGCTGTTTTTTTCGTTACCTAAGAAAACCCTTAAAATTAGTAGCACAATCTACCGACCACGCCAAGGTTTTTCCTTTTAAAATATGCTTTGAAGGGTTATGGTTAAGTTATCTCATCTTCTGTAAATCTCCCTTTGGTAGTTTCCATATTAAAATCCCCAAGGGAGTCTTAAGGAATGGGCTCCTTTTTGTTTTCTTCTCTCCACAAATTTCACAAGTGCAAAATCAACTTGTGTTTGTTTTCGTGCTTTTTGTAATTAATTATGCCACTTCAGTATTTGTCAATATTGTGTTGTGGAGTATATTTTACTTCTAACAATTCTCTTTAAAAAAGGATTGTAAGTACAAGACTGGAGTAAAAGATACAATTAACAAAAACAGCTAAACTTAGCTGCACTCGGCATCGACAAATACGATCCCTCTCAAGTAAACTCTTATTTAATCTTTTTTATTCTTTCTTTTGAAAAGAAAATGTTGAATGATGCACTCAAATAATTGGTTGACTTCATCTTAGATTTGCCAGAAATTGAAAGAAAAAAATTCGATTCATGTAATTTTATTGTTTTAAAATGTCTCAAGTGTTTTCAAGGTAAATTAAATGATAGGAGCAAAAATGGTGCTGCCCAGGATCGAACTGGAGACCTTTTGCGTGTAAGGCAAACGTGATAACCACTACACCACAGCACCTTGTTGTTAACTTTGACCAATAATTAAAAGTAGGTATTGGTTTGTGCCAATAATAAATCATTCCATAATACGTTTTAACTGTTATTTAAATAACTCGATATATGTAAGAAAAAAAAAGCAATCAGCAATCAAATATTAACATTTAACCATAACAACTGTGGCTCACAGCCTAGGAACCATTAATAAAAGTACAAAAGAAGCCCTTCTTAAAATACATACAAAATGGTAAAAATCAGAAAAAAGGGTAAGAGATAAGCTAATTTCCTTTTCATGGTCAGATGTTTTCTTCGGCACGAATTTGGAAGTATCTTAGCTCTGATTTTTTCAGTAATAATGATAAAACTTAAATATCCAGCGGGAGGGAAAAAGAGGAAAAGACGACAAGGACGTAAAATACGAAATGACAGAAGAGTTAGATTCGCTGTCATATGATACGACAGCGTTTCAAGGAATATTTATTAAATTCGGCCAGCTGATTTTATAATAAAATAAAATTGACCGAATTATCCATCACTCCGACAGTTAATTGCGAAATCGTAGCCTGAACCGAAGCGAACCATGACGCAGCCATCGACCCACTTTGTTCGAACGTGCCGCTTCTCTCTCTCTCTCTCTCGAGACAATCGAATCATTTCTTCATTTTCTTTTTTTTAATTTCTGATTTTGAAGAATCATAAGAAAAGCAAGAAAAGAATCGTATATTTAATTTTTCTTTCACTTTCTGGGATTCACATACACGCTTACGCAAATTCGAGAGAGACACCGAGGAGCAAGGAGGATTTGTCGTTTATTTAAAAGGGGAGGATCCAGATCGTCTCTGCTGGTGGAGATAGAGAGATAGAGAGAGGATACGATGCCGGAAATATCGCCGGCTAAACTTGGCAGGGCTTCTTCTTCTTCTTCTTCATCTTCTTCAAGTTCCGACCGAGCTTCCGTGAAAATCGAGGAGATTGAAGGCGGTGGTAGTAGTGGCGTCGTCAATGGCTGTGAAGAACTGGATAGCAAACCGGATTCTGCTGTTCCCTCCATTGCCGACAACGCTGTGGTTGAATCTTCAGGTATCGTTTTATCTTGGTTTCTATAATTCTATTGACGCGAAGGCGAAATTGGATTGAAAACGATTTTAGGCTATAAAGTTGATTCCTTTGATTGTATGTCCATCTTTATTGGGTTCGATCCAGTCCCTTTTGGGATGATTTTTGAAGTTCATTGGCTGGTGGGTTTTCAGGTTCTGGCAACAAAAGCTTTTCCCGAGTATGGACAATGCCAGTGGAGGGTTCATCGAGCAGTGACAGGGCTGAATCGTCGTCATCAAAGCCTAGGTTAGGTAAATCAAAGACTGAGAGGCAGCAGAAAGTTACTCACATTCTCGCCGAGGATGCCGCTAAGATATTCGATGACACCATCTCTGCAGGGAAGAAGGTACAACTTCTATTTTTGGGCTGTTCTTCTTGTCTTGCCTCTATTTTTAGTTGCTATCTGTTATCTACGAAGTGAGTCTGAATCCTCTGCGAATTTCTTTTCAATGATTCCTCTTTTTTTTTCTGGGCAATGATGTTTCAAAAGTAGTAGTTCACAACAGTGTGGGTTTTTGAAATGTCGTATCTTGCAGCTCAAGTTGCTGAACCGTATAGCTACTGTGAAACATGATGGGACAGTTGAGTTCAATGTTCCAGCAGATGCTATCCCACAACCTATTGTTGTAGACACTGAAGATCCCAAAACTGCTGTTTGCCCTGATGAGTCTATCGATGGGGTCGACCTTCAGTACATTCCACCTATGCAGATTGTCATGCTTATCGTTGGAACACGCGGAGATGTTCAACCTTTTGTTGCAATCGCCAAACGGCTTCAGGTCCGTAGATATCTTACAACCCTTTTGGTGTGGATGACTCTTTTGTGAATTCAGTGGAGTTGCAGTATATGTCTCTTCATTCTTCTTTCTTGGTCATAATAAGTTCTGAACTTAAAATGTTTAATCTTATTTGTGCAGGACTATGGGCATAGAGTTAGGCTTGCAACTCATGCAAATTTCAAAGAGTTTGTTTTGACTGCTGGATTGGAGTTCTATCCTCTAGGTGGAGACCCAAAAGTGCTAGCCGGTTGTATGTATCTCCTAAACATTCTCATTCTTTCGTCATCTAAAAGTGTATTTTAGCTTGAATAGTTATCAGCAATTCACCGGTTTCCTTGCTATGTTGTTTGTGTACAGATATGGTTAAGAACAAGGGATTTTTGCCATCAGGCCCTTCAGAGATTCCAATTCAACGGAACCAAATGAAGGACATTATATATTCTCTACTTCCCGCATGTAAAGAACCTGATCCAGATTCTGGGATCTCCTTTAAAGCTGATGCAATTATCGCCAACCCTCCAGCATATGGTCAGTTTCAGCATCTTTTGAGTTACTGGCTACTTTCTTACATCTCCAATGTCATTCACAGCTTGGGATGTGAACCATTGAGATGTTTTGGTTTTTTTTTTCTGGCTTCCTGACTTATCATAGATTTCACTTCGAATGGTAATTAAACTTGGGAATCGCCATTTCAGGACATACTCATGTTGCAGAAGCACTGAGGATACCGATTCACGTATTTTTCACCATGCCTTGGACGTAAGTCTTGTATTTGCAACAGATTCTGATCGAACGAATGTTACTTTATTCACATCTTTTCTGGAAATAAATTCTTTTTTTTTTTTACTGAATCATTCACTATCTTCCTGCTGTTGCTGATCCAGGCCAACCAGTGAATTTCCACACCCCTTGTCACGTGTCAAACAACCAGCAGGATACAGAGTGAGACTTGTTTACTCGGATATTATCTGATTGGTTTGCTATAAAACTTGACTTTTTCTTTAAACATCGACTTTATGCAACTTTCAGCTTTCGTATCAAATTGTCGACTCATTGATCTGGCTTGGAATTAGAGACATGGTAAATGACCTTAGGAAGAAGAAACTGAAGCTACGGCCTGTTACATATCTAAGCGGAACACAAGGCTCTGGCTCTAATATTCCACATGGATATATGTGGAGTCCTCATCTTGTCCCAAAGCCAAAAGGTAGTTTGGCTCATGAGCTTTACCAATGAATGCTTTTTTTTTTCCCAGTGAATAGCAATTTAGATCGTTACCTTCATCTTATTTTTCAGACTGGGGGCCACAAATCGATGTAGTGGGTTTTTGCTTCCTTGATCTTGCATCAAATTATGAACCTCCTGCAGAACTTGTGGAATGGCTAGAAGCTGGTGACAAACCCATTTATATCGGCTTTGGTAGTCTTGTGAGTCTTTTTTCCACCTAAATAGAATCGCTCAAACTTTTTATCTATGGCTGTAACTATCTTATGAGAAATTTGAAAATAATGTCTCTCCCGTTCTGTGTTTATTTGTGGTAAAGCCTGTCCAAGAACCAGAGAAAATGACTGAAATCATTGTGGAAGCACTTCAAAGAACCAAACAGAGAGGAATCATCAACAAAGGCTGGGGTGGTCTTGGAAACTGTAGGCTACCCTTTCTAATACTCCGTATCACCTTTCCTTTATTTGGATGATTGCCTGTTTGGTATATAATCTTAATAATATGATGCTTGATGTGCGTTTCATGCAGTGAAAGAACCTAAGGACTTCGTTTACTTGTTGGATAATGTCCCACATGACTGGTTATTCCCGAGATGCAAGGCAGTGGTATATCTATAATAGTTTAGTTAGTTTAGTTTCTGAACATCTTGTTTCTTTATTTTGGTTCTGGAAACTTCTAGTCCTTTTCTCATTGCGCTTTTAAGGCCCAGTTATACATTTTGCTCTCTGGGACTAGTATATTCCGAGTCTCGTCTTCAACAGGATCGTAGCCTGAAATTGTTGCTCTTCTGTGCTTTTCAGGTTCATCACGGTGGTGCTGGAACAACGGCTGCAGGTCTTAAAGCAGCGGTAAGATTAATTTGAGTATAAGCTAAAAAGTTTGCTTCTTGAGATGATGGGACTTTAGTGTAAGTTGATATGTAAGCGTTTTGATTTATCTAAAACACACAGTGCCCAACTACAATCGTGCCTTTCTTTGGAGACCAACCTTTTTGGGGAGAACGAGTGCACGCAAGAGGAGTAGGTCCTGCACCAATCCCAGTGGACGAATTCTCACTTCATAAGCTTGAAGATGCCATAAATTTCATGGTCGACGATAAGGTAAATAAGACTTTCAGAATCCAATCAGGGGGTTTAAACACATTTTTGCTCGGATTCGGTCTCTCTAAGCATTTCACATCCTTGATTGTGATAATGGCAACGCTATTTGTCTACAAATGAAACTGAGCATTTAAGTGGGAGCAGGTGAAGAGCAGCGCAGAGACGCTAGCAAAGGCGATGAAGGACGAGGACGGTGTGGCTGGTGCCGTGAAGGCCTTCTTTAAACACCTTCCGAGTACGAATCAGAATATCCCGGATCCGATCCCGGAACCATCTGGATTTCTCTCTATCAGAAGATGCTTTGGCTGTTCGTAACTTTCTCTCCCACTCAGAATCTGCTCTTTCCTCTTGTGCATTGTTATCTCTTGTATTTCTGTTAACTCTTCTTGTTACTTGGTTTTGGTTTTACAAAAACTCACTTAGGAAAAGTTTAACATTTGTCAAGTACCTTGGGAATTTAATGTTTAGGTGATGCATATAATTTTTGATTTTTTTTTTTTTGGTTATAAGCAGCACAAGAAAAATGAAAACAAAGCTCTTAAGATGTGCAACATTGTGGGATATTATCGACTTTTAATATCATATGAAATATTTTTGTTTCAGTGTCTTGAGCTGCAACTTCAATGGAAATGGCGTGCAGAAGCAACACGTCTCTAGTTTATATTAATTGAATAGGTGTTGCCTGTTTTTAACTTTTTATTCGTATAAACGTCTAAACAGAAAATCGAAATGTTGAAACCAACACTGACTATCAAAAATAAGAGCAAATGAAGAATATTTCTCTATATATATAACTTAGTTGCTTATAAAAAATGATTGGCCGCTTATCAAACGATGATGAGTTAATTATTGCATAATTGTAACATTATTTGCGGTTAAAAAACTGAATGATTAGCTTTGTAACGAGCATAAGGTACGGTCGTCACATGGGGAAAGTCAATGTGCTGAACCAAGGATCTAAAATTATCCGGACAATATGAGACCTACAAGTTTAGTTAGCTGTCTATAACTTATATAATTTTTATTTACAAGTTTTGATTTCTCTTTTATTGTCTTTTGCAAATTATTATCCAATCACTTGCTAGAGAAAAAAAGAGGGAAGGGGGAATACCAATCACATGACATGATACCGTTGTTGGCCAAACTCATTATTGGCATCACTACTAAACACTTGATTTATATGCAAGTACACATACACATACACATGTGTTTCCACTTTCTAGGGAAAAAAATAAAAAAATTGATTTAGACATCTTATCCTTTTTAACAATTTCTTAACCTTATAATTTCATTTTGATATACTAAAAAATATGTGTTCAGAAAATAATCATGTTTATGCTTCAAAAGCTTATATATACTGTATGTGGAAAAGATTCTCTACTTTTTGTTTTTTATTCGTAATTTTACATATTTATAGTAAAACCTTTTGGATTCATACCGAAGGTTGGGTTGACTCAATTAGCAACGCAAAAAAATCGTCGGTTGGGTTGGATTGACTCGAAAGCACCCTAAAATTTTGTCGGTCGGGGTATTATTATGCATGAGAAATCACTTGTGACATCAGTCAAATGGTTTTTGCAACCTGTTAAAATATTTTAATATCGATAAATCATATATATATATAAAGGGATCCATCCCCATTGGTAAAATCGGAATGTGGGATTCACTGGAAATGAAAGAAAAAAAAAACATATGAAAAATGGATACAGCATATTCATTAAAAATCAAACAAGTTTGGCTTAACTGCAAAATCGGTGAATGAAAAATTTTACAGTTCCATTTCTTAATAATCTTACAGAATGGGTGAGCAGAAACCGCAAAATTCCAAATAAATTTTATATTGATTTTCCAAGTTAGCAATCACAAGGTTCAGAAGCAGGATATATACAACACAGCTGTATACAAAAAAAACATGAATAGTTTTTTTATATGGTTTTAGTATTACTTTTAGAGATTTTTCTTTATTGATTATTAAATTTATTTTTTTTTCAAGAAATTAGGCCAATAAGATAATGGGAACAGTCACGCTCTCACGCAGCCTTATTCTTGTATATTAACTTCTCCCTCTCGTACCTTTTCTTCTACTCTTCTTCTCCTATTTCTTTCCGTTTCTTTTTATTTCAAGAACAGTCTCTGCCTCAGACAGAGACAAGGAAACAGAACAAAGCGAGAAGAACACAGCCATAACCATGGCTGTCATAAAACTAATTTTCTTTGCTTCTGCATTACTTATAACAACGCTCTTTATCGGCGTTAATTCTTCCAGGTACCGCTTATTAATTATCATCATTATAATCGTTACTATCGTACATTGACTAATTACATGTCCATTCCATTAAAGATTCTTAATTCTACGTATTCTAGTTCATGGAACCAAGCAATTAAGCTTGAACGATTCATCAACGATGTAAAAAGAACCTATTCTCTCTCATAAATCTAAAACTTTGAAGGGGTTTTATTAGGGCTCGATGGGATTTCTTAAAACAAATTAAGATAGATCATTTTCATCACTGTGATGTTAGCGTATATTTTGTATAGTTATTCCAATCCAGAAGGGGAAAAAAATTAGGAATAATTTTTACTAATATATACATTTATATATGAGACAATAATTGTAGATTGGTAATTTGATGATTTTCAGGTCCAATGAAACATGGCATGAACATGCAGTTGAGAACCCAGATGAAGTAGCTGCCATGGTGGACATGTGAGTTTCTCTATAAAACAATAATATATTCCACGAATATAGATGTTTTTTTAACTTTACCATATATAATCTACAATACTTATTTTTCGTCAATTATATAAACTTAAAGAGCGTATTGTTTTTAATTAATACTTACTTCCAGCATTCCAGGTCCAGCATCTCGTGATGGTTTTGTAAATAAAATAATCAACTTTTCATATTTGATAGTATTATTTTTCAATCGAAAAAAAAACAGGTAGAAATTAGAATTTATGACAAACCAGAGCTCACATGAAGTTCTTGTTCAGAGTTTGACACGTCACTTTCATCTTCTAGTCAAAATGGGTCCAAGCATTTGCCACATTCCTCTTGATATATATCATATACTAGTACATATCTTTTCGCATCATCTCTATATAAAACACTGATTTCTTTTAAGACAGTCAACAATGGAGCTGTTTTATATGATTAAGTTTTATTTTAGGGTTAAAAACATTAGCTGTTTTAAATAAAACAATGAATATATATTTTATACTAATTTACAGTGGCATCGAAATGCTTAATGACAGAAAACTCATTTGAAATGAAAGAACCGAATAAACCAAAAAAGGGAATCCGTACTTGTCACACCTTTTTAGTTTTCCCCCACTTTTCTTAACAGCTACAAAAGGAGATTAAAAAAACGGTTGTATTCATAAATGCATTATAAAGTATAAGATGATGTAGGTATGTCATTCGATAATTTAATTCACTGTGGTGGTATATATATTGGCAAAGTGAGATGTACTTTTTGCTTATTCTCCTACTACTCACATGTAAGTCCTTGGTGGCTTCTTCAATAAAGGCAATAATGCAATTATTGATTAATATTCCATAGTGTAATTTTTATAAATATTATAAAGAAGTATGATATTTTAGGTAGTGAAAAATGTTGTGTGTATTATTGAGGCATTGGTCCAGACTTGAGGACATGTGTAAATGTTTTCAATACTAATCTTTGGAACAATGATTTGCCAGCTTATGCACATGCCCATGCCACATGCAGTGACACGTACACTTCATGGCATGTGTTGTTTTTATTTCTCCTTATCAAAATTGTTGATGTTCGACTTTTCTTTACACCGATACCATATCTTGCGTTTGAGTTTCAGCAGTACAAAAAGCTTGTTCACAAGATATGATTTATTTACTTTTTTGAGTTTCTTCGGTACAACAAAACTTTTGGTCTACACAGACCAATACCTCTTTGAAAAATCCAATATATGAGATCATTTAACCGCAACCATGGAATTAACCCTTTTAATTAAGAGTTTTTTCTTTCTTTCTACCCTATGTGTTTGACTCTGTATTTTTTGGAATTTTTGTACTCGTTGAGGACTTTGTCTCTAAATTATATTAAAAAACAAAAAAACATTTGACCATGGCAATATCGGTTTTTTTTAAAGCAATCATAATTCATAAGATATATTTTTCCAAATATATATATATAGAAGCTTATGTGAGAGAGATACTTTAAACACATCAATTAAAACTATGTTCATCAGTTATATATTTTTCTTATGTTTCAGAAAGAGTGTCATTTTGACACTTTTCACACAGATTAAGAAACTTAATAAAAAATCTTTTCTGTTTTTCATAAATACACTAAACAGTTTTTTCTTTCTAATTAATACACTAAAATAACAAAATTAGAATTAGATTTTTAATTAAAAATTTGTATTAAAAATACAAAACGACACTTTTTGTGAAACAAAAATAAAACTCTAAAACAACATTCTTTATTTTTTATGAAATGGAGGGAGAATAATCTTGAGAAGGATAATCTACTGATAAATTTTTGGTAACTTTTGTATAAATCAATAATACTAGAGCTCCTAAAAGTAGCAATTCGGCTTTTATATCTTACTTATAAATGTTAAATTACAATTAGTATAGAAGGTGAATGTTATATTCCAATGTCTTCCGTTATAAAAACAAAAACAATTGATTTGACTCAAAACTTTATAGTAATATTTTACTGAATTGATGATGATGATGCAGGAGCATTCGCAACAGTACAGAGCGGAGAAGATTAGGTTATTTCTCCTGCGCCACCGGGAATCCAATCGACGACTGCTGGCGTTGTGACCGCAAATGGGAGCTCCGGCGAAAGCGTCTCGCCGATTGCTCAATCGGATTCGGCCGCAACGCAATCGGTGGCCGCGACGGCCGTTTCTACGTCGTGACCGACCCGGGAGACGACAATCCGGTTAATCCGATACCCGGGACGCTGCGTCACGCCGTGATCCAAGACGAGCCACTGTGGATCATCTTCAAGCGCGATATGGTCATAACCCTGAAGCAAGAGCTGATCATGAACAGCTTCAAGACCATCGATGGCCGTGGCGTCAATGTCCACATCGCCAATGGCGCTTGCCTCACCATCCAATTCGTGACGAACATCATCATCCATGGGATCCATATTCACGACTGTAAGCCCACGGGCAACGCCATGGTCAGAAGCTCTCCCTCGCATTACGGGTGGCGAACGATGGCTGACGGTGACGCGATCTCGATTTTTGGGTCGAGCCATATCTGGATCGATCACAATTCGCTCTCAAACTGTGCCGATGGGCTCGTCGACGCGGTTATGAGCTCCACCGCGATTACCGTCTCGAACAACTTCTTCACCCACCACAATGAGGTAAAACCAAAATCGACACCTGAGATGATTTATTATCTCTATCTGAATTTGGGGGAATTCGGAACTAGGGTTTTAGTAACGGTTGTGTTATCCAGGTTATGCTGTTGGGGCACAGTGATTCATACACAAGGGACAAAGTGATGCAAGTCACGATTGCTTACAACCATTTTGGTGAGGGTCTAATCCAGAGAATGCCAAGGTACATACTCTTTGCGTGATACTCAAGCTTTTGCTACTAAGGTGCAGATTCTAAGACAAAAGCCTTTTGGTATTTGCAGGTGTAGGCATGGATATTTCCATGTAGTAAACAACGACTACACACATTGGGAAATGTATGCGATTGGTGGTAGTGCTGGCCCCACTATCAACAGTCAGGGGAATCGGTTTCTTGCCCCAACGAACCCATTTGCCAAGGAGGTATGTGCTTCTTTTGACTATCAATAGGATCGATCTTTATGTCAATGGTGCTGATGCTGAACCATAGTGATGGTATTGATGATTGGGGGATATGGCAGGTGACTAAGAGAGAGTACACAGGAGAATCCAAATGGAAGCACTGGAATTGGAGATCAGAAGGAGATCTTTTCCTAAACGGAGCATTTTTCACACGCTCTGGTGCTGGAGCTGGAGCCGGCTACGCCAGAGCTTCGAGTTTATCAGCCAAATCGTCGTCACTCGTCGGCACCATGACCTCTTACTCAGGTGCTCTTAACTGCAGGGCCGGTCGCCGATGTTAATGGGTCAACTATCGAAAAAAAACCATTTTTTTTTTTTGGTTTTGAAGAAACAAGTCGATAAGATTACCGATCTCATCTTGTTTTTCTTCTTCACTTTAAAAAAAAAAAATTACTTTTGTGGTTCTTGCGATATATACACTTCCTGTATGGGATGTGGATGCCTAATTTAAACGGCCTCAACTGTAATATAAAGTTGTATGATTATTCTTTTCACCTCCGTTGGTTTCTTTAGTCGTTTATCTTGCTTTAGTGGTCTAAAAGCATTAAATGAAAACTCAGTACTTGGTGGGTTACTCTTAAGATTGAGGAATCAGTAATTGGGTTGAGAAACGAAGGAAGTGAATGTGGTGGGGACATGTGGAGCTTAAAAAGGAAACAGTGAAGAGGCAAGAAGCACATGACATTGCATTTCTCTATCTCTGAAAAAAAAGAAAATATGTGAAGCTTGGTAGTTTATACGTTAACAAAGAATTTGCCGTTGCTTTTGCTTTTACAAATGTATGGTTTGTGAATATCTTTATGTGAATGAGAAAGAACAATGATGATTTGGTCGTCTGTATATACAACTAAACTATCCTGCAGATGGAATTCGACATGTTTAGTTTTACTTGGGTCCGGTTCCGTTCCATGGTCTTGAGACATCGAACCCGAGGTCTTGGAAAGATCTTCAGAAAATTTAGAGAAATGTATTGACGTTTTGATTGCAACACCAGGGCGTTTCATGCACCTATATAATGAAAAAAAAGGGAATTTTTGGGGTTGTCAAATTTGAGATGGTACTCCAAGGATGCATACTTTCTCTGTCATTTTGCAATTTGTTATTAATGATTTTTCAAAACATTTAGAAATGCAAGAATGTTGAGTTTATATATATTTCGTCTTGACCCCAAAACAACCAAAAATTCCCTTTTCTATCATTTTCTCATGCCTTCCGAACTTGTCACAACCAAATGGAACTCTGTTGAAGCTGTGATCAAGTCACTCTCCAACTAGATGAATTATTGAATCCAAAATTTATCTGGCTTTTAAAAAAGGAAAATTGTTATCGTTTCTGAACCTTGGAGAATTATACTTATTAACTATTATTAATGATTTTTAATAGATTTAGATATATAACGACTAATATTTGCAACAACAGCGATCATAATCTTTCAAGTAAACGCATTGGCCGGTTCGATATCCCATCTTGATGCAAGAAGTGGCACAATCAGCTAGTATTGTACATAGTCCAATGCATTGTGCTTGACTTTCCTTAATCATTGGGCATTATTCCTTATTAATATTTCTTCTTGTAGTAACTCAGAAACTCTATAAATATCTCATGGTCAGACTTTGTGCAAAATTGAATCTTTGATTTGGGATATTTTTCACTACTGTGGGCGTACGTAATCGGAATCTAATTTTAATCGATGCTCCTCACCGTCTAAGCTTCCTTCTTGCTGTGAATCTTTTATGTGCAATCTGCATAATCTTTATCTTTGGCTTCTTCGAGTTACTTGTTCTTACAGTTTATTTTATGATTACAACTCTTTTTATGAAAATTTTCATCTGTCTTCATCTGTTCTCAATGTTTCTTCTCGGCAACAAGATGCTTCACATGATGAGATGCTTGATATCATCAGGAATCCCCTGGTGAAGAAGACTTTACATCTGTTGTATTCCATTTCCAATGATGATAGGTTTTGGGAGTTGTTTGGCTGCTTTGTTATTCAAGGCTTACAAGAAGATTCTGCAAACTCGCAGGAGCTGTCTCTACTCCTCCGTTTTGCTTCTTCACATAGTGGGACAACATTAATTTCTTTGGGTCAATACTTGGAGATGATGAAGAAGGATCAGACTAACATCTACTTCTGGGTAGTTCCATCCTATCCTCAAGATTTGAGCCCTCTCAACAAACTCAACAAATTTGAAAAGGTACAAGAGGAAGTTCTTTTCCTTAAAACCAATTGGGAAAATCCTCTCACTATTCTTCTGAAAACTTACAAAGGGAAGCTTTTGATTGTTATTGAAGATTCTGGAGTTATGAAGACTCTTTGCTAAAATTGGGGATTTGCTTCTTATTGCTCTGAACATGTTTGTGAAAGACAGCACCTCCATTGTGTCTGTAGCTGCTAGTGGAGCCACGATCTTGTATGTCAAGGCAATCTGGCATACTTTGAGGAAAGGGAAAGAGAAGGTTGAGAAAGAAAGTGAGGGAGACATCGATAGGAAAGGGAAAGAGAAGGTTGAGAAAGAAAGTGAGGGAGACATCGATGAGTAGGATGCAAACTTCAAGGATGCAAACTTTCTCTGTCAAACTTCAAGAATGCAAACTTTCTCTGTCATATTGCAATTTGTTATTAGGGATTTTCAAAACATTTTAGAGATGCAAGAATGTTGACTTTATATATATTTCGTCTTGACTCCAAACTAATGTTCTCGTTGCTCCTAAAAGAATCCCACTACAAGTTGCCACACGTGCGCCAGAACCAAATTAATCAACACAGCTAACAAACATTAGGTCAGTTTTTTTTTACCGCATGGACTTCTTTTACTTATAACTTACAACCATATTCAAATCTGAGGATAGTTGTCCTGTCATCCCAAATAATTTTTGATGTTTTTTTGTGAAACTATAATCAAATTAGGAGAAAATAATAATTTTTAACTGATGGTTTGTCTCGGACAAAAAAAAAAAAAAAAAAACTTTCTTCTAATAAATTCATCGGTTTACTTTTATAATAGTAATAATTTTAACAGAGGGAAAGTAAACAATATCATAATTTCCTTGTAGAACTCTGAGCGTTTGTCTTGGTGTGGTTGTTGGGCTCTGTCCCGTTTCTGTTCTGCTTTCTTTGCTGCTGATGTGGTTGCTGGTTGGGTTTGAGATGGGCTTTGCCTCGTGCTTTGTTTGGTCTTTGGAGTTGGAGGCGTCTTCTCAATCCTCAAATCTCTCGGTTTGCTGCTTGTCTTCCTGGGTTCTTAGACTCCACTATACGAGGGTTTGTTAAAAAAAGCCCAAATCCGTTTTGCTTACACCATCAAATTTTTTCATTGGAATTCATTCGTTACGCTCCTTTGATAACTGAAAGGGGTGATTATCAGAAATGTAGATCCTACTTTAGTTTTATGGGTTTTAGATTTTCTCCTAAATGTAAAGAACCAAAAGTAAAACATAATTTTATACCTGACGCTGTGAAACTTGATCGTCTCCGAGGCGTCTTAGATATCATACGACTTGGTAGATTCTGAGGCATGACAAAAGAAGCAATCACGAATTTAGTTTATACGTAAACAATTGTATATATTCGTCCAAAATCAACATAATACACATGTGGATGATCATATGAATAACCATTTCATTGTATATATAATAAACAAATGTTTTACACGGTTTCACAGTTTGACACTCGAAGCAGGAATCCACTAAGTGCTTTAAAATGACGATTCTCTTTCAACTTGAATCTCCGCTTCCAACACGTCTCACGTATTCACTCGGGTTACGTGGAAAATCAAAAAGCACCACATGATCAACACCAGAGAAACAGGAAACTAAATTTCAATGTTTATGCAACATATAGCATCACAACAACGATTACCTTTTTAAGTACGAATCAAAATATCTCACAACAACGATTACCATCTGGATTTCTTTCTATCAGAAGTTGCTTTGGCTGTTCGTAACTTTCTCAAAGGATACGATTTTATTTACTTGTTTTGAGTTTCTTCCGTACAATAAAACTTTTGGTCAACACAAACCAATACCCTCTTTGAAAAATCCAACCTATGAGATCATTTAACCCCGACCATGGAATTAACCCTTTTAATTCAGAGTTTTGTTTTTTTCATTACGGGTGGCTTCAGACAACGAACCCAGCTAGAAATCTTAGAGAAATGTGTTCACGTTGTGATTGCAACACCAGGGCGTTTCCTGTACCTAATGAAAGAAGGAATTTTTGGGGCTGTCATTTTGCAATTTGTTAGTAATGATTTTTCAAAATATTTAGAAATGCAAGAATGTTGAGTTATATATTTCGTCTTGGCTCTAAAACAACCTAAAATTCCCACCTCTATCATTTTCTCATGCCTCGCAGACCCTTTCTCACAAGTCACAACCGAATAGAACTCTGTTGAAGCTGTGATCAAACTCTCACTCTCCAACTAGATACCTATCTTAATTTTGATATATTTAATTTATTCTGAATCTTGGAGAAAGATAACTCACAAATTGGTAGATATATGTTATTACTAAATTAGTAATCTTAGATATTGTTATTAATTAATGATTTTCAATAGATTTACATATGAAATGATTAATAGTCGCAACAACAACGATCATGATCTGTTAAGTAAACGCATTGGCCAGTTCGATATCCCATCTTGATGCAAACAATGTCACAATCAGCCATGATTGTACATAGTCCAATACATTGTGCTTCAGCTTCAACTTTCCCTAATAATAGGATGTTATTTATTAATATATCTTCTAATTTGCTATCAAATTTGACATGTTAAGATATGCAATTCATAGACATACTAACCTGGAACCATGAGAAATAGGATAATTATTGAAGAAACTATTACAAAATTCATAATTCTAATCTTACAATTCATTTTTATCGTATTGTCAAATATATCACTTCTACTTTTATATATCTATTTTTTTGCTAAAACTTTTGCTTTTATATTTGTTCATCTAAATTAGTTTTATAGGTTTAACACTCAACCAAAATCTGCTGTGCATTATTATTTACCATTGACTTTTGGCACATTCCTATTATTTTGTCGCCAACCTTGGAGAAATATCTGGGTTGTGCCTATATATTCTTTTTTTTTATGTAGATATTTTGATTTGAAAATCTGACTAGTATTAATTTTTTTATGAATTGACACATTGCAAAGAAATTACCAAACTCAAGAGATCTTTAACTTAAGTTGGATTGGTATTATCAATGTGTTATGGACAATTCTTATCCTCATCAATGTTTAATTATTGTTTATATTTTCTCTGAAGCAATATAATTTTGTGAAAAAAAAAGAAATAGATCTTAGTTTCTTTCGCTCTATATAATAATATGAGTTGATAAGTTTAAATTTAATAAAACCTACAATCTAGTAATATTTACAGCTCATGCCACTATGTATCTTTATAGTTATTATAATTTTCGTAAATTTTATGTAGTATATAATATATATCTATCCTAAGTTTAAATTTTCAATAATCTATAAATGTTGTTAAAATCATTTTTGGTAGAAAGTTTTTCGAGAATTGTATTTTTCATTAAAAATTCAAAAAATCATATTTTGGAAAAATAGTAAAATTATAGTTTTGTGAAATAAGATGATATTAATGATTTTATCATATGATTGGTTAATAAATAAACCATTTTAACCTGTACAACATTTCAATCTTACTTATTTTAATCCAGCTCATTTGATTCATCAATCCATAAATCCATTTTAGTAAAAAAATTGATCAATTGGCTTGGATTGAATCAACACATGTAGCATGGAATAAGCTCTCAAAAATATAAGAGTCAAATAACTTTTAAAAGTCAATTGGGTTGGATTGGATCAATTCCATTTGATCCATAAATTCATTATGCTCAACTTTTTTAACTTATTAGGGTTGATCAATTGACTAGGGTTGGTCAATTGAGTTGGTTTGGATCAGTTTATGTATCTTGTAATAAGCTCTCAAAAACATAAGAACCAAATAGCTTTCAAAAGTATCATCATCGCCTGAATTTTTAAAAAGGAGATATTCAATGTCTTTTTAACGAAAGGCTTGTTGGTAATGTCAATAATATCATATGATAAAGAGAAATCCACATGAACAAAAGAAACTTCAACCATAACCTTTACGAATAGCTAGTAGTAATTCAGAAACTCTATAAATGTTTCATCAAAATGGTCAACCGTTGTGCAAAACTGAATCTTTGGTTTGAGATATTTTTTACTATTGTTGGCGTAATGAACTTAGTGCACTTAGCAACTTTCCAAGTTACTTACCATTTGTTAAAGCTATTGTTGATTTGCTTTCTCAACTGTTTCTATAATTTAGTTTGGCTAATTAAACATCTCAAACATATAAAAATATTCACTTTTATACAAGGTAAAACTTCATTCACGTTTCTTATATTTGTGGGATCACCGGTAGCTATAGGTAATAGATTTAATTGATTCAGACAATGAGTCTCGAATCTGGTTAAAAGCCCCTAAAGATTTGATAGTCGATGGTTACAACTTATTTTACGATCGCACCTTTGATGATCCTAACAAACCATTGGCTTACTCACATTTCTGTGATCGCATAAGAAAGGTATATTAATTTCTAAAACATTTCTATAAGATGCAGTTTCTTCTTGACCACATGTTTCTTGATAATCCCAAGGTGTAGAGAAGAAACCACCGACCAAATATCAACCACTGTTTTTATAAAAGACAGTTGAAAAATCTGCAAGTGCTCTATCAGAAAGAAAGAAGGATGGAATGGACATAGAGATAAATATTCGACTCTAACATATTCTTCAATTCTGATGGATCCAACATATATTAATGCAGTGAAACAAGCATCCTATAGAAAAAACAAATACTTTAGTTGCCTGACAGGCTGAAATAAACAAAGATCTTATAAAAATGTTTTAGAAATTAATTTATCTCTTATATGATCACAAAAATGTAGCGTTTTGGACTTTTGGTTTACTCTTCACAAAGAAATTAAAATATTTATTACGCCAATCAAAAAGATTTCTAGTATCATAATTAATCAGAATCTTTCTATGTATATGTGTCGTCCTCGTAATTATTCTCATGAGTAAGACTAGTTATTTTTTTTTCTCTCTTGTGGGCATGCCCAGTTGTTTTTTTCTTTCTGGGCAGACCCAGTTATTCGTTATCCCTAAACTCTAAACAAATTTTGGGATAATTTTTCATTAAAAGTAAGAAATTAGAATTATCCTAATAATACCCAAACACTCCCATACGATTTATGGCTGCTCCAAAACCTCAACACTCACTCTTAAACCGTCGCAATTTATCGAAAAATTGTACTCCTTGTAGAAGTCAATGCAGAGGTTTTGCACTAAGTTACGTTCCATTTCCGTCCTAAATCAAAATCTAGCTTTAAGCCGCCGTCTTGTTCCTCAAAATGTAAGTTTCTAGGGTTTTGGTTAGGTTAATGTTTCACTTCTAGTGATTGAGAAATTTTGAATGTGAACAAGATTTGACCAGCTAGGTAGTTTTGATTTGATTGTACTAGTTCCATCTTTTTTTTGTGTGTGAAACTCTTGTGTTTTTGCGTCGTTTGTTGAATAATGTGAAATAGAATCGTACTGGCTCTGGTTTTGGTTTTGGTTTGAATCTACGATAGGGAAATGATTATGTTACTATTCACGAAGAAGTTTGAGAAACAAAGTGAGGGAGACATCGATAGGAAAGGGAAAGAGAAGGTTGAGAAAGAAAGTGAGGGAGACATCGATGAGTAGGATGCAAACTTTCTCTGTCATTTTGCAATTTGTTATTATTAGTGATTGTCAAAACCTTTTAGAGATGCAAGAATGTTGACTTTATATATATTTCGTCTTGACTCCAAATCTCTTTTGACTATGTTTGACTCTTTTTTTGAACCATCTTCTTGGCTTGTGCTAGAGCGCAACACGACGAGCCCTGTTTTTATTTCAGGAGAAGAATCTGTAAATACCAACAACTACTGACTATATTTAAAACCGGAAAACAAAAACTAGTTCTCAAAGAGCACTGCCAAAAAGTTTTACCCAAGTTAGGCTGTGAATTCGTAAGCGTTTGGGACATCATGAACCGGGTGACCCTTCTGGTTTCGCTCAATTATTCTACGTGCAAGCGCTACTTGCTTCCCCACCACAAAGACGAAAGCCTTCCCTTCTCCTCTAGCCCCTCTGGCTGTTCTTCCAACACGTCTCACGTATTCACTCGGGTCACGTGGAAAATCAAAGAGCACCACATGATCAACACCAGAGAAATCTATCCCACGAGATGCTCTGCACATGTGTTGGAAACAGGAAACAAATTTTCAATGTTCAGGCAACATATAGCATCGGTTACTTGTAGCCCAAAACCACCAAGTACCTGTCCGTGCAAACCAGAAACAGTGAATTGTCCTCGGGATGAGATGCGGTGAATTCTTCCATGTTTGTAAGCCTTGACTCTTGTGCGAGTGCCGCGTGAAATGGTAGGACGTGCAACTGCCTTTCATTTCTATCAAACCGCTTGAATATATTCTCAACTTTCCTACATGTCTCAATCTGGAAAGAGGGTGGAACTTTCAATCATGAGACTGAGGTTTCCAATGTGTTCATTACGTAGGAGCAAAAACCAGTAAGTGAGTGACCATGGCACCTTATTGCAGAAGATGATAGTTTTGGGAACTGGGTTTTCCTCGACAATCTGAAGAAGAGCAGCTTTCTTGTTCAGAAAAGCAGTCTCAGGAGTTTTCTCTGCATTATCATCTCCACTGCAGTCAACAAGAACCTGCACAGTGCAACTCAATATTGGTCATCCGCGAAATCCAAGTCCATCATATCAGGAACAGTCAAAAGAAGACTATGCAGGAACCAAGTTTACAACAAAGATTAATCTATACTCCCATTGTATATATTCCCAAATCACTTATCTTAATACCTCTTCAAGAGCATTGCTAACACGGTGCACGCGAGGTCCCATCACAACTTCACAATCTGGAAAAACTTCAACTAGTTTGTTGTATATCTCAAGGGGCAAGGTTGCTGTAACAAACAGATACTGCGCAGTAACAGGGGAAGAGTTTATAAGATTTTGCAGGGCTGCCTCAAACTCCTCGTCACCAAAGAGTATATCCACTTCATCCAAGATGGCACTGCAAGACACGTTACCAAGATTCTGCCCCATCAATTTTCAATTTTCTCACAAAAACTAATAAAGTTTGCATCGTTGAAAGATTTACACTACCATCTCAAATTTGACAACCCCAAGATTCCTTCTTTCATGAGGTACATGAATCGCCCTGGTGTTGCAATCAAAACGTCAACACCTTGCTCTAAGTTTTCTAGCTGGGTTCGTTGTCTGAAACCTCCCGTCACTACCATGGAACGGAACGGGACCCCGGACTTTGATATTGATCTACAGTTGGCAAGAACCTGCCAAGGATTTCATTTACACCAAAACATTCAGATACAAAGTAAACAATAAATCAGCCTAGGAAGAGCAATCATAGACTATAACGAAATCAACCTGGGACGCCAACTCTGCGGTGGGTACCAGAACAATAACACGAGGACAACCAGAAGAGGATTTGCTCTGTCCTTGAAGTTCCTCTTCTCTGAGACGCTGAATAACAGGGACAAGATACGCCAGTGTCTTGCCTGATCCACTTTGGTCAGCTATGATACAACTCTTTCCATCAACAACTGGCGCAAAAGCCAGAGCCTGCGTCATCAACAATAAAGGGATAAAACGACAGAAGAATTGTGCTCATGCGCATGCACCTATATGAATAATCAAAGAGAAAAAGGCAATTTCTGCACCTGTATATGTGCTGGGCGATCAAAGTTATGTTCCTTTAAGGCCTTCATCATATACTCACTACATCCAACTTCTGCAAAACTTTTCCGGCTAAAAAAGCCGTTCTCTCTTGGAGCATTGGTTTTATTTCCTCTCTCTCTCCAATCCTCCATATCTCTTGCATATACAACAGAACGCCTATCACCCCAACCCCTGGAGTTACCAGCAGAGCGTTTTGAAGATGAAAAATGCGATTCTCCTCTGTCATTATCAGCAAACTTTCGAGTATCTGAAACCTCCCTAGTAGCTCTACCATTTCCTCCAAATGAATCCAACTCTTTTGCAACAAAACGCCTATCTTCTCTACCCCTGGAGTTAGCATCAGAGCCTTTTGAATAGGAACTCCGCGATCCTGCTCTCTCATCATCAGCAAACTTTCGAGGTTTTGAAGCATCATCAACAATTCTACCATGTCCCCTAAATGCATCTAAATCTTTTGCAATCGAAAGCCTATCGCCCCTACTCCTGGAGTTAGCAGCAGAACCTTTTGAATATGAACTCCGCAACCCTGCTTTCTCATTATCAGTAGACTTATGAGGATTTGAGAACTCGTCAGTATCTTCATCATGCCCTTTCAAGCTATCTAAATCTCTTGGCTCCCTAGATTCCCGCAATTTGCTGAATCTATTTACCTCTTTTGGCTCTACGGATCTTTCTGATCTAGGAACAGCCTTCATAGCCAGCTTCTTCCTCATCAAATCCAGAATTGATGATGAACCAAACCCGTCATCCGCAGAATAATCCTCATCAGAGGCGTCATCCTCGTCCTCTTCCTCATTGTGACTCAAATGCTGCTTCTTCTGCGTTACCTTTCCAACAAGAGCTTTCACTTTCTGGGCCTTTAGCCTTCCAAAACTCGAAGTTGCTCCTCTCGAACGCGAACCATTTCGTCTCGCAGATTCTGCCATATCCCATATCAAACACCAAACCATCAACACAAACAACGAGCTCAATTCCTAATCCAGATTTTGAAAATAAAAACCAAAAACAATATATACATATGGAGAGCTACTAATAACCTGAGGGAATCGAAGAGAGTAAATCGGACGGAGGCGGAGGATAGAATTCATTCTCTTGATCGTCCGCTCTGATTACGATGAACCCGTCGTCGGTGGAATCGTTAACGACCTCATTCGAGCCTGAAGTTTCCAGCGGCCGCCGAGTGAAACCGGCTCTCGCTAACACTCCTCCTCCTCCTCCTTCGCCGTTATGAAACAGCCGCACAATCTCCCTCCGATAACAAACTTTATTCCTAGCCGGAAACGTAAAAGACGGCGGTGGAGCTCTCGCCAACATTTCTCTCTCTCTCTTCTGGTCTACACTTTCCCAAGCAGAGAGGGAAAAGGAAAAGGAAAAGGAAAAGGAAACGGAGAGATAAGAGAGAGTGATGATATGTTCTTTAATTTTACTAAAATAAAATTTAAAATTTAAAATAAAATAATTTAAAAAAAGTGTTAAGAGATTTTTCCTTTTTCCTATTTTCTTATTTCCTTTTCCAACGAGAAACTAATTTCCATGACCTCTATATATCCCATTCTTATCAAAACCTTTAAACTCACTAAAACCTCGGCCCTTTTCTCTCTATATCTCTTCTCCTGCTATCAAAGTTTTGGTTTTGAAGAGATTATTGATCATGTCTCAGCCAAACGATCACAAAGATACGAAAATCTTCGTGGGAGGTTTAGCCTGGAAAACAACAACAGACGGTCTCAAAAGATATTTCCAGCGATTTGGAGATGTTCTTGATGCTAATGTTGTCAGCGAAACTTTCCCAGGAGGAAGAATGAAATCAAAAGGCTATGGCTTTGTAAGTACTGTTATACTAAACGATTCGTTCTGCTTCTTTTGAATTGCGATGGAGTATATAGTAAACCTTTTAAAAAGCGATAGTTTGCAGAGATTTTCGTGCATGTTGTGTTTGTTCGAAGGAACGAAACGATCGGTGTGTTTGATTATGGGATTTTAGGTTTAGGTTTAGGTTTAACCAAACGATTGTTCTGCTTCTCTCATAACTCGACGCGACGGTTCTGTTTCTCATGTGAACTTAACAATCGATCCAGTTTCTCAAGTGTTTTTTTTTTATATAGATATTTTTACAAATCGATTTACCTTTTTCTGAATTTTTTCAGGTTACTTTTAGAGATGCTGAATCTGCCGCTAGAGCTTGCGAAAACCCGTTTCCGTTTATTGATGAAAGACAAACCAATATCAATCGGGCATACCTTCATGCAAAGAATACCAACACTAACCAGTTTAACCAAAACGGTTTAGTCTCTAAATTTCATTATTTTCTCTCTCGGGTTTTTTGCTTTTATTTCAGCCTAATCTTTATAACCTTAAATATTGTAGGTTTTCTACATCATCATCAGGCTGGACCATGGCATCAGTATCACAACGGTAAAATCTCTAAATTACTTTTTTTTTTTTTCTACTTTTTCTCCAACAATACTTTTCCACAAGCAGCTAATCTTTATAAATCTTAAATTTGCAGGTTGGTTAAATCAAGCTGCACAACATCAACATCAGCTATATTCTCAATACACAAATCCACATTTTCCTCAAGTCTACTGGTAAATTCTATTTTTTTGCTTGACACTTAGGTTAAACATCGTATTTGATTATGATGAATAACTATTCTAGTTTCTTTGATTTTTATTTGTAACGTCCACAGGGATCCAAATTGTGGACAATACCGTTACGTGTATAACGTTCCACACAATCCTTACCTCACCACCATGGTTAGTATACTAATGTTCCATAATATTGTGCTAGTTTAATTGATTTTTTTTAATTAACACACTGATAATATTTATTGGTTATTGGTATTTTGTGCAGATCTATCAATATGGTTCAACATATGGGATGCAACAGATTCGGCGTCAGACGAGTAATCGACCACCTGTCCGTATTTCAGCTCCGCCTAAAGGACCATCGATTTTAACTGAAGGCATCAGTGATCAAACCAATCAAGAAGCTGATGACAACATCGAAAAGGCAGATACAGAACCAGACAATGGTGTTGATCAGCAGCATCAGGGAAAGGATCAAGAAGGAGATGACAGTGTACAAGACAATGTCGTTGATCAGCATCAGGGAAGGGATCAAGAAGGAGAGAGCAGTGGACAAGACAATGGTGTTGATCAGCATCATGGAAAGGATCAAGAAGGAGAGAGCAGTGGACAAAACAATGGTGTTGATCAGCAACAGGGAAAGGATCAAGATGGAGAGGATCAAGACAATGATGTTGATCAGCAGCATGAGGGAAAGGATCAAGACGGAGATGGCAGTGGACAAGACAATGACATCATGCAAGATTCAAAGGACCAAGAGGTAGAGATGATAAGTGGACAAGACGATGACATCAAGCAAGATGCGGATGCAACAAAACAGCTCGATAATGGGATTGAAGTTACACCCCAACTCGTGATGTCGGTGGTTTGTGAATGAGAGTGAGTGAATGTTACTAATGCTAATAATACAACTATAATCTGCTGTTATTTAGACGAATAGTGGATGTTATTCATTCTATCATGAATTTCTCTAGAATTTAATCTCAACTATAATTTTCTATCGTTATAAATTCTGCCTTAAAATGCGTCTAGAATATCATCTCGAAAGGGTTTGCTATATCTTCACTAATTTATTCTAATTGTCCAAGTTAACGAATCTGATATCTTTTTTTTTCTTTTGGGGTAGTTGAGTGGTTCCCTTTCTAGAGAAATTTGATGGGTGCACATAAAAATTGGAGTTCTGAACAATTAAAAATATGTTTTTTTGTACGTTATAGTGTACTTTGGGATTCGGTTCTTGCTCCTTTACTTGAACTATGACCATCTTATTTTTCTAAGTCCAAAACCATACTTTTGGAGAGTAATCGAATGGATACTCTAGATGCATGGTCCCTACTGCCTATAATTAAATCATATGATTTTCTCATAATAAGAATTTATTACGTACTCCCAATATCATGCTTGCACATGGGACCTTGGTACGTATCTTGAACCGAGCTGAGAAATTGAGGCGTTGAGATATCGAAATTTCAATAACTTTAAAAATTAAGCGATGCAACATTTTGATGAAATTTGATTCATCCCCAAAACTAAAGTCGTCCTATACTCCTAGACTTCTTTAAAATCTGGACCCAAAATATATATATATATATATATATATATCTTTTTTTTTCACCCGATAATTATCGTTTCTTGGTTGGAATCTGACAATAATTACATGTTTACAACAAATCAGTATTCGAGTTTAACCAACACACACTTTATAAAATTGCTTTTATAAAATTAATCAGCATATTATCACGAAAACAAAGAGATGGGTAAAGTAAAAGGGGTAAGACATCTTTCTAGTATATATATATATATATATATATATATATATATATAAAGAACAAAGAAACAAAGGCGAGAAGCTTCCAAGAAGGTAAGAATTTAGAAAGATAACAAAGTGACTAAGCCTATATATAGAATGCGGATACTTTAACCACAAAGCAGTGCTTTAAAGATATCTTAAAGCTTGGGGCACAATATACAACAAAAAAAACTAAGGAGGCACATGTATTAGTGAAACATGTAACTTTTTTCTGCTTCTCGATTATAAGCATATCGTTCTTTGACTGATTCTCATTGCTTTTGTATCGATTCGTGCCTACAAAAGCTCCTTCTTTCTAACATATATTCGTTTTTCTTTTCCAAAAGTTCTGTATAAATTAAGAAGTGAGTTTTGATTTCCATTATTTGGTGCATATTGTCTTATAATAAGAATGGGTACTGATTATTTGGCGAACTTATGATTCCTACCCTCAACTTTGTCTAGTGAAGTCATAAATTATCCAAAACCATAGTAAATGTAAATAGTGTTTAAGAACAATATAAGACGAACTATATATCATTCAATATTCTCACCGTTCGATTCGATATACATCTACATGCATTACAATCAATCATCTCATGACTGACAGCTTTATGTAAACCCCATGTGAATTACTTACTAAATTGTTTTAAAAGGGATAACATTTTCTTCCTTCCGAGGAAACATCTTATTCATTCAGATGGGAATATTACTTATATTGGATGTAAAATTTCTAGAACAGTTATAACTTGATGCGGTACTCGCGGTAAAATCACTTCAAATGGTCTATACGATCGGCTAGATGGTTTAGTTATTTGGTTACAATGTTTCACCATAATTTTGTTTGTTTTGCTAATTACAAACCACCGATCTTTTGGCTATAGCTTTCCAATATCCGAGAGAATTTATATTTGATATAATTAAATAACATCGCTCAAGAACATACAACGAATGTATGCGGAAGCATCAAATTTGGATTTTTTTGGTTTATTTTCCAGAAATCATACATTTATATTGCCAAAACATAAAGGGTTTGATATGTCATTAGCAATAATAATGTAAGTAGAGAAACAAAACATATGATAAACTCGACAGACTTTGACAAATGATGATTATAGATATATATCCTCGGAATCACATAGAAACACACACTACGGGAAAAAAAAAGAAAGAACAAATATTTTTTTCCAAACTAGTACGTTTAAAAGAAGCTTAAGGAGAAGAAGAAGAAGAAGGAGGCGATGGAATCAGTCACGAGTCTCGTGGAACCTTCTGATGAAATCAGTGGATTTCCGGTTAATAGCGGGTTCGACGACGTACCAATTATAGAAATTGGCTTCGTTGTCTTCACCATACATCTCGTCGTCTGTGCCTCCCGGGTTAGATCTCTGTCTTCTCCTCCACCATGCCTTGAAGCTGCCGAAGAAGCTAAACAAGAAACGCCAAGAACCTCCCATGACAGTCCCTTTAGAGAAGAAATTAGATACGTTAGGGAGAGAGATGTATTTTGCGTGTATATATCTAAAGATACAATACAAGCATGTGAAGAAATGTGAGGTCTGATGGTTTAGGGTTCAAAACACAATGTCTCTTTATATAGAATAAGGCTGCCTAACTTGGAATCCTAGAGGAACCATGCACGAAACACCAACCAACCAAAAAGATATTACTTTTTCCCTTATTATTTTAAGCTTTTTATGAAAAATATTTTTTATGGACAATCTGTAATATATAAAGTTTACTAAGGTGTCAAATATATTTTACTAATGCTTAAATATTTTAATTTATATGTATTATTCAGATTGATGAATAACTTTTTTTTTTTTTTTGGTAAAATGAATAACTTGTTTACCATCAATGTTTAAATAAGAACGCACTGTAGTTAACAATTTTGTGTTCCAATCTATTACGTATTCATTTGTCTAGTTCACCGCTACAACAAATGTGTAAATCTCAAATCGGTTTTGTCATCTTGAATTGGAGCAGTGCTTTTTATTAGTATACATTCACTATATTTTGTAGAGTTTATATGATTTTACATTAAAAAAAAAATCATATGAACATGGACCATTGAATTCGTTTGCCTTTACGTTTGTCACACCAATCATACTGGCCAGCCGAATAAAACGGCAAGCATTTTTTCTTATGGAACTTAAAAACGTCAAGTTGTTTACCGAATAAATCCAAGAGTTAACCAAAAGATAATTTTTGGTCATCTCGAGGTCAGCTGCTTGTAGAAATCGAGCGGCGGCGGAGACGGAGACGGAGACGACGGCGATGAACAGACTGAGATGGGTCGGAGAGGGAGACATATGGGAGCTCGATATGTCTACTCCGGTGACACTCGAGGGCACCGCACGAGCTGTTTCCGACGACCCTCTTCCTCTGGGTCTCTCCAGAGGCACTCATCTCTCTCGCCCTAAGCAGGCTGAGTTCTTCCACCGCTTCATGGCCACACCCCTCATCCCTTCCTTCTCCTCTCTCCGTCACACCTCCGGCGTTGAAGGCGATGCAGTCGGCGGTGGATTATCTCTTCAACGAGTCCTCACTTTGCCTTTCTCCAACAACTGGTACTTACACCGAATTTTCAAAAATTCCCTTCCGTTTTCCAGATACTTTCGCATAAATGGTCGATAACTTCGTTTCTGTAATTCCCAAGGTTTGTGTCTCTTCTGGGCCAGTTCGATGCTCAGAGATTCGTATCGGAGGTAAAAAAGAATGAAGGTTTTGTTCGAGGGTCTTCGTCTTCAGCAGCTTCTCGTTTAAAAACAATTGGCAAGCATCTGAAGGATAAGTCGTTGTACGCGTTGGGCTTCTTCTCGGAGTTTTTGTTAACACCAGATGATACTTTGCTTCTTAGCTATGATACTTACAAATGTGACCTTAAGAAGAATCCTAGGGCTAAGGCTGTCTTCAATCACGAGGCAATTCCCTTTGTTTACCTTCGTTTGCTTCCTTGTCCCTTATCAATTTTCACCAATGTGGTTGGAAATGTGATTACTTACTTGGTGACGCCATTGTTTTCAGTTTCCGCTTCACAATCTGACAGCAGAAGCGGTTTGGCCTGGACTGTTTGTGGATAAACATGGCGAATACTGGGATGTTCCATTATCAGTGGCTATTGATCTAGCTTCTCTTCCTGCTGAGTCTGGTCCAAGTTACCATTTGTGTCTGCACCATAACAGCGGATCGCCCAAGAAGTTGAATTCTGATGCAATGGAAGTGCCTCCACCATCTCTGCTTCCTGGCCTGTCTCTAAAATCCGCAGTCTCTTACAGGACAAACATGGATCTCTGGAGGGGTACCACTCCAAAGCTCGAAACCTGCAAGCCCTATGACATCTTACTCAGTAGTCCTCATGTCTCAGTGTCTGGGATTATCGGTATGATATAAGTTTCTTCCACTCACTTCAATAGCATATTTATCGTCAAGACTAAAAGTCTATGTATTTTGTCTAATATTTATGTGCAAATCTGATTTTCTGAATTCCGCAACTCCAAAATTAGTTTTCATCTGAATGATCTGATTGAAAGTTTTATGTTTGAGTGCAATGGTCATTGGGATGATCTTTTTGATGTTGCTGATAATTTTCGTTAATTCCACAGGTAGTGTGATGACTGCAGCATTTGGTGAAAATTCAATCAGATCAAAACTTGAGAAGGATTCTGAAGGCGTTGGAGGGTTCTCTCTTCATGTTCCATCTATAAATTCCGGATTCATGGCTGATGCCTTGGGACGCGCATCACTCACAGCTCAATATGGAAACTTCCAGAAGCTCTTCTTTGATCTCACCCGCTTCCATGCTAGATTAGACTTTCCGCACGGTCTGAGGTTTCTCACCGGTGCCACTAGTGTCGCACAAGAGCTTTTGAATTCTCGGCAGCCTAGTTTAGAAGCATTTCAGAAAATCTGCCCTGAAGTAACAGTGTCTCTGCAGCAACAGGTAATAGAAATGACTATTCTGCTCTGGTTCATAAGTTTCAGCTACTTGATTTATAAGTCTTCTACGCATTTTGGTTGCAGATTGTTGGACCGTTTAGTTTAAGAGCGGAGTCTGGAATTCAGATTGATCTGCAGAACGGAGCTAACCCCGTGACGATAAATAACACAGTATTTGCTATCGAATATGCTCTTCAGGTGCTTGCTTCTGCCAAGGCTGTTGCTTGGTACTCCCCGAAACAGAAAGAATTCATGATTGAGCTTCGTTTCTACGAGACATAGCCTAAGGATTATATACTCAAAATGTCAAAAGCATGATCCTGAGAGAAGTAAATAGACGAAGTTTTTTCTTTCAATTTATATCTTAAACAGATGAATGTTTCAATAGAAAGGAAGTTTACATTTGGTTATAGTGTGATGTCTACCAAAACTAGTTACAGGGCAATCTGGTGGAAGCCGTAGATGATCTTCCTCATACTTAACAGACAAAAGACAGAGACCATGAGGCGGCGCAGGCAATGTATACTTTGCAAGCTCCCTCCTGTCTTTGGTTTCCAGAATCATTGGGACAATGTCTGAATCCAACGCTTCTTTCCCAACCTGAATCAGCAAAGCCACCTGCAAATGTGGAATAATGACTCAGCAGACAAAAAAATATATTTTATCGACTGTTAAGCAGCGTTGAGAGAGACTATAGTAGACTAACCATGTTCCTGACTTGTCTGTACATAAAGCCTGAACCTTCAACTTCAAGTTGTAGAAGAGATCCCTGAACAACCAAAACCCACAACAAAGGTCAAAGTCTGACCCCTTAATGTAACTTTTGCAGAATCGAGATTTTATTGGTATTTTTACCATTTGGATGACATCGAAGCGAAATATAGTTTTCAAAGGATCAGGTACTCCATCTTCTCGTGTAGCGTTAGCAAACGCAGAGAAATCGTGCTTTCCAACAAAATGTTGAGCAGCTTCCCGCATTTTACAAGCATTGAGTCTGTAAGCAGAGTGGTAAGCCCAATGACGCTGGAACGGGTCCATGAACGTGTCGCTGTAAATCTGGTAGCGATAAACCTTGCTACGGCAAGAAAACCGAGCGTGGAACTCCGGGACCGCTGCACCAACCTCTCTGATTCGGATATCTTGAGAAAGAAGACCGTTTAATGCGGCGTGAATGCTCTCCAGACTAGAATAATTGAATGGAGTCACAAAATGAGCCACCTGAAATAAAAGTTGAGAATAAGGGATGGAACTTTTGTTGAAAGAAAAGTTGAGAAGGAGAGAGAATTTGGGAATTGAGTCTGAACCTGACCCCAGGCGTGAACTCCTGCATCAGTCCTACCTGCTCCGACTAGAAGCAGCTCTTTTCTTCCGAGCTTTGTTATCTGAATCAATGCTTTCTCTAACATTGACTGGATTGTTGGTGGTGACTCCTGATATTGCCAACCTGTAACTCAAACGCCCGGTTTCAGTTCGAGATAAGGTAACCAGATTGATAGATGCCTCAATACTAGAACAAGACCAAGTGAAAGTTTCAATCACTACACAATCAAGATTTCAATGGCTTGAGTGGGACAGAGACAAACAACCATTTCCCTCTCTCTCTAACACAACAAAGTCAAAGTGAAACTTCAAAAACAAAAACCAACGAAATTTCTCCTCACCGGAATCAAATGAGCGCTGTGACATAATTCTATAGAAACGATACGATTTCATCCCTCAAAGAGCACACACTCGTAGCTTGAGTTTGGGACTATTCTATATATGCAGCAGAATATACACTGTATGGTCTTATAAAAGACAGAGACAGCAAATTTGTTCAGTTGTCAAAAGACGAACCTGAAAATTTGGTGCCATCGTAGGCAATCACAAGGCGCCATTTATAACCACCAGGGTCACTAAGCTTTACCAAACTGTTCATCTCAGTCTTCTGCAAAAATGAAAAAATTCAGACAAAAAAAAGCTTTCTTGGGCATTTCCAGAGAAGTCGAAATTCGGAGGGAGAAGATTGCATTTGAGGCGCTTACGGAGATATTCTTAGAAGACGAGAGAGACCCATTAGTAAAGAGTGAAGGAGGAATTGCTGCTGTAGCGCTACACATCTCATCTCCTTCTTCGTGTGTCTCTGTGTGTGTAATCTCAAGATTCTGGTTTCCTATGTAAACCGAGTCGGTTTTCTATGAATTGAGTTTTCAAGAAATAAATAAATCGAGTCAGTAAGAGATTGTTGTCCTAATGTAATCGCTTATTATTATTTCAGTAGACGCGAAACGCTAATCTTATTCCCAGGTTCCCCTCTGGCGTCGAAAACGCAGCGTTTGACGTCTCAGTTTTCTCTTAGGGCCGCACGTGAACGTTTCAAACTCTCTCTCTCTGTCTCTCTCTCTCTCTATCCTTCTCGTCTTCAGAAGATAAAAAAGCTCGACAATTTCGATTGTTTCCTGAAACGAGAACTCAATTCTCTCTATCGTTCAGTTTCAGGCTGGCGCAATCAAACGGTACACTAATGTCTTATTTCGAACCCTATGATTTAAGCTGCTTCAATTCGTCAGTGGGGTTCCTTTTTCTTTTTGTTTTTCCCTCTTTTCTGATGTCAAGCTCTTCCTTTTACCGGCTTGTTCTGTAGGATCCGTGATCTATTGTTCAATTTCGGATTCGTTTTTCTGGAAATTAGGTTCGTAATTTCGAATTCGTACTGTCGCCGATGGCTGAATTTGAAAAAAAATGTAGTTTTTTTTTCTTCTCGTAATACGGAGTCTGGTTTGGTTTTGTAGGTATTGTGGTAATGGCCACCAACAAAGTCATAGCTATATGTCAGTCAGGAGGAAAGTTCGTGACTAGCAAAGATGGATCGTTATCGTATTCTTCTGATGGCGATGCCTTTGCAATAGACATCGATCAGAACACTTCAATGACCGATTTCAAGTCGGAGTTGGCTGAGAACTTCGGGCTTGGACTGGAGACGATGAGCCTCAAGTACTTTCTCCCTGGAAACAACAAGACCCTTATCACCATCTCCAAGGACAAGGATTTCATACGCATGGTTAACTTCTCCGCCGATGCAGGGACTGTTGAGATCTTCGTCTTACCCGAAGAAGGTGGTGCCAAAATGCCAGCCAGTAGGTACATGTTTCAACTTTCGAGAACAAGCTTTAGAACTTGTGTTTGGTCCACTGAGTTGATCATAGTCAGGGCCGATGTGTGATGCCATGTGTGTGAGTTAGGCAAAAGAAAGTAGCTGATGTGTGAACTGCTATTACAGGTCAAGCAGGACGACGACATCAGAAGGGGTGGTGCCTGTAATTACTGCGGCAGGAGATGTAGTTGATGAGGAGATGACTAATGATGATTTTCAGATTGATTTGGCAATGCCTGACGAAAGCCCTTTGCCCTGCAACTTTGTTTTGGTTGATCAGAAACACCACACGGCGATACAGCAGTGGGAAAACGTCATCACCGGTGTCGACCAGCGGTTCAACAGCTTCATCGAGTTCCGGGATGCGTTGCACAAGTTTTCGGTCGCGCATGGGTTTGCTTACAAATACAAGAAAAACGACAGCCATCGAGTCTCTGTCAAATGCAAAGCTCAGGGTTGCCCATGGCGTATCACCGCAGCGAGGCTATCGACGACTCAGTTGATATGTATCAAGAAAATGAACCCGAGGCACACGTGTGAGAGGGCAGTCATCAAGCCTGGTTACCGTGCAACGAGAGGATGGGTGAGGACCATCTTGAAAGAGAAGCTGAAAGCCTTCCCAGACTACAAGCCCAAGGATATTGCTGAGGACATAAAGAAAGAGTACGGTATTCAGCTGAACTACTCACAGGCATGGAGGGCAAAAGAGGTCGCCAGAGAACAGCTCCAAGGCTCTTATAAAGAGGCCTATAGTCAACTTCCTTTAATCTGCGAGAAGATCAAGGAGACGAATCCTGGAAGCATTGCCACTTTCATGACAAAAGAAGATTCCAGCTTCCATCGTCTCTTCATATCGTTTTACGCTTCGATATCTGGGTTTAAACAAGGTTCCCGCCCACTCCTTTTCCTTGACAACGCCATCTTGAACTCGAAATACCAAGGTGTTATGCTCGTTGCAACAGCTTCTGACGCCGAAGATGGCATATTCCCAGTAGCTTTCGCTATTGTCGATTCAGAGACAGAGGAGAACTGGCTTTGGTTTTTGGAACAACTCAAAGCTGCATTGTCCGAGCCGCGAAGAATCACATTTGTCGCGGATTTCCAGAACGGTCTGAAGAATGCCATATCCCAGGTCTTTGAAGATGCATATCACGCCTACTGTTTGCGCCAGCTCGCTGAGAAACTAAATTCGGACTTGAAGGGGCAGTTTTCTCATGAAGCAAGACGGTATATGCTCAACGATTTCTACTCTGTGGCATACGCAACAACACTTGAGGGTTACTACAGTTCCTTGGAGAATATAAAAAGTATATCTCCTGATGCTTATGCCTGGGTTATAGAGAGCGAACCAGACCATTGGGCAAACGCGTTGTTCCAAGGAGAGAGATATAACCAGATGTACTCAACCTTTGGGCTAGACTTCTACAGCTGGGTGTCTGAAGCACATGAGTTTCCCATTACCCAAATGATTGACGAGTTCCGAGCAAAGATGATGCAATCTATCTATACCCGTCAGGTACAGTCCCGGGAATGGGTCACAGCATTAACACCTTCAAACGAAGAGAAGCTTCAGAAAGAAATAGGGCTTGCACAGTTACTTCAGGTCTCATCGCCAGAAGGTAGCTTATTCCAGGTTAATGGTGGAGAAGGTTCCATCAACATAGTTGATATTAACCAGTGTGATTGTGACTGCAAGATGTGGCGGTTAACCGGGTTACCTTGTAGCCATGCGGTAGCTGTGATTGAATGTATAGAGAAAAACGCTTATGAGTACTGCTCAAGATACTTGACGGTCGAGAGTCACCGGTTAATGTATGCAGTGTCGATTCAACCAGTCCCAAACATGGAGAGGATGATGCTGGAGGAGCCGCCTGAGGGGTTGGTCTCCGTGACTCCTCCGCCAACAAGGAGGACACCGGGAAGACCAAAGATGAAGCGTGTTGAGCCGTTGGACATGATAAAACGTCAGCTACAGTGTAGCAAGTGCAAAGGACTAGGGCATAACAAGAAAACCTGTAAGGCTATATAGTTTATTTGGCGGTTAGGATGTGTTGGTTAGTTATAAAGTAGATGATTTTGAATCTTCCTTTTGTCTTTGTATAAGTGAGTGAATGAGTGAGTGAAAGAGTGAGTGAAGGGTGATGAAGAATAAAAGATCTTGCTCGTTGTCAGACTAAAGCGAGCTTCTTTTTCCCCAGAACTTTGCTGCACACTCACATTTGTACCATTTGTACTTCACATGACACTTTTTTTTCTTCTTAGTTCTCTGAACATTTTGGGGTTTGTTGAGAACCCAAATGACCAAAAACTTTGGTTTTTCACATTTTTTTGTTTAGTAATTTAGTTTAAGTTATTAAGTATGAAGAAAATACACAGTACAGGCTTAAAAAGAGTGATTTTACACAAAAAAAATTGCAAATTTCCCTTGTTATGGAATTTGGTTACTAAAGCAAAAGACTTCATCATCGCAATAAATTACGAAAAAACCACCGTTTCACTACTCTTCTTGGCGGCTCTCTTTCTCTCTCCCTCTCAGAGCTCTCGGAAGCTCTCAGCAGAAAAAACCCTAAAATTCTTAGCATCCTTTACGTATAACAGATACTGTTTCTGTACATTTGTAGCTTCTTGTTTGTTCTGTAATGGAGGTCTCTCCTTTGAAAAAGCTTGAGCAGCTGGAGTTCTCTCTAGACTCGGTCACTGATCTCTCCTCCCCTTCTGTTTCGTCGTCCTCTCCTGCTGTAGCTACGTTTTCGTGCGTTAATGGAGTCACGGAGCTCCGATTTCTGCAATCGGATTCGGCCCATTGTTTCACTTTTGATCTCGCTTCGGCTCAGGTAAATATCGATTCACTTCCTACTGTCAATGTTCTTCTGAATCTCATCGCTTTTGGGTTTTTTTTTTTCTTCATCTCGTTTGAAACGTTTCTTTGCTACATGATGATGAATTTTGGAAGAAACAAAACTCTGTTTTTTTTTGTTCCTTCTAGTTACTTTGTTCCACATTGTTGCTTCACAATCTGTTTGAAGTTTGAATGAATCTCAACCGGATTTTTGTCTGAGATTTAGCCATACTAAACTTACAAAAGATTGAATTTTTTGGTAGAGCTCGTTTGGCTTATGTGGTTTTTCCTAATCTTATTGCGTCTTGTTACGTCTGAGAAGGTGAATGCATTTGATCGTAATGTATTTTCGTTTATGTTTCGCAGTTATTCAAGTTGGGGCTGGTCCAGTTCATCTGTGTATCTGATAGTTCAGAGTCCTCAGAGGAGGTACGTTGAGTTATTTACTTTTCTTCTGGATATATCTATGAGATCGATTTTTTTACTTATTCTTGGAAATGAATCTCTTTTTTTATCCGCTCTGTGATCAAATCCTTGATTGTGTTATCGATAATGTGTTGCAAAGTGATTTTCTTTTTGCGTGATGAAATGATGTTTCTTTTGAAACAGAAATCATTCTCCCACGGAGTCAATATAAAATTTAGGAATGAGAAGGATAGCAAGGATTTTTGTGATTCATTTGAGGAGTGGAGAAAGGAGGCTCTTGTTCAAGGTGCGCTTTTGACTGTAAAGAACCAATTTTTCTCTGTGCGTACTCCTCTACTGTGTTCTCATTCTTCCGTTTCTAGGATCATCCTTGCCAAATGGAACAGTTTCAGCTAATAGAAGCAAGTTCGACGATAAGATAGAGGCGTCCTCGGCCAAAATGTATTTCCATTATTATGGACAACTTCTACACCAGCAAAATATGCTACAAGATTATGTGAGGACAGGTAAGATATCTGGCCTTAGATGTATTGGTTGCCTCGGAACTGTTCTCTAGTTTTCTTGATTTTATAGGATGCAAATCCAACAGAAGAATATCCTCTGTTTGATTCGAACCCTGGATAGCTCTTTATTAATCTCATTCATGTCTTCAGGAACATATTATGCTGCAGTCATGGAGAATCGTTCAGATTTTGCTGGTCGTGTTGTGGTCGATGTGGGTGCTGGGAGTGGCATTTTATCAATGTTTGCTGCCCAGGTATGCAAAGTTTCGACCTAAAGGTTACACAGCTAAGTTTTTGCTATGCTCGAGCAGCTATAGATTGAGAAATTGGTAGAATTTTAATATCTTAAAGCTAGAAAATGGATAAAGAGGAATTGTATATTGAAAGGTCCTCGCTTTGTTCTTACTATTACATCTCCAATTCCAATCTGTCTTTCATTTCTCGCACAGCCTTAATCCACTCACTAGAATTGGTGATCCGTATATGCAATATACTGAACTGCCAAAGCAAACATGAACTATTTTGTAGTCACATCATGGTTATGGTGGCTATCTTAGTGATCTGGTGTCTATGGTATTGTCCATTTTTTTTTCTCCTTCATACTTCTCTAATACTCTCTTCTTCTTTTTTCCCCCTAAATTAGGCTGGTGCCAAGCATGTGTATGCTGTAGAAGCATCAGAAATGGCTGAATATGCACGTAAGCTGATTGCTGGAAACCCATTGTTCGCTGACCGGATCACAGTGAGACTTCTGATTCAGTCTCATTCAGTATATATTGTTGCGTTATATGCATCCTTTCTGATGTTTTGAAGCTGGCACAAGTGTAGGTCATCAAGGGAAAAGTCGAGGATATCGAGTTGCCTGAGAAAGCAGATGTTTTGATCTCTGAACCTATGGGTAGGTTTTTCAGAGGCAGACTTTAGAATGTACCTCTTTCCTTAAGGTCGAATCTTTAGACAAGCCAAGCCTTGGTCAAGAAAAAATATGTGGCAAAAGTGATTGACATGTCTTAAATTTTAAATCAGGCACCCTGTTGGTTAACGAGAGAATGTTGGAATCGTATGTAATTGCGAGGGATCGTTTTATGTCTCCGAATGGCAAAATGTTTCCCACTGTTGGAAGGTAAAGACTGTAAAATCAACCTTTGAGAGGTTTCCCTTTTACTCTATCTGTCTATCATTATGTCTTAAATCTCATGTAGTTTTATCACTGTAGGATTCACATGGCACCTTTCTCGGATGAATTCTTATTTATTGAAATGGCAAATAAGGTACGGACATTGCTCTCTGATAACATATACAGAAATTGCTTGGTTAGTTTGATTTCTTCGGGTAAGCGATCTTCAGGATTCAATAATTATATATCCTCCTTTATGCAGGCTATATTTTGGCAACAACAGAACTATTATGGAGTTGATCTGACACCTTTATTTGGATCAGCACACCAAGGTTATTTTTCTCAGGTACATGTGTTTCCACACCATCAAATAGTAATCTGTGACTTATTAATTTATTTGGTTTATTATTACCGATATTGATGAGTCATATATGCGGATTGTACAGCCCGTGGTTGATGCATTTGATCCGAGGTTATTGGTGGCTCCTCCGATGTTTCATACGCTAGATTTCACTCAGATGAAGGTATAATGAAGCTACTTAGAAGTTTAGAACTGTAACTTGGTGTTCTTTAACGCCAATCTTTCATGGTGCGAATGAACCACTATCAGTCTCATTTTATCCCTTGAATTTATTTCCACAGGAAGAAGATTTTTATGAGATTGATATCCCATTGAAGTTTACTGCTTCCATGTGCACCCGAGTGCATGGACTTGCCTGCTGGTTTGACGTTCTCTTTGATGGGAGGTACTTTTGCTCCTCCTTTTTCTCAAGCCATTTCGTTTTCGATTTAATCTTTCCTCTTGAAGATTCAGATTTCAAATATGGTTTTACTCTGTTTCTAACAGCACGGTCCAAAGGTGGTTCACAACTGCTCCTGGTGCACCTACAACGCATTGGTACCAAATCAGATGTGTTCTCTCTCAACCCATCTATGTGATGGCAGGTCAAGAGATCACTGGTAGACTTCATTTGATAGCCCACAGTGCTCAAAGTTACACCATAGATCTAACTCTATCAGGTCCAGTTTACTTTTTCGTCGTTTAAAGATCATTATCATCCAACTTTCAACATTTTAGTCCGGATTTGATAACAAAAGTTATTGGGTTACGACAGCTAAAATGTGGGGTCCTGGTGCAAGTCAAGGCGGAATCCTCCAATCATCGACTTGCAAATTCGACCTGAAAGAACCTTACTATAGAATGTCTCAGCCACAAGCATACCCTGCTGCACAAGAACCACCATTACAACCACAAGAACAGCTAAATACACAGGTGAAAATGCATTCAGCAATTAGAAATATGATTGCTTTGTTATTTTATGTCTGCCAATATATAACGTGCATTTACTATGAGCAGGGCATACAGATACAGAACGATGATTTAGAAGACGAGTTACTGCAACAACCGCCTCAGAACACGAGTGCACAGCTCTAAACGCTATAAGAAGTGAGTGAAGGTGAGAGGTGGTTATATCATCTTTGATTCTCAGTCATATTTGAAGTTGAGCTTCATGTTTGTAACATCTGTAAGGTAAAAATGATTTTGGTTCCTTGTGAGGTTAGATCTGATTTTATGTAAAATGGTGAGCATGAAAAGATCTTATCATTCCCATTGCTTTCTGCACCTTTTGTGTTTTTTCTTCACACCCGAACTTATCAGTCAATTAAGTTATCTATAAACCCACATGATTTTTTATACCCTGAAACCTCCACATTCACTGTAAACATTTTGCTTAAGAGTCTACGGTCGGGGACAAAGAAAAAAGTGATTTTGCTGTGGTGTAGTGTAGTTAATAGTACTTGTGAATGGAGTTATATGGTTTGACAAAAATGATTTTAGTTGCCTTCAAGCAAGAGTTGTAAGATGGCGATAGAAACAAACGTACAACATTACTAAGATGTGAAAATGTGAGCGTGAGATGAATTCAAAGGTCTCTCTCATTCAGCACAAGCTGCAGATCATCCATAATAATACAATAATTTGAAAAGAAATGGCTATCAACTTCGGCTTATGATCACAAAATAACAAACTGAAGCCAACTTCGGCTTATGATCACAAAATAACAAACTGATGCTGTGTTATGTCGCAGTGTAACAAGACTACGCAAAAGAGGCTTTTTCTTTGTAAATTCACTTCTTGTCACAATCTTCTTGAACCTTATGCTTCTTCGACTGCATAAGGACCTTGCTCTTGAGTCAGAAAATTACGGACCTGAGACGAATACTGAACTGACATTTCGACCAAGTAATAGTCTCCAAACGAATCCTAGAGAAAGTGGCATTATATCAGAAATGTAATGTATAACATAACAAAAAAAAGCAGATGTATATGGATATGGGAAGTTACCATGAAGATTTTGGTGGTTCTTAAGAGCATTTTCTCGGTGAGGATTCACATATGTCAAAAAAACAATGTCATCTCCATAAACTTGGGGGATTCTTGTGGATCTAAAACGCTCAGAATGATCACTTGACTTGGTATCAGACATAATCCACAACGTTTTTGCTTGTCCTATTCAAGAAACGAGTAACTACTGCCTACCAAGATCTTGCAGCGTGCCGTGCCTTTCCCGTTTCCCTCAAAACAGCTCCAACAATAGCTGCTTGCTCAAGACAATCATTCTTATGCAAAGTATCCAAAAGCACAACGCATGTTTTGGTATGGATATTTAATCCTCTTCGACGTGTTTCCTCGAAAAGGGAAAAGGCATCCATTGCCCTGTTTCCGCTGCTTAGACCTTCGATCATAGCATTATAACAAGCAGAGTCTGGAACGCCGCCGTTTGCCTTAAACCGATCAAACAGCGAACCGGCCTCTGCGATATTCCCAGCCTTTGCAAGTCCCGAAATCATTGTCGTGTAGGAGATTGTGCTGGGTTTCATCCCCTGTTTCTGCATCTCTTGCCAAAAGACAAATGCCTTGTTGAATTTCCTCACTTTGCAAAGACCATTTATTAGGATACCGTAAGTAACTTGGTTTGGCGTGCATTTGAATCCCTTCATCGACTGAAAGCATACGAGGGCTTCGTTGATCTCCTCCGCTTTGACCAACGCATCAAGCAATGAGTTCCATGTATAAACATTCGGTGTTAAGCCTTTCTGCATAAGCTCTTCCAAAATAAGGTAGGCTTCATCTATCCTGCCAACTTTCCCAAACCCATCAATAAGACTGCTGTAAATCACCACGTTTAGCTCCTCTTTTCTATTTGATTTTGCTTCCTCAAAGAGCATATAAGCTTCATCGAGCCGGTCTATCTTCGCAAGTCCGTCAATGACTGAACCATATGTGACAACGGTTGGTTCAAAACCATTTGCCTTCATTTCCTCCAGCAGCTGGTAAGCTTTGTTAACTTTCCCGCACTTGCAGAAACCGTCAATGACAATATTGTAAGCCTGCGTGTCCAAGACACAGCCTTGCTCTTTCATGGAATAAAACAACTCGTAAGTTTCATTCGCAAATCCCGATTTTATTAGTCCATGAATCAAAATCGAGTAGCTTTTAGCATCTGGAACAAACCCACGGGCTTTTATTTCCTCAAACATCGCCCTTCCCTTCTCCGGTTCTCCAGCCTTAAACAAGCAATCCATGTATGTATTAAGAAACCGCAAATCAGGAGAACACTTTTGATTAATCATCTCCTTGTATATCTTGTGGCCATCTTCTTTCCTCCCGTTGTTGAAAAAGTTCCTTATGAGGGATGTGTAGACGATAGAGTTTGTGCGACAATCAGCATCCAACATCTTCTCGTAGATTTTGTAAGCGTCATCAACTCTTCCGACCTTCCCTAAGCCATCTATGAGCGAGCAAAATGTAATCTCATCTGGTGTACAAACCTTATAATCCATCTCCTCAAATATAGCACAAGCTTCATCAAGCTTTTGTCTTTTACAGAGCCGATCAACCATTATGTTCACGGTCCTAACGTTAGGGAACAGACCAGCCTTCTGCATAGAATCGCGTAGCTCAAAAGCACAGTCAAGCTTACCAGCTCTACACAGCATGTCAATGAGAATATTATAGGTTGAAAGGTTTGGAGCGGCATCCTTCTTCATCTCCTCAAACAATCTCAAAGCTTCGTCAACTTTTCCCATTCTCCTCAAGGATGTGAGAATGCAGTTATATGCGATCACACTCGGTATAGACCCCTTTGCTCTTTGTCTCTCTAGGAGACTGTATGCTTCTTCAAATTTCCCAGCCGAACCATAACCCATAATCATCGTGTTGTAAGCATAAGTGCAAGGGACCCGTCTGTTCTTCTCCAAATGCTCAAACATCTCTACAGCTTCGTCTAATCTGTTGGCCTTGAACAGAACTCCTATCATGCTAGTATAAGTGACTTCATCAGGCTTCAAACCATTCGCTTCCATCTCATGAAAAAACTTCCAAGCCATATCAACTTTGCCCACTTTACCGAAGCAATCTATACATACGTTGTAAAGAACAATGTCGGCGTCGAGTGAGCTGCTCTTCATCTCATCAAGCAAAGATAAAGCAGAGTCAACTCGGCCCTCTTTGGCAAATCCCCGAATCAGTGTCGTAAACAGATGAACGGTTGGTTCGTATCCTAACTCCTGCATCTGCTGAAAGAGTGTCAACATCGCATCAGACTGGTTCACTGCCGAGAAAGCACCGATAAGAGTTGTGTAAGCTGAAAAGGCAGGTCGAAACTTGAACTTCCTCATCATCTGCAGAACATCAAAGCCTTCCCTAAGCTTATTCGCCTTAACGCAGCTCGAAACCATCTCGATACAAGTGGTGACAGACGGGCCAAACCCTGCAACGCTCATTTCTCCAAGAATCTGTTCCAAAGCATCGAAATTTCTGCACCGAGCCATCACCGAGAGCAAGGAGTTGTAGGATTCAGGACAATGCGCCATCTCAGTTCTTCTCTCGTACCAACGGAAATAACCAATTGCACGGTCAACATCTCTCAGCCTTCGTAACACCCCAATGATCAACTCTGGTTGGGGATGCAAGTTTAGAGCGGACAGAGCATTCTCAGAGGAAGGTCCCCATGGACCACTCTCCAAAACATTGCAGATTTCGTTAACAACTTGTCTGTTACCCTCAAATGTTGTCGGCTTCTCACGATTTTCGCCATTATCAGAGGAAGATGATAGATGCTTACAAAGGGCGAAAACACGAGAAGGCTTTGTATCCGTGTGAAATATAATTCCTGCCAGAGACGAACAGAAAGCAAATCAGTAACGAGCTATATACTGTTCACATAGCCAGAAATTTAACGGAAAACGGAAAACTGCTGTTACTAAAGTGAAATACAACGGAATACACTTTTTATATCAACCCCTAAGCCACAATACTACAGCGAAATCACCAGAATTCAGCTACAAATCAAACAGATTTATACCCATTTTCACCAAATTTGAATTTTTTTTCAGAAACTGATTACCTGGTCTTAATAGCATCCGCATCTTTCTGACTTTAGTGTTCCGAGCAACCGATTAAACTCAAATTCAACACGATCGACTGTAAAAGCTTTAACTTTTAAGAAATTGTGAAGTGAGAAGCCCAGCTTTAACTTCCAGGAGAGGAGTAACGGGTTTAACAAGAAGAAAAACATAGGTTTAGCCGAAAGGGAACAACTCCTAGAAACCTCTCTCTGGTCTAGAGGGTAAGGAATCAACAAAATTGACCTATCCATGATCCAACCATAACGACCCGGGTCGGGTCGGATCTGTTTGTATCGGGTCGGGTCGTCATGGGAGCGTAGCGAGTCAAAAAAGGCAGTGATGGAAGCAGAAACGGCAAGAGGTGTGGTAATGAGAATTGCTTGGTCCCGAGTTGTGATGAAAGTCAAAATCAATAGGATTCTGAATTCCCCAATTCAGAGCAATGGAAGGCGTGAGCGGTTACCACAAACCCAGCGCCGGTTGTGAAAACTCCAGTTTCTCGCACTCGCCGAAGGCCATGGCTCCAGGAAACTACCGTTACCCAGAAGTGAAAACTCCTCTGCCGAGACAAGTCCATGCTCCTTCTCCGGTCCGAAGGTTCGGTCTCTCTTCTTGCACTAGACAGATACGGCGGAACCGTAGCCCACGACCACGACAGGATTCCGGTAATGCGTTGGGAGATTTTATCTCCAGGAACCATAACAGCTTAAAACGAGATGCACTTGATTCGCCTGTGTGCTATAGAACCGATAGAGAAGTGATTGATGTTGACGATGAGCTTAGCGATGTGGAATTGATATCTGATGACACGAGTACGGAGGCTGATTTTGTCCAAAACGTGGATATGGATGTGGGAGACGAGGCGGAGAAGGAAAATGAACTATCTTTAGAGGATGACGACCTGGAATACGGGAGCGTGATGGTGCACGATGAGTCCGAAGCTTATAGTTCACTCGTTTTGAATCGCTCTCGCCCTGTGACCGATGTCTCCGGTTTTGAAGCATACAGAAAGGCTCTAAAGAGTGCTGAGACTCGGACTTCGAAACTGAAAGACAGAGGCTTTGCTGGTTTTTTGAAAGAAAGGTGTCTTGCTTTACTGCGAAGCTTGCGTTCCCTTTGGCTTCAAGATGAGGAACTAATAGAGGTTTGGCTATTTTTCCTTGATCTTTATAGTTGTAGGTAAAGTTGAAGCGTTTATGTGTTATCATTCATTTTGATTTTGTGAAATAGGGTGACTCATTGTTCTTTAATTGATTTTCAGTATGTACAGCGTGAGCCATTTCTGCCTCTTTCCAAGGAAGATGAGAAAGCAGTCAAGCATGCATTCTCAGCTAACAATATTCAGTATGGTTTTTTGATTCTTGGTCTCCTGTCTACTTGCCCTAATAATTCATTTATGTTCTTGTTGTGTAATGCTATGAACGTCTTTCGCTGCAGGAACATCTTGGTTACACATGAGAATTCGAACATTGACATTACAGGGGAAACCCTGAGGTGCCTCAAACCAGGTCAATGGTTGAACGATGAGGTTAGGCACTGTATCTAAATCTCACCTGGTTTCTTTTTGGGACTGAGAGTCTTTATGATTTATCTGGTATTGTTCTATGTAGGTCATTAATCTTTATCTGGTATTGCTGAAAGAAAGGGAAGCTAGAGAACCAAAGAAGTTTCTAAAATGTCATTTTTTCAATACATTCTTCTTCACTAAGGTTATACAAATTCCCATGGCCTATGAATTTTAGGTTTTAGCTCATATATATATATATATGTTCATGAATTTTAATAAGACATAACCTTAATAATCACACCTCAGTTAGTTAATTCGGGAACTGGATACAACTACGGTGCAGTCAGAAGATGGACGTCAATGAAGAAGTTGGGCTACCATCTCATCGACTGTGACAAGGTAAACTTGTTGTGTGATTCTTCTACTATTACTCTCCTATGTTACACTTCTTTTTTGAAATATTCAAACTCTATTTTTCACTTTACCATCTGCCTAAGAGACCTTTCTTGTTGTCAGATATTTATTCCTATACACATGAACATCCATTGGACATTGGCTGTTATAAATATAAAGGACCGGAAATTCCAGTATCTCGACTCATTCAAAGGAAGAGAGCCTAGAATCCTCGATACGCTGGTAGTAATTTAGTAAGTGAAACCAATGTTACCGTCATAAGATAAGATGTAGTCTGATTATGTAGTTTTTTTTTTCATTTGTCAGGCTAGATACTTTGTCGATGAAGTTAGGGACAAGAGTGAAGTAGAGGTTGATGTAAGTCAATGGAGACAAGAATTTGTGCAGGACCTTCCTGAGCAGAGAAATGGGTATGGTATCTTTTCCCTATTATAATATATGTCAGCTACTATTTCATCCTGTGTTAACTTGGGCTTTGTATTCTTGCAGATTCGACTGTGGAATGTTTATGCTGAAATATTTGGACTTCTACAGCAGAGGTCTGGATCTTTGTTTCACTCAGGTAAAACTCGCAAGAAAATTACACTAGAAACTGCCATTTGTATTTCGTGGGTCAGTGTCGTTGCGAGTGACTGAGACTGCTTAACATAATACTGTTTTGTGTGGTTTACACAGGAACAAATGCCATATTTTCGGGTTAGGACAGCGAAGGAGATTCTGCAGCTGAAAGCTGAGTGATTCTCAGTAAAAACATGGAAAACTCTTGAAGAATAATAGTTTTGAGAGGTCTCTTCTTCATGTAGATATAAGTGTTGAGAAAGTTAGATGCACTTGGGTGTTTTTGATATGTTTGATGTACATACAAAAGAAAAGGGTAACAGATGTGTTATCTGAAAGCTTAATTGTGATAATTAAATTATGTTTTCAAAAGTCTATTTTCAAAAGCTATGTTGCATGGAAACGGAAATGGGTACGTGGAAGCGGAACGTTTCGAAACGCAGAAACGTTATTTTTAAAAAAATATAGAAATGGAAACGTTTTGGAAACGTATATATATATATATTATATTAAGTATTAAAGATCTAATTATAAGTAGAATATTTAAATCCATAAAATCCAATATATAATTTTTACATAATTATTAAACTATAAAAATTAAAATATGTAAAGTTAAAAATTTAAAAGATTTTCTTTATTATAAATTTTATTAGTTTCATTAACCAATATATCTCTAATTCTAATTCATCCAGAGAATAATTTTTAAATTTAATAATCTCAAAATTAATTTTGATTTCCAAATTAAAAACAAGAAATTAGTTTTTATCTTCTTTTTAAAATGGAAATGCGTGTTTCTAAAATGGAAACGCGTTCGTAAAGTGTTTCCAAATTAGAATTTTTAGGAAATATGATTTTTCGTTTTTCCGACAAGTTTTCGAGAGTTTTAATTTCCGAAACATTTCGGAAGCATATCTCGGACGAAGTTTATATGCAACCTAATTCAAAACTACTATTCTTTAGGATTTGCATCTGAGATAGCAGAAAACTGTCTCTGATCAGTATCTCACGTGGTCATGTGGTGGGGACGAAGTCCAAAACTCCAATTTGTCCCCCATAAAATATACTCCTTATACATTCCCATTTTCATAAAGATAAAAACTTTAGTCTATATAATACCATCAATTTAAAATTTGATTACATTAAACTTGTGCATTTGAGATTCTGATTTAGCAAACATTTTGAAATTAAAAAAGGAGCTAATTAAAAAAGTTCGGCATTAATCCATCAAATCACATGTCACGTTGGCATTAACGTAATTAAACAACCCGAGCTCACTCGTCCCTGTTGTCACGTGACTCATGTGCGTACCTACATTACATAAAAATAAAATTGCTGTATAGTTTGACTTCAACTGTCAAATGAAACGAATAAGAAAAACCAAAACAAAACACAAATAAAGAAATAGAATATTGTTTTCCAAAAAAGAAAAAAGAGGGAAAAAAGTAGATCTGGAGAAACGACGCCGCGGCATCAGTCAGTCAGTCGCCGGAATCATCATCTCCGCCGAAGATGGAGAAGCGGTTGTAGAGTAAGAACAGTGTGAGGACAAGGAACAGAGCGACACCGACTGGAGATCCACTAACCCGGTGAATCGACTCGGGTTCTCCGGTAGAGAAAATGGCCGATACGAAGGAACCGCGTTCCGACGAGAGGAACTGGATAGTGAGGAGGAGGATAATGGGGAGTAAGAGAAGTCCCACTGGACTGAGAAGCTCCGCGATCGCATCTGTAATGGCTTCGCCGCCGTCTCCGATGAAGAACGGAACGAGCACTACCACTGCAACAACGACGGCGAGTATGATTCCATGAGGCGCAGATCCGCCACCGCCTCCGCCTATAACGCCTTGCCGATCTTGATACATTACTGAGTGTGAATCGCAGAGAGTGTTTGCTTTTTTTTTTTCTCTTTGTTTTGTTACAGTTGAATTTGAGAATTTGTTGGTTTGTTGCTTTTTTTAATTTACAGGGAAACGAAAGGAGGGACGCGTTCGTCTTTTCAAAAAGTTCAAATCATTTTTCCGTGTGTTTTAAAATTTCTTCGAAATTCGTGGGGAGTTTTCCTTTCTACGTCGTTTTACGATAATAATACTTTTTTTTGAAAAATACTTAGTGATTCCACAAATGTAAATTTAATTCACACTTATTAAAACGCAAGTCGTAAGTAACATTTTCAAGAATATTTCTGTTCTTTTTTGTGCAAATTTTTTTGACTCATTTCATTAGTTGGGGCTTTCGATATAGTTTTTTTTTTCAAACATTTGATTCATTACATTTTAATTATTTTCTCATTCTTTTGACTTCAAGCTTCAATGTCGTTTCAAAACTATATATATACACAATAACATATTAAATTTAACATTTTAACCGAAAAGACTATTTTGGATTGAAGAGTGGGAAAAAATAATATGGAATGATAAAAGCATAATGTACATGGAACTAGAGATGGATCAATAAATCTTAGCCAAATTGGAATGTAAAACTGAACATGAGTTAAACAAAAGTCCAACGTCAAAAGCATTATTGGTCACTATAAACACAACACAAAACAAAAGCACATAAGAAGAATCAAGAACCAATGTTTCGCATTGCATAGAAATGAGAGGCCAATGAGAGGGTGATGAGCTCTTGAGCATTTTTATTTTATTTGTCCTTTCCTCTATTTATACATCTTCTCATAGATTCTAGTTCCCCGTGACAGACAATTCTCAAACTTCCTTCGTTTTCTTGGGGCCCAATCTTTTCAACCATTTTGATCATTATCATTTATAACCTCAAAACCACCTAATCATACCAAGAAACAAATTGGGCTTTTGTCACAACAGATCTCTTCATCAAACCTAGCGTGTATACGTAATTTAAATATACTCGAATGTCAAACCGTGTAAGAATAATGTGGTCAATATTTTCTTATCCATTAAGCTAACAGCATCAGAGAAGAATATTATCACACTTATTGTCATATTTCTCCACGAACCTTAGGGTGCAAGTTGTGAAGGAGTTGATTAGTAGTAGTCTAGTGGATTTTCTGTATTGATATCTCCAAGCTATGTTGAGGGCTATTTACTCCCACATGCACCTATGTAAGTTTATAACAAAATGTTAAAGATATTGCAACTTAAAATCATTGATGGACATTAAAATTCTCAATGTGGTTGAATTAAGATTTCTAAACTTAATGCTATCACCAACTGTCCTCTTCTACTACGTTACACAAATTGTAAAATGTGTAAGATTTACATAATTACCTAATGCTCTTTTTCAATGTGTAAAATAGTATGTAGGTAGGTTACTACGGAAACCTTAATAGTTAATATCAACAGCAAAACAATATCAACTGTAGAAATTTGTTATTTGGTACACAAACGTAATAATTAATATATAGAGAAAGTTAATTAATACATAGAATTTATTGAGATGAGGGCTGGGGAAGTGAGCATGGCTTACTAATATGAGTCATTTGATTCAATACTCTAGGATACAATTATTTTCCTACAATCTTTTGACTTTCACAATAATAATAAAACATGTAACAAGTTAGGATCTTTCTATTAGGTTTCCTCAGACACACGCAACACTTTTGACTTTTTAACTATGTGTCATTTTGACAGCAAAAGATTACAAACAGGACCAATCATTTTCTTTTTGGAGTTTGGCTGCTTCCTTCACGAGACTACACCTCTCTCTTTCTCTGTGTCTTCTCTCTCAATTCACTTCTTCTCACATCTTATCCCATAAAACCATCGAAACTTGTGTGCAACAGAGTATGAGCAAATGGCTTACCTTTCACCTACTTCGAATTTCATCTCCTGCAATGAGAATTCTGATCTTGATTCGATTCGGGCGATCGTAGCTTCGATCAGCAACTACATTCTCTGCGTTATATCAGACCCCGAAGAATGGATTTCGCTTAAGCGGAAATGCATCACTATGTTGAGCATCGAAGAAGAGGATACTCTGTTTGAATTCTCCTCTGAACACTCTGCTCTCTCTAATCTCTATTGGGGAATCGAGAGCATCGAAGCTTCTATACAACCCGAATGCTCAGAGGAGAAGATGTCTCGTCTGAGAAACTCAGAGAGGATGCTTCAAATGCCTGCGTTGCTTGAAGAACAAGGGACCACCACTTCAGGTGTTCCAAACACAATCTTGGTTGCTTTCTCTTACTTTTACCTCTCCATTGTAAGCTATCTCCAAGGTGATTCCTTGCAGACCACATTGCATTTTCTCCAGTCGGTTCTGGTCTCGCCGGATATTGTAAGAAACGACATTGCCCCTGAACTCTGCGAGAGCGTTTTCTCCACTCCTAGTGTGTTTAAGTCAGATGAAGAGCTCAGAGAGATTGCAAGGAAGTATAAATACAGAGCAACTTATTACCAGGTTATGTCTTACGGAGAGTTTCATCAGCCGCATAGTGATTGTACAGAGAAGCCGCTTCGGAGGAGGCCGAAGAAAAATAGGTATTGATTCAAAGCTTGTAATCAAAATAATTTTGTTCTGCAATTCTCTTTTTGCTTCCTGAAACAGAGAAAGTTTGTAAGATTCAACATCTATATCCAATTTCCTTAATCTCTTACACATGAACAGGCAGGAGATATCTGCGGCTAAGGCACATTCAGTTGCAGAGAAGCTAGAGTTGTCGGAAACCTGTGAGGTAGGGTTTATTAGTGACCATGAACATGTCTTTGATAAATGCTCAGTGATTTTTAATTGGGCACAAGTGTAACATTTGTCCCTTTGGTCTTCTCATGTTGTAGAAGTTATTGCATTACCAGAACCTCCAGAGTGTTGATTTGCAAGAGGATGAGCTTAATGAAATCTTTGAAAAAATCGAAGCATCAAGGAAGATTGGAAAATCTGCAAACAGTTTCGAAGATTCTCCATGTTTGGATTGGAACATGCAGGAGGAAGATTACAATCCAAGAGTCAAGTGCCTCAATGAATTCTTGAACGAGTCTCAGCCAGATCATACGCCAAGCTCAAGAGAAGACATTGGCACTGTAAATTCTCTAACCGAACACTTTCATCTCTTAATAGCTCAGAGAAATATAACATATTCCACAAACTGTATTGTGAATCAGGACACATTAGCCAACTTCTTCTGTGTTTCCCGACAGAAAGCTCACAAGGAAGCAAGCAAAGCATATAATGTAGCCAACGGATCCCACAGTTTTGTCAGTGATTTGAACCGTTCAGTTTTTGACATTCAGGCCCAGCAATCAGATAAAAGTTGGAATACCCAAAGAGAAGATGCTTCTTCTTTGAGGCAACTAGAGTTTGAAGAAGTATCAGCTTTCGGACATAAAGGATCCATAACTTTTGAAGGAATGATGAGCAATCTGCATACCACAAAACGAGGAAATGGAGTTCAAACGCATTCAAGAAGAGCTCGGAGAATGAATTTATGGGAGAATCTTCAGAGCTTTATAAAAGAAGTGCTAGGGAATGACGATGAGAAGTATGTCTCAGAGGTTACAATGATCTATCAAATGCTGAACAGTAAACAAGGGTTCAAATACAGCATGCTCAAAGATGTCATTCTTGATCAGCTTCTTACGGCTATCTCTAGCTCCGAGGAGAAAACTGTGATAAAGGCATCGATGACAGCACTTACGAAGATCATATCAGTCAACGGAACAGCTCTCGAAGAGGTCAAGAGGAAAGGTTTAAACTTAAGCAGTTTAGCGAATGCACTGAAACAAAACGTGCAAGAAGCAGCTATTCTTATCTACCTGATAAAGCCATCTCCAACAGAGATAAAGAGTCTTGAGCTTCTACCAGCTCTTGTGGATGTTGTTGCATCAACTTCTTCTTCTTCTGCTTGTTACACGTGTAGACCTTCACCTCCTCTTTTGACGCCTCCTGCAGCATCATTGATGATAATTGAAGTGCTTATTACTGCTTTTGACCAAGCTACAAACACAGTGCACTTGGCTGCAATCAGCTCTCCTTCTGTCCTCTGTGGACTTCTTGATGTTGCAAAAAGTGGAAACTCAGGGGAATTCATCTCCTTGGCGAGTATTTTAGTGAAGTGCATGCAGTTTGATGGACTTAACAGGAAGTATATCTATCAGCATACTCGAGTGGCTCCTTTTGCACATCTCCTGCAGAGAAGAGACAGAGAAGAGATTTTCATTGCTCTTCAGTTTCTTCATGAGGTCCTGAAGATACCAAGGTATACACATACATATCTCAGCATTAAAAAAACTTCTCTTTTTTAGACTTTTCATATGACGACATGCTTGTAATTTCAGGTCGTCAGCAATTAAGATTCTGCAGCAGATAAAGAAAGAAGGAAGTTTTGACATTAGGGATACGTTATTGCAGTGTATTAAACAGTTTCAGGGAGATCACAGGCTCTTTGCAGCAGATATATTGCTTCAACTAAATGCACTGGTTAGATCTAAACATTGAAAACAATGTCTTATTGATTCCGTTTGCTAAAGAAACAATCTTAGATCGAAAATTCTCAACAGGATTCTCCTCCTGAGAGCAAAAAGTTCAGAAATGAGGCCACGAGAGCTCTCCTCGATGCAGTCACAAATAGTGAAGGTTCAAATGTGAGGCTTTTATCAACATTCATTCTTTCGAATATCGGTGGAACTTATTCGTGGAAAGGAGAACCATACACTGCTGCTTGGCTAATGAAAAGAGGAGGTCTTACTTCTATGGCACACATGAACATGATAAGAAACATCAACTGGTCAGATGAATGTTTGCAGGTTTACTTTCTTCTTTTAAGTGAAAACATTCTAATATTAAGTACAGGCCAAGCCAAAATGAGTGAATTACATATGGAAATCTTCATGCATTTTTGCAGGATACAGGAATAGATGCATGGTGTTGTAAGATAGCAAGAAGAATTATTGAGACAGGAACAGCCACGTTTTGCGGTTTACAAGAAGGGCTGAAGAGTAAAACCAAGAGTGTTGCAAAGGCATGTCTTATAGCCATTGCATGGCTCAGTATAGAGATTTCAAAAGGTCCAAATAGTTTGAAATATTCAGCATGCGAAGTCTTACTTAATGAGATAGCACAGTTTCTACACCCTGGTTCCGAGCTTGAAGAGAGACTTCTTGCTTGTATATGCATCTACAATTTCAGCTCTGGCAAAGGTGAAATTTCCTTTAATTTTGACTTGAAAACAATGCTAACTAAAGCATGCATGTGCCTGAAAGTTTTATACTAAAGTGTAGTGTTCACTCAGGAATCCACAAGCTAATTAATTTCTCGGAAGGAGTTAGGGAGTCTTTAAGACGTCTTTCAGATGTGACTTGGATGGCAGATGAATTGCATAAAGCAACATATTATCTATTCAGCAAATCAGTAAGTTTTTCAAATTATCACAATCTTCTCTACTATCATCAAAACCACAAGTTAACGCAACCATTTAACATATGGACAGGACCAGCGCATATCTTGTGTTCATACACAAACCATAGAGATGCATCAATCTGGAAGTGGAGCTGTAACAGCCCTTATCTACCATAAAGGCTTGCTCTTTAGTGGATACTCCGATGGTTCTATCAAGGTATGTGTCATACTTGAATTAAGATTTAACAAAAGAAACCTTACCTTTAGCATGCAAGATTATTATCATCAGGTGTGGAATGTGAATGAGAAACTAGCCACGCTTCTATGGAACATCAAGGAGCACAAAAGCGCCGTAACATGCTTTTCAATATCTGAAACAGGAGAGAGTGTCTTAAGTGGATCTGCAGATAAAACTATCAGGGTATGATAATGATCTAATCTCATTGTTTCCAAGAAAAAGCACTGTGGATTATGAGGAATTTGATTTTCTTTTTGTTGTTGTGAAATGTATGGTTTACCTTCTCTCATGTAGATATGGCAGATAGTTAAAGGAAAACTGGAATGTGCTGAAGTAATAAAAACAAAAGAATCAGTAAGGAAACTGGAAGCAGTCGGAAATATGATACTTGTCATAACCAAGGGACACAAGATGAAGGTATAGATAGATCTCTCTCATTATGCCACCAGAGGGCAGAGACTATATTACATACAAATTATATCATATAATTAATCTCCCAATATTACTCAGAGGCAGCTAATAATCTTCTACAGCTGCTTGATTCATCAAGAACATCTCAAAGTATCTTCAAAGGTAAAGGTGTGAAGAGTATGGTAGCAGCACAAGGAAAGATTTATATAGGATGCATAGATTCAAGCATACAGGTACATATGGACATATATATCTCTTTTCTTTCATCCACATGTTACTGATCAATATAAAGACACAAAGTAACATAGTGTGTTCCTAACAGGAATTAATCGTCACGAATAAACGGGAGAAAGAGATCAGAGCACCAACGAGGAGCTGGAGAATTCAAAACAAGCCCATCAATTCAGTTGTTGTGTACAAAGAGATGTTATATAGCGCAAGCACACATGTTGAGATGTCTAATATAAAGGTAAAAACTACATTAACAGTTGTCAAATTTTGAAAATACTAAAGAAAGTAACTTAGATAAATGGCTTAACAGGATTTGAGAAGGAATTATGAGCCACAAATGTCAATAACAGCAGAAAAAGGGTCCCATATTGTAGCGATGGGTGTCGTCGAAGATTTCATCTACTTGAATCGAAGTTCATCCGCAAACACTCTTCAGGTAATCTTTTTTTTCCTTGCAAAGTGAAAATACTTTCCTAAACCAAAATCACATCAAATTAAACTACACTTGGCTAGCTTTGACAAAACCATATTATCATCACAATTGTATGTGATATTAAAGTAAGGCCTTATGGTTTTGTGGAAAATAAGGTTTGGTTGAGAAGGACACAGCAGAAAGTGGGAAGGCTATCAGCAGGAAGCAAGATAACAAGCCTCCTTACTGCTAACGATATTGTTTTTTGCGGTACAGAAGCAGGAGTCATTAAGGTGAATAATACACACACAAGCTATAGAGTTCTTAAAGGCTAATTATGTTATAGAATCAATTAGTGAACACCACTCATAATTTCTGACGACAAAATACAGGGATGGATTCCATTATAGCTACAAGTGACAAGGATATGAGGTAACCATTACGTTTTCTACAATCAGGTCAAAGTTATGATACATGAAGACTCATTTTCATATCATCGTGGAGAAGTATATACACAGCTTAAATTAGAGTGAAATGAATAAGCTTAATGTGATAATTGTACATGTGTTACATAGCATTATATGTAAGGTGTAGTTGAGTCGTCATTTCCCTTGTGTGTAGATATACAAAGTATTTATGATCTTCAATGGAATATATTCGAGTACCTTGAATGGCTCGAAGAACGTTGTAAGATAAAACCAATGCCCTCTTAAATCATGGATATGTACATTAAGCATATGCTTGCTACATATTCCAAATTGTCAATGTTTTGAAGTTACGTGATAACTACCGTATTGATAGGTCTCGTATACACACTTGAGCAAAAAGAATCCTTTCTATACACACTAAACGCAATGACATTTTTACTTTTTTACATTTTGGATTTTAGTAGCAGAAAGAAAATACAACTCTAAGTTAATAAGTATTATGAAATGGAATAGTTTGTTTAAGATCTTAATGGGTCCTACAGTTTTGATGTAAAGATGCTTCGTAAATATTTCACAACGGAAAAATGATCGTACTCACATGGTCACGTCTGAAGTATCTATCTATGCAGATTTTTGGAATATGTATGACAAGTCCAAATTTGGGTCCCCACGAAGAAAATAAATATCATATAATCAAAATGATTTATATATATATGAATAGGGTTAAGTCAGAAGGCAGCCTTTTTCTCCCTTCTGTCTCTTTGCAGAATTGTTCGTCTTTATTTTCATCTCATGGACCCCTTTTCATGTCCTTGTCCCGACCATCTCTTCCACATATTATATCATCTGATTATCAATCTGAATTTATTAATGTGTCATAACTCATAATACTTCTGTTATGTCTGTGAAAGAAATTCCACACATCATCAATCATGTGATTATGAAATATGAATTTATTCATTTTGATCATAAACTCATAACAGAATTCTTTTTGTTTTGATTCATAACAGTTTTGTGAATTGTGATCGACTTGACATTTCAATGTTTTTTTTTTCCCTGTTACAAACTTGTGGCTTTGTCGGACAGCAAACTCAATATGGCTTTGGCTTGCATTAAATGTAATTTTATATACTATAGATTAGCTGGTTGGTGATGATACATTGATGATAATGATGATGATAGTTTTGGAGATGTTGTTGACTTCTTGTTGTTGCATGTCTTACTTACTTAAAATTTGTGGGGCTCAAAAAAGAGAAGATAAAAAAAAACTATTGAGTGTTGGAATCGTAATGCATGTGCAAAGGCATGTGCCTTTTGATTCCACTCATTTAATACTTAAAACCCTAAAACCTGTTGACTGCTTTTTTCAAGTGGGTTTTGCTACCATTATAATAGTATACTGTAAGTAACGCATCTGGTTTACCATCACAGTGACACCACAAGACAAAATAATCTTGGGAGAATTAGATAATAATCCGTTGATAAGAAAACAATGATAGAAGAATAGGACAAAGCAGCAAGTATCCTAAGCTCATTCTCCTAAAGGTTTCAAGCTTTTATGATGATGATGATATGATGATGAACAACATCTAAGTCATGACGCCAAACATAGAGATGAACAAGAAAAAATATAGTGTAACATTACATTACTAGTTGAAATTAAAAGATCAAACCAATGTCCAAAAAAAAATACAAAAGAGCAGCCTAACTAAACACATGAATGAAATATGAGCTAGAGATTAAAGGTACTTGATGCATCTCTTAATCTAGCTTTTCAAAGCCACCAACGAAGGAATTGAGTCTACGTTCGGAGATGTGTTCTTGTCAGTGGTAGACTCTGTAATAGTACGATCTCTATGAGTTGCCTTGGCTCTCATTGGACTTGCAAAAGCCCATCCCCAGCTTTTATTCCCCATCTTATGATGATGTTGATGATGATGATCAACCGTAGACGATGATGATGATGTTGTTGATGAAGACGATGATGTCATAATCATAAACCCACCAAAGATGCCACCACATTTCACCATTTCACTCATGGCAGCTGCTTCAGCACCACCATTACTAATAACCTTTGTGGACTCTCTCTGTGACTCAATCCTTCTCAAGGCGCAATCTCCAAACCCATTAGAGATCCTCTCGAAGAAATCGCCGGAGAAGCTTCTGCTTCCACAACCAACAGATCTAGATCTCAGCACTTTCCTCCCAAAAGACGAACCACCACCACTACCAACACCGTTTGTTGGCGTTTCTGCAACCACTTGGTTATTAGGACTCTCATCTTCTTCCTCCGCAATCACATCAATGCCTCCACCACCGACTCTCTTCGATGACTCTGTTTCCTCTGTTCTCTGGTTCCTCCCGTTTTCGATCTGGTTCCTTGGCCTCGAAGAATGGCTAAAGCTGTCGACTTTTTTGGCTGTGCTGCTGCTGATTTGGTGCTTGGAAGAGTAGAGATGAAGAAAAGACCAGAAGCCACTTCGTTTCCTCTGGCCGAAACTATCGCCGTAAGCAGCAGCCGTAGATTTGCTTCTCTTGTAGATAAGACTAGAGGAAGAAGACGAAGAGGTGGAAGAAGAAGAGGATGAAGAAGCAGCGAGCATGCTCTTCTTCTTCTTCGCCAGCAGAAACGGGAGGTTGTTTGTGGAATCCTTTCCGTTGCTTCCGGATGAGAGAGATAGGGCGAGAGAGGTGGTGGAAGAAGGAGTGAAGGTTTTAGGAGAAGAGGAAGAGAGGTGTGTTTGTTTAGGGAGAGGGAAAGAGGAAGTGACGAGCTTACCAAGCTTTTCCTGGAGACATAATGCACAGATCCCACCTGGGTTTCTCGTGTAAGGATGTGTTATGCATTGCATCCCTTCTCCCATGTCTTGATCTTTGAGCTCCACCATTATAAGAATTTAAACAAGGAAGAAGAAGAAGAAGAAATCCAAGATCGTCAAGGACTTTCCTCTGTTTCTGAATGTATATAAAAAAGAAGAATTCAGCTTTTAGATTCTTTTAGAGAGAAAGAGAGATTGGTTGTTGTGAGTGAGATGAAGGATTGAGGAAGGAGAGAGAGAGAGAGAACAGAGAAGTGTGCAGAGTTTGTAGAGAAAGAGAAAGGCGTCGAGTTCCCCGAGTGCACGTGGGAGTTCTGACCTCTACCGTCTCGAGCTTTCTCTCTCTCTCTCTCTCTCTCTCTCTCTCTCCGTTTCTTTTTTCTATTGCTTCGTTTTTCTTTTGTTGGTCTCAGTCTCAGACTCTCTGAGCTCTTTCTTCTTCTTCAGACCACCTCCAATTATATAATCTCTTCTTTTGGGGTCCATGATTCCACGTGTCACTCGTCTACTTAATGTTTAGCTTTTAGGAAAACACTAATTAACACTTCTGTCTAAGTGACCGTTGAAGATAAAAAAAAAACGGAAAAAAATTACCGTTCGAAGAATACATATCTTCTAATATATATTTAGTTTGAATCTGTTCTAAAAAAAATAATTGATGAATAAAGAAACATTTGATTTAACAAGATCATCATAGGAGTAGCAAAATTTTCAAGTTTAATAACTAGAGAAAACTTATCGGTCTTTTAATCGAGTCTAGAATTCCTTCAAGCCAAAAAAAAACAGAGCATGTTTTCTAGTTCTCGCTCAAGTCACAACCATTGAACTCATAATCTTGAGAGACATTTTGTGTGTCAAAAGGTTAGTAGGTTACCCTAAAACATCAGAAGAGCTATCCATAGTTTTATTTCACTAATACTATTTGTTTACTTAGATCAGTTTTACAAAAACTGAAATTTTATCATGCTGGTCGTCGACTTTCCTCATAATTGAAGTTTTATGATCAACTAGTTAATTACTAAATATTTTAAAGGCATAAATAAACATGTATGGTTGACAACAACGAAAAAATACATTTACTATGCAAATACCCTAGTTGTTTCCCATGTTAGTCCTTTTATAAGTCCCGGACCCATGTTAGTGTATTAAATATCACTTATCCTTTAGTTTTGTTAATCAGGAAATTCACCGGCTTCCTTTTTCTATGGCCATCTAATCAAACAAAATCATTGATTATTGACGACCACTCCTTTGTGTTTAACTTTTAAATTTGTATCAAGTAGCGAAATGTTAAAACGTAGTCCACCCCTGAATATGGGATTATCTGATGTGAGAGCATTTTATCATACATGTTAATTAGGTGGAAGTCGAATTCAGATGATCATAGTACCATCCAAAACATGAGATTATTGGATCCAAGGTCCCCCTGTTAGTCGAAACCAACCACATTATAGGCAAAAAGTCCATAATGTTTTCGTAAAAAAAAGATGTAACTAAATAATCTACTAGTTTGTTTGTATACAATTTTATCACTTATTCTGACAGTGAATTTTAGGTATTCCATATCACGAATCTATATATATATATACGTATATCTTTGAGGATAAAAACATATGAAAATTCAACCAACATGCATGGATAACCAAAACGATAAAGCCAAACATGTATTCTATCAAATAGTATTTTTTTATTATTATATCAAAATCTTATTTCTACGACCTTCTATAATTAAAGTACAGACAGGAGATCCATTTTTTAATTGGTTTCCAATGCGGGGAAATTGATACGAAGATGTGTTGTAAGGTACTACTAAGGTGCTGTAATCTGTAATGTATCGAAAAGCAGAGACGTAGAGAAAAAACAAAAGGTGGTCCAAATATTGATTACTCGTGTCTTTTCTCTACACTAAATTTATTACACAGTTCTTCACTTAGTTGTCTCGTCTTTCTTCTCCTCCAATTCTTCTATTTATGGTCCCCTTCTACTTCTGTCACGTTTAATTATTACGAAATATTTCTATTTTTACACTCATAAGTTCACATATAGCAATTACCTTACATTTTTCAGAATTTTACACACACACACAAAGTTCCATGTTGATTTACTAAATGAGTTTAACTGCGTTTCAAAGGCCCTGCGTCTTACGAGACGCTCAGTTTCATGTTGTCTGGGTGTAACCGGACTCACTAATCTATGTGTGTAACCACACTCACTAATTATATATCCAGATCCCAGCAATAAAAAATAAGTGCCATGGAGTATATATATGACCTCCTTTAAATAGAAGTAAAGAAGAAAAAAATGTCAAACGACATTATCAATAGATCATAGAACTTGCTCCATAGAGCTTTATAACAAATGTATCTAACGACTTTGTAAGACAAAGCATCATACATAACATTAAACAAATCTTATTGCTACTCGAACTTACTTTCTACTTTCTCCCAGATTCATCTGTCTGAGACGAGACTTTATTTTAAAGACTCCAGAGGCCAAAGATCCCCCAACTTTCCGGAGTAATTGTGGACATAAAGAAAACATAGAAGATGCTGCAACGAAGAAGTGGTTTCCGTTGAAACGCTGAGCTTACAACCGCGACCTGGCTTGTTCCAAGGGAGCGCTCTGCAACACAAATAAAGGAACAATATCATTACAATTGAGCAACTCTAAGAAGCCAAACTAGTAGATATATAAATAGTCATGCACTTTTGTCGCTTTGATTAAGAAATACTCATGTAATATAAGTAAAGCTGAAACAGATTAAGTTAATAGCGGGAAAAACAAAAAATGCTTCATAAACAAGTGCACAAAACTGAAAGGTACAAGCCAGAAAGAAAAGGAAGAAGAGAAAGAGATACTCACCAGAGGAGCTCCTTTAGATGCCCTTTCAGCCAAGAAAGCACAAGGCACGAAGAAATCACCATAACTCTTGGACCACTCATCTAGCTTCGAGTGGATGTATTTCGATCCAATGGAATCAGCCCAGTGCATGATTCCTCCTCTGTTTTGCAAGAGATTTAGATTTAAACCACAATGAGCAAAAAGGCGATTTGATAAGGATCACCGAATTACAGCAGTTAATTTTATGACAACACTGACCTGTAAGGTGGAAAACCCATTCCCATTATGCCAGCGATGTCAAGGTCTGATGCTTTGACAGCAATACCTTCCGCAAAAACTCTACACGCCTCGTTCACTACTGGGAAAAACATCATTTCGATAATTTCCTTCTCCGACAGTTTCGCCAACTGCAAGCCAAGACATTACTCAGAGTGAGAACAGAACATTGAGTTACTTTACTTGATTTTTGGACAGAGAGATGATACCTTAGGGTCAACGCTTACACCAGACATGCTCCTTGCCTTCTCGATATATTTCTTTAGTTCAGGATCAGGTTTAGCCTTGCGCTTATCATCATACAGATAGAAACCTTTACCAGTGGCTTCACCTGAAATCAACAGGAACGCCCACAAGATTTAGGAGAAAGGTTAAAAAAAATCAAAAAAATCAGGGAGCTCTTGTTTCTAACATACCAGCTCTCTTGTCTTCTTGCATGAGTGGGATAATCATTGACTTGTTCGTCCGTTCTGGGAAGTTCTCAATGAATTGCGTTGCGGTTGCAATGGCCACACCGAATCCAACCAAGTCACACAGTCTACTCTTTCATATAAGTAACAAAAATGTACAGTTAAAAAAAAAAGGTGTATGAGAACTATATGGATCTTGACAATGCGATATACCTGAAAGGGCCCATTGGCATTCCAAACTTGCTGGCTGCCCTGTCGATTAGATATGGATCTGTTCCATGCTCAGCAAGGAACATAGCTGCCTGTGTGTATGGGAAGAACATCCTATTCACTGCAAAACCTGTGCAGTTTCCCACCACGACTGGTGTTTTCTTAATCTTCTTTCCAACATCTAACAGGTCAACAATTACTTGAGCAGAGGTATGGTCCGTCCGAACTATTTCAAGTAGTGGCATGACATGTGCTGGACTGCATCAGAAAAACGAATAGACATGATTTAGTTCAGCTTGCAAAACCACTCCATGCATAAGATTTTCACTGAAATATATCCAAACTTCCAAGGATAAGTAATTACCTGAAAAAATGTGCTCCGACAATCCGATCCTGGGACTTGGTCCGCTCCCCAATTTTGTTCAAATCGATGGTGGATGTGTTGCTAGCAAGGATACAATGTTGAGGACAGTACTTCTCTAGATCAGCAAAAATTTGCTGCTTCAAAGATATATTCTCAATGACGGCCTGTTTCAAGCCACCAAAAAGACATCATCATACAAAGTCAATTCACTTACCTAGCCATACACTAAACAACTTCAGCTTAATTATGCTCATAATTACCTCGATAACCATGTCCACATCCCTAAAGCTTTCATAGTCAAGAGAACCCTTAAGGAGAGACATGGTTTTCTCAAACTTTTCCTGAGACATCCTTCCTTTCTTTACACGACTCTGAAGATTAGCTGATCAAATTATGAAATATGTCAAATCAAGCTTTTGCAACTCGTTGCTAAGAAATGTACAGAAAACCATCCCTACCTTTGACTCTGCCAATTCCTGCCTCCAGGAACTTCTCATTTACCTCCTTGAGAACCACAGGATAGTTACTGAGAATCAATGCAGTGGCTATTCCAGATCCCATTAACCCGCCCCCAATTATGGCTACCTTTTTTATCTTCCTAGGCACCAACCCACGGTCAGTAACACCAGGAACCTGTCCAAAAGATAGATTGAAAGGAATGAAATAAAGAGGGAAAGCTTTCATCAATAGTTAAAATCTTGTAAAGACAAAAAGGAGGCTTAGTGGTACTCAAGTCTAAATGACTAACAAACCTTTGAAGTTCCACGCTGAGAAAAGAAGACATGGATCAAGCTTTTGGTGGTATCCAGGCGTACCACTTGTGCGCCGACTTCAGCCTCCTGTAAGTGACAATCCGGTGGAAATTCGTAAGGGTCACTACTCTTGGGAGTAAACCTAAATAGAATATATAACGAAGCACGACAAGATAGTAACATACCTTTTGTAAACCAGCCCTTGGACCAGAAACAATACCCACTTCAACAGCCTCAAGGCACATCAAGGGATGTTTCATATTGGGGGCTTGCTTGCGTGTCTGCTCCTTGGCAAACTTCAGTATCTCCCTTGCCTCTCCAAGGGGAGGCAACTTATCAGTCTTTAAAACACTAGAAACCCATGGTTTTCTCCTCTCGGCTATGTCAAGGGCCCAGCGACGAGCAGCGTTCAGTAACTCAGCAGGTGGCACGACAGCATCAATAAGACCCAATGAATGACCTTCCTCTGCTTTAACCGGCTTAGAAGTCTATATGTTTTAACAAAATAAAATGTGTTTATATTTTAACCAAATCAGACTAACGCTGCCATAGGTATAAGGCACTGACGTACCAAAATCATTTCAAGGGCTTTTGTGAGACCAACAAGACGTGGAAGACGCTGTGTTCCTGCATCGATCCAAAGGAGCATAATAAGGAAAATAAAAACGAAAACGACTTATTCATTCCCCACAAACATGAATCACATATCACCATCTATGCTTGAAAAATACTTTGACTTCCCCGTCCACGAGTTATAAAAACAAATGATGGTCCATGGGAATCAAAGATTTTGCCTCCTATATGATCAAAACTCGTACACCGCTGATGGGCAAACATTAAGGACTTAACAATCAACAAAGTTGAGTATGTACCTCCAAACCCAGGAATAACACCGAGCTGCAGCTCGGGCAGACCCAGCTGTGCACCAGGAGCTGATATCCTTGCATGGCAAGCCTGAAAACAAATTATACAGCTGTATCACCATCCATCTAATAAGAAAAACCTCACCAGGATCAACAGTCTCAAGAGGACTTTTAGGGAAGGTAGTGGATAACATAGAAACGCTACCATGGAAAGCTCTAACCCTCCTCCCAAGGCAAGCCCATCAATGGCAGCAACAGACGGTTTCCTAGCAGCTGAATCCAAAGAGAAAAATCGATCCCTCAGCATTACATCATCAGAACCATTGCATAAACCAAAAAATTCGGTTTTTAGAAAGATAACCTTCAAGCAAATCGGTTATGATGTCAATTGAGATGTATCCAACTTTCGGCTCTTTCCCTGATAAAATCAATATAACACCAGTGTACGTTATAACACACATCCATACATAACGCCAATACAATCACCAAAGATACCAAGTCACTGAAACATACTTGTTCCTTTCTGAATTTCACCAAAACCAGAAATATCAAAGCCACCAGAGAACTTCCCCTTTGCACCTGCAGTAAGAAAGACAAAAAAAAAAAAACCATCACCAAATCAACCACAAAGTTTTGCAAACATGTGTTCAGTTTTTTGGCGTGAAAGAGAGTGATCTCCAGACTTACCCGTAATAACAATGGCTTTAACATCATTCCTGCTCAAGGCTTCCTCGTAATTACTTTTGAGGTTGTCTAGCACTGTACAGAAATACACAAAAACAGAGTAGCAGACAGAGGTTTCCCTGCTTCGTCAGTAATATTATCAATACAAGTCGAATGACAAAAACGAGGTTTCTCGAGATCATCATCTTAGGCTATTTACTAAACCAAAAGAGTATGAGATCAAATTAGTAGCCTGAATTTCACATAATCAGTTACATAAATTCGATTGGAAAATGAGAAGGCAGTCGGGGAGACTAAAAATTACACGGGATCAGAAAAGAATTAGGCGATAATCATAATCATACACCGAGATTGACCTAGAATCTGTAGAGGTGAAATCCAACAAATTCCAGATCAAAAACAAACAAATCGGAGAAGGTAGAAGAGAGTATTACCGTCAAATGATAGCGAATTGACGGGAGGGTTGATGAGTGTTATGACGGCAACCCCATCGCCACCAACTTCTATCGTCGTCTTCCCCTTCGTTCGTGAAGCCATTTTCGAGCTCGGTTTCTCTCTACGATCTTCGTTGAGATTGCGAGTCAAAACTCGGAATTAAGAAAATAAAAAGAGAGAAACGTAAAAAAAACAGATATATACATGGAAGGATGACGTGTGATAATGGTACAGTCACAGTGGCACGCTCCTCAACGTAACGTTGCTTTGATAATGTTTCCGATAAGTGAGTGATTTTAGTATTTCTTGGATAAAGTATGTTATCATATACTAGTAGTATATTATATTCTAATAAAGTAACTAATCTTTGTATTAAGGAACAAAATAGTTGCTGTTGAAATCTACGGATTTTTACTAAAAATTTGTGTTTGGCACCAACCTGTACCACCAAACTACCAAACTTGGCGGATCTTAAATCCATCCATTTTTCGGTTGGAAAATGTAGTCAAATCATATCTGTATTTATGAGGGAAAAAATTACATTTTGAATTTTTATTTATACAATAAAAAAATACCTTTTGGGTTTATAAGGCATTTTTTTAAGTAAAAATCGAAACTGTTTTCTAAATCATGTTTTCCTTGGCAAATAAATTTTGAAAACTGTAGTTTACACATCTCATCGACGACAATTTCTCCACCATTTTTATGTTTATAAATGACAACTTCGGCTTTTTAAATAGTAGACAATGCATAAAATGTGTCAAAGTGTAAACAAACTAACAAAATTATAGTAGAAAAATATGCGAGAGGCAACGAATAAGCTTTCATTTAATTAATTGTAACAAACATACTTTTTTACTTATAGTATTATTTAGACGATTATGACTTCACTTCTGTGAATGCTTCAGAAACTAGAGTCATTTTTTGAAAGCCTTTTGTTCAAAAGAAAAAACAGTAATTTTTCAGTCATTTCCTCCTACGTATGCCGATCAAGAAGATATTTACAGTTTTTTTTTCCTAATTTGCCTACACATATATGTAATTGCATACATATAATTGCATATTAATTATGAAAAAACATAAATATGACATAATTTGCACCGAAAAAAAAAAAGAATATAACATAAAATCGATTGATGTCATTTCAAAAGAGTTAATCAAATAATGCTGGTGATATGATATGATCATGTGTGAGAGAAATCGCATGATCGCATCCCTTGTCTTCATTACCCAAAATACTTCTCTCACTGAAATATTTTTCACCAACAAGATGGATTTGGTCAACTAAAAATTCACATGGTCGACAAAAGTGTTACGGTTGACAAAACACAAAAAGAGAAAAAGGTGCAAGTTATATGTCATTTGGATTAGGTTGCTATCTCACGTTCCAAAGGCCATGTTGGGCATTTATGCATGCAAAACGATTATTTAGGAAGCAGTCTTACACTCGAATTCGAATCCCTCTAACTTGTTTGTTTGCTTTCTACCAGGGCTGGTTTTGAATAGTAGAGTTGATAATACAAAATCTATACGATCGACTCACTAGATCGAATTATCTATTTTACACCCAACATAACCAACTACTATATTGATCGCACCACTTGGTCCATTTCACCTGTCATATACCAGTTTAGCCTTTTTCATCATCGGATAAACTATACTATTAAAGTTCAAATTAATGCTCAATTGATCAAGATCATGCGTCTACATTTGATCCTCCTTCAGAAGTTTCGTGCCCCTGTTTTTTGCTGACATGCCATACCCAAACTAATCCGATAGGTCCTTTTTCTTCTTCTCAAGTATATCTCAGATTTTCCTAACCTAATAGCCGCGGAAGCAAAATAATTAAATATTGATAACGTCAAATTTTTAATTAGTATAAAAAACAGCTAAATCACATTAACTAATACTATAATTTATTATCATTTCTGCGACTTTTTAAAAACAATTGCTATATGCGTTGTTCTTTTTTTCTTTCAGTTCAAGTGATTTACTTGGGCATCCATGACTCAGAACACGCGTGTACCGTTGATCGCTCTGCAAAATTCTGCTGACGTGGCATAGATAAACTAATCCGATAGGTTATTCTTTTTGGCACTAATCCAATTTAGTTTATATCTATTCAGCATCAGTCTTCGCAATCATTCAGATACTCTGAGACACAAAATACAAAGTACGTTACATTGTCTGGCAGATTTTCATCTTCCGAGTTGTTGGAAAGGGAAAATCCCAATTCATCATCCTCTGTTTTGGTTCTGTTTCTCCCTAAACTGTTTATACCCAAAGACCAACCGCGAACGACGATGATAGCGCGGCGGATCTGGCGAAGCCATCGGTTTCTCCGCCCGTTCAGCTCCTCTTCTGTTTGCGCTCCGCCGTTTCGGGTACCGGAGTATCATTCTCAGTCGTTCGCCTCTCCGACGCCGCGCCCGTTCCTTGTTCACTCTCTCTCTGTACGTTTCTCCAGACCAAGTTTCTATTTTTATTGAGCCTTTTTTAAAAAGCCTTTTGTTTTCTTGGCTTCACCCTGAGATCAGTTTCCGACAAGCTCCTGTAGTGGAAAACCAACATTAACCTGTTAAATTTAGAAGGGACTAAAGTTGAGAAATGGGATAAAACTGACAAATTGGGAGTTGTTTAGATTTCCGGTTAATTTTTAAGATCAAACAAGTTAAGAAGTCACATTTATCGTAATTCGGCAGGTGATGAAATGGTGTGGAGGAAGAAGAAGCTGGTTTTCGAGCGAAACCATGGCCATAGATTCGAATCCAGGGTTCATCGATGTCCCACTGGCACAAACTGGGGAAGGTATTGCTGAATGTGAGCTTCTCAAGTGGTTTGTGAAAGAGGTCTGTTGGTTTTATATTCTGCTTAAAGACTCAATCTTTTCTCGATTCTCCTTCTGTTTCTAATTCTAGATTCGGCCATTTATCTGTTTGCAGGGAGATCATGTCGAAGAGTTTCAGCCGCTCTGTGAAGTTCAGAGCGATAAAGCAACGATTGAGATAACGAGTCGTTTTCAAGGGAAAGTAGCTCTGGTTTCACATGCTCCAGGCGACATTATCAAGGTTAGCGCAAACAAAGTGGTTAATTAGATAATTTGAAAACTGTTGTATTAGGCTCATAGCATCGATGGTGTCTAGTTTTTAATGTGGTTATGATTAAGCATATACTCGCTCAAACTCTGAATACTGCAAGATAATGGATTTTGTTGGGGAAACATCTATTGATGCAAGGTTGGAGAGACTCTGATTAGGCTGGCGGTTGAAGACGCACAGGATGATCTTCTCGTATCCTCTGATAGTTCAGGCAATGTAGACCAGGGCGGTTCAAAGCGAAACACAGAGAATCTTGTCGGAGCTCTGTCAACGCCTGCTGTTCGTAACCTTGCAAAAGATCTTGGCGTAGATATAAATGTCATTATTGGAAGTGGTAAAGACGGGAGAGTTTTGAAAGAGGATGTTCTTCGATTTGGTGGCCAGAAAGGAAATGCAGCAGATTCAGTTTCCTCTGAGCATGCTGCTGTAGGAAAGGAGTCGATTTCCACTATAGCGAGTAACTTTGAAGATAAAACTGTTCCTCTAAGGTACGCCTATTGTGGTTGTGGTTATAATGTCAAAGTTAACGCATCTTGTGTCTCAAAAGTCAAAACCATTCCTTATACTTCAGGGGATTCAACAGAGCAATGGTGAAGACAATGACTATGGCAACAAAGGTGCCGCATTTTCATTTCGTCGAAGAGATTAACTGCGACGCGCTTGTGGAGCTCAAGCAATTCTTTAAAGAGAACAACACGGATTCGACCGTCAAACACACTTTCCTTCCTACTTTAATCAAGTCACTGTCAATGGCTCTAAGCAAATATCCCTTCGTGAACAGTTGCTTCAACGAGGAGTCTCTCGAGATCATCCTTAAAGGTTTTTTTCTCTATTAAGAAACTCTGTTGTTGTTTTTGGTTATGAGCTTATCATTATTTGGATTGTATCCGCAGGTTCACACAACATTGGAGTTGCAATGGCTACGGAACATGGTCTTGTCGTTCCTAATATCAAGAATGTTCAGTCGCTGTCTCTACTAGAGATAACCAAAGAGCTGTCGCGGTTACAACATTTGGCAACAAACAACAAACTCAACCCAGAGGATGTAACCGGTGGAACCATAACTCTGAGTAACATTGGAGCGATCGGTGGGAAATTCGGGTCCCCTCTTCTAAACTTACCCGAAGTTGCCATCATCGCCCTTGGAAGAATCGAGAAAGTTCCCAAATTCTCACAAGACGGAACTGTTTATCCTGCATCGATAATGATGGTAAAGCTGAGCCATGTTCATCATTCTATAGTGTTTCTTTGTTAGTACCAAAGTTTGATGATGAGTTCGGATTTTTGTTTTGTTTCAGGTTAACATCGCTGCGGATCACAGAGTTCTAGATGGAGCAACGGTAGCTCGGTTTTGCTGCCAGTGGAAAGAGTATATTGAGAAACCGGAGTTGCTAATGCTTCAAATGAGATAAAACTAAATAAAGGATTAGTGTTCATGTTTCTCTGTGAATCTCTCATTGTTTGACTCCTGTAGAAGATTCTGCAACTGTGTGGATGAATCTTCATGTTCGAATAAGATTAAGTTTAGCGTCTCAACTGCGTGCTGTTCTTTATTTGACTCAGCTAGCAATTATAAACTAAAACAATCACATAACAAATTATATCCATGTTCCATGTACTAACTAACGTTCTTTTAATTACTTGATAAAAAGCGTAACGTTTCTTTTAAAGGAGTCGTACACGACAAAGTCGTCTCCTTTACCACTTCCAACTATATCATGATGGTTTGAAAATTTCATATAACTATATAATTTAAAGATGTTAAATACAAGCTTATAACATGCATGTATCTATAATCTATATATATTATAAAAAAAATGTCAATAATTACATGAACAGCATGCCGAATCAAGATTCCTTCGAAACATCGTGCCATCTAAAGCCAGATAACGTATCTCCTATGCTACGCAAAACGAATGGTTACCGTTGATCCAAGAATATGCGGATTCGTAAAACCGACTATGATCATACATAATTCAATACTGATCTTATTCAATACTAATAATTAAGAAAAGCTATATACAGTGTTGATGTATTTTTCAAAAAAAAAATTTATGTCATTATATTTTCTATTAAATAAACAATATTTTCATTTTAATTTTAGAGATTAGAATTTTCTGATATTTATAATCATCAATAAAAAAATTCATCATCAAAAAAATTATTTGTCTTTTAAAGTAAGACTATTTAAAATTTCAAAACTGGTTTATAACTAAAAAAAAATCAACTGCAAAATGGAATTCAAAAGTAAATAAATCAAAAATAGTACTATACAGTACTATTATGTAATTGAAAATAAAATGGGGTTATGAGCACATTTTATTTCAAAATAAAAATTGAAACTATATTTGATATAAGATTGGAGATGTTTTTAGTAGAGACTAAAATTTAGATCTATACTCTCAAAACTTAGTGAATTAATTTTTATATGGACAATTAGTTTTATCTTTATTACCTCAAGGTATACTTAAAAAAAAACGAATTACACCATCATCGTTACAGAATAACATAGATATGTTATTGGAACATTTTCTTGATTATATCAAAAAAATATGTCCGAAAACGTATTTGTTGCTATTGTAATAACACACCGGCCCGTTCGAACAATCGTTGAGATACCGCTTGGTGATATTTAAGCTCATAATTCCATGATTAGTTGTGAATCTTGAACACTAGCAAGCATTGACCTCGACTATAAGTGGTCGTGATATAGTGGTAAAAAGATTTGGAGACGAAGTAAACTCATTTTTCTCAAGTTCGATATTCATTAAAAGAAAAAAGAAAATTACAGTCATTTTAATTAGTAAAACGGTGTGTCACTATAGAGACAATTGGTGATTTTCCTATTTGACAGCGAAACTTATAAAATAAAATAAAAATGTATAGTAGTATATAATGATGTAACGTGTTCTACAAACAAGCCTATATAGTAATAATGGTGGTGGCAGAAGATAGAAGCATGGAGGAAGGACTTATTCGGCAAAGGAATCAAGACGACAGAGATGATCGTCGTATCACTGGTTGTTCTATGAGTTTCATAATTTCTCTCTTTAAACATTAATTACTTTAATCGTCCTCAATTATTTAAATTGATACAAAGCTTTTGATTCGTAATTTCTTGGATTCGGTAGAGTGGTTTTAGCTATCAGGAAAGATTTCTTGGGTTAAAAAAATCATGGCGATTCCTTATCAGATGTCGCAGGCATGGAGAAGCTTTTCGTCGCCGTTTTTGGAAAAGATGAAAAACATAAGTCGGTTGGGAGAAGTTATGAGAATTCTCAATCAGTATTTTCTGTTGAACCTAATCGACAAGGTAAACAATTTTTTTTTCCAATTTAACTTTTGTTAATTATAAATGAGATTTAGCGGCTCTGGTTAATTAGCTATAATCACAGGCACTTATCGAACATCATAGCATACATATTGTTAAAATTTTGGGTGATTTCGACAACTCTTGTATGATATGTGGGATTGTGTTAAAGGCTAACAATCCTGGTAGCATAAAGAGTGGTAATGTTAAAGACTATTTATGTTACCAGGAGTATCAGTTTTTAACATAATTTCAGGTAATCTAAAACACCTAAATTTTATTTGGTCATCATGTTGATAAGTATAGAAGCAAGTGCTTCACAGCTATATTGATTAGATGATGAATGTATTTTGCACAACTATTGTTCATACAGATTGCTCTTCCTTTTTTGAATGAAAAATATATTGTTTTATTAAATACAAGTATATTGATATTGTCACAATTATGGAACAATATAAAAGAATGAGGGGCCAAAGATCTAAATATTTTTGGGTCACGATCAAAATTCTTTGACCATCGATCAGATTTATGAATAATATAAGTCATTCACTCTTTAACCGTCGATCAAATTTGAAAATCAATAATCACGATACACGAAATGCATATATTCCTCCTATATATAAATCTGTGGATATTAAGACGGAATTATTATTCGTTTAAACAGTTAATCTCAAAAAATGGCATAAATATTCAAGAAAGAAAAACCCTTATGGGCTTTCAGTTTGGCCTATTTGATATATAATAAATGTCTTGTCACTATTCTTATCCAGCAGTTCGAGAGCACCACTAACAGAGTAACAGTGACAGGTGTGGGAGTAAGATTCACGCGCCGCTTTTTTGCGTGAATTGAATGCACCTTCAATTGAAAGGTTTAGACTTGAAATTGTTTTTGTACATTTTCCATGAAACCAAACACAAATTGAGAAATTCAATCATCTAACATCAAAACTGGGAAATTCAATCATCCAATTACAATTAGCGTGCCTTTGGTTTTGTGTTCAATGTGAATCCAAATTTGTTCTTCTTCTACCGAGTCTTGTGTGTGTCTCTCTCTCTCGCTATTCATCCTCAACTCCCAATACAAGCAAGAATTGAAAAAGCTCGAGATTTCCTTTGCAATGGTGATGGAACCATCATTTCAAGTCCAGAAGATCCAATAAGTCTTCACAAAGATCATGTTCCTGCAACATCTTCCAGGATATTGAGAAGAGAAACATCTTGGACGAGGATGTTACTTCTTTCATTATCTATCATGTAAGACACGTCTAGTCCCTCTAGAACCAAGTGATAAACGGTGTTGTCTGATTCCGATGTGTCTTGTGGCTTGTTCCGTTGTGACATGTTTTGGTTCAGGTTAACATCGCTGCGGATCACAGAGTTCTAGATGGAGCAACGGTAGCTCGGTTTTGCTGCCAGTAGAAAGAGTATGTTGAGAAACCGGAGTTGCTAATGCTTCAAATGAGATGAATTAAATAAAGGATTAGAGTTCATGTTTCTCTGTGAATCTCTCATTCTTTGACTCCTGTAGAAGATTCTGCAACTATGTGAATGAATCTTCATGTTCGAATAAGATTAAGTTTAGCTTGTTATTTGACTCAGCTAGCAATTATAAACTAAAACAATCACATAACAAATTATATCCATGTTCAATGTACTAACTAACGTTCTTTTAATTACTTGATAAAAAGCGTAACGTTTCTTTTAAAGCAATCGTACACGACTTTGATGTGACTCACTTCCAACTATATCATGCTTTAAAAATTTCAAATAACTATATAATTTAAAGATGTTAAATACAAGCTTATAACATACATGTATCTATAATCTATATATATTATTAAAAAAATGTCAATTAAACTGATTCACGTGTGAATGATAGATGAAACATTAAAGCTTTCACCTACTGCAAAAGTAGAAAAGACTTAAAAACATCACATTGTTCTATTGAATTTCTCAACCAAAAAGAAAAGATGAATATTTTTTTCTAAGGTTATTAATTTTTCTATCTTTTTTTACGTGACCAAGTAAATGGGCGAAGAAGAAGTAGAGATCCTCTGTTGCTGCTCCATGTTAAGCTCTCGTAAGCTCAGATATGGAGTCGCCACGTCACCCTTCCTCGCCGGCGTCAATGTGCCCGCTATAGGTCCCGACGATGGTTTACTCGTCGTCGTACGGTACGGTGTGCTCGGCCCGCTCCGACTCTCCGTTACGTAAATCGGACCCGACATCGACCCGGATACGGCGCGGAAATTCCTGGCCCTACGATCTTCGTTCAGGCCGACGGCGGAGATTGGCCACTTCCGCCACTTGAAAAAGGGAAAAGCTTTCTTCCACCACCACCGCTGCTTCCTCTTGCTGTGCAATGTGGATCGGGTCGGGTCATCCTTTGAAATAGGTTTTTGGAGCTTGAACTGAAGACCGTTAATGGAGGATTTTGCCCAAGTTTCTCTCTTACGCTTCCTTGCTTCTTCCATAACCTTTCCCCGAAAACAACATCAAAAGAACAAAACTCCTATCAGACGACATTTACTCAAAACAGAGTCAAAATGCAGAGATAAAAAAACCATTCGATTTCATTTGTTAACTCGGAACGAAACAATGAAGCAAACTCATAGATACCTGAAAGTAGTCGATTTGGGGGTCGAAGCCATAGTCGCAGAAATGTTGAGAATCGGGGATGGGGAAAATGGGAGAGCTGTTGGACATTCTTCTTCCTTGTAGTTTGTCGTTCGAGTGACCGAGTTTTAAGATGAACAGTGCTCTTTAATGGCGGAAAAATGGATTTGAGGAGGGACAGAAGAGGATGGGGATGGCCGTTGGGAGAGTGTGGGGTTCACTCAATTCAATGCAACGAGTCGTCTATTGTGTCGTTTTCAACATCCCTTCCCTCATTTCCTTCTTTCCCCCCCCCCCAATATTTCCACATTTACTTTATAAAATGGGCCATACAAATACATTTCTCTCTTTTTCAAATCCATCTTCACTGTCCTGATATAAAAATAATTATGAACATCATTTTATTGCACTAACAAATTAAATCCTCAAAAGGAATTAAATACCAACTTTTTTTTTTATTATTATTATCTGAATATCCAAAACTTGCGGAATAACTCGGTAGATTCTTCTAATTTAAAGTATCCATTGTAGTCAACCATAATTTGACATTGTAAGAAAATTAGATCATTTAACCAAAATGAACCACTATGATTTATGTTACTTCTATAAATAATTAAGTTTATAGCTAACTTATGCAATTATATACATTTACTATGCTTAAGTATTTTCCCAGCTACATACATACATGTTCCTCGAAAATAAATACACATAAGTGGCGGCACTTACAGTTACAGACTTACTAGGCTAACCATTTTGTAGTTTTGGTTTTTCGAGACGAGGAATATTATTGATTTCACCGTTCAAGAACAACAATATGGAAGAACTCTCGAAGGACGCGATACATGTGCGTGGGCATGAGCATCACGTGATCTCCATAACACATGCAAGCTCCTCGACTTTCTCATCATTATATATATTTATATTATCCTCTCCAAGTCTCATGACTCGATGAGTACGCAGGTAAGATTAGTCTCTGTGTCCCATTCACCAAACGGAGAACATATCACTCTAGTCTTTACTCTTTATTTTCATTCTAGATCCTATACCAAATCAACTATATATTTCTATTCACTTATCAAGGTTTTCAGCTTATTCATTAAAAAAAAAAAAAGGTTTTCAGCAATTAATTATATCACTCGGGAGATCGATGCCAAACTCACGATGAAATGGGCAGTAAATTAAAGAGTCAATTAATCATTCTTTAAACAATTCTACACAAGAACACATGAAAAACAAAAGATGTAAATCATGTAAAATAAAATCATTTACAGATTTGGTATCTCCTACATGTTCGCGATGTACGGAACTTGGGTTTGTGGGATCCACGTATCGCCACGTAAGAATCTGCCGCCAGTGTATAGTAGAGCCTCCTCAGGCGATAGTTTCTTGATTCCGGGCCATCTAACTCTTTGGGCCTGATTAGATCCAGGCCCAATATTCAGATGCTCGGCGTAGTATAGCGTCTTGAGCGCAAAGTCTCCCTGCCAAGGAAGCCACCCCGCTGGATCGATGACGTCATCGATCGTCGACTTCATGATGATCGTCCTCGAGAACTCTTTCCACGGCCTTCCTAGATATGCTTTGTTCACAGATTTCACCGGAATGTACGCCGTATCTCCCATTATATGGCAGTTGTGGAGCACTATTCCGGTCGATTCACGGACGTCGCTGCGTGCCTGAGCTGTGACCATACACGATTGACCTCCCTTGGGTTTTCGAATGACTATTTCACAGTTCTGGAGGATGCATTTCGCGTCCCCGAAGATGAAATCTACGGTTCCGGAGACTGTGCACTCGCGGTAGAATTGCCGGTGAGAGTGGACGTATAAGGTGTCTTGGTAACCGTCGATTTGACAGCTGTAGAACACGGCGAAATCCGCCGTGACTCTCAGCGCCACCGCCTGTCCTCCATTTGGTCCAGCCGTGTTCTCGATCCAGATGTTTTTAGCTGTGAAGTGGTCTCCCTCGATTGCTGCATAAAAAAAAGAAGAAGCAGAATTTGGAAAGGTTCGTAATGTTAAGCATCTCTCTTTCCGGGATTTGATAAGCAGGGGAAAATTGAAACTCACTGACGGTGGCTGTAAGGAACGTCTTGACTTTTCCGATACCGAAATTGAGGCTGCCGGTGATTTTGGTCTTGGTTGGTCCATCACCGATAAAAGTGATGTAAGGCATTTTCTTGGTGACGATTACTTTCTCTTTGTAGATACCTTGTTTGATGTGGATGATGAATGGGAGTCTGTTGTCTTTAGGCACAGAATTTAGAGCATCGGAGATGGTCTTGAACTGGCCAGTTCCGTCTTGAGCCACCACGGCATTAGCTCTCACTGTTGGTCCTCCACCCGGTGGTTCTGCCATGAGCCGCCGTGCCTCTGGTCCGACCCATGTTGGGATACCATCTTCTGTATACAAGAGCTTTCTAGCGTAGCTTGCAAGAGCACCGGTGAGTCCTGTTATCAAGACTCGCATTACGAATTTTTTTGCTTATATATTCTGATTGCTTGGCAATGGATGTTTGGTGAACTGAAAAAGATACATACCTGTGATGTTGGAATTAGGGAGAATGGTGGAGAGGTCAGTAACCATGGCAAGGCTGTTGCTGTTAAGCTGTCTTGATGTTTTGAAGATTTTGAGCATGTCTTGCATAAGATTCGACTTAATTTCCTCAAAGGAATCGATACAGGTCTGCTGGAACGCGATGGAGCCACTTAGCCAAACCCGAAGATCCTCGACAAATCCGTCAATCTGAGAAACTGAGAACCCGTGATCAACACACTTTCTCAGATCATCGATGGCGTCAATCATCAGCGTCTCACACAGCTCGAAAGCACCCTTTGCTTCGGGGTCATCGTCAGCCTTGGATTTAACGTCTTGAGAGGCTTTCTTGAGTGCGTCGTCGATTGATTTGATGGTGACGTTGAAGCTGAGTTTGATGAGCTCGAGAGGCTCGGTGGAATTGGGGGAGGCGTTCATTAAACTTTTGACGCAGATGTCTTTGAAGTCGGTGGGTGCACAAACTGCTTTAACCGCTTTGGTGGTTTTCCGGATTTCGTTTTCATTGGGAGAGTTTTTAGATGTTACGACAGCTACAGAGACAACCATGATGACTAGCAAACCCGAGACGCTACCGGCGATGATACATTTCTTTTTCTTGTCACCATCAAACCCCATTTTTTACTGCTTTTCTTTAGTTTTCAAGTTATTTTTTCTTCTTCTTCTAATGTGTCTATTTACATGTTAGAAATGGAGCAGACGGGGCCTGTAACTGTGTGGCTCATAACTATGAGCCCCTTCTAGCTCTGTTTTTTTTTTTTTTTTCCTTATTGGGGGGAAAGGGGGTTTTGGTGTTTGGTATTTACAAAGTTTTGATCAAATGGATAGAAAAGATCTCGATGGAGTTAATATAGAGGAGAGTTGCAAATGCTATTTTTAGGGTTTAAGGAAAGAACATGAGGCTATGTTACACTTTCTGTCTTTAGGAATAGTTCTTGTCTCTTTTTCAGACAAGTTTGAGAGGTTTTTTTCTCCATATAAAATGTTTGGTTTCCCGCTTTCATGAGAAGCCTATGAATAGTAAGGTTTTGGAGGTATGAATTTGTGTATAATCCTGATAAATTTTCTAAATAAGTCATGTGATTCTTACCGAATGAGAGAATAGATTTAGAGATGTAAAAGCACCTGCGACGAGGCCAGAGAAGAAGGGTTTTATTCGTTTAGCTGTTGAATGTATGAAAGAGATGAGAAGAACCTGTGTATACACTTTGTTCAGATTTACTGTACTGCTTCTCGTAAAAGACCCACGAGCAGCTTTATTTTGATGAAAATAAATAAAATAAGAAACATCTGATTTGTTTTTGCCGAGGATCAATGAGACTCGCGGATATGAAAAAAAAAAAGATTTTAAAGCTTAGAAGCTCTCTGTAATTCTAACTTGCCAATGGTCCCAAGATGAACCTCGTCAGGTCCATCAGCGATCCTGAGAGTTCTAGCCGTGGCCCACAGATGCGCTAAGACTGTGTCCGAGGATACACCTGCTGCTCCATGGACTTGCATTGCCGTGTCCAGTACCTTCAACGCCATGTTTGGAGCTGCAACCTGAATACCCAAAATTGATTTTTCTTCTTCAAAAATCTATACCCTCGTCGATTTCTGACAGCGACAAAATTCACAAAAACACAGCTTTTTTTACCTTGGCCATTGCAAGAATTCCTCGAGCTTTTTTGTTTCCAAACTTATCGAGATGATCAGCAGCTTCTAAAACTAGCAATCGGGTTCCTTCAAGCTCCACCCGTAACTGTTTCATACAACCACTCGTGTAAGAAGAAGTCATAAAGAAGGGATTTGGGTTTTACAGAGTATTGTTTAACCTTTGCAAGATCAGAGACAAAAGAACCGTGCTGCGCTATGAACTTCCCAAAAGTTTTCCTACTAAGAGCTCTTTGAACCATTAGCTCCATTCCACGCTCCGCTGCACCTATTAGTCTCATGCAGTGGTGCAATCTTCCAGGGCCTAACCTACCCTGATATCACAAACAATGCAAGAAGTACAACCCTTACTCTCTGTGTTACTGCAAGCACTGAATCTGTGTCTATGTTTTTTGTAGTATTAACCTGAGCAATCTCGAATCCTCGGCCTTCTCCTAGGAGAATATTCTTCGCCGGGACAATCACGTTTTCAAAAGAAATTTCAGCATGTCCATGAGGCGCGTCATCAAAACCAAACACCGTGAGAGGCCTCTTCACTTGTATACCTGGAGTCCGCATGTCCACTAATATCATAGACTGTTGCTTATGCTTAGGGGCGTTGAAATCAGTTTTCCCCTGTACAACACGGATATAATTGGTTTCAAAACAAGAATAGAACATACTCTTTTAGATAGAAACAGAGCAAGGACAGAGAACTAACCATGAGGATAAGAACTCTGCACCTGGGATCCATGGCTCCACTTGTCCACCATTTTGTGCCGTTAATGACGTATGAATCACCTTGTCTGTATAAGCAACAGATTTAGCTATAATAAGGACTAATGTGGACTCAGCCTCAGAGAATTACTAGTATAGAAATTGAAGATGACATATAGCACTGATATGCTTCTGTTTATTTACTTAGTTGAGAACTCGAATGTAAATATTTTCCAACATAAAAAGAGAATAATCTCTTACCTTCTAATAGAGCACTCAATATTGGTTGCGTCAGAGGATGCGACTTGTGGCTCAGTCATAGCAAAACCAGAACGGATTTTTCCTTCAAGCAACGGAATAAGCCATTCAGAAATTTGTTCTCTGTTTCCATACCGCAGTATCACCTATAAGACAATACAGATCAAATAAACACAAGTAGTAATAAGCAATGAGATGACTTTCTGGACCTTCATACAAAATCAGGCTTTATTTTACCTCCATGTTTCCAGTATCAGGTGCACCACAGTTAAACACCTGTGGAGCCCAAACGGAACGACCCATGATCTCACAAAGGTAGCCATACTCCAGGTTCGTCAAGCCCTCGCCAAACAATTGATCATGTTTATTGTCAACAGCTGCTAGTTCTCTTTTAGCTCTAGCAGCACTGTCTACCTGCAAGAACCAAGAATCCATAAGCACACACTCTCACTCAGGGGCAAAATTAAATAAAGATTTTGAAGAGAAAAAATATACATACAGGAACAAATAAGTTCCATAGGCCTTCTCTCTTTGCCAACTCCTTTAACCTTTCCTCCTCCGGGTGAACGGTCCATCGCATATCCGATTGAGCTAGTTTGGAGAACTCGCTTTCCATCGGGTAGATTTGAGTTTCCATAAACTTGATCAACTTCTGCCTTAACTCCAATACTTTTCTGTTTGGGACGAACCTCCCGCTTCCATCCACAAGGCTGTCATAGGACGGGCTCGCATCTCTTTTACCTGCATCCAAAACTAGAAACGCAAAGTACTGGATCAAACCACTGTTTATCACTGAATAAGAAATGTGAATTAAACAGTTTTTCTCAGCAAAATCTGTATCACCTGATGGAGGGTTCTCAGGGAGAGCATCTTCGCGTGCAATATAACCCAAGGCAGCCTCTACAAGCTCAATGGCTTGAGCCCCTGTATTCCGGGCACGTTCACCGGCAGACGCATTCCCCTGCATGACCAATACAACGTGAATGGCTCTGCAACTGCATAACAAAGGATCTTACACTATATACAATTTCCCGGCCAATACCATTAACCATCTGTTGTACACCCCCGTGTATATTGAAGCAGCCCGAAACATGGAGAACGCTACGTAGAACTTCCAGTTTGCAGCAGGCCATGGTTTCCCCTAAAATGCATTTGCCAATATGTTACAACAGTCGGTTAGTTTTCAAGAACGCATATTATATACAAATCTCTTTTCAACATTACATGTTATTGCAGGACTTACCGACGCAGAACAGTATTCTAAGAGAAATTCTGGCATCGAAAGTATCCCTTCAGGGAGTCCAGCAGTTTCAAGACCTTCACTCACATGCTCCTGATCGAGCTGAACATTCACAATGTAATGCTGCCAACAACATGGACTGTATATCAGAGCAGGAAACAAAGAAAACCGCTTTGTGAATACAATGTAACAAAAAAGAATAGCTTATTACCATACAGCTGTATGCGACATCACACATTTGGTTCCCAAGCGTGGACAGTTCCCAGTCAATTATCCCAATAACTCGATCCTGCAGCTTAAGGTAATTTTCAGTAAGGTCTCCGAGACTATCCAAGGAACTAAAAGCAAAAGAGCTTGAAAGTCTTCAGAACCTCGGAAGGATGAAACACGAGATTGTCAATGCGGAAGTCTCCGTGGACAAGGCCTGATGTCGCTCCTGTTGAATCTTCCGCGGGTATGCTTTTCCGCAACCAATCAACAAGCTCAAACATCTTTGGATTCCTTTCAGGCTTACCTTCACTTGTTGAAGCCAGATATTGTTTGAACCACCTGTCTATCTGAGATTTAGATATCCAAGCAAGAGCACATAAGCATTAACAGAAGAACAAACTAGTGATGTACAAAAAGTCACAAGCTCCAAATCAATCCACTAACCTGTCTTTTGCAGTAATTGGCGCGCCGGCCATATTTCTCAAGACCAATAGCATCCACATCAGCAGAATGAAGAGAAGCTAAGGCTTTTGCGGTTGCACGATAGATCGCACTCCTTCTTTCGGGCGCTACATTCTAATGAAACACACACAAGTTTACGCCTTTTCGTTTCACGATGAGTCACATCTCAAGCTAAGAAAAAACAGTCATGGGATAACAGAATGTCTTACCGGCAACTTGGGGTCTATGAATATACGTCCTTCCATAAACTCCATAATGTAAAAGGCAGTCCCAATCACGGTGGGGTCATTGCATAAGCAGAAGACTTTAGGAACAGGGACCTGTGTATGCTCACCCAAAGCCCGAAGCACCTAACATAACCGTCATCAAAAGCATTAGGCCAAAAAGCCTCCACCTTTATTCGATTCTGTATCGATTAAACAGTTACAAATGATTCTCTGACCAATCAAACGGTGTTACAAAAAACAGCATTTGATCTTCTTAAGGAAAATCGAACGGAACCAGATGACAAAATCAGAGTAGTTTCACCACCCAAAAATTCGGAATTCAGAAGTGGATTGGGGATTTTTCCAGAGTTGAAGAAAGATACCTGAAACTCCCTATCAACAGCATGAGCAGATTCAAGGAGCTTCCCAGGAGGCTTCTTCCTCAAAACGTATCGTTTCAAGGCACTCCCTGAGCCAACCTGGATCAGAAACGTCGGATTCGACTGCCCATGTCCGAACTGTAAAAACCAAAGAAAAAAATCTGATAAAGTTTATATCTTGGCGAAGAAAACCTCAGGACGCCGGCGACTGGAGGAATGAATGAATACCTGAGAGACAGTGAATTGGGATGGGTTGGTCGGAAAACCGGAGACGTTGTCTGCGGCGTAACGGAACAAGGCATCGTGATCGAACCGATGAGCCGATTGGACACGTGTCACCAGATCGCCCGTGCTGCTCCCCATGTATAGTTGTCTCTATCTATCTCTGTCTACTCCTCAAGTCGATGAGATTTCACGAACAAGACGAGATAAGTTTTAACACAAAGATCTACGCACTAGTACAGACGATACTATTTTTGGAAAGTCGCAAACCTTCTTCCCTTTGGATAATTTTTATTTATTTTTAGCTGATACAGTATCATTCAAAGCTGTTTTTTAAAAAAATTTAAGAGAAATGAATTTCTGATGAAAACATACAAAAACTAATCAAGGTTTCTTCTTTTGTCGGAACTAATCAAGGTTTTAGACTTTTAGTCAGCATTACATGTGATGTTTTTACAGGAGAAATTCTGAAGAAATCGTCATATATTTTGAGACTTTTAATTATTTTCTAATGTAATTTTAAGATGATAAAGATAAATAGGCTTATCTAAAGAAAAATCTTATCTATAACATACATTGTATTAGTTAGTTTTTCAAATTAAGAACATAAATCTTCTCTAGCTATCATCATTTCGAAAATTTTATCTGTCTTTCCAATGTAGACCAACTTGTTTTTCCTGATTACATTAATCCAGTAACCATTTCTGATTAGACTTTTGTTCGTCTACGTCTAACAATCGTCTACGTCATCTTTTTTTGCTTTACTTCTAACCATTGGTATTATCATCATCATCGTGATTTATATATTGGTAGGGCAAAAAGGTCATACTCAATAACCAAAGAACATTTAAAAAATCGACGGATATAGATAGATGTTTGCCAACTCATGTTTTGAACAGACAAGAAAACCAACAACAACAAGAACGAGATAAGCAGCTTATCGAAACTTGAAGGAGGCTTAAAGAGTTTATTTCTTGAATATACTGGCCCATCTAAACACATAGACTAAAGGCCCACTTAGCCCATAGAGAATCTCTCGAAGCATCTGAAACCACCGAAGAGAAGGGGAGAGAGATTACGCCTAAGAGCAACAGAAGCCAAAACCCTCACCGGCGATGGCTCTTTTCACTGCGCGGCGCAAACTAGCGACAATTCTGAGCAAAACTCTCTCTTCGTGTTCATCTTCATCTTCTTCGTCGTTTTCTACGCTCTCTTCCCGTTCTCGATTCGCCGGGCCTTTAGTTGACAAGGTTTGCTCAGCCCGAACTGGATTGGGCCCGTGTTACATAGCGACCCGACTCAAGACATCCGGGTCGGGATACTCTCCTCTGAATGATCCTTCGCCGAATTGGAGCAACCGTCCGCCGAAGGAGACGATTCTCCTTGATGGTTGCGATTACGAGCATTGGCTCATCGTCATGGAGTTCACCGATCCCAAGCCTACTGAGGAAGAGATGATCAACTCTTATGTCAAGACTTTAACTTCAGTTTTGGGCAGGCAATATCCCGTTTTATTTTTTATATATATATATATATTTTTTACTCATTTCGTTTGTGCATTTGTAATGTGATAGATTTTTGTGTTTGTAGCGAGGATGAGGCAAAGAAGAAGATTTACTCGGTTTGCACTTCGACATATACTGGTTTTGGAGCTTTGATCTCTGAAGAGCTTTCTTGCAAAGTCAAAGGTATCAACTTTTCCTTTTGTCACACTATTGTTTCATTCTTCTTTGCTCTAAAAAGGATTTTCTAGTTCAATGCTTATGTAGCTGTAGTGTAAAATTATTTCCAAATTTTGATTTTGCTCTGTTGGATTCAATCAATAGTTCTCTGCACCTGAATTGCGTAAATCTGAATTATTGTCTGTAGGAATACGAGAAAGAACATATCAGTTTAGGTTTGGAACTTATTAACCTTGTGTATTAAGATATCTAAACTATAGAGTTGTGATTCTTCAGGATTGCCTGGTGTTCTCTGGGTCCTACCAGATTCCTATCTTGATGTACCCAACAAAGACTATGGAGGTTTGTAATTGTTTTTGGGTTTCATCAGAATGATTGGGATATTACGAGAGAATCTTGAGATATAACTATCATCTAAACCACATTTTGTTTGGCGCATCATGTTCAGGTGACTTGTACATCGAAGGAAAGGTCATACCCAGGCCACAGTACAGGTTCACTGAACAGCGCCCAAACAGGAGGCCTAGGCCTAGGTACGACAGGCGCCGTGAGACGATGCAGGTGGAGAGAAGAGAGCCAACACAGAACTGGAACCAAAATCAACCACCAACTTCCATGGCTAATCAAGCTGCAGCTACTAATCCCGGAGAGTTAAACAAGCCTGGTGCTTAATAATATAAACTCTCAAGTCTAGTTATCTACATGAACAAGTATGCATCTGTAATCGAGTTTTTTAAAATGCTTATGAGTTATATGACTAAATGCTTATGAGTTATGACAGGCCTGCCTTAAACTCTCATCATGTCAAGAGTATTATCAATAATCCAAACAGAGAGCTATCGGTATATTATCTAAGGTGAATTGCAAACGAAATTAAATATATATGTACAAATGTATATAACTATATATACTATACACACGAGAGATAATCTGATGCAATTGCACCTGAGATTAAGAATTTTCGACATATCCACGGAAATTGTCAGCACACCGGAGACAATGTCAGGCTCAGCTTCTCCCTTTCACCGTCCGTCACGATCCTAACTATCCTCTTGAACGCGAAGTGCACGCAATTCGACAACGCGATCCAGCAAATCACTTCGTACACGAATTCCATTGCTGGATCCGACCAAGACGACGACGACGAAGACTCATCCCAATTCCCGTTTCCGAAACCGCCGCCGCCGTAGTTCCATCCTTTACCGCCGCCATCGTTTCCACCACCAAATCCGAATGGACCATCGTTACCACCGAGATCTCCTTCTGAGAAAAAACGACCAGAATCTCCTCCGTCTTCCGAATCACCGCCAAAGGAAACGCGCTTCGTACGCCGCTTTTTACGGATCCGGCGGATTGTCTTGTAAGAGCTGGATCTAACCGGTGGAGGCGCGATTGCATCAACGGGAAAGATAACCGCCGATGCTTGAACGATCCCACCCGGAGACTGATCAACGGTAGAATCGGCGAATGAAACGTGATTGGCCAAATCCCAGCGATTAAGGAGAGATTTCCCAAACGCTACGCCTTGCTTAGCCGTGCAAACTGCGACTGTATCGGCGATCAGAGATAACTCCATGATCTACAAATCCGACGACGACCTTATTCGATTTTCCCCCAAATCCACCAAAGAGTTCTGGATTAGGGATTGTACAACTTTGCCGGTAAATTCGGGTAATGACGGAAATAATATCGAGAATTTGATTCGGATCCGATGGAGGCGGATAAATTGGACACGTAACTGGTTTGCGCGTTGAATATACACGCCACGTGTCTTTTATACAAACGTGGGTAACACTCAAATGGGCCCCATATTCTTGTCCGAAAGCCCCAAACCGCGGGATGTATATTACTCAAGCTAGGCCCATATTCTATTTGTAAAACAGAAGAAGGTTTTGTTCTTGATCACTCTCTCAAGGGAATTTCCCTATATTGGAAAGATGGAGAGACCAAATCATAAGTTAAGTAGCGTATATGAGCTTCTTGACAATTTTCGATGGTAATGTTTTTATAAACTCGTTGGTTATGCTTTGTCTGGAAAACACACAGATTAAAGTGAGATTTATAGCATAATGGATGAAATTTTACTTTCGGTTCATAAACAACCCGTTCTTCAGATTCATCGTCTACAATTTTACCACAAATCTCAGGAACGTTTGGTTTTTCGGACTCAGGCGCCTTCCAAATCCTTCAAATATGGATTAGCCATAAGATTATTACATAACGTACTGAAAACTTTCTCCTAAAGTATATATAACATTTTGGCTTTGGAGTATATAAAAAAAAATTGTAGAAAAAGTCACAAAAATATCTCACATGATCGCTAATATTTTCAATGTTTAATTTATTCGAATAACACATATGACCTGTGAGTAGCGAAACTGATACATCTTGATTTATACTATGAAAAATAATGGTTATATTGAAGGGGAAACAAATGAAATGCATAACTTAATCAAAGTTCAGGATATATAATTGGCTAGAAAAATTATTGATAATCAAGAAGTTAGCACGACCATGTGATTTACTTTCGGGTGACCAAATTACAACCGCTATCTTTGACTTAATACTGATTTTGAGCAGTGATTAATTAGATTTCGAATATATAATATATTACTCAGGTTTGTTCGGCTTCATTGCAATAAGTCAAGCACAAGTAGAACCTATACTTTAGGCTATTAATGTGTTTGTAGTTTGTGTATTTTATTTATGTCTATAAACCGACGTGCATGTAATATTAGGTACATACTTAGCTTATGTCCAAAGCCATTCTCATTTAGTACTACTATTTTTGTTGTCTCTAGTTATAGTCAAACATCAAACACCAGAAAACAAATCACGAAATCCAATCTAAATCCAATTTTCAAAGCAAAAGAGATACTTTATAATACAATTTCAGTTTACATTTTTTATGTCGAGACATCATGTTAGACTTCCGAGGTTTTTGATTCAACCCATAAAATTTTGTGCTATCAAACAGACAAATATGAAAATCCTCGCAGCTTCGATTTTTCATGTAAACGGTAGAAAGAAAAGAAAATTTGGGTAGTCGCTTCATTTTCTTGTTTTCTTCACCTACTTCGTCTATTTCACCTAAATCATTTGATTTCGAAAAAGGCATCCTTTTGTACTATTGATCACTTCTCTTCTTCTATGTATCACAAGCTTCATGTTCCACTAATAAATTTTCTATATTTAACAGCTACTAAACGTTGTAGGTTATTTATGAAGTACCTTTTTATTTTAATATCATGATCATATTTTGTAAAATTTTACCAAACTGTTATACATGATAAACTGTCCACATCATGCAACCTTGGATATTCTTAAAAGATAAATTCAAAAATCCATAGACCACAATATATGATTTAACATGCAACATGACTGAGCATCTGAAAGTTTGCATCCGTAATTTACAACTAATCACTTTAGAGTGCGTTCTTGATTTAAATATGGTGTAGAATCATTAATTTCAAAATCTATAATAGGACTATAAAACGTTTGGAATTTGCAACCAAAAACGTTTCCACGTATATATAATAAAAACTTTAGAATTTTCAAGTGGGAGAGAGAAAGTGATTTTCAAAATAGCTAGATTGGTCGTTAATCCGTAAGTGGTATTTATATCTAAAAGCTTTCACAAAAATATGATAGTAAGTAGGTTATTTTTTATAAAACCCGTGTCCTTTTACAATTTTTTTTTTTGTTTCCTGCCTTGTTGTAGCGAATGATCGATCACCGTCAACTATTCCCTCGTTTAATATGGTTAATACTGACCAAAACCTATGTAAGCACCGTTAGTTAGTGTGCTCAACAACATCAAATAACAGAAAGTAATCAACACTTATGTCTGTAGAAAATAACGACACAGCCGTTTTGATTAATTTACAACGTTTAGAATCTACTCAATTTTTATTTTTACTCAGCTCTATCAAATTTGCGCTCCTTAGACTATCTTCACAGTAAAAGCGAGTGATTAATTTGCGGTTACTTTTACCCGTTCTTCAATTTGAAAAATTCAGTCTAAATTTTACTATTTAACTTTTTATTTAAAAATAATTATTATCCGAAGAAGGAAAAATAAATACCTATGGATTTTATCATAAATGGATTAATTTACGTCTCTCTCTCTCTTCCAATTTAAAATGTCTCTCCCGCAAAGCCTGCCTACCTTCTCTTAACGTATTCTCCCTCTCTCTCTGCTCGCTCCTTGCATTTTTCTCCCCCACAGAAATTGGTTTTCCTGAAAATTTTCTTGAAACCTTTTGTTGCAAATGGGTAAGATCCGACCCGGACCGGATCCAAAAGCGGCATTGGTCTCAGAGATTTGTTCCCTGTCGAAATCACCAATCTCTTGCATTCATATCAATCGCAACTCCGGTTCATGTTTCATCGACTGGTATCTCATTCTCGGTGTATGTTCTTTTCTTTTTCTTCTCAATTTATCTATTTTCTACCACTTTTCAAAATATATAATTTCGAAAAATACATTGGACGAACTTTTCACTGCGTGTTGTTCAATAAAGAAAAAGAGAACATTGGACTGATTTGGATAAAACAGATCCAGGAAGATGCAGAGGCCAAGCTCATACGTAAACGATATCACAAACTAGGTCCGCTTTTATATCAGTTTCGTTTTTAACTTTGATTTTGATTAATAAGTTGTCAAATATTTAAGTATTTTCAGTTTTGGTCTATCTCTAAGATAAATATTTAAGTATTTTAAACAGTTATCTTTGTTCAGCCTTGAAGGTTCATCCCGATAAAAACAATCACCCAAAAGCAGATATTGCTTTTAAGCTCATCCACGAGGTCAGCCATTTTCACCTTATTTATATGAATATATTTATTATTTTCTCAAAGAGAGGCAATAATTATAGTACATTTTTTCTTATAGTAAATACCACAAAATGTATGTGTGGCCATGACTCATTACGCTTAATAAGAGCATCCGCGTGTTATCCATGAATTCATTCATTGTTCCTATTACAAACAACACTATATCACTATGATCCTATAACCCGGTTTGGCGGGTTCAAATAAGTTTCTTGAGAAATCCGTTTCATTTCCCGGTTCAATGATTCAAGTACTCTAGAGCTTTACTTGTGTTGTTGTCTTCGACGCATGTAGGCTTATATATGTCTTTCAGACGAAGCAAAGAGAAGATGCTTCAACACAGACCGACGAAAGAACATCTGTCTGAAATGCAGCAGAGCCTCATACAAAACCAAAGAGAACCGTACCGATACTAAACCGAACCGGTTTTGTCAAACCCTCAGGGACATTAGGGACAAGTTCAGAGAAGAGAACAAGGTGATTGAGAGATGTCTGAAGACCAACAACAATTCAAGATTCATGGGAAACCTAACCGAGGAAACACCGGTATTCAGCATACCAAACCAAAATCGGTTTAATAAGGAGTCGCCGGTTTTTAATCCATCGGATTACAGGTTATGGGGTTATCCACATGTGAGAAATCGAGTGTTGGACAACAACTTGTCTGAATGGAGGGTGTTCATGAGAAGCAGATCCACTTGTGTTCACTCATCGTGATGATTTAGCTTTTCATATTCTAATTACATGTATTTCGCTTTTCTTTTTAGTTCAAATAAGTAAGAAACATAACTATTGAATTTAGTATTCTTTCATTGTTAAAATGGGTTCGATTACAAGTAATCAAAATTTGAAACTTGAATACAAAACTGTAGTTCCAACAACATTCTTCCAGATATCAGGCAATACGTATATATGCTCAGACCATTCATGCTTTTCAACATCTTCAAGAACCCGCAACTAAACGTTCACTGTATATAAAAATCATTTGTAGGAGAAACTTTACAAATAGGCAAATAAAACAAAAGCTAAATTTCAACCAAAAAAACAATTGAGCAAAAATAAGCTTTCCTCTGAGCAGCTTCTGGTTCTTCTATTTTCTTCGAGCACCTTTAGAGTTCAGAACACGATAAAGCTTTCCTTTGGATTAGAATATGACTAAAATTAAACACTCAAATACGTGTGACATCCTCAACATGGTCCATAAAGGTGTAAACGGAACCCTTACACGCTTTCATTCCTTGGATTTGAACTCTTGTGACTGTGTTTCTCTCGGCATTGTAGTAGAAAACGTAGAAAGGCACATGCTGATAGCATGGGGCCAAGACGATTTCATTTGTCCGAGTAACTCCAACAAAGCATAAATACGTGTTTCCAACAACATTCTTCCATATATCAGGCAATACGTATATATGCTCAGACCATTCATGCTTTTCGGCATCTTCAAGAACCCGCAACGTAATACTTGTACAGCTTCCATTGAAATAGTAGCTTGGAGACGAAAGAGAAGCTAACTTACCATTATAGTTGATCAGATGTGCAACACGATATGATTCAGTGTAAGTATCCGTGTCTTTAACAAATCTAAACTTCTCCAACCTAACATCAAAGCAAACGATTATAAACGCCTTTGATACTGTATTGAACGCTGGATAATACAGAACACCATTGATGCATACGTGGTTATATCTATGATGAGGAGAATGGGGTATGCAACATTCGATCTTTCTCCACGAGGGTTCTCCGGTTCCAAGTGTCAGAACTTGATGCTCCTGTGAGAGCTTCCATTGACTTCCATAAATCACCCAGGTCATGGACAAGACCTTGTAATGGTTCTCGACCGGATCATACCCAAAAAAGCTCCTCACAGCAATCCTCCTCCTCGTGTTCACTTTGGGTAAGGTCAAATACTGTCCCGTGCCCGGGTTACAAACCACCGGGACCTTGTGCTTAATCCCCTTTATCATCCGCGCATGTCTAAGAAAGACCAAGCCTCTGATGGAAGTAGATCTTTCGAATGAGAAGTCATACGGAATTTCCATCTGATAATTGGCGGGTAAAGGAGACGACGAGTCCTCATCAAGAATTCGTGGCTGAGGTGAGGAGAAGAAGAGCACCCGACCATCTACGTTCCAGGCGAACAATAGCTTTGGGCGAGCCGAAGATCTGGTGAAGTACAAATCCGCGAGATAGGGGAGGATGGGAATGGAAGCCCATTGCCTGGATACGCAGCGAAACCTCGCTACGGATTTCGCCGGCAGTCTAAAAAGTATCTCGACAATTATGTCAAATGGGATCGGTTCTGGTGAGTGGTGAGGTCTTCGCTCTCGTGTTGCGTTGGATCACGGCAAGAAGATCCTCCGGGACGTTCATGGCGGATTCGCTGGTTAAAACCTTCGAGTAGTCCTCATCACGGCGGCTTCCACAATTTCAACCTAAGCAAAGTGAGCATAAAGTGTATCTCAAGTAATCTAAAACTAGGGCCTCTAAGTTTTAACTGGAAAGCAGTGTGTGATGTCATGGGCTGATATGAAGCCCAATTAATCTAGCCTCGACATTAATCCACCCTCTCTACTCTTCTGTGTTTTCTTTTTTCTAGTTTATATTTTAACAGTCTCTACTCTGTTGTTAGAAATTTTATAATATTTGGAAATTGAATTACAACGCTGAGGTTTATATATAAACAAAACGTAGTTCGCGAATCTAGGGATTGAGATTCTTTATACTCTTGTTTTTTTACTTTCTCATTCTCGTGTTTCATTTTAGGTCAAATAAGCAAAAAAACTTAACCATTGGTCACTGTAAAGGGTAAACAAGGGGATGGGAAGTAATAAAACTTAAAAAGTAGTCATCCAATATAAAAAACAAGGACAGGAAGGAATAGAATCCCATATTAATTGATGAGAACCCAGGGCCAAACTAGCTCTGTCAAAAAAAATCCTGAAAGCTAAATAAAAAGGAATGATCAAAACACATCCATGACTGAGACATCCTCTACATGGTCCATAAAGGTGTAAACATTACCCCAACACCCTTCCTCCAGTCCTTTGATTTGAAATCTTGTGACTGTGTTTCTCTCCGTATTCTAGTAGAAAACGTAGAAAGGTCCATATCCCAGATCGCATGAGGACAAGACGATTTCATTTGTCCGAGTAACTCCAACTAATCTTAAAGTCGTGGCTCCGACAACCTTCTTCCATATATCAGGCAATACGTATATATGCTCAGACCATTCATCGTCTTCGGCATCTTCAAGAACCCGCAACATGATACTTGTACAGTCTCCATCCATATAGAAATGTGAGCATTGATACGAAAGTATACTTAATTTACCATTATAGTCTACGAGAGGTCGACGATAAGATGATCCAGTGTGAGCACCGGGGTCGCTAACAGAACTGAACTTCTCCGACCTAACATCAAAGCAAATGATTATGGAATTCATTGACGACGTATTATACGCTCGATAATACAGAACACCGTTGATGCATAGGTGGCTATATCTAGCCTGAGGAGAATGTGGTATGCTGCATCCGATCTTCTTCCATGACGGTTCTCGACCGGATCCAAATGTCAAAACCTGATGCTCCTCAGAGACATGATAAAGCCTTTTGCTACCCACCCGTGTCATGGACAAGACCTTGTATTGGTTCTCGACCGGATCATACCCAAAAAAGCTCATCACACCAAGCCTCCTCCTCGTATTCACTTTGGGCAAGGTCAAGTACTGTCCCGTGCCAGGGTTACAAAACACCGGGACCTGGTGCTTCTTACCCCCGTTTATAATCTGCTCGTCTCTAAGAAATACCAAGCCTCTGAATCTGATGGGAGTAAATTGTTCGCATGAGGAGTCATACGGGATTTTCATCTGGTATTTGGCGGCTAAAAGAGACGACGAGTCCTCACCAAGAATTCGAGGCTGAGGTGAGGAGGAGAAGAGCACATAACCACCTCTGTTACAGGCGAACAAAAGCTTCGGGTGAGCAGAAGATCTGGTGAAGAACAGTTCCGCGAAATAGGGGAGGATGGGAATGGAGGCCCATTGCTTGGATACACTGCGAAACCTAGCCACGGATTTCGCCGGTAGTCTCAATAATATCTCCACGATTATATCAAACGGGATCGGTTCTGACGAGGTCTTCGTTCTCGTGTTGCGTTGGATCACGGCGAGATGATCCTCCGAGACGTTCATGGCGGGGAAACTCTAGTCAAAAACCCTAGAGTACGGCGACTTCGGCGAGAAGATAAGTGTGTAGCTCAAGTCAAACCAGTGTGTGACGTGATGGGCTAAAATGAAGCCCATTTAGCCTAAAGTTAGGGCCTGTAAGTTTTAGCAGATATCTTATTATATACATGTTGTTAGCAATTTTATAATCTTTCGCATTAAAATTACAACAGTGACATTTTATATAAACAAAGCGTAGTTCGATTACAATTACAAATCCTGTATTTTGTGAAACGTTTTCCTTTTTCGTTCAAATAAGAAAGAAACATAAACTATTGAATTTAGTAGCATCAATGAATTATTTCACTATTGAAATCGGTTAGTTACAATTAATCAAAAACTTAAACGTCAGTGTATACAAAACAGTTTCCGACCCCAAAAAAAACTACTTCAAATTTTGGTGGTTCCTTCAATGTCAAAACAATTAAGTGTGGTGCTTTACCTGTGACCTGTCCATGAGTGACATACAACTCATGAAGATACCATTAACAACGTGGCTCACTGTAAAGAGTAAACAAGGGAATGAGATGTAACAAATTAACAAAACTAAGCAGTAGTCATCCAATATGATAAGGAATAGCAGTAAAAATTAGTTATCGCAAATTAAGTAGCGCTGTTACAAAAATCCTCAAAGTTATAAAAGCATGAGTCTAAAACACGTCCATGCGTGACATATCCCCTACATGGTCCAGAAAAGCGCAAACGCGACCCTTACACGCTTCCATTCCTTGGATTTCAACTCTTGTGACTGTGTTTCTCTCCGTATTGTAGTATAAAACGTAGAAAGTCCCATATTGAGGAGAGCATGGGGCCAAGACGATTTCATTTGTCCGAGTAACTCCAGCGAAGCTTACAGTTGTGCCTACAATAGCATTCTTCAAGAAATCAGGCAATACGTATATACGCTCAGACCATTCATGCTTTTCGGCATCTTCGAGAACCCGCAACTTAATACTTGTACAGCTTCCATCCATACGGAAGCTTCCATCGATACTGAAGCTTCGAGACGACGAAAGCGACCCTAATTTGCCATTATAGTTTATCAGAGATGCACAACGATATGTTGTGTAAGCATCCGTCTCTTTAACTAGTCTGAACTTCTCCGACCTAATATCAAAGGAAATGATTATGGAAGCTTCTAATGACGACGTACTCAACGCTCGATAATACACAACACCGTTGATGTATACGTGATTATATATAGAATGAAGAGAATGGGGTATGGTGCATTCGATCCTTTTCCACGAGGGTTGACGACCGGATCCAATTGTCAGAACTTGATGCTCCTCAGATGGAGTTCCATAACCGAATGAAGCCACCCAGGTCATGGACAAAACCTTGAATTGATTCTCGATTGGATCATATCCAAAATAGCTCCTAACACCAACCCTCCTCCTCGACTTCACTCTAGGTAAGGTCAAAGACTGTCCCGTGCCGGGGTTACAAATCACCGGGACCTGGTGCTTTTGTCCCTTCAAAACCAGCGTGTCTCTAA